GCCCTCGTAATTATATAGACATTATAACCATACAATTATTATTATTATTATAAATATAGGTTTCTAGTTTATCTATAGGAAAAAATAACTACTTAGGGAATCTTACTACTTATATTATAGATAGATCATATAAGTTATTCGACGACCTTAGTTAGATAGTTAAATTAAGGAATCCTAGTAAAGTAAGTTGTTAATAGAAAAAACGCGGCCCTTTCTAGCTGCCTACTAGTACGTTCCTATAACCTTTACTCTTCCTATTTAGGGTATATTTCTAATCCTTAAATAAAAACCTAACGCTCCTTAGAGTAGTTCTATTACGCCTATAAACCGATATAATTCCCTATCGACTGTTTAATATCTAGCTAAGGCGAGTCTACGTAGTCTATAATAAATTAGTTAAGTCTATAAGAGCACTAATAGATACCTAACTAGTTCCGATTTATATAGGGCTATAATATCGTTTATTTCTTTATACGGCTAGATTCTAAGGGGTATTTAAAATAATATTTAGCGGATAACGAATATAGATATTAAGTGTTTTTATTCTAGAAGTCACTTCTACGTATCTTTATATAGCTAGGGTATGCCCTAAATAATATTTAATTTTTTTTACTTCCTAAGTATATAGTTTAGAAGGTAGTATAGTATCCTTTATAGGATATTATTGTTTTTATATATATATAATATATAATATAGAAATTACTAAATATATAATATTTAAGTATCTAGCTTCTTTATTTATAGATATTTAGGCCCTCCGTTTTCTATTCTAATAATATTTAAAAATTAGATAAAGTAGTAGGATAGTATAGGCTAAGTATATACTTTTGCTTGATTAAAGAGTCTCGTAGTAAATTAATAGCTTTAGTATTATAATCTAAAGATTTCTAGGCGAAAGCGAGTTTAGATATACTAGAAAGCATTTTAGGATAATCTTCGCCGAGCTTAGTCTTATAAGTCTCTATTATCTATACGAAGAGCTGCTCGGCCTCTTCCTACTAGCCTTACTTCTAAAACGTCGATACTAGGTTGTTTATATATACTAGTTAACGTAGAGGTAAGCTTTTAAAAGTATTTATACGGTTATTATATACTAAAGGGTCAATAGATCGTTATTATTATACCTTTAAGCGGGGGAAGCCCTTCTCTATCCGGTAGTTAAGAGAGCTTAACGGACGGAAAGTCGAGGTATAGCGAATGTACTAGTAAATTCACGATTATAAAATTCTCTAACTAAAAATAGTAATAGTCCGTATTTAACAATCTAGTTAGATATATAAAGTAAAACGCATAGTAAAAAGTCATATATTTTAATAGTAAAAAGACCGGGTAATCAATATAATACCTTATTTTTTAACAGAGCTATATAGGTAAATCCCCTAACACTATAACTAAACCTACGTAGTTAGGCCTAGAAACCTATACTAACAAATATTATTAATATTATTATAGGATAAACCAAATAAAGATCAAATAAGGAAATATAATTCTACTAAGCCGCAATAGGCGTAGTACTATAGGAAGGCGGTTTATTACGGAAATATATTTATCTTATATATCTTAAAGATTACGAATGTTATAAGTATTATAGCTAGTCTATCTCGAAACGGTAGCTATATAGATTGTATAGAATAACCGTAAGTACCTAACAGAGTAAAATATTAAGCTCGTATATCAAATACGGAACTAAAACAGCCACGACTAAGTTAATTACCGAAATAGTACTATTAGACCACGGTAGATTCCGGTCCTAGTTTTGATTTTTATAAATTCAATCGTATAAGGTCAAATAGGCCTTTATAGAGAAACTAAGTTACTAAAGATATAGTATCACGTATTAATCGCTAGTCTAAGAATATTCGTTACTAAGCCTATTATACCTAAGGCATATTAGTAGGATCTTAGCGGCAAACTTCTTAACGGAGCTAGAAGGCTAGGGAGTATAGGGAGGAGGGGGCCTTTTGTTATTATCTTAAACCTAAGTCGATTAAGAATCAGAATACCGTTTCTTCGCCCTAATAGATATATATTCCCTACTTACCTAAGTCCTTAACTAGAGATAAGCAATATCCTATTATAGGAAAAAGCGATAGGGTAGAGCTAGATAGTAAATTTTTACCTATAAGTCAGGATATAATAATATAAACCGAGGGCCTACTTACGAGTCTTACTCTATAGCCGTAATAGGAACGAGAATATACGGCTATCTTATATACCTACTTAATAGCTAAGGAAAGACGGGTTATTTTTATATATACTCGTATTATCTCTCTACTCTCTTACTCTCTCTCGGGTCGATAGAAGCGATACCGTAAGTCTAGACCCTTCTAAGCGCTCGGGCTAGTACTATATAAGGCCCCTACTAAGAGGCTAATATTATAAGATTCTAGAACTATACTTTAAGCCTATTAGTAGACTTATAGCGTAGAAGGGGCTATGGTTGATATATCTTAGTCGACTAAAGCACGAGACTTCAAATCCCTACGTTTAGGAAGAAGAGGTAGAGCATACGTAAGTAGAAGTAGGGTTAAGTAATAAAATCAGACCCGGGTATTTAAGCACGAAACTGTCCCCTCTTAGATCTAAAGGAAGGTTATACTACTAAATCTAATTAGCTATAGGACCTATACGTAGTCTCTCCGGAACTATACCCTATATACGAGAATAGAGCCTAGTTATATCTTTATTTAGGCCTTTAGAACTTATCGCGAAATTAGAACTTAAGTATTAAGTATATATAAAACCCGTCCTAATAATCAGTAGCTTAAAGGGTTTCTACGGTATCGCGAACTATATTTATTTCGGTAGATTTAGTAGCGCCGGAAATTTAAAGCTATTAACTACCTTAAGCTATAGAATATAGTCGCCCTTTAATCTTAGATTTTTTCTATATTAAAAGGCGTCTGCTTCTAGTTCTAGCTTTAGGATAACTTCCTATTATAAGTAAACTTTTATTATCCTCTACGGTATCGGAAGAATCTATATATAATATTATATTAGGCTTTGTCTAAACGGAATAATTAGGTAGGGATAAACTTACCGATAGTTTAGAAACTTATAAATAGTCTAAGTTAGTCCTTAAGGACAGCTTAGGGTTAAGATAATTAGCTACGTTCGAATCTAGTCTATTTCGTAGCTAACGGATTCTAGACAAAAGTCCTTCTAAAATATTTCTAGATTGTTATATTCCTATAGTATAACCTTCGGCCTAACCTTCGACCTTATAAGTAATACGCCGGAGTACGAGTCGCCTATCCTATATTATATATTACTACTTATTTGTTTTAATAACTACTAGTAATAATTCGTTTTCTACGGCTAAGGCTATACGTCTCTCCTTATTAGAGATGCTTTTTAGGGCGAGAAAAATAGTAAGTATAGTTAGTATAGAGAATTAGTTAGCTAAATATTTTAATATTAAGAGAATATTAAGAGCTCCGGATTTTATATATAACGTAGAGAGTGCTATCGTCGTATATATAGTATTTTTAAATATAGACAGCCGTTCTATTAATAGTCATACTTCTATATCCCTAAAGAAATCAAGACGATCTTAATCCGGTTCGTATATAGTTCTATTAGCCGAGTATTTAGTCTATTCTCTAAAAGTATCCTAGAATCTAATACCTATCTCTCTATTACTCTAGATTACTAACCGAAGATAATATTAGACTTTATAACTAAGCCTATAAGCTTCTAATTAACCTAATACTAATAACAGTCTCCCTAAAGTAGTATTAACGAAAGATAATAGATAGTAAAGTCCTATTATTATAGCCTCGGTTATCCTTTTAGTAGCTTTAAGGTTCTCTAAAAGGGTATAGATACTCCGCTACGAGCTTTTACGTAGGCAGTAGGCCTAGTAATATTAATCGGTTCGATCGTATTATCGTAGGCGCGAGATAAATACCAATCTAGAGTACGGTTAGTTAATACGGAATAACGAGTAAATAAAGGCTAAACGAACTATAATATATTTAGAAGCGGTCTTTTTGTTTTATTAAGTAATTTAGAGGTAGAGGAATGATAAAAACTATTATTTTCGAGTAAGTAGCTAGATATATATCCCTTTTGAAATAGTATTACTTTAGGTAGAAATACTAGGGGTAGGGGGTAATATTTAGAATTCCTAGGATTTAAAGGAAATAGCTATAGGCCCTTAGGACTCTAGTAATATAGCTTAGTAGGCTCCTAGGAATATATAGTAGGCTCCTAGGAGCTTATCGGGTATTATTATTAATAGTTTATCTTCGGCTTATAGATTACTTAATAATAGCGTGAAAGATATAACGTTATCCGCCCGGGAAATCCTTCGGGTCGTACGCTTATTAGCGAGAGAAGTGGCTTATTATCGTTACCTACTAAATACTAATTCCTCTAGTTACCGAAATAGGGAAGGGTTCTAGATCTTTAAGGCAACTCATTTAATCGCCCTCGCCCTAGTAGTAGTCTAAAGCCCGATTAGGGTATTCCGAGGGGTATTCCTAGGAGCATAGGCTAAAATAAGAAAATGGTAGGTCAATTGAACAGCCCCACTATAAGTTTTTTTTACTTAGATAGGATCGAGACCGCTAGGATTAACCGTTATATTGACGGCGCTAGTCCTTTTTTAATAGGACGGTCTAAATGGGAAGGGTTGCACGTGATAAGATTAGCGTATCGCATTTTATTGATGTAGCTTACTTAGGCCGCTCATCCCTACACTCAGTGAGCTTTCAGTGAGCAAATCAGGGCGCTCAGATGATGATCAGTGAGTGGATCAGGGTGCTTAGGGGATGATCAGTGAGCAGATCACATTGATTATATAATGGCACGTGATCAAGCCAGGGTACTCAGGGACATGCTCAGTTTTACTCAGTGATCAAAAAGCGGCAAGAGGTGAGCACTAAAGCGGAAAGGGAAAGGTCTCGAGTGTCAGGCATTATCCGGTATATATGTATAATTAATTAGCCTGCCCGACTCGAGATAAAAACCGCTAGCATTGTTCCACAACATGGGCATCAGGCCTTTTTACAAGCTTTAACAATGTCCTGTACGATCGCATCATTCGCCCGGAACTCTTTGCTGAAGGAGCTCAGAGTATCCTCGGTCAGCGCATTCCGGAAAGCGGCAGCTTTGGTGAAAGTCGTCTTGCTAGCCTTGCCAACAACCGAGGCATCGGCTCCCATGACTAGACCAAGAATGGCGAAGGGAGCTGAAGATGGATTCTTCACAATATCATAGACAGACAGAGCTGCGTTGCCAGCCTCGCCGACAACATAAGCCGCACGGGCAACGTTCGCCACGCCGCCAATCGCATCGACTGCCTCTCCAGCGAACGGAATGATCATAAGAACAATGCTGACAATGTCTAAGATAAAACTGACTTTAGCTTCATCATCAGCTTTTTCCTGTTCTTTGCCGATTTTCGTGATGTTCTTCATTTGTTCAGTTGTGTCTGCAATCATGAAAACGGGCATACTGAGCGCGGTAGCGACGTCTTCGTCCGAGGCATCCATGGCGCCGATACGCATCTCTATGAAACTCCCGAGAATGACATCTTGAAGTGTCGTGATGTTAGGTACTGCAGTGTCGATGATGTCCTTGAGATTAGGAACATCGATGTCATCGTCCGCAGCCTTTACTGGCCAGTTGTGGTAAGTCACGCCATGGCCAGCGCAAGGTTTGCAGCCTTTATGGTTAGGACAAGGAGGACAGGTAAGAGAATTCTCAGGGTCTGCGTATATGTCTTTCCATACAATCCAGTCCTTCTCAATTCCATAGTCGGCTTGAAGGGCCTTATAAAAGCCATCTTCATCACGTACTGTATATGTGATACTGACTTCACCTTGTCCTGGCTGTCCTTCTGGGACGTGCATTTCTGTACAGGCCGCATCGCCACTGCCATCCGATGCAGATGACCATTTGCAGTCCATGTACTTTCGTCCATCACCCCACATAAAGAGTGGCAATGAATCATCGATGCCTTTTCTGACCCATTCGGCATAGTATTTGAACTAGAGGCATATTAGCTTGAATGCGAAAGCATCACGAGGGGTTTGAAACTCACGTATTCATCATAATTGTCAGCTGCACTTTGATAGTTGTTCAGGATGCCAGGAAGAATTTGAAAGAATTCGTAGTTGAAATGATATTAATCGGTGGTACTTAACTTTGTCTATGGGTTCATGTACATCCAGCCCAGTTTGTGTATGAGCTTGTAAGTTTACGGTACAGTTCCCGTCGAATGGGGCTGCAGGGGCAAATGAATGTCAAAGCTGAGTGGAGAATGAGAGAGAAAAAAAAAGTGTGAAATAAACTGATGCAATTCAAATAATAATGCGATCTACTTCTATAAATACTTGCTGGTCGAAGCATAATCCTGTCCTTGGAGAAGTTGACTTTCCTTTTCCTTGAACTTCATTTTCCCCACTTGTCACTGCAGCACCAGCGCCACTGGCACCACTGCACTATCTCCTAATGGCGGCTACCGAACATTCTGGTAACAGCCTTATGAGCCAATACTCTATCGTTTTACCGAAAAGGCAGGCAACTGACTCTTCCGGCAAACCTATGCCTGCATGCGACCCCGATCAATGTGCTGCGGCAATAAAGGGGGAGGAAGTCCCCATCGACCTAAGCTCATTTTGGCATCGGAGAGCCGTCATTCGTGGAATTCGTGATTCACTTCAATTTGCAACAAGCCCGGCAATTATTGAGCTATGCTCCGGCGACGATGGTCAGACCTATCAATTTTCCCGCGCCCGCAATGCTCGCCTGATAATGAGTGATATAATCCCCGATATGCAAAATCCTGCCACTCAGCCGTACTGTATATGGTATCCCGAGCTTGCATCAGAAGAAACATATCGCGAAGTTGCCCGTCAGTATCCGTCTATGCGGTATCAAGTAGGCCGAGCGTGTGCTGCAGCATGTTATACGGATCTTTACAAAGAATTGGACCTTTTGCCTGACGTTTCTATTGCGGAAGAGTCCCGCGAAGTTGACGCCGAAATCTACAAGATTATCATGTCCGCCCCCCAACGATATATTGTCATGGAGGATTTCTCTCGATCCGTTCATCTTGAAACCCTACGAACACCTGCGTTTCTGAATGGCGATATGAAGCCCCGATGGGCATTAGGGCAGCGAGTTTACCCTGGTAAAAATTTACCAGAGACAACAGCCGATGATATTGACATCGAGGAAGATGGATTTATCGGCTTGCAAGATATCAGCTTGAAGGATATTAGCGGAGTGGAGGACTACGCTAAGCTAGGCCTAGGCCAGTCCAATCAATTGTGGATGCCTCTTCCGCCTGATCTTCCAGTTCTCGAAAAGCGCCTTCAGACACAGATGGCCGCGTGGGAGGGCAATGTAGATCGATACAGTCGACTAATGCACCCACGTAGGCTGAGAACCAAAATTGAATACAATTGTGTTCTTCGTGGCATTTATCACAGTACAACCTTCGCTAGATGGTGGGCCTATCAGCTGGAAACAAACCCTGGACGGGCTATCCTCCCTGGTAAATTGCTTGACCAAGGCAATAAACAGGAGTGCAGAGAGATTCGTACTGCGATCAATGCCCGCATGATAATGAACAATGATATCTCTGGTATCAACGATGACTCGGACTGCCTCCCGTGGGTTATATGGGGGCCCGTGAAGCCCTCTGAGAATACTTTAACTGATCTGGTTCGAAAGTGTCCTTCCATGGGACACCAAATTGCGGTCACTTGTATAACATGTGATTACGAATCGATATTCCGAAGTTTGAAGCCCCCGTACACCAAATCCTTGTATGTGGCTGCCAGGCGAAGTGAAAATCCATTCTACCTACAATACCTTGAGGAAATCATGAAGGAGCACGACATAACCCCCCGGACTTTCACGACTTCAAGGACTTTGATTACACTGCACCAGGCTTACAGACTGATCTGGAGCCTAGAGATGCTCTCACTGATCACACTGTCAGCTACTATGACATGGAGGTCGGGTATGGGCAATATCCCTATGGAAATGAACACGAAGAAACTCCAGGTACATATGGAGGCGGGCTAGCGAATGCGGGAAGGGTGGAGAGATACATGTGGCTCTCAACTGAAACTGCACAGGAGTTAAAAGATGAACTGGAGGTGCTCTACGAAGGTGCGGATACTGGTCTTTTGTATGGCGATGATGAACTTCATTCTAAGCTTTCACGCCGTATACAGCCCATGGATTGGTAGTATGCAGGTTTCGATATGTCGAATACAGTCAGTCCCTTTGATTTTCGAGTATTATCTGCCGGATATAGTTACCGATGGCAATATTAGAAGGTAGCACCAGGCTGTAATAATACACAGCTATTCCCAATCCAACCCTAATGAGCCTATTGGTGAGCCTGTTGATGCTACTATCGCTGTAGAACGTCTTAGGTACATATATTAAGGAGAAAGCGGAAGCTTATCAGGGAAACACTTAGTAATTCGGGCTTTTTATATAATAAACTGTACTGGATACAACTTAAACTCTAGGATTTTTACCCTATCTATATCAAACATTTATGATTCCTTCCCACACATAGACTGATACATACGACCATAGGGTGTGGAAAACAGGGCTTCCCGTCCGCTCAGCCGTACTTAAGCCACACGCCGGTGAGTTAGTAGTTGGGTGGGTGACCACCAGCGAATCCTCACTGTTGTATGTTTTTGTTTTATTTTTTGATGTTATTAGTTGGAATACGACCCGTTAAATAGCTAGCCTGTTAGATATCAAACGATCCTTGGCATGTGACAAAGCATGTGCCAGAGCATGTGATAGATGTAGATCGTGACACTAATCCTGGGAGCAAATTTGTCTTGCACGGCGCTGTATCGTTCTTAATCGTTAAAAAGACCTGACCGATGGTGCAAATAGAGGGGATGTCAATGCCGTGGCCTGACAAACTAGAAGATCGATCATTCATGGCCATGCGCGGTCCTGACTCGATACTAGCAAATTTCTTTATGTTGTCATAGCCCTCAAACCTTCCCTGCTAGTATCAAGGCAGAATTCATCTTTGAAATACTGTCTCAGGTCCTCCCACGTCGGTAGCTTCTCTGGCATTTGATCTTGATAACTTGACCCAGTTTTAGTTTGAACACTACTTGACAGTGGCCTACATACCTATTGGCATTATATAGCAATGGCTGGCTCAACAAAATTTGAGAAATCAGAATCGTCATCATTATAATCCCCCACAGTACCTGCTATGGAATTATCGAGCACCATGGGGCTATATTGATAGTTCTCTATATGATGTTTCAGACCAATTCAACTAAACAGGAATAATTAATCGAAACGCTCTAGTGAGGGGCCTCTATGTGGGAAAGAGAGAGGGAGAGTGAAGAAGAAGAATCTTTATTAAAACTTCGATCTACGGTTTAAAAACCCATGCTCTCGAGAATCAATCATGCTTCGGCCGCCCGACTTTGCCCGCCGTCCTCATTCCAAGCACAGCTATAAGAATCATAGCCACCGTTGCCCCGAAAGAGGCCCAAAACGCGGCGCTGTAACCCTCTGCAAGGGCTATAGGGGATGACTTGTTCTCCGTAGAGCTCATAGTAACAGCATTGGCAAGGATAGCCGTGAGATTCAGGCCGATACTAATCCCCAACTGTGCGTATGTGTTAGAAACTCCTCCCGCAAGACCATGGAGCGATCGTGGGAAGAGTTGCGTGATAACCTGTGGTAATTTACGTCAGTACATATGGGGAAAAAAGAGACTGCGAATATATAGGTAGTTATATGAGAAGTAAACTTACTAAATTAGCTATAGTGTGGCTCTCCCCGATTTATATGCCGAGCGACCTCGGGTTTTTTAGCATGTTGCCTGATGCCCGTGTAACATTGAGTGCTGCATACTGGCAAGCCAAAGCCACGTACCCATCTCCAGTTAGGGCCAGATAGCGAATCATACTTCAGGTGTGATATTTGAGATCTACATATCGGTGGATAGGACTGGTTGCTAAGAAGCATAGAGCACTGCTGGCAAAGTGATCCCTGCAAAATTTCACACCAGCAAGGCTGTGTCCTCTCTCCATAGGTGGAAACTTTACACCAATGACAATGGAGATCTTTTCCCTGTCTTTCAAGAGGAGCTGTATCTTTTGTTCTTTTCTTTGCTGGTTGGGAAACCCTTACAGAGGAATCTGTTGTCAGGCTGTCTTCAGCCATCTTCACATTTGCACGCTCGATCATGGGGTTCAGTATTCTTGGCATGTCAGAAATGCATAGCGCTGATGTCAAGTTATGTTGTATTAACTGACATCAAGTCGCATATATATAACTAGGAGATATCATGTACCCGAAGTGGAGATATATATCACCACATGTGTATGAAAAAAAGAGAAATGATCGAATCATATACTAGGTATTTTCCCTGAATAAATTTTTTTCTAATATATATATATTATTTATTAGCCTACTCTTTGATCTTTGATACATCTAGAATAATTGTACTGTGGGAATTAAAAAAAAGAAATAACTATAGAAAATGAAACATTTCAAAGTTCCAAATGCTTTATGTTTCAGCAAGATACCTCGTTACCAACAAATCAGCCCGGCTAGCTCAATTGGCAGAGCGTGTGACTTTGTGAGCCTTCCCTTTCACTCCTCATTTCAGATCAATTCACTAACATATTCTCAGTATTGGTATATACTATCACTTGAAATCACAAGGTTGGGGGTTCGACCCCCCGTCGGGCATCAATTTCGGTTCCCATTCCCCATCGGGGAAACATCTTTTTTTTCCCCTCCTGTTATTTATATTTTCATGTTCATCAACTTCATCAATAGCTTCATCTCTGCATTGATTCAATTTCATCATTTAGAGGCAACCCTAGCTAACTATCGATCTAGGCATCTTGTACCTAGCTAAGCTAGACCGCCTTCAAATGACCCCCGGATTGAGGGGTGAGGGGCGTTGCTACGGGTACTGCCGTACTGAAAAACTGCTTATCGAATCACAAGTCACTATTTAAAAGGCGGTATCCTGTTTAGGAGGCGGTAAATATACCATCTAGTTTTTTTTTTTCTTTTCTATCTCTGACTTTGTGAACCCCGCCAATCCTCGCGATACGCCGAAACCACGATCATAATGGCTCCTAACGTCGGGGACGAAGCGCCTCACAACAGCTTTGACGTACGTACCACCATCATCATACGGAGAGCTAAAATGACAAGCTCAGAAACTCACTTGTTCTCGCTCTCCAAATTCCTTCTTATCACTGTGAAGGCGCAATCGATTTCAAAGAAGGGATTGGCTAACACTTGACTTTCTAGACTATTCTCGTCCTCGATTTCGGCGTATGTATCGGATATCTCCTCTACCAATCTGCCCCTCTGCCCCTCCTTCGGTCCCTTCCAGATAACGGAGCTTCATTACTTCTGCCGGGCTCCTGAAACCGCCCCTGATGGTAAATGCTGACTCATTGTTGAAGTCTCAAACGAGTCATCTTATCCTACGTCGACTTCGGGCTCTCGGCGTCTTCGCTGAGCTGCTTCCGTGCACCACTAAGATTGCCGATCTCACATGGAAGCCTAAAGGAATTGTGTTCTCTGGAGGTATGAAGTCATGAATGCATTGTTTGTACCAAGGTTTGACTCAGATACTAGGTCCTGCTTCTGTCTACGACGACGGCGCACCCCGTAAGGTTTTCGTCCTCTAAACGTCCGGTTGCGTATGCTTATTTATGTAGATGTTGACCCCGCTGTTTTTGACCTTGGTGTACCCATTCTGTGAGTGTGCTTTCTGCCTATTGTTCTCTAAATCTTGAATCAACTAACACGGGAGTCATAGGGGTATTTGGTATGGCTTGCTTTCGCAAATTCGGGGATAAAACCGACACTAATCCTATTCATCTAGCTATGGCTGCCAGGAGATCGCATGGACAATCGATTCGGCGAATGTTGCCCGCGGAGATGCACGAGGTTTGCAAGCTCTAAAAAACCATCTGAAGTCAATTCTGACACTTTTCTCGCAGAGTATGGTCATGCCGACGTCACAATCACTAAGGTCAATAGTAATGTCGACCGGCTTTTCGCTGGTTTGGGGGATGAGATTCCTGTGTTCATGTCCCACTACGACAAGCTAGTTAGCTTGCCTACAGTGAGTGAAATGTGTTCTTTTCCCACCCACTTTTATTAACTCCAATAGGACTTTGTGGTCATTGGTGCCACTAAGAACTCCGAATACGCAAGCATCGCGCACAAGGAGAAGCCCATCTTTGGTTCGTTTTCCATTTAAGCTGTCGTTAGGGCCTAGTAAGATGCTAACGTTAGCCACATAGGCGTCCAATTTCACCCCGAATTGGAACACGTTCGTCACCTGACCCCTTGACACTGCAACCTCTTCTAATACTATCTAGACACCCCGCGGAACCGATATCCTCCGTAACTTCAGTGTTGATATCTGCGGAGCTCAACCAAATTGGAAAATGGGCGACTTCGCCCAGCTCGAGATCGCCCGTATCCGAGAGCTTGTTGGTGAACGAGCCCTCGTCCTAGGCGCCGTCAGCGGAGGCGTTGATAGCACTGTTGGAGCGGCCCTAATGCGGGAGGCTATTGGAGATCGCTTCAAAGCCATCCTCGTCGACACCGGATGCATGCGTCTAAATGAGTGCGAGACGGTAAAGGTTAACCTCGGAAAGCACCTTGGTATCAACCTCACGGTTGTTGAGGCTGGCGATCTGTTTATGAGTCGTCTTGCGGGTGTCTCTGACCCGGAAAAGAAGCGGAAAATCATTGGATCGACTTGTGGGTAATTTACTGTCATGGCTTTGTGATATGGCACTGACAATATTAAAGTCATCGATCTGTTCGAGAAAGAGGCTATCAGGGTACGTTCAACATTCTCAACAGACTTTCGCTGGCTAACAGGACCAAGATCGAGAAAGAAGCGGAGAACACCCCTAACTCCGGGAAGGTAGAATTCTTCCTACAAGGGACATTATACCCCGACGTGTAAGTCGTTTTAATCGAACTACTGAGTTCACACTAATGGTATCTTAGTATCGAATCTTTGAGCTTCCGCGGGCCTTCGGCCACTATCAAGAGTAAGCAGGCCAAGAGAGAAGAAGACTGCCCCAAAGTCATGCAAAAGAAGTAGACAAATTCTGACCTGAAAATAGCTCACCACAACGTTGGCGGTCTGCCTGAGGTATGTAATACCCCCTGCCCCCTTCTAAGTATATCTTAACTAACCAGCATATAGCGCATGATGAACGGCGTAAGTCGAAGTAGCCCGGTATCGTTTGATTTACTTACTGACAAACATTGCTCGTTTAGCAAGGCTTGCGTGTAAGTCTACTTCCTATCTATCTCTTGATTAACGCAAAGACTAACGGGGATTCTATTATAGCTGATTGAGCCGCTCAGACTTTTGTTCAAAGATGAAGTTAGGGTATGTCAAACCTTACATTGAATTGCATCCTCAATTGCTAAATTACATAGGCAATTGGTCGCAAACTCGGCATCCATGAGTCGCTGGTCAACCGCCACCCCTTCCCAGGCCCTGGCATTGCCATTCGTATCCTCGGCGACGTCACCAAGGAAAGAGTGGAGATCGCCCGGAAGGCCGACCACATTTTCATCTCCAAGATCAAGGAGGCGGGTCTTTACGACAAGGTAAGTCGAGCGAGTCCTAAAAGTTAGGACGGGTACAAGCTAATTATTCTCTTCTAGATCTCCCAAGCCTTCGCCGGTCTCGATACTAATCGCAGTGTTGGTGTCTTTGGTGATCAGCGAGTTTGGGGTTACATCATCATTCTCCGTGCCGTTGGTACTAAAGATTTCATGAGCGCAGACGTGTTTGACTTCGATAACGCCTTCCTCAAGGTGAGCACTCCATCCTCATACCCCCAAAGCGCTAGTGCCATTTCCTCGCAACGTTTACTGACCTGTCTACCCCAGGATGTATCGCGCACCATTTGCAACCAGGTCGACGGTGTTGCCCGTGTTGTCTATGATTTGTAAGTAGAAGTCTTTGCCTCTATTGGTCTCGAGCCTTCAGCTAACATCGTCATTCTAGAACCTCCAAGCCCCCTGGCACTATTGAGCTCGAATAGGCGACAGAGGGAAGGCAGACAGAATACAGATCACCTCCGTTGCGGAGAAGAGAAGGGAACTGGGATCAGACCATGTGATTGAGACCAAAAGGTGATATGATCGAGGGGAAAGGCATGGAAGGGGAAACGCTGCACTATAGTCAGTCATGCATAGAAATTGAAATTGATGGCGTTTTGAGACTACTAGGAAGGCACATAGAGTGAGAAGACTGATAGAATCCATCACGGTATTGTAGGAAATCCACCTCCGAGATCCATGTACATGTCAAGTGTCGGCGAGTTCAACTAATTCTTCCACCGAAGCAATACTGGGCGTTTATATGTTCAATCTACATTGATAACATCCGTAGTTATCCGCATTGCATCTCTTATACGCCTGACCACGGTTCATGTTGTATAGCACTCAGTGCCTTAGTGTACCTTTTGTTGCATTTAGTTTTTCAACCCGTATTATCGGGCCTAGCCTGTCACTCAATTACTTCACCATATTGTGTCAGTGTGAAGGGCGTTCTTATGTTTCACTTATTTCATTTATTTATTCATTTTCGGACGTCTACGGAAGACAAGGCCGATATCGCGACTAGGTTGATCATAGTAATGGTTCCTGATGGAGAGATAGTATATAGTCATGGACTATTTGGTGGATTTCTAATATGGCGACATGATGGCGTTTTGCCAATAACGTGCTATTGGATCAATATCACTCTAAGCCATATATTTCCCCGCAGCTATAAGATCGAACAGTAATCCCATTTTCCTCGCTCGTCAGCAGAAGCAAAATGGGTAGTATAACAACAACTTCTTTTCCAGATCCTTTTCAAGGTGTCCCAGCGGCCCGAGCAGCAGGTAAATAACACAATTGACACCCCCGTGAACTTGAATTAAGAACACAATTTTAGATGGCCTTGCAGCTCTAGTTGGGAAGTTCCGAGCCGATACTGATCCCAATAGAACCGATCTCCTTGTCGGCGTGTACAAAACGGACGAAGGTAAAGCATACTTGCAGCCAAGTGTGAAAGAGGTAATACCCCGATGTTTACCATTCTACAGCCGAGATACATCACTAAATGTTTGATATTCATATTACAGGCAAAGAATAGAATATTTAATGATCCTAATTGGCATCATGAGTATCGCCCTTCTGCTGTGGGTTCCCCGCTTTATAGGGACTTGAGTTCCAAGCTGCTTTTTGGGGCCGATAATCGTCTTTTGCGTGAAAAAAGGTATAAGCGTGATATGCGCTTTACAAAACCTATCAAGAACTAACTTGCATTCTTAGAATAGTCTCAGCCCAGACTCTGGGCGCGAGTGGTGGATGTCATGTTGGTGCAGTTCTGTTGAAAAAGCATTATGGACCATGGAATGAGACTGGAAACCCCGAGATTTTCCTTCCCACTGACTCATGGTGTAAGCCGCCTTTTCATGGTACCTACGAAAATAATTCTGACTAGGTCCTAGTGAATCATCCTTTCGTATTCCAGTCTGCAGGAATTAAGACCAGTCTTCTGCCTTACTTCAGCAGCAAGACAAACACCTTCGATTTTGTGAAGTTCTCAGAGGCCATCAGATCATTGCCAACTCAATCAGTGATTCTTGTCCAATCTGGAGCCCAAAACCCAACTGGATGTGATCCATCCCCAGATCAGTGGCGAGAGCTAGCTTCCATCTTCTCGGAGCGCGGTCATTTGGCTTTCTTCGATGCCGCATACCCCGGGTTTGCCTCAGGAGACATCGACACAGACCTTGCAGGTGTTCGCTTATTTGCCGAGCAGGAAATCCCGTTTATTTTCGTCTCAACATACGGAAAGTCCTTTGGGCTTTACAGCGAGCGCGTTGGAATTATCTCGGTTCTTGTTCCAAGCGAGCAAGCAGGAAAGAATATCGAAGCGCAATTGAGCTTAATTGCACGATCAGAGTCTGGCGCGCCGCCCGATTTCGGGTCGAAGATTGTTGAAACAGTTCTTTCGGATGAGACTTTGGAGAGCCAATGGCGACATGAAGTGCGTGATATGGCGAACCAGCTCAAGCGCCGTCGTGTTGCACTGAGGGAAGGGTTGGAGAAATTTGAAACACCAGGTAGCTGGCGGCATATCACTGAACAGAACGGGATGTTTTCGTATGTGTTATCAAGATCGGACTCAGGGAGACTCCCCATACTAACCTTCCTTAGATATGTTGGACTGTCCGTCGAACAAGTCACTCTCCTCCGAGACAAGTACCATGTGTATCTTCAAGACTCTGGGAGAATCTCTATCGCGTATGTCTCATGAGAATATTTTGGGAGTACGCGTTAAGCTGACATGTTTCTTTCCTTTAGTGGGCTCAACAGCTCCAATATCGACCACACTGCTCGCAGTATTAGCGCTGTTGTTAAAGCTACGTACGACCTAAGTGCACTTTGAAGGGGTTGTCCAATCCACTAAGCAATATAGACAAGGGAAAGGATTTTCACTTATTAGTCATGTCGTCAAAGGTGCGGGCACTGGAGTGTTGGATGCTTGTTTAGACTTAAGAGGACAAAATCATACACATTACAGTTCTTTGAATAAGGATAATATTTTGTGTGACTTCCATAATTTACAACTTAATGTATGGGATTGTAACCCAAATCACAATTTCTCCTGTCCAAAAGAGTGCTGAGATATGAAGCTGGATGATCATGAAAGGACCTGCACAACTAGCATAGGGGATCCTCAATATCAAACGCATCCCCTTCTTCTGGGTAATAGAGGCTAGCGCTCATTCATCGTTGCAGCGCATTGAGAATTATGGACTCGCTTCTTTTGATCCCGATACATTCCACAATATACTCGACACGTCGCAAGACCTTGGTTTGGGTTACTTCGAAATAAGAGATGATCATAGGCATTATTTCTAGTCGCAGCTGTCTTCGATTGGATCTACGAGAAAAGCTCGAGTTTATTTATACAATGTTCATTTCGTCTACGAGACACGGCTTTTCTCCAATAGCAACATATCAGCCCATTTGCAATATTTACCCTCAAGAACGGACCTAAAGGGCTTTGAAGTATATTAAATGGATTTGTTGAGATCACCTGATCCTGTTTGTCCGAACTGGCAGCTACAAAGAGCTTCATCTCCCTCTTCTTCTTTTCCCCTTAGCAGTTAGCGGTCAGCTACAATACAGTCATATTTGCCTACTATCTTCTCCTAGTATCTCATCAGGATTGAAATACCAAAGTGTTCTGCATTTTTGCCCCACTACATCCTTCGCATAAAGTTCGAGGCTGCCGTCCATATGGAAACTGCCTTCGATCTGTTTACACACACTCCGTGTTGTCAAGACCCTAGTTAGTATGTTGACCATCTGAAACTGGGTCAAGCATACTAGTTGGACATAGGCGATACTCTCTTGTCGAGGTTGAAATCTAGGTATCGACTCAAATTCCCGAGGTCTTCCTGGCTACCAAGTCAAGGATGATACACTCTAAGACTGCATCTGAATTTGGAATGAGTCGAGATTCCTACCATGTTCATCTTCGGTATTATTATGTGTGTAGAATCGATGTATTATATTCCCTACTGACTTGTATACATAGTTATTAGATGGCGAGGAACAGTGCGGTAAATAGTTTCTCCTAATCTCAGCTTCAACGAGGAAGTTGCCATGGACTTTGTCATTTGTGTTTCTATAACTAGATAGTATATAGCTAGGTAGGTAGCTTTATACGTGATAAGCCCTTTATCGCTCCTTCTTTATCGTCTTTGTTTATCCAAATTTTGGTTATAGCTCCCATCAACTGTTGAACCAGCATAGAACTTCCACAATCCCATCAATCCAATTTTCATTCCTTTCTTTTATCTATACTCTATGTTCGTCCAGCCACTCTCAACCTTCCTTTTATGAACTTCATCACCAAAATGCCTTCCAAAGGCTATGCTGAGCCAACCCTCCTGGAACTTGTTCCGACTCTTATGGGCGAGTCCAACTTTTCTACATGGACTACTTCACTCAAATGGACCCTCGACGCACGCGACCTTCGATATTACGAACTTCTCACTGGCGTCTGGAGCGAACCCCGAGCAGTTGACCCCACACATCCTACTCCCATCGAAGTCGAGGCTCGTACCCAGTGGGATACTGCCAGTCGGTACCTCCTCCCGCTACTCAACGCCACCGTCGATCAGACGGTCAAGTTCTACATCCTTGAGGCCAATAATGCACGCACAGCATACGTCAACCTCTACCGGGCCTTCGCAGCTCGGTCTTACGACACTGGCTTCTCCATTTTCCTCAAGTTTATCAACACCACATACACTTCCAACAGGCCTCAGGCATTCGTCAACGAGTGGCGCGTGGCCCTCGGCGAGCTCCAAGAGTGTAATTCGACAAAGCTCACGCCTCTCCTCATCTTTTACCATTTCCTGAACGCCGTCAGCGTCAACCCAGCCGTACACCCATGGCTCGACAGCTTCCTCAATTCGAAAGTCTCCACCGATACAACCATCGAAGCAACCTTTGCGGATTTTGTCGTTTCCGAGGACCGTCGTCTCAACACCCTCAATCAATCTCACAACTTTAGCCTGGCTAGGGTTAATAACCTGCCGTTCTTTTGTCAGTTCCATAATCGTCAAGCCGGTCATTCCAGCGAGAACTGCTTCAGGAACCCGTCCAACCAACTCCCCTTTAATCAAGTGTCGATGGCTCCGATTACGGCTCCTACTCATGATCCCGCTGAACCTGAAGATCGGCCTGCACAGTAAAACAGCATCTTCACCAGGGAGTTAATTTATGGGTGTTTCTCGCAATTCTTGTCCATGGGGAGGGGTTAGAATCGGATAGTGTTAGCCACAATTAAGTGTATTCGCATGATTTTGTGCAATTTGATATGTTGTTTCTCGTGGGGGTCTCCCACATATCGTAAGCATTACCTTTCCAAGGTTATCCGTGGATATGATGCTGAATAATTCCACGAGTTCTAGATTATTCACAACAATTACCCGTGATGAATCCACTGGCAGTCGTACTGTTCAAAATTGCTTGAAATTTCTTCTATGTATAAACAATAACACCAAAAAGTAAAGGAACCATAAAAGCACCCCACAGAGCAGATCGGAGACTACACCCACCATTCGGTGAATCTGCAATATTCAACGAATTATTCCCAAACCCAACAGTCCGTAGCCACGCCAGTTCCGTCGAATTGACATCGAGTATATCCGAATTATAAGCATCCAAAACACCACTAAAGCGAACTTGAATAGGACCCCGGATAGATTCCGCAGAAACCATGTCACCCCACATATAGCGCGACACATTGGATCGCATGTATGGCGACGCGGTGAAATGCCCATCCATAGTCAGATTTGACGTCTGGGCATCGAAATCCGCCGTCACATTCGGTAGAGCGAACCCGTCCCAGTCTTCCGTGTCCCACCATTCTGCCTGCGGAACTCGCACAGTCCAATTGCCGTATTCTTCGGATATGTTGCACGGAGTCATGTCGACTTTTAAATTCTCGGAACCCATTCCAGCGTAGGGGTCTAGCTCGCTATGCATTTGCCCCGAGAGAGTAAATGAAGAGTTGGGATTTTTGGTTGTAGTCAGGTTGAAATGATCGTGGACGGTTGTATTCTCCTGGTACTTCCACGTGGGGCTGGTCAAGTCAGAATCGTATCTCAAAAAAAAGAAAGAAAGAAAGAAAGAAACAGTATGGCTGTAGGGGACTAACAATGACGACCTGACGGGGTACATAAGAGGTGTGCCGTCGCGACGGCTAAGCAGATCCGTTCTATTTGGCATGTCGGACATGTTGTAGTTTGGCGGAAACAGGATTAGCCATAGATTGGCTGGGTTGATGCCCGAATTGTATGGTCCTCGTTGTGTGACTGCCAGCACCGAGTCCCATTTCAGGATTGTGGCGCGGTTCCTGTGACTGGGACATACTGTATCGTTGGATGAATATCCCATTGTGGGGTTCAGTTCGATTTCTGTGGTCCCGTTGTAGTAACTATGCATATTCAGTAAACTAGCTCATGTGAATTGATGGATGAAACGTACGATCCAACCCAAGTATAAAGCTGATTCAGACCTGTGACATTGTTAGGCCGAAAGTTTGACGATGGATTATAGTCCGGGTCCTCTTTTGCAAGGACAGTTGATGCTAAAATCAAAAAAACAGATCTGCGAGGCCCATCCTCGAATATAATGCATTTTAGGCGAATGAAAGTTAAGGCTCAAGAGTTTAACGGAGGAAAGAAAGCATGCGGAAATGTAGTGGGTATAAGGCTGAATATAAAGGTTGGGAAATATTGCAGCTGACAAGGCACTAGTAGCACTAGTAGAGCTCCCAAGAGTTGCCTTGGATGAATTGGGCTAATTGCTGTCCGACCACAAGACAATGCAACAACTGAACCATTAGGTCTTGGCAAGCCGCGGAGGATCTTGGCAACCATTTCCGAGCGGAAAAAAGCAAAACCAAAAAAATGGACTCGCGGGGAATCGAACCCCGGACCACTCCCATGCTAAGGGAGTATTATACCACTAAACCACAAGCCCAGTTGATTGGTGGAGGTGTGCCAATTGTGTATTAAGAAGGAGAGGCTAGGAATAGATGCAATATACTAGTACACTCTCCACTCCTTTACCCACAACCAAGTCTTGCATTTTGGAGGTTAATTTGGCTAATATTGTCATTAGTATCGAGAATTTTTTGCAATTGTCTTGATGAAATGATCATTTTGGCACACTCATATCCTTGTTCCGCGGCAGAAAATGAAGTGACCAGAAATATATATTTTCGCAGGCATGGAAAAAATGGAAAAAAATAAAACAGTAATTGGGAGGCGAATTTCTTACCCGTATGTTCTAGGAAAAGAGACGTTACTACTGATCAGGCAGTAGCTTCTGGGTTTGAAGGTATAGAATGAAAATGTGTGTTTCAGAGTTCTGGAGACCTGTTGGCAGCGTCGCAGTTGGGATTATTCTGCTAGCATATGGTACAATGTCCAAACCAGTCAAAACCAAGGAGTTGGTGATCATGGCGGTGTCTTCAAATCGAACGTAGTCTAGTTCTAATACAACAGGGCACCAACTTAATTACGAATTAGATTCATAAAAGTGCCCGGGTGGCATGCATCGACTCATTGATTCAAATTAAACACAATGTTGGTAACAATCCAATAGCAAGAACAGCTATAGATACCCAGCACAACGACCAAACAACAATTATAACACAATCACCCTTTCCGAGACCCGGGGTAATGACACATCTTTGGAGGTAGGAATCCGCTTATGGCCAAGATACCAAAAGCACTCAAGCAATTCATACGGATGTTGCGGGTAGCTGAGCAGGTTGAGGACACCGGCCGGTGCGGTTGCAGAACGTCAGATAGGTCATGCAACGCAGCGATATAGGGACCTTTGCCTTCAAGACCTCTCCATCTCTCTTGATGAGAAACAGTTTAATATAACACAGGAGACCATTGGCCAGACGATTCCTGCTGCACGGCTACGCCTTGGAATGTGTCAACCATGACCCCTTGCGACATTATGAAGGTGATTTTCGAATACCCATTTCGCTGCTTCTCTTTAAGGAAAGCCGAACAACAACATCAGGATGGCTTTTGATTTGAGTTACTTCGCCCACTTCTCGTCGGAGCTAGACTATTTCTGGCTCCTGGACTTCGGTTTGTGATTCATTGAATTGTTGGGATGGAAATCGAGGTTCGGGAACGTAGACCAGTAAATACCCGGAACAACCTCCCCAGAATGGCGTGAGGCCAAGTCCGATATGGGTAATTTTGCGATAGATAATTTTAGGGGACCGGGGCCAGGATATGGCGATATCTTGTTGACCCTACGTTAGACGCGACCGGGGTCAGGGGAAGATACGGTCGAAGCCAGCAGAGCTGGAGAATGGGATACACTGGTTGGACCGGAAGGAATCTGTGATTGCTGGGTTAACAATCGATCAAATATTTAGTGAATGAAAGCTCTAGAGAGACCGACCGTTCAGTAGTCCTCGCAGTTTGCGAGTCTGCAAATTATTTGCCATCGGTAGACAATGCAGCGGCTGGTGCATCCTATTCCGACGTTGGTTTTATCAACGAGCATCCTAAAGCTTGCGTGCTTGCAACAAGGAGGCTGGCTGTCTTGGTTGATTTGTTCCTCGCTCGTAGTATATGAGGTATACTTGAGGTGGGTTGCAGTAGGTGTAACAGCGGCAAATAAGTGAGGCTATAAAGTAGCTGGGGCCCCATAATTGTTTGGTAGGTTTTGGTGACACCTAACCTTGGTATCCTGCCAAAGGTTTGCATTGTGTAGGTGGGCGGGGCGAATTTCAAGTGGCAAAGGCCTCGTCAATGGGATAAGATGGTCGACTGTAAGGGGAAGTCATGAGTTGTCCATTGATCTACGCCTCGTCAGCAGAGGGGCTGAAGTGAGGAATAGACAGTGGGAAGGTTGAGGGTGTTGGATCGCGAGGGTAGAAATAGTGGGAAGAGGGAAGGATGGACAATAGTAAGTATATAAGGACTCGCTAGTATTCCCCAGAATGGAAGTCACCTCCACAGCGCCTTCCTTGTGTACTCATCTTTCCCTCACCCCACCATTGGTGAGATAGTTGATAGGAATCTTGGTAGGCACCCTTTTGTACTTTAGGGACTTCGCTTGGTTCCTCGCAAGGATATTCATAGCTGGCAATATAAACAGGTAATGATATACTAAGTCAACTGAAGCTTAGATTCTTGGGTTTTAGAGGTGGTGGCCAATATATAGAAAAGGGGACTGTGCATGATTGACACAATGAAAAGTGGACTGCACCTTCCCTTTATAACTTCCCTTGTTAACAAACAAACATCCCCCTCCCCCCTCCCTTACCTTCACCCAAATCTCAGATAGTCCACAATACGGATGCCCTTCTCCATGGAACAGCTGCTTCCTCCCAAATATCTTCCCCAACCTTGTCATCATCATTACGGGAACCTGTGTCGGAAGCCACCAATGTATGTCTTGTCACAACTACATTGGACAGGGGACCGTTTTTAACGATCTACCTATAATCGTAGGGGTATTGAGATTTCTCCTTTTCTCTAGTGCCTTCTACATCTTCATACTGGGCACTTTTATCACAATACAATACATTGTGCTGTCCTATGTACCAGCCTGGATTCGTAACAAGATCGTTTACAGGTTGTAGGTGTGAGACTGAATCTTGATGCTAGACACAGTCCAGGTCTTTCCGTTGTCGTTTGTCTTCAAACCGGAAGAAGTGGCCTCATCGATAGCCAGAGTGTCACCGAAGGAGGAATCGGCGGCGTCCAGGATAATGGTAGTGTCGTGGTATTCTACAACAATTAGCATGTGTTTGATGACATTAATGTATAAACGCGAACTCACCGTGTGCTGCAGTAGTGCTCTTGCAGGCATCATCCTGGCATTCGACAGCGGTACCCCAGCCCTGTGCCTGGCCGGAGCCTAGAGAAGACTGTCAGTTGGAGACTGAGAGTGTCATTAGGTCGAGAACTTACTGGTTGAAAGAGTCGACACAACCTCTCCGTTGATGGAGACAGTCTGGTCGAACTTGCTGGTGTCGTCGTTGTACTTGTCTATAGAATAGTTAGCTCATGTTTATGAGACCCAGTAAATCAGAACTTACACTTCATTGTAATTTCATCACCAGCATCGGCAGGGACCTGCTTTCCGCCCAGCTGGGTATCTTGGAGGGTACTGGCCCATGTGCACCATTGTCCAGCCTTTGCACCACAGTTTCTACAGGAGTCAGTTATGAATTGTGTTTTCATTTGTGGTCCCGTCACTCACGCGGCAGGGTCGGAGAAAGAAACAGCAAGAGCCTGAATCAAATCACCACCGCTTGTTCCCATACCGGGCCATAGGGCAAGACGGTCTTTCTGTGGGCTTGGCACCTCTGGGAGAACAAGTGTTGTGGTTGCTTCACGGATCCATGACGTGGTGGGGCCCAGGGAGAAGTGAGGACCGAATCCGATATTATCTTGGGCATTGACGAGGCCGAGGACAGCGAGGACGGCGAGGTTTCTTAGAGACATGATGAATATAGGTGGCTAATGAAATGAGGAAGAATCAAGCTCCGAATGGGAAGAGCGGCTTTATATGATCAAATATTCAAGAGTAAGGGTGAAGAGTTGGTAATGACCCAGTTAAGGGGAAGGAAACATGGACCGGATCATTCCACTCCACCAATCTATAATTTCTCCGTTTCAAACCGTTGAGTTTTGGATGTGCATTTGAGGCATAGACCAGACTGGATTTCGTTGTTTCATACGAGGTCTTTGAAACAAACTAACTGGAGAAAGTGGAGACCGAAACAACATGCTAGTTCAAGTCTATTACATACAATGTCTAGGCAAAGCCAGCTGTGCGGTTCTGGACATTATTTGACTCGGGGATTGTCGCAGAAAAAGTTTATTTTGAGGATCGAGGCTGGACTGAGAGTTATTTTGACCAGGTTGTAGTTCTATAACCACTTGTAGGTTACTCAGATGTATCAAGATAATATATTTCTAACCCCTACACACCCACCCTAGTGGGGATTTTAAGGCGTTTTATGGAGCTAGTAAGCTTGTTGCAACACACTATAAATAACTAACTATAAACTACCTGAAGACTCGTATCCGCCGTTTAAACTCCGGCCCAAGCCGACAGGCCAAAAGCGTACTTGCGTCAAAGCCTCGCGTTATATGGTTCTTGATTTTTGATGATAACCCATTCATCCCACAAATATAGGCAATAATATGGAAGTGTAGCATTAAGCTTAGTCCACTGTATCGTGCCCACAGGCCATTGGGATTGGTTTGATCCTGCAAGTGCTTTTCTCAACGCCTACTCAGGTTATACATCTCTCTTACTGCAGCCTTCAATTCCAAACGTTCCAAAACGTTTCTCCGCGTTTTCCCACCAATATCTCTCATATAATCCTTGAGGAATACTATTTGCACCCCTGTTTCAACAATTTCGGGTAAGGCGTTTCTTGCCCTGCTGAGCCCCGTCTTTGTCCACCCCGTAACACGCTATCGTGGGGCAACATCAACATCGACGGCCTTCAAAATTCTATCAATTTGAATTTACCATCTGCACCCCTGTGTATGCCATTAACACTGTCACTGTGTACGAAGCATCTCTGTAATACTTTGCTTTCTATATGGGACCATCGCCGCATCTTAGGAACCCCATACACTTGGCCGTATGGGACTTTGGGACATTATTGCTGATGTGTTGCTCCTCTAGTGTGCCTCCTTGTAAAACTGCTAATTTTGTCATGAATATAGGTTGCTCTGTGGATATATCACTAACTTAAATTCGAGAAGGGGTGTTGGGTGCCTGGGTGCCTGGGTGCCTGAGGCATATAACCCACCTGGGACAGATCCACTTCTCTCTCCTTCTCTCTTTCTCCTCCCGAGTCCCTGTCCACTTCGCTCGATACGAATCTACATGCATTGTTTCTCCAATTGAATCATATATTAGATTCTCCATCGCAATTCTCTCGTCGTAACAACATCATTCCATCTCATTAACCACCCCTCAAAATTGCCACTGCGCACACCAATTCCTCATCAATTCAGGCGAAACCTCCTCCATCTGCCGCATTGTCAAGCTATAGAACTTAGTTCTTGTGGTAGCCAGTGGTGCCGCCTTGATTCCCATCTTCGCACCCTCCGCCGCCGATCGATATGTGTCGAGCAGTTTCACCGCTGGGTTATCATCCACCACAGGGTAAACCTGGCTCTTTTCAAGTGCATGGATCCACTCTTCAAATGAGACTACCTTTTCGATCCTCTCGCCATAAAACTCACGCAGAACGGGTATGAGGCTAGGCCAGTTGGTAGCCTTTGGATTGAGTGCATGGAAGTACCCGGTAATCTCTTCTACCGACCAGAGAGATGTCACACCCGAAACATCCAGTATCACATTTGCAATGTCCTCCACCGGTGCCCAGCCCGCGTCTTCAAATGTGCCAAGGGAGTCAGGCAGGAGTCCTAAGTGAACGGAACTCCGAACTAAGCTTGGAAGCCACTCTTGCGGATTCCATTTACCCTGCTGGCCACGCGGGCCCGCAACTTGACCAACCCGTACTATGACACTAGGCACACCCGATATTTTGGTACCTGCATCGAGAATCATACTGCCTGCGAGCTTCGACTGACTGTATCCCATCGTTGCGATGGACCAATTTGGTAGCGCCTCCTCGGGCACAGGCACTTCGGGGGTCTGCCATCTCTCAACCGTTCCAATGCTTGAAATGAAGGTTATGGGCACATTTTTGCGCGCAGATTGTGAGCTGAAATCGACCAGGTGACGCACCCCACGGATGTGCGGCTCAAACGACGCCACGGACAGGTTAAAGTTGACAGGCCAGGCATTGTGGATCACGCGGTCCACCTCGTCGGCGAGTCGGGTCTTTACCTCGAGGGCAAGGCCCAAGCCTGGTTCTGCAAGATTTACCTGCAGGAACTCGGCCCGAGAGAAATCAGTCGATAATCCCCTGGATGTACTGGCCTCAATCTGGCGCTGTAAACCGTTCACAGAACGGTTGAAACATATTACCTTGCTAACATTGGGACATTTTAAAGTGAAGTCCAGCAAATACGATCCCAGTGCACCCGTTGTGCCTGTGATGATGATAACTTGTCCTCTGTCGGCAGGAGCTGGCTTATTCGGCACTGCCGCTGGGAGGTCATGAATGTACTTGTCGACGAGTGCAGTGCAAATGGCTGTTTCATCCGCCATCACACCTGGGTCACCGGTTGGGCCACCCTGTCTGCAATTTTCGCAGACCAGGGAGAAGACATACGCCGCTAGCTGTGTCATCGTTGGATGGGCATAGATAACCCTCGATTCCACCGCCTGCTCGCTGGGTTTAACACCCGCCTTCTTCAGGGTGACAAACAGCACGCGAGAGAGTTGTATCACTTGCAGCGAATCCATGCCAGCGATAAAGAAATCGTCGTCCATGTCCAATTCAGGGAGTTTGAGCATGCTCCGAACCAACTTGCAAACAGAACCCAAAACTGTCGTCTCAGAAGTGACATCAAGATCCACAGGAACAACCAAATTGTTTCTGTTATCGAAGAAGATTTTAATGTCTTCCGCGTATAACCTTTCCACCATAGCGCGCTGAATAGTGCCTTTACCTGCGCGAGGGAATGGGCGCTGCGGATCCGACAAAAAGACATAATCACGTAAGATACGGCCGTGTGCAACCGTTTGAGCATTAACCGTTTCAATAGTTGGCCAAATATCATCAAGAAAGATCTGCCTTTCCTTTTCATTGTTGGGATAATGAACAGGCTCGATCATTAGCCCAGCATGGAATTGCTTACTACCAACGACCTGCGCGCTGAACACCGCTGGGTGACCCATGATGGCGCCTTCGATACTGACGGGATTCAGCTTCTCTCCCGTGGAGAAGACAATGATGTCGTCAGCCCGACCCACGTATGTCCAGTGGTCTGCCAAGGTAGGGTGCGGCCGGTACAAGTCTTTGGTGCTGAACTCGTCCAACTGGGGAAAAGTATAGAAGCAACCCTGTAGCCCCGGGTGCTTGTCCTTGCGCACTATAACTTGCTCGTACGTATCGTCGCCAATCAACCGCCATTCGATGCCTATCACATCACTTGGAATGATGAACCACGGCCACATAGCGGGATCCGGTTGAGAGTAATAAGGAAAGAAAGCGAACCTACCGCGATTGGTAAGTAAAGCGCTTGGCAGATTTCATACTCCGAGTGATTAGTTAATTAGGAGGTTTCTCACTCAGTAGCTGCAATGGTGTTCGCTATATTAATACCGTAGTATACCAGTCGATTAGCCGTCTCCGGGGTAATAGCGCCTGATGGGATGGTCCGGATTAGCTAAATATCGCAGAGGAAAGCAAGCAACAGAAATTGCGGAGGTAACCGACCTCCCCCAAAGGCCACGACATGGAGTTTTTTAAGCTCGGTGATTGCCTCCTCCGAGTGAGACATATGGTCCAGGATGGCTGGTGGTATAGCCGTCCACCCGGGGTTACTGTTTTTCAGCCACTTAACCACATTATCGCCTGTTATCGGACGAGAGGGGTCCCGGAATGCGATCGTCGTATTATACTAGAAGGCGCACAAAGAGGAGATCAGGATCCCTGCAGCATGAAACAAGGGCATGACGAGTAGGTGGCGCGGATTAGGAGAGCTGGTTCATGTCGGAAGCCAAGGCAAGGTGCCATTGCGCGCTTGTACGTAGCGATGAAGATCATGCTGAGCAACCATACCCTGCCGCAGGACTACTGGTTTAGGAAGGCCAGTACTGCCACTAGTGTGCAGTACCACATAAGGGTCCCATTCTGCCTCAGCGAATGTTTTTGTGTACAGAACGGGTGTCACCCCATAAGCAACCCACTCGTCAAATGGCGCTACAGCCACACTCCTCATCGCCGGCCTGGCATCCACCCATGGCTGCACCATTGAAGCAAACTGGAGTTCATGATATAGTATGTTGGAATCCGTCTTATCGAACAGGTTCCGTTGCGCCTCGATTGAGTTGCGAGGCGAAATGAGCAGGGCCTGGTAACCGGCCTTGATAGCACCGACCACGAAGATGGGGTAGCGCGGGTCCTCCAAGCCGATGTAGGCCACTGTAGGGAATTCGCCAGGAGATGGATACCCATTCTGCGTGATGAGCATATTCGCGACATAATTGACGGCATTGGCGACCTCAGACCAGGTCACAGGCTTCCATCCATCGCAGGGATTGTTGATCCGTGGGATTGACATGCACTCAAGATCGGGAGTTTTGCGAGCCGTCTCATCAATGACATTTGGTATTAGACGCTTGCCGCATTCTCCACCGAGGAACATTTTGGCCGTTGAGTCCTTCGTGGTGCCAACAAGATGGGCAACGTGAGTTGCTGGGAGATTCTTTTGTCGAGGTTGAGCTGGAAACCCGTAGAGTTGAAGTTGTGAGAAATTCTCCAGTCTGGGTGGGGGATCACCTCTGCTTATCACCTTTTAACACAAGGGTAGATGATGCGGGGATATAGACCTTGGGGCGGCAATTCGTTCCCGTGATGCCACGTTTAATACCACTTTTATGCAAGTCGTCAGCTTAGATCACTTTGGATGAACCTATTCAAGGTCATACCTGCCGGAACTGGGAGCTAAGTATATTCAAACATGGTCGGGTCACAAGTTCCCTGGATTCGGGTGAATATAAAACGATTGAAATAGTTTACATCCTTATATTGGCTGTTCTTTGATTCGCTGACGACCCTGAGGCTTTAGCTGGTATATTGGTTAATATTAGTGTGAGAGTGATAGGGCATTTATGTGTCTTTGATTGTTTCATTTCCGGGGAAAGGCGAGCATCCAGTGGTGAACAAATTCCGCATGGGAATTCCTTTATTGGCTTTCCATTCCTATGCACGGACCCGTGTGATCTCCCATCGGTGTGATGAAGGAAGCTTAGAAGATTAAAAGTTGATACGTCCTGCATGATCCGCAAAGACAAAATCTGCTCTACAACATCGGTTGCCGTCGGGACGACCTTTTCCGATGCGGTTGAGTGTCAAAGATGGGGAGAAACATACCACTGAATACTATCATTGTCGCCTCGAGCAGGCACTCATAAATAACCGAAACAACAAGAACTAGATAGTGGGGATGCTTAGGCGTCCCGTCCCTAGGCGCCCCGTCCCCACCGGTCCAGTGCATGTGAATCACTCAAGTGGAGCTTAACTGTGAGATTAAACGCCACATTGCTTGGTACAGTACCAGTCTGGACAATATTATCACGTACTATCCGGTCGATAAATTTGAGAGGGCGTTCAAAGAGATCATGGAAGGAAAAGCCCTGAATGGTGTTCTTTGAGATGTTGTGATGGCGGCCTCAGCTCATTATTCCTGCCTTAGGCATGAACCCCTCAGTAGGTAGTTAGTCGGCAGATCATGCCTCTAGCAATCAATTCTCTTCCCCCACTCTTTCTGGCCTACAGATTATGTCTCAACCCCAGATCATGCCAGAACAACTCAGCCAATGCTATGAATTGATCAGTCTCAACTGGTATTCAGCAAAACCTCCGAACTCAATTGACTTACTTCCGTTGGGCGTAGTCGGAACAAGGGAATCACTCTACCTTCCAAGGTGCGATTGGCGGAGCCTAAACAGTGTTGTCCTTATATACCTAAGTACCTATGGAACTAACAAAGTAAACATCGTTTTTAGATCACCGAGGGGGCCTACTACCTCCCTTCCCGTGGACAAGACTCTCCGTACTACTAGTATCCCTCTCCTCACAATTAGACCGACCCCAAGTAACCTCCATTTGCGTGGTCATGGTGATGATATTATTGCCTTTCGTTTTCGTGGGATCGTGGAGAATCTCGCCATCTCCAACTGCAACAGTAGTGACGGTGTGGTCGTGCGTGCGAGGCGTGAAGCTCGACGTTTCTTCCAGGTTGTAACCCAACCTACGGCTGGCGGAGCCGGTGTGCGGGCCGGTGCGGGTCGAGCCGAAGAGCCTCGGCACGACCCGGGTAACGAGTGGCTTGAAAGAGGGAGCGCACGCAGCGATAAACGCCAGACCAACTTCAATGGTGGACACACAGAAGAGCAGCGAGTGCGTGGGATTCTTTGGCATATGACGGTCGAATTTGTCAAGGAGGACGAGGCGAGTAATGCCTGCTACCACGGTTCTTTATTTATTAGTATATATCGGATTGATAGAGAACGAAGAGGTGGGAGATAGATACAGGCCATTTACCACTAGACCATAACAAAAAAACCTCGGTTCATGTTAAGGCGCTAGGCGGGCCATATCTTAGTCTGACAGAAGGTGTTTAGCCGAGTTACTCACAAAAGACCCAAGGACAAAATACCAATCAGCATCAACTTTTGAGTCCATTGCATCTGTAGGCGATATACGATCCAGGTGGGCAGAATTAAAGCGAGGACGTCTGTGAGAACTGAGACTGCCCCCGTGCCGGTAACAAAGTTTGCAAAGTCAAGACACTTCGCATTGGGATATGAGTCCAAATCCCAATTAGCGGCTACAGGCACGCATCGAAAGACAGTCGTAAAAAATGTGATAACAGCGGCGATGCCATTAACAATTAATAGCCCCCAGATGGCTAGGTGCACCAACCTTTTCTGGCCGGTTAGACGTAGCAGGAAGAGTAGGATGGAGGTCTTGACGAGGGCCAAAATAGGATTGTAGATGAGCTCGGTCTATTTTATTAGCAAACGTGAACCAGTTAGGTTAGAAACAGTATGTTTTACCCACTGCGTAGGTATATTTGCCGCCGAGAATAACGGGATAGTCTGGAGGTATATCCCAGACGTTATATCCGATATACGTGTAAATGATCACTGACGAATCATTAACTTCATGAACCAAAAAAAGATACTGGAGCATCCTGGCGCTTGATCGTACCTTGATATGATGTAAATGTCTCGGCCCAGTACATGATCTGTCAATCTTCGTCAATCCTCGAGGCTTGTTCTTAGAATTTTTGCAGTACTAACTATCGCGAGACAAATTACCCAGTCATCTGTTCAATATTAGATTCGTAGAGCTCAGGGAAAAGCGGAATTGGAACGATGAACTGACCTGCAGCAAACGACTTCGTTAACGTGCGGCTGTAAAGCCGCAGAGCCACAGCCACGGTTGCGAAGCACGGAAAGGCAAAGATCAAGGCAATTGCTTGCGACTGTAAGTTGTCACTAGAACCCATCATCTCTCTGAATCCGTTTTCTGTACAACAAATTGCACCTGTCACCCGTTGGTTTGGCAAGAAAGGTTCGACTCACTTGGGCACTTGAGCAACGTGCCAGGGTTACATAGTAAGCAAATTCATGGATCCCCCTGCTACGAGCTGAATTTGCTTTCAGCTTAAACTAGACCGCATCCTACTATACAGTGGCTTTCTGGCCCCCATATCTTCCCGTAAGGTTGCAGTGTAGGCCTTCGGCTAATTCTGGCCCTAATCTGCGGTAGTCCTTTCATTGTGTGCCTAGTTGCGGCTGTTGAGCCTTCAAATAGACTAGCGTATATATCTCGATCATTGACTCAGTATAATCTGGTTTAGTCAAGTTTCAGATAGACACTAGATTGGGGCCACAAAACTGGGGGGCTAAAATGTGGACTCCTTACCAATGGTGTTAGAAAACAGTACGGAGTAGAACGAACACATTGCCTGTGCACTGAATATGTCAGCATATTCAAAAGAAATTGGATAACCCTGGAAATAAACTAACGATTATTGCATTATTGACCTTTGTAGTGGTGAGAATTGTTCCAACTTGAATACATATTGTATACGATCTCACCTCACGTAGATAACTAACACCTGCAACTAGTTAACTAGTGTACAAGGGTACTGATCCGGTCGGCTATAGCACCACAAATAAATAGACCGAGTAATCTAATTAAAATATAGCACCACCGAATCGACCTCCGCGGTGCTCCGGTCGCTTGTGCTGAAAAGACTCCTTCAGAGCGCGTGGCTGTCCTCCTACGTCGGCTATATTTAAGTAGCATCCCTGTCCACATCCTTAATAGGGGGCTGGCGATATTTTCTTTCTTAACTGCTCATTGGACATTTACCGCCTCTTTTTGTTTTTTTGAAATTGTGTTGGTTAATATCGTTCGACATGAAGGGCATATGGGGAGTTACTTTCGTTGCGAGCGCTTCGCTCGCTGGGGCGATTTCAACTACATCACTCGCAGCAGCAGCAACTACGGTTACAGCCACAGCTAATTCGGCAGATTCGTTGTTTCACAATGAGAGGGTGCAGTTGACTGAGGGCGTGCTCTCGGATGTATCGGCGGCCTTGCAGAATAGCACTGTCGCTAACATGTTCGCCTTTGCGAGCAACCCCACGACACACAAGAGGAGTGTCCATCATAGCTGTAAAGTTATGCCCGAGGATTTCTGGTGGCCCGTCAAGCCGATTTGGGACGTCTTCAATATCTTGCTCGGCGGCAGCCTGATCAAGACGCTGCCCCTGGCAGCCTACTGCTATCCGGACTGGCCGCAGTACGATGCCACCAAGTGCGCAAGCATCACATCTGACTGGCTCAAGTCGGACCTGCACATGGCTGACCCTGCGTCGATAATGCTGCCGCTGTACGAGGGCCGCTCTTGCCTACCATCACCGTATAATTATACTGCGAGTTGCACGCAGGGCGCCTATCCGACGTATGCAGTGAACGTATCCACCGTGGCTCAAATCCAGCTAGCGGTCAACTTTGCCCGTAACCTGAACTTGCGACTTGTGGTCAAGAATACCGGACATGATTTCAATGGTAAGGCCTCCGGCAAGGGTGCCCTCTCTATTTGGACCCATTACCTCAAGGACAAGGAGTATTTCCCAAACTTCCAGGCTGCCAATGGCTACATCGGTCCCGCCATTAAGTTCGGCTCGGGTATTCAAGTAAATGAGGCTTATGAGTTTGCTCAGTTTCTCGGTCACTCGGTTGTTGGCGGAGAAGCCGTCACTGTCGGTTTGGGTGGAGGCTACACTGCTGGTGGTGGCCACTCCCCTCTTTCCAGTATGTACGGTTTGGCGGCCGATCAGGTTTTGGCCATGCAAGGTAAGTCTCTTTCTTATTAACTTGAATCTGCAACAAAGACCTCCCTACTAAGTCTGCTTAGTTGTTCTGGCTGATGGTAGATTCATCACTGCTACCTCCACGGAGAACTCGGAGGTTTTCTGGATGCTTCGCGGTGGCGGTGGCAGCACCATTGGAGTCGTCACCTCTCTAACGGTCAAGGCCTTACCTCAGCTGGAGACGACTACTGTGACTTTCAATTTCACGGTCAACGACACTCCTGGTCCCGACGCGTTCTGGGCTGCCGTTGGGTCCTACCTCGATAATTTCGAGACCTTTGTTGATGCTGGCACCTACGGTTACTTCTACATTGGTGCTTCCGAGGCCATGATTGGTACAGCATATGCCGGTAATACTGACTATTACTTCCGTATGCAATCCTTCGTCGCACCCAACATGACTGTCGCCGAGACCGAGGCACTCTTAGCTCCATGGTTTGATTCTCTCAAAAGCCTAAATGTCTCCTACGCTCCGTGGTACAACCACGCAGATAACTTGTGCGTCTAAGTCTCCCCGTTGTTTCCTCAAATCAGTCCATCTATATTCCAGCTAAAACATTGTTCTAGCCATGATCCCTGGGCTGTGTCCTTCCCTCAGGAATTCGTTGGAACTGATAGCGTCAAGACTGCATCTCGCCTGCTTCCCCGTAAGGTCTTCCAGAGCGATGATCTCCGCAACCAAACCTGGGCCGCCTACCGGGACGCTGTCAGTCAGGTATGTCTTAGTATATGTGCATGCAAATGCATAGATACACTCTCTGCTCTCTCTTTCTGGAAACCTTCTGACATACTATAGGGTCTTTTCATTGCCGGCTTCCACATGAGTGGCACCGGCATCGCCGTCAAGCCCCCCCACAGACACTTCCGTCCTGCCCGCATGGCGCGATGCCCTGTCCCACGTTATTGTCGGTTCCCAATGGAACTCCACCTCCTCCTGGGAGGTGATAAAGAGCTCCTCGCTCTTCGTGACTCAGTGGATGGACGTTCTACGTGATATTGCCCCTGACTCAGGCTCCTACATGAGTGAGGCTGATCTCCTTGAGCCGAACCTCCAGGATGCCTTTTACGGCATTCACTACCCCCGTCTCTACGAGCTGAAGCAGAAGTATGATCCTACGGGCCTTTTCTTTGCTCTGACTGCCGTTGGTGCTGAGGATTGGGAGGTTCAAACTGTTGACCCGCTGCCCTACTCGTGGAACAATAATGGGCGACTGTGCCCGAAGTCTTCCTAAAAAGAGCGATGTGAAGTTATAGAAGCTAAAAACATTGGATCTTTGATGAAGGTAAGACTCAAGACTAAAAGATAAGCACATGTTGACCACTCTGTCTTGGGGCATTCCACACATAGTTTGATGTTGAAGGTGGACGTAATCCTACTCCTAATACCACTAAACCCTGTATATTCCAGTATCCTCTCTCGCACGTAACATGATATATACGATGATAGGCTGAATAAGATAACAGACTGAAAGGATAAAGGAAAGGAAACGGGAGCAAAATGCGCAGAAACACCGGAATGAGACTTCCCGTCGGCTCGTACCTGAGTCGCAGCCTAGTCATGACAAACCACCTCATCCAATGACTGGTCATCCCTGCTGGCCGTGCTAACCCATAAAGGTTACTCCCAATTAGGATTAGTGATCCACTGGCTGCACCTGGGCATATCTCCGGTAGTTCCTGTTCAACGCTGGTCCTCGTTCTATCATTCTAGCGCGTTCATCCTGATCATCACCCTGTACAACAGCGACAAAATGTGGAAATTCAGTCATCTGAATGCAGACGCATTTGAGGACCCCAAGAAAAACAGCGGTCGAAAAAGACCCCGCTGTCGGGAGCCCATATCATGTAACCATTGTCGAAAATCCAAAGTGCGCTGCGATCGCAAGTCACCATGCAAACCGTGCCAAGATCGTGGGATGGACAAACAGTGCACTTACTCCGGTTCCAAAGTCCCAGCAGTCTCGCAATCTACCAAACCAACAGTGTCTCCTCAACGCCCAGAGATCGATCTACACGCCTTCGAGCAGCCGACACCCCACTCATCTGATGGCCAGATCTTCGATCCACTATCGGATTTACCCCACAACCCGACCACTGTCAGTCATGCCAATAGTGCCTTTAAGGGGTCAAACTTCAAAACAAGAATGATTGGCGGCACCCATTGGATGGCCGTGTGCACCGATTTGCCCGTAATAGGGGCAATGCTGGAGAAGACCGTTGATTTTCAACCGATGTGGAGAACTTTCGCGGAAGTCAAGTCTCTCCTTCGCGTCGCAAATTCGGTCCCAGCCGGCGTCAATGGAGATCGTAACAAGCTACTGAATCTCCTTCCCGATCGATCAACCTGCGAGAAGTGGATCAGGCGATTTTATGAAACATATGGCAGAATCTATCATGTGATCGACCAGAACTGCCTGATGACGGAGCTGGGAGAAATATTGATCGCCTCCTTCGACGCGAATGAAGTCCACATTCTCAAAATCCTGTTGGTAATTGCGATTTCCATGCAGACCGACAAGTCAGAGCGACTATGCGGGCGTCGGCTACTGCAAGAAGCGGAGAGCCGTATTCATACATCGACACAGTTTCAAAAACCTTGTGTCGGCGTCATGCAGGTTTTATTGTTGTTGATCATCATGAAGACCATTACTGCCTCTGACACTGACAAGGTTTATAGCCTCATGGGTATCGTGGGCCTGACTACGCAAATGGCTCTGAGCATGGGCTTGCATAGGGATCCGGCCTTGTTCCCTGGTGTCACTTCTTACTATGCAGAAGTTCGGAAACGATTATGGGCTAGTTTCTTTCGATTAAATCTCGACTATTGCATCCGGAGCGGATCAAACTTTAGTATTCGACTGGAGGATGTGGACTGTCCCCTCCCGAGCCGTATCGACCTTTCGACCCTTGACCCAGGTACCATGATGGAGTCGGCTACCATGTTGAACCATGCCGAGGAAGCAACGGACCAAGCTTTCAATATTGCTGCAATGAAGCTTGCCGTAGTGAGGGCTCCATTACACCAGCGACTCTGCTCCATAACTCCTGAATTATCAAGCGAGCTACGGGATCGGATGCGCGCCTCATTCCACAAGATCTTGCGCGAGTTTCCTCCGAATCTACACGAGGGAGCTTCGTCATCCAGTCTAATCGAAAAGCTTCAGCAAGCCTTGTTGTCAATCCAGGTTCATAGCTTCATGATCATTATCACACTCAATTTTGCTCTAGAGGTCCCATCTCATACCTCGCAGCGGAGCGATCTCTATGAATTATGGGATGATTCAGTGTCCATTCTCCTTCAGTTGCAAGAGGTGTTACAGAGCGGCTCTGGGCTGTCTAGCGTGGCTTACCATCTACTTTGGACCGACCTTGCCCGCGCAGCATTAACCGCATGTTTGGTGGTTGGTCGCCTACGGAGGATCAACATGGGAACAACTGTCTCCAATAGCCCCAAGCCAACACTGGTCATCTTTCAACAGCTTTTGCTGAAATATCTAGGTGCTTTATCGCAAATTCTAGCATGCAAATACAACCTCGGCCCTGTTGCAGCAAAGACGAGACTTGTCCTTGCTGTGGCGACAACTGTTACTTCAAGCCTCGTCGACGACGTTCGCGGCTTGCAACAGGATTCCAAATTCTTGCAGGTCGGCATCAAAGCTGCCGACGAGGTTGTAACCGAGATGGAATGTTGTCTGAAGCGGGAAAACCAATACTCAATGCCCGCCTTGCTGGGATTCAATACTGCAACGACATCAGCTCCACCACGTGGCTTCACTCCTCTTACAGCAGACTGCATGGACCATACACAACTCCTCCCAGATCCCTTAATTCAGACGTTGTTTTCGAGCGACTGCGACTTTTACCAGAACTTAGAGTCTCCGGGTCTGGGTATGCAGTCTGATTTATGTTTACCATATTCCATGACACCATTCTGATCTACATCGAGGATCCAGTCCACGACTAACCTCTTGTGGGAAGACATATAAATTCGAACCTGTTATCACATAATTTAAGACCGCTATGGAATAGAGCTCTGTGGCATTCGTTAATTAATTATATTAATCATGCGGATTTACATGTTCTATTCCCTTTTCTACCACGGTCATGACCGGATCTTCCCTCAGACATGTTGACAAGCTGTTCATGGTGTCCACATCCTATACACAATGTCAAGCTTTTTTCAAAGCGAATCCTACCTTGAGCACACGAGCAACGATCAAGCACACACCTCCTGCTAGGATGAAGATCCCAGAAAAGGTCAACGTACCCCAGAATACATCTCCCGCGGACGTTCGCTGGTGATCTAGAATGGCACCCGCCACAGGGCTACCGATCAACAATCCCAGACCCGATGCAAAGAGGGTCATCCCGATGTTGGTGCCCAGCTTAGACAAGTCAGGACAGAGGAAGGCGACAGTCGCGGGAAGCACAGCCTGGATAGAGCCACTTGTCAAGCCAACAAAAACCGCAATGGCAATCAGACCCGACTGAGATTTCACGCTGATCCACGCGAGCATCAATATTCCCGTGAGCAGGACAGATGGGATCATGACCGACAGGTTACCGATCTTGTCGGCGATGATAGACGGCATGACACGACCGGGGACCGAACCCGCATTCATGATGATCAACATATAGAAAGACAGATCCCGCGATATGCCGAGGTTGATACCGTACTGCTCGATGTAGAAGAATGGGATATAGAGACCGATGAAGATGAAGAATGCAGCGAACAGCCAAATGACAAAGACGGGATCCCGGAGCGCCTCGACGTTAATCAGCGGGCCTGATTTGCGAGGTGGAAGACGAGGACTCATAACAGCTACCGAGATGAGAAGCGTTCCCAACATGATGAACGCCATCACTCGAACCGCCCAGGGTAGTCCAATCTGAACGATCAGACGTCTCAGCACGACAGGGTAAATGATGCCTCCGATGCTTGAGCCGGTGGCGGCTAGACCCAGTGCAGTGGATCGCCGCGTCGAGAAATATGTGCCCACGATGGCAACACTGGGGATAAATGTCATTCCGGCGCCAATGCCGACACACAGGCCTTGGGCCAGGATAAGCTGCCAGTACTTCTTGCAAATCGAAGTCACTGTTCGGTTAGTATTTCTCTCGTTATAGATGGGCGGCATAACTCACTCATCATGCCGAACACCTCCAAAAATACACCCAAGGTGATATCGACGTGGAAATACCCAGCATCGAGAGCACGTCCACATAGAACTCCAATCACCAGCATCAGAAACGCCTGCAGCGATCCAATCCAAGCAATCGAAGACTGCGACGAGTCCCTTAGCAAGCCGGTGCTATATTCAGACTGGAATGTGCCGAAAGTGTTCAAGAGTCCCCAAGTGTTGAAGTTCAGGAAAAAGGCCCCGAGGACTTGGAGCCATGCTTTTGTGCCTCCATTGGGTGGTAGAGGGGGTACTGTGGGCTTTGGTGGTTCTTCGTCTGCTACCTCTGTCTTAATATGGCTGTTGACGCCGTCGGACTCAGTGTCTTTTCCTAATATGGAAGACGGCTGGGAGGAGGCCATTAGGAGGTGGTATATGATCAGGCTGATGGCCGAAACTGAAAGCAGCGAAGAGTAGAGTGATGAGTATACCAATGAAGAGGTTTGTACCACGGACAACTTGTGCAAGAAACTGAGAACAACTGACGGCGCGCTGAAATATATATTGCCTGAGCAAGCTTAATCTAATCCACAAACCGACAAAATGACCCTAATCAAACTCCATCTTCTTCCAAAGAAAGCCTTAGGTGACCAATCACCAGAAAGAACAAACATCATATCAACAGATCTGGAATCTCTCCAGCAGATTACCCCATCGGGAAGTACACAATCCGGAGTTTAATTACCGAAAAGGGAAGTGGATCTGGTTGATCAGGGATCTGCCTCAATCTGCCTCTGAGTCCGACTATCTCCCGCTTCGTATCGCACGGACTTAAATTGTCGCTTTGGGAATATGTTCGTTTGGTGTGATTGTCGTCGGTGGGCACATCCAGTATGTGAACATCCTTCTCACCTGGGCAACACCCAACTATTATTAACTGCACACAAACTACACGCCGGTGATTTAGTAGTTGGCTCACCACCAGCCGATCTTGAATGTTTTATGTTTTTGTCATTAATCTTTCCTTATAAAATTGGCCATTATCCAATTAAAGTCTCGAGGAATTCCCCGAGACACGGACACACCAGCAGAATTCCTAAAATGGCCTGTGTTCCTCTCTTCTAAGGAAAATACCACAGTTCAGTCTTACTATAATATCCAGACAAACACCTACGGCGACTAAAACGTATATCGACGAGGCACGGAATGGTGCCAACAGGGCGAGCAATGGGCAAATGCCATCTTCAAACTACGGTAAAGATCAATACGCAACAATCTTTTCAAATTCCAATTCTATCTCTTACTCTCACTTAGCGTCGCAGTCCGTGTCTAACAATCATAATCATAACTAACCCCATGCTAGTGGGGCTACCATTGAGTCTTCAAAGCCGCAATATCACTGCAGTCGAAGGGACCCGTGGTCTTCGGCTTTGTCCAGCGCATCGGCAACGCGCGAACCCTCTCCCTCGAACAGCATCGCGTCATAAGTTGCCGCGCCCAAAATACATCCGACAATAGGGGCGAAGAGCGGTACAACAAAGTAGTAGTTGGCCGCCGTAAACACCTCTCGGCCATAGACGATAGCAGAGAACAATCTCGGACCAAAGTCTCTAGCTGGGTTAATGGCCTGTTTATATTTATTAGTGCGAATTTCTAATCAGATAACGAGGTGAACATACGTAGCCAGTTTGCCAACCCAATGCCGCTCCGATCATAAGCAACAGCAAAAAGGAAGCGAGCTGTGGAGCAGGGAATCGATGGGAATTTGCCGGGTCGGAGATGCTGAGACAGCCAAACATCAACACAGCTGCGCCCAGCATCTCAGAAAATACAGCCTCCCAGTTCGACTCGAAAAAGGCACCCGGGTAAGTCGAGAAGATACCCGCTGAATGGTGACCAACCGGGCTCAGGATCGATCCGCCGGGAATAGTGTATTCGGGATCCCAAGCTTTAATAGCCGAACGGTAATTGATGTATACGATCGCAGCACCGACAAACCCGCCCAGGAATTGCGCAGCTAGTTTGCCTGGGATTTGTTTCCACTGTCCCTCAGATGGACGCACAAGAGCAAGACAAATAGTCACGGCCGGGTTAATTGTCGGGCTGGGATCAGACAAATAGCCTGACAGGGCCACGGCTGAGGCCCAGGCGAGGTTGATGGACAACCAGGTGCCGTAGTTGTAATCGGACAGCAGGCATTGGGCGACAACTCCATCGCCAATGACGATCAGTAGAGCTGTACCGAGAAATTCAGCCGCATATGGCTTCAGTACCCGACGGGGGATCATTGTGAACATGATATTTGAATCTTGACTCCCTTAACTATGTACAAGGTGGGATGCCAACTCTGGGAACCCCTGAGGTCAACCAAGGTTCCAAGGTTGGTGTGGGTGTTTACATAATTCACTAAACTGGGCCCACGTGGGCCCACGTGGAGCCAGACAGTTGACGTCTTACTAATCGGATCATCCTCGGATATGCCTATAACGGCATGCAGATTATCCAACTGATGTATACAACATACATCTACAACATACATCTACAACATACGTACAATATGTAGAAGGTTGAGTCCTCTAGTGTAGAGGCTTCAGTATCCAGTCTGTGGCAAATAAATTAGTGTCTAATTTTCCAATAGCAATACTCTATCACAATGGATAAGAACTATAAAAAGTGACATACTATATGCCAAGATAAGTAAAGTTACCTACCCTCAAATATCTTCAATATCAAACCGCATGTTCAGGCGTTGAAGATATTTACCATCGTGAAAAGTAACGATTCTTGCAATTCGCTTTATACCTTGGCCCCACGCACACAGAACAAAAGATGCAACAGTCTTGCCCATTCTAGTACCCAGCAGAGCATCAAATTCGCCCGAGCAAGGATCCCAAACCCCTTGTTCACTGAAACGGTATGGAAACCCTTCAGATTTATACACCTCATCGCGAATACATTGCACTGTGTCAGTTTCAGAGATATCAGTCACAAATACGTATTTGAGGCTTTCAAGGGAAAAGTCCATCCCATAGGCAGCTTTAGTAAATTCCGATATGTGTGGAGCAGTGCTTCGCTTTGATCTGCGGATCCAATCAAGGAACACCACACCTCGACCAGTCCGTCCTTCCCAGCCCACTGGTGGACCTTCTCGATTCTTAATTTCTATCTTGTTAAGCTCAACCGGTAGATCAAGAGGGTAGATCCACGTGTCCCATGTTGAATCCAGCCATACAGTGTCGTGGGCGACGGAATAGTCCTTAGGCTGGTGGTCATGTGTCACAACGAATGTGGATAGAGGGTATGGACAACGCGGTTGATTACAGTGTTCCATCCATCTCCGTAGGGTTCGTCCTTTTTCTTCCCATAGAGAGTACCTAGACATTTTCAATTAAAAGTTGGAGAGCTGGGTTAGACAGTGGAGGGGAAATAGTCTGGAATAATACTCACCAGCTCGTGAATTTAACACAGTTTAAGGATACTTTTCAGCGTTTGGGCTTATAGATACATGATAATCGTAGAGTGATGACAAAGAAGGTCAGCTAACACCATTGTTTAAATAATGTCTAAGTAAAGAACGAGTACAAAGCCGGGGTGAACAATCGGCCTAGCGACAAAGGGAAAACCTGCCAAAGGGTGAAAGAAGTCTAAATCAAACAAAGCACTAGTCTGGATTGGAGCCAGTAATTAATGACATGGTTATTCACGGCCCGTGTACGACGGATCGAAGCAACGACAACAGAAGAAACTTACCTATGTAGTTAAGTAGAAGCCACCATTGCTAATTAACACGCTGTTCCACATAGGTATTTCCTGGCTTCAACATAAAAGGATACTAACCATAGACCTACTTGAAAATGCAAGTTTCACATGCTACACACCGGCCCCGTATAGCTAGGTATAGGAATAAGTAAAAAGTTGGAAGGGAAATAGTTCTTGTTCAGTTAATTACTTCATGGCGTAAAACCCGACAATAGGCTTACAAGCTTGACAAAGAATAATACTTCTGCCGCATCAATTTCGATTCCTCATCATGAGCGAGTCGATCTGCAATCAACAGTCCAACACGCGATATGCATAATATGGTGCTCACGTACAAACTGAGGGGCCATCTACGAAGCTATAGGTACCATTATGAAGTCTTACATTTCTTCATCCCACCAAAACTTGATGACCTCGTTCCTTCCAGCATCCGAGCAAATCCAGCGTGCCCTACAGGACCCCCATCCTGTTCGTCTTTGTAGACCAATATATAATCGGTCGTGCTGTTTGGATCAAATGCAATGGCCTATTCTATGGTCAACCTTTTGAGATCACGGTGATCCAGATATTAACGGAGACTCACTAGTATACTTATTGGGTTGTCGACAATAAACCCGGCAAGATCTGAGTACTAAAGTGATACCAGTTGCCCCATATGCCAGTTATATTTGACCCTGAATCATAAGAGATAACGAAGGTTTGGTCGTATCCAAAGCATTTGCACCCAGCAGACTATTTGGGCAGTTTGGTAGAATCGAGTTGGTGGCTTCATAGGCATTGCTAAACCATCTACCATTCAGCCACCGGGCATAGTAGTTACTCCCCGGCCCAAGGACACAGAATTCAAGATTGCTAAGTCCATATTGGGCAATCTCTTTTTGGAGACCTGGATGGTCATTTAGATCTGATTTTCCTAGGATCAATGTTAGTCTGAGATCTTCAAATATTCAACGGATGTATCACACCAAGTTCATTTTCCGTAACGAGCAATTCACTGCGCCAATCCATTCAGACAGAGGTTTCGATTTAGGCCAACCAAAACTCGAGGACCTAAATGGTACTATTCAGCCTTCCAAAATGTTAGATTATCGAAGATCAACGTACGTCCAGTATGATTTTGAGCCACTAAGGGCACAAATGTTTCCCCTTATTGTTACCGACTAGGGAGAGGAATCTGCCACTTTCGATGGCGAGCTTTTAGTCTGATTGCGAGCTTTAAAAGCCATTGCCTTTCTCTCCTGTTCAGCCTTTCTGTCTTGTTCGGCCTTCATCTCCTCCTTCTTCCGCTCGAGCCTTTCCAGCTCGCGTCTGGCTTGCTTCTGTTGTCTTTTCGCTTCCTCCAGCTCGACATCCTTTTCTATTTGGACCCTAGGCTTGGCAGAAGAACATATGGGCTTCACCAGGGTGAGCTAAGTCGAGTATATCCAACTACAGAGCACCACGTTGTGGTCAGGGTGTTTGGACGCCTATGAAATGACCAACTGCAGCGGCTTGGTCTACCCAAATCTGCATCACATGATGCCTAGCAGATGCACTCATACATTCGAGGCATAGTGCGAGGATAAAACAGTGCATGATGATGGCCCTTTGTGTGGCTGCTTACCCCTTTTGTTTGCTTTATGTGACTTCCGTACCTTGACAGTCCTCTTGCATCGACCTCGGCTTTGCCTTTGGAAGTAAGATCGCTTCCTTTCTGGATCCATACCCCTAACGCCATTTGCTGCGCCTTTCTCAGATTGAAATACAACTGAAGTTCAATATCATACTTATCATACTCCTACACCGCCATGGCAGAATCAAGCTCGCGCCAAACCCCTTTGGGCCAAGCGCCCCAATGATTGGCAAACATTCAAACAATCCACGTAGATTGCAAGGAGAGTCCTACAAGCATCCCACAATCATAATCCTATCTGCTATCCAGATCCAATAAAGGTATGTGAATACCTTTTCCCTGGTTGGAAGAGGCTCTCCGCGCCAAAATTCGCCACCAATTGCGCCCTATCTCCCCGCATTGCTCCGGGTCGCGCGCATACCCCGTGGTATTTGGGACATGATGTCAGCCCAATGGAGTTCTACACGCGTTAAAGTTTTGAGTCAATCTGCTCGTATACTAACCAAATTCTCTATATAGCTTCTTTGAACCCTCCTAAAACTAGCACGTTCAATTTATTCACAATGTCTGCCGAAGGCGCCTCTTCATCGGTATGTTGATCGCAAGTGACACCACGCGGCTGCACTATACCAATGCGGAATTATGCCACGAAACATCCCATACTAGCAATGCATTATCATAAATCATCCTAACAATGATCCAGCCCATTCCCATTGAGGATCTCAAGAAGATCACCACCGAGGTACGCCCGCTTCCAAAATATCCGGTGCAATTAACCCCACGCTAACAATTCACCCCAGGCCTGTGAGGATGCCCTCAAGACCAGCGAAACCTACGAGCACGACAAGGTCGGAGACTGGAACTCCCAGATTATCGTAAGCACCACCACTACTACCACCACCACCCTACTATGTGTGACGACACCGTTACTAACAATCACCCACACAGAATACCGTCCTTAAGGCCCTGATCACCGCCACCGCACCCACGGATGCCTCCAAGCCCCCTCCCTACCGCTTCACTGTGAACAGCACAATCGTGCAGCAGGGCGTGATTGACCCCTCCGTCGCTGCAGATGGTGCACTCAGCAATGCCGGTAAGCGTGGTATGCACTCCGCCTCCGGAGCCTTCTGGGATGTCAACCGCGACGGCATGTGGACTTTCAAGTACACCGGTGCTGAGGAGCGGGGGATCGATGTTGTTGTTTGTGTGACGTGGTTTTCCGTCGTCGTATAAGAGACGAGGTTGGTTTGTTAGCTAGCTTGTTCTATGATGAACACGTCCATGGATGGCATAAAGTCCCATAAGCGGAGGTAGTGGCTTGGTCTGTGGTTTTTATCGGATTTGCGGATTTGCGGATTTGTGTCACGAGCTTCATCTTTTCTTTTTCATGTACTTGAACATTTGTTTTAGTCTTCTGGGTATTTTCAGATCTTCTTTTTTTTTCTTCCTGTGATTTGATTTGAATTCGGTCTGAGCGTGGTGTTTATGTTTTCTTCTAGTTTATGGACACTTGCCTGCGTTGTTCGAGAAATTGAATAGCCTTGTAAATTCATATTAGACATGTTACCATGAGAACATTGCGTAGTGTAGAGAAAGAGAACTTGGAATATAGATTTTATATTGTGGTATCTCGACACTATGCAGTATCCTCTGTGGGATGGAAATGGGGACAAGTAAAAATCTGCAAAATAATTCAAGAATAAAGGTCTCCATTGACCAACCGAAATACGCCACATAACCAGGGGAAACTGGAAAACACCGTCATTACTTGCGCCATGCCATGTATAGATTACCTAGAATAAGATCAACGCCAATACAGACCCATCAACTCATGAAAGCAAAACGCCGGTTAGCCGAGGAAACTCAGCCTGGCATCTTGCCCCTAGCGAGGCTCTGAATAGTCGTTCAAAGCAACACAAACGGCACCGCGATGGTGACCGCTGTACTGGCGGATTATATTGCCAGTGCCGAGCTCCCACAGACGAGCGTAGTGATCACTAGACACAGTCACGAGGTATGCACTATCTGCAGAGAAGGCGCAGTCCCAGACCCAGCGCTGGTGATTGGCGAGGGTGGTCTCCAGGAACAGTGTGTGGTTGACTGGGTCCATAGGAGGCCCATCTGGGGATGAGGTAAATGTCTGTTGTGGTGTCTCTTGGCGAGGAGGGTTGTCGGTAATACGGAGGAGATCACGGTCTTGAACGGGTGCGTCGAAAATGCGGAGTAAATCTCGAGACTGGGCGGGGACCTCGACAGGGGTTATCGGAGCTTCGACTGGTGTTTCAACTGGAGGGTTCAATGCCTCTTTCTCCTTCCATTGCTTCAATGCCAGTTTGGCAGGCGGAAATTCGGCGTCGAGGTTCCAAACCTTGGCAGTATGGTCCGCAGAGCAGGTTGCAAGGTGCTTGACATCAGGAGAGAGAAGCACACGAGTGAGATAGTCCTTATGAGCTTGGAAGGTACAGACGGGGATGATGCGGGTGGTTTCGTCGGTTTGGACCATGCGCCACAAGTAGACATTGCCCTGTTGAGAATCAGTAAAGGGTCATAAAATGGTTCGTGGATCGAAATGACGTACCTTCTTATTTCCAGCGCAAAGCAACGATCCATCACTGGCAACGCTGACACTGAGAACCGCAGTGTCCTCCTCCGGAATCAATTGATGTGTACAGACGCTTTCGCCCAAGTCCCAGACACGGACCATACCGGCGTGGTCACCACTGATGAGCTCGCCCTGGTTGGGATGAATGACAACATCATTGACCGCAGCCCGGTGAATGTAATTCCGCTGCAAGCTACCTGTACGGGTATCCCAAACCTTCACGGTTCCATCCTCAGAGCTAGTGACCATCCATTTTCCCTCGCAGTGGAATGCCACGCCGGTGATATTGTTCGTGTGACCTTCAAAGGTAATCACGGGATTGGGATTGGTTGACTTGATATCAAAGAGCTTGACATTATTGTGGCCCGCGGCAGCCAGGAACCTCTTATCCGGGGTGATGCAAAGACGATTGACTTGAGAGTCTGGATGTTGGATTGTACGCGAACAGATACCCGAGAGCGCTTCCCAAAAGCTAGCAGCGATATAGTCAGCAAGAGTCCTGGTACAAATTGCCACGCTGCGGGGGCTGCATAAATGCTCCGCGCGGCTAGTTGAGCCTCAACTTACCGAATGGTATGGTCGTACCCCGCTAAAATATGCAACCAAGGTAATTAGCCCAATGCCTAGAAGAATGCGGGGAGCTCCTTGCGATGTTCCACGTACCGGTGCATAGAATGACACTCATATTTGCCAGAGCTAAGGCCAGTGGGGTATAGTGGGAGAAATAACTGGTCTTGGTGATATCCTCGTTCTGGGTACCACTGGAGTCCCTTGAGGCGTTAGGGGAGCTGTCAAGGCGAGACGGCCTAGGCCGAACGTCGGATGGAGTCCCGTTTTCTGCCATGTCAATCACGTGAGTGTAGGCCCACGTGAATAGAGCGGTGTCACAGTATATCGATAAGACCTGGGCGGTGGGAAGATAAGACGATCCGTACCTAAATGGGAGGCGGTCAAGCATGTAAACAGGAACAACATTTGTGGGTTGTTGTTTGTCTAATGACATTGTTTCATATTTGTGTTCATAAAGTGATAGCTCGATTGAGTTATTTTCTTTCTATTTCTACATTTTATTTGAACTGGATTTTGAGTCGATTTGTCGTACTATCAAACTTTTGCTCATATCAAGCCTCAACTACTCCGTACATTAGGCGGTATAAACAATAGGAGATCTCCACCCCGGGATACTGACGTATGATTGGCAAAAATAAAGTTAAACTTTTGGCAAAATAAATGATTAGCCGGCAGAAAAAAAAACATCCCCATGTAGTCGATCAAGTACATCATGTGTCGTCTCTATTGATTCCTATTCATCCCTATTGATCCCCATTGGTTGGTTCAATACAATAGAAATGTCCTTTCTTTGTTCTCATCTGTTCCCTTTGTTCCAGTCCATCAACCCTAGTTCCTTCCTCGACGGTTATAACCATCCTTCCTGCTTTCATCTCTTCTTCCTTTCTACAACATCTTCTTGTCTTCTCAACCTTTCTTGATATCTTCCAAACATAATAACAATTCTTAATCAACATGGCTCCAATTGATCCCAGCAACCCTACCTTTGGGTTTGACCAGCCTACTTTCGACTCCCAGGCCTTTCTCAATGGCATTGGTCTCGGCACCGACACCCCTTTCAATGCTTCCAATGGCTTCAACCACCATGAAATACCCCCTGAGCTCCTCAAAACCTTTGACGAGTGCCTTGCCAGCCTTCCTGTCAATGGACTCGACGAGGAGTTTAGTTTTGACCAGCTGATTTCAACCACACCTACCAACTACTCTGCCCAGCCAGTGACCCACAATCTCCCCGCGCATGCACCATACAGCCAGGTACCCTATGACCCCTCAATTGGGATTCCATACACCCCAGAGGACACTGATGCCGACAAGGTCCGAAAGTGGGAAAACCTCATCGCCCACGCCAATTTGGCCAATGCTGGCGTGCAACCCTCTACTCCTCAGTCCATTCAAGAAGAGGCTGTCGGGCAAACCCCGCAGTCTATGGACTCGCCCAATTCTCTGTTTGAATCTCCTGGTTCATTGTCTACTAAGACCTCGTCTGCTGGGGCCTCGTCTGTTGGGATCGTTGCGACTCGTCGCGCCACTCCGCCGACTCCGTCCCCATGCCACGCTCCTATGGCTACAATGGCACCTTCGAACGCCGCCATTCCGTCGACTCCGTCCGCTTTCCAGGCTCCTATGGCTACAATGGCACCTTCGAACGCCGCCATTCCGTCGACTCCGTCCGCTTTCCAGACTCCTATAGCTACAATGGCACCTTCGAACGCCGCCGTTCCGTCGACTCCGTCCGCTTTCCAGGCTCCTGTGGCTACAATTGCACCTTCGAACGCCGCCGTTCCGTCGGCTCCGTCCCCTTTCCACGCTCCTGTGGCTACAATTGCACCTTCGAACGCCGCCGTTCCGTCGGCTCCGTCCCCTTTCCACGCTCCTGTGGCTACAATTGCACCTTCGAACGCCGCCGTTCAGTCGACTCCGTCCGCTTTCCAGGCTCCTGTGGCTACAATTGCACCTTCGAACGCCGCCGTTCCGTCGGCTCCGTCCGCTTTCCAGGCTCCTGTGGCTACAATTGCACCTTCGAACGCCGCCACAAATGTCACTGTAAGTCACCATTGGCGCTTAACTCATGTACAATGGGAAAATGTGCTAACTGTACGGCGTTCAACAGGCAAAGGCCATTCCTCGCACCGTGAACCTTCCGCGAGCGTTGGCCAACCCGAAGGGCTATGCCCAACATGTTTCTCCATTCCCTCCGATTGCGACAGTTAATCCTCTTCCTGACTCTGTATCACATTCCCGGGAGCTAGAGAAGGCACGATCACGCATTCAAAGTCTCGTAAAAGAACGCGACCTCTACCACCGCAGTTTAAAAAAGGCAACTACCATCGACCCTAAGACAGGAAAGACGACCATCCAAACTCTAGAAGCACAGAACATGAGTCTGCGCCGCACTAACGCCAAGCAAGCTCGGGACCTGCAGAAGCTTAAGGAATCGGCCCAGCAGCAAAGGGATGAGTTCGCTGCTCTTGGGAATAAGTACAATGTGCTAATGATGGATCTGCATAAAACCAAGATCGAGCTTCGCGAGCTGAAGGGCCAGTAAATACTAGGAGTATCAACAGGTTTATCAAATCAATGTCTTCTTCATCTGTGTACTATGACTCAAATAGGTCTTTAACATCAGTTTCAAGGGTTAATATTGGACACAAACATACGTAGTCAGGTCCAAACGCCAGTATGGATCCCCTAGGCTACTCATACGTCTTCTTCTATCCATGTATGCTTCCCTCCTTGACTTTAGAATTGTCCTCTTGCGAATTTATTTTAGGATGAGACAGAGATAGAGCGGGCAATACCGGAAGCATTGCATGCGAAGGAAACTGCAGGGGAATTTTCGCCAGACCAATACAACTTGGGTGCCAAGCATTTTATATTCGGTTACAACGTACCTAGGTAGCTGTACGTACCATATTTCCTCTGCCGGGTGGGGCTTTCCTATCTTAGCTGCCGCCGCTTTTATGAGGGCGCTCAGAGTCAGGCTCTCTGAGTAAATTTCAGTCCGGGCTCAGGCTCAGTGAGCGGCTCAGAGCCATCACGTGATAAATCAGTGAGGCCCAATGAACGATCACTGAGTGCTCACTGAGCACTCACTGAGCACTCAGTTACTCTGATTGGCTGCTCACTGATCGCTCACTGAGCACTCAGTTACTCTGATTGGCTGCTCACTGATCGCTCACTTATCACTCACTGGTTACTCAGAGACTGATCAGAGCCATCTATTGAGCACTCAGTCCACGCTCAGTCCATACCCAAAGAAGCCCTTTGCCCCACAATTCTGTTTATTTGCGAACTACTTTTTGATGGCCATCATTTCTCACCGTAAGCCCTACTTTTTGAGGTGCACGATCTTCCGATCTCGTCTCCCTCTCAAATTATAACGCACCAGAGCACGATGACGCAAATTGGAAGGCATGGAGTTCATCTATCACGGGGCGGCATAGGAGAAAAGTCTTCGGTCATATTATCCACGCAAATGATGTTCCTGGGATCGGTAAGTATATCGTATATTATGCCTCCACGATGATAAGCTGACCACGGTTATATTATATAGTGGCAGGCGGGAAACAAGTCAATAAGTCATCCTCAAAAGGCAAAGCTTCCTCCGCATCCAGATTGCCTCAGGCCATCCCAAGCCCTACGAGTAGATCTCGCTCTATGTCCCCCGAAAAGGCCCAACCAGGTCTCCGCGACCGTTCGACGAACCTACCACGTGCTTCACGGGGTAACTACCCAATCTCCTCCCATATGGAGGCTCCGTCTTCAGTTCAGCCCGACCGGCAAAAGCGAGACGATACCATGAAGAAAAAGGTGCGCCCTTAGAGAATCGAGGGACCAAATAATACTGACTTCTTTACCCTTCAGTGTCTAGAACGGGATAACGACAGATGTATCCTCACCAAACGCGATCAGCCTAGACTGCAGTGTGCCCATATCGTACCCTTCAAGCTGAACGGTTTCAGCGCACGTGATAATACCTGGCGATGGCTTCAACTCTTCTGGGGTCAGGATCTAGCCGATAAGTGGATCGCGGAGCTACTCTGTGGCTCCGATCAACCGAATCGGTTAAACACGGAACAGGTCAAGAATCTGATCACGCTGGGAAGTCAAGAACATAACTACTGGGACAATGGTATGTTTGCTTTCCGTCCGGTCCGAACATACCAGCAGCACACCAAAATGGATATTGCGTTCCATTGGTTGTGTCGAACGAAGGAACAGGGCAAGTGACTTGATACCAAGATCTTACTATATCGAGCAAGTGGTAAAATGAGTGTGTTTGTTAAGATTGCCAGGCCTTTTTTGATGGGACGATGGGGGCCATCTAAAAGAGGAGGGTTGCACGTGATGGGACTAGCGTGTTGCATTTTATTGATGTAGCTTACTCAGGCCGCTCACCCCTAGGCTCAGCTCAGACTCAGTGAGCGAATCAGGGCGCTCAGATAATGCTCAGTGAGCGGATCAGAGCGCTCAGGTGACGATCAGAGCATGCTCAGTGAGCAGGTCAGAGCGCTTATGTAATGCTCAGTGAGCGGATCAGGGCGCTCAGGGGCGTGCTCAGTTGTACTCAGTGAGCAAAAAGCGGCAAGGTCTGATCACAAAAACGGAAAGGGAACGCCAAGAAGTGGCAGAGGTTATCTGGTATGTAGGTACTTTCTTCTCAAAATGATGTACCACATGATAGCTAGTTAGTTAGATTAGTCGTATACATGTAAGTCACTTACCGTGGATGCTTCCTATATTACCAGTACGAATTCCAAGGACATTATTACAATGTCCGATTGAATTTTGATCAAATTAAATTTATATAGTATGTAGTAAGACCACGGCGTTGCATAAAGTCTTCATGATCATTAATGCACAAAATTCCCGATGCGGAAATAAGTGGGTCATAGCCCTAGAAAAGTCTGCTTCCGCTTATGATGCAAATTTGGGACGAAAACATCACATCAGCATGGCCGGCTGGCCCAATGGCAAGGCGCTTGACTACGAATCAAGAGATTGCAGGTTCGATCCCTGCGTCGGTCAATCTTTTTGCTTTCCTAGCTTTCTACAACCCTGTAATCAATCTACGTCACAGCTAGGTGTGAATTGCATCTGATTTTTGTGTTGCTGTAGTTAGTTCGAATATTTCTAGTGTATAAACGGGTTGTCTGGACAGATCTTCCTTTTTTATATATGCCTTGCAATTTTGCATTCATAGAGTCCACTGGAATCTCGGAACACTACTGAACACTACTATGTATGTTGTAACACGGTTGGTAGTATAAGCTTTGAACAATGACAAGCTTAATATCTTCCGGCCTATGATTGTGTTATGAAACCATAAAACCAAAACGTACAACATCCATGGGTGTCCCTCACTTCAATCGGCACAATCGGCACAATGGGCATCCGATCTGAACCAAGCAAACCAAGCAATCTCAAACATGACACGACACCAGGCTGCAGAATTTGAAGAGACCAGTGGAGGAACCTCGGACATACCAAAACAAGGCACAGAGCATGGCCAAATGTGGTTCGTTTAAAGAAGGACATAAAACTGGAACTAGCAATATGTCAGCGGCGTGAGAAAGAAAGAAAAAAAAGAGAAAGCTTAATAAAATCACATCAAGTGGGTTTAGACTCAGAGTGGATACAAGTGGGCGCCAACCAACGTGCGCCATTTCAACCGGGTACCCGGTGTGGATGCCGGATTATGGCTTTCGGCATACCGGTTTACTCGGTTCGGATTTAGACATCTTCCACCAGGGCAAGGGGTTCCAAGGTTCTATGTTAATTATGTAAGGGTGTCTATCACCGATTTGTTCCGACTGTGGATGTGGACTTTTTTTTGTTTCTTTTCTTTTGACAGGCTTGATATTTCAACCCGTTGAGGAAAGGGAAGATATAGCTGTTTGCTCGTCATGGCGGATCAAGATGAGATTCGTGGTAATTCGGTCTACCAGATCGAAGAGCCTATTGCTGAGACTCCCTCGCCAGTTGAGAAACCTGTTGCTGTGCAACAAGAGAAGAAGTCCGGTTTGATGGCTAAGTTAGTATCACCATACCCAATCCTCTATGTTTTTCATCAGCGCAGAACACGACAAAATACTAATACCCCTCACAGAATTGGGAGAATATTCAACCAAGATGTCCGGGGGAAATTCCTGCATACAAAGATATCGAAATCCATACCTGGGACGGACCCGACGACCCCGAGAATCCCTTCAATTGGAGCATCCGATACAAATGGCTGCTAACTATCACCGTATGCTTCATGTAAGAAATCCCTTCCCAGTACACTACACATAACCTTAAAACCATAAAACTAACAACCCAATCAGCTCCATCCTGACCGGTCTCCCCGCAGGAACATACGGTTCCGGCAATGACTGGATGGAGAAGCAATTCAATGTCCAGAACTCTCCCTTCCCAAACCTGTACTGGGCCACCACCTCCTGGAACATGGGCGCGGCCTTCTGGCCATTGATCTTCGTCCCTCTGACTGAAGCCTCCGGTCGTATGCCTGGATACTTCGTGGCATATGTGATTCTTGTTATCTCGCTCTTCCCGTCTGCATTTGCAAAGAACTTCGCGACACTCGTCGTGACTCGGTTCTTCGGTGGTGGTGCTTCTTCCGTCTCGATTAATATCGTCGGTGGAAGTATCTCCGATGTGTGGCTCGGTGACCATGCTCGCAGTCTGCCCATGTCTATCTTCGGGTTTACGAGTGTTGTTGGCATTGCACTTGGTCCGTTTATTGGATCTGCCATCGTGCAGATTCAGAGATCGGAGCCGTGGCGTTGGTAAGCACAATCCCTCTCTTCCCAATATTCATAATAGATGATCCAAAGATCCAAGAACACATTATACTAATCACCTCTCTATAGGATCTTCTACATCCAAATCATCTACAACGCAGCCCTGATCCCAGTATTCTGGCTAATCCTCACCGAAACCCGGCCAGACGTGATCCTCAAGAAGCGCGCACGCAAAATCCGCAAGGAAACCAACCGCCCAGTCTACGCAGCCTCCGAAATCGACGCACCCAGCAAGCTGCGCCTACTGAAGATCTCCTTCCAACGCCCGACAAACATGCTCCTCACCGAGCCCGTCGTAATCTTCTTCACTTTGTGGATCAGTTTCGCCTGGGGAATTCTCTACCTCTTCTTCTCCAGCGTCGTCCAAACCTACTCCACAAACTACGGCTGGGGCTCGCTAGCAACCGGCCTAGTCCAGCTCGCCATCTCAGTAGGTGCAATCATCGGAACGGTCATCAACCCACTACAGGACTGGTTGTATCTTCGCTCTGAACGACGCAACAACGAGAAACCCGGTAAACCTGTTCCCGAGGCAAGACTGTACACATCCATTCCTGGTAGTCTGCTCTTTGCGGCGGGTCTGTTCTGGTATGGATGGGCTAGTCAGCCTGATGTCCATTGGATTGTGCCGACTATTGGTATCACGGCTGCGGGAATTGGAATTTATTCGATCTATATGGCTGTTGTTAATTATCTGACTGACGCTTATGAGCGGTATGCGGCGTCTGCCTTGTCTGCTGCTTCGCTTGGCAGGAATGCTTTTGGAGCGTTTCTGCCGCTTGCTTCGCCGCAGTTGTTTGGGAATCTTGGATTTGGATGGGCGGGGACTTTGCTTGGGTTTATCGGGGTTGCTTTGTCGATTGTTCCTGTTGTTTTGGTTTTGAAGGGACCGCAGATTCGGGAGAGGAGTACGTTTATGAGGGAGGCTATGTGGGAGCCTGAGGAGAAGGTTGAAGTTGATCGATCTGGGAAGGGGGATTCGGAGCCTACTTCAGAGGGAATTGCGTGAGGTTGTCTACTTCTGGTGGGTGTTATTTTGTGCTGCGTTGCATGGTTGAATGTTTTGTTCTACTTGTTGGCTTCATTTTGGCTGATAGATGTCAAGATTTATATTTTTAGGTAAACACCTGTGGTTTTTACTATGGTGATACCATCATAAATAACACACTTTATTTCTGGATTATATAGTAAAAATGCACGTTGAATTTGGGATAACCCTAGCAATTACCTAGGTAGCCCTATATAGATCATGTTAATCTGATTTAATGGAGACATCATTATCAGATCATGGAGCACTATGTGTGTTTTTTACTGTGGGGATACCATAATAAATAACACTTAGGCTGATTTGGTTTATCCTTGAGACTTTCCAAGGTTCAATAACGAGGTCTGTTTTATTCTTTCTCTCTGCAATCTTTATTCAGCTAAGTCTGCCTCTATATCCATTTCAATACACCTAGGTATATCAACTTCGCTTTGATGGCATCAGATAAGCAAGAGTGCAATCAGTTCGTGAGATTCTCGAATCCAGTACTCGGATCGTTGGATATATTCTAGGTAGAATCGCGGAGAAATGCTACGATTACTTCCAACGGCGGTATCGCTCTGCCAATACCACAATATTCAACGCAAGGCCCGCCGGCGGTGATGATATTCGCGCACTGGATAACCCACCTCCTCATCTTTCAGTTCACAACACACCTGTTATACCGCCGGGGCATGCTATTTCAGATATCGATCGAGATATCAAGAAGGGGTTGGATACTACTATTAAGAACGGATAGGCGAAGGGGAAAATCAAATAAAGGAGAGGGTACGAATATCTCAGTATAGATAGGAAGAAAATATAAATTTTGATTGAAAACATGAATTTACTGTTTTATTTCGTTATGTCCATCTAGTGGCCGTTCTCTATGTATTGTATAATGCAGAGAGGGTAGTATAGAAAGACAAGAAACCATAAAACACAACTTCCTCCACATGTTCTGTCAACTCTGAATCCAAGGTAAAAAGGATAGTGGAAGAGGGTATCGGGGCAAAGAGGTCAGGGTCAGGGGCGAATGGCCATTCTTGCTTTTTGGGAAACATTTTCGCTATCAAACATTCAACCTCAACAAGCACGATCAATTTACTTTTGATCGCGCATGTTGCGGAAGAAATCCATGACACCGGTGTAAACAACAAGCAGGATACCACCGCCAGGGCCGAGACGAAGGACCTTAGGCGTGAAGCCCTTGTACAGGGCAGCGAAGCCCTCCTCCTTCATAACGGTGCCCAGAGCAGGCCAGGCCCAGTTGTACTTGGCGACCTGGCCGGGAACCTTGGAAGTGTTCTGGATGCGAGACTTGACAACGTCCATGGGAGTGTTGAGGAGAGTACCGGTGATACCACCAACGGTACCAGCAATCAAGTCGTTGCGGGTCTGCTGGTTCTTGTTGCCGGGCTCGACGGCAGGCAGCTGCGCGCGAACCTGGAAGATACAGCCGAAGTAACCTGCGTTCCACAGGACGTGGCGCCACATGGTCGACTCAAGGCCGTTGTACATTGCCAGCGGGCCTTCTGCGGCCACGATCTTCTTCACAACGTCGAACATGCCGTTGTACTTGTGGGCCTGGGCCTTATCCTGCAGACGGATCTTCACTAGCTCGAAAGGAACCACCACGAAGGCTTCAGTTGCTCCGGCTGTGGCTCCGGTCAAAGTGGCCAGGCTTTGGGTCTGCTTATCGACACCGAACAGGTTGCGGTAGAAAGTGCCCCAGCTGTCGTTGGCGGCGAATTTGGTCGCACGCTTAGGTGCCTCCATCAGGATGGGTGCGGAGATACCACGGTATAGACGGGAAGCACTATGCGTTGTCACACGTTAGAGAGAGAGCCGTGGCTTCTTCGCTGGGGTGATGACATACCCCTCGTTCTTAACAATCTTGCGGAAGCAGTCGAACATGCCATTGTAGTGATCGACACCAGGAACAGGGGGTCCGGTCTGGAGCTGACTGTAGGCGGATATCATTAGCTCGAGTCATACGAGGTCGGTGTTTATTGCGACCGGCGGCTTGCTTACATTCGAGTCTTGAGCACGTCCAGAGGGTACCTGCGAGTCACACATCGTCAATTGGGTCCGATTTTCACACTATACCAAGCATATCTCCAATAAAGGTAGCCATGCGACCAAGGAAAGGGAGTGGGGAGCCGTACATGATCAGGATCTGTTCGTGCGGGGAGAGACGCGTTAGTCACCAGAGCACCTCGTGGGGGGTTCCAACACAACGAATCAAGTCGGAATCGCTTTTCAGAGCAAAAGCAAGAGAGACATACCTCTGAGACACCAGCCACCGCACCGGCGGCGAACTGGTAGACGAAGGGGAGGGGTGCCTGGGGAGTTTCGGACATGATGGCGGCTTGAGGTGTGGGATGTTAGTATGGGACCATAAATGGACAATGTTGGGATCGCGAAAGTGATCAAAAAGCACACTTTTTGCGATCAAATCACATATTAACTCACAATACCTGAAAAAGAACGAGGGTTGGAGAAAGAAGAAGTGAGAAAAGCGGAGGATACCGGTGTCGGCGAGATTCGGTGATCAGGTCCGAGTGCAGTAACCGGTAAGACTCCGCCTGCGCCTGTACGTTTAACCCGATTACTAAACCCCCGTGGGGAGAGCTTCTATAAAATTCACATTCCGAACTGTTTGCAGGTTTATTCTCATCAGTTCCTATTCGTCTATATCATATCTTCGTGTTTTTTTCATAATATCCAAACTCCCACACCCATGCCCAGCATCATCCCCAACATCATTTTGTTAACCCGGTGCATCACACCAGCTCCCCTAGTCGCGGTGGCTTGTTCCTTGGCGATAGTCGTCCCAAACGCAATGTCCCTTGCCGTACAGCTAGCACCACAGGCAAACCCCATGGGACAGCATCCTCCACCCACAGTGTCAGCACAGTGAAACCAGCCCTGAGCACACCGGTTTCCACCAGGGTATTGCGTTGTTGTCGCGACGGGCACTACAATCGTCACACCATCTGATATTATGGTCGTCGAAGATGTGATCGGACATGAGGTCGTATCACAGTCTCTTCCGGTGCGGCAGCAGCCACCTTGGTAGACGGCCGAGCAGGCGTAGAAACCAGTTGGGCAGACATCGCTGCCGTGGGTAACACTAGTTACTGTTGATAGGTTCGTAGGTCGTGCTGGCGGTGCCAAGCCATCGTTTGTTGTGGACTTGCTGCTGTCGAGAGAGGTTGTCAAGGAAGAGCAGGAAGTGGAAGTGGGAGTAGTATCCTGTGGTTTGGTCGAGTAGGTCACAGTAGACAACACCACGGTCGAATGAACAGACACCGTAATAACAGTGATGTATGCACCTAGTAGAACAATTAGTAAAATCCCCCATACTCCCAATTTCCGATGACAATATGGGAAAGAGAGAAGGGAAAAAAGGATCCCACTCACATCCTCCTTCAACACAATCATACCCCGGGATACAACATCCACCCCCCAGAGCCTGCGAGCAAGCCGTATACCCACTCTGGCACGACCCAATCATCCCAGAGCAATTCTTCCATCTAGGACAACAGCCCACGTTGCCGTGCCCCGTATCAGCGACGATCTGGCATGTCTCCCCGGACCCACAACAGCGATCGGATCGACCGATGGATACGCACGCCGTTGTCCCAGCCGGGCACTTGAAGTCTCGTTTCTCAAACAGATTGATGACGCTGTTACTATTTTCCCGGGGAAGGACCTCACTTTCCCCATCTGTGCCCAAGGAATAAGATGGCCCGAATGGGTATGATTGGGCCACAAAGGATGCTGGGGAAAATCCGTCATCATCGGAGAGGTTTCGCTCAGATATGTTACCAGACGAAAAGTCATCCCCAAAACCCCAGTAATCGAGGAAGAATTTCTCGCCTTCGTCGTCACTCATTTTCTTCACGCCGATGGCTGGTCCTGCTGCGAGCTTGGATGTTATAGCGGCATTGCGCTGGAGGATGAGGTTCGCTGGCAATGGCGGAGAAATCTCGGCCACTTTGGATTCTAGATCCACGGAGCTATTTGTATTTTCTGCTGAGACCAGTGTTGGAAACTTGCACAGTGAGCAGAGTATGGTGAGGGCGTGGAGGAGCTGCATGCTGCCGCTGAGCATGGCGACCAGAATAGATCTCGAGTTTGTTTAGGTTGAGACTAGTGGAAATAGTCGGGTTGGAGGCGTTCTTGTAGTTGGGTAGCTGTTTCAGATGTTTGTTTCACTAACAAGGGCTGCGGATGAGTTGGTTGGGGATCAAATTTCAACTTGGGTTTGGGTGGGTGCAATGGTGCAAATATATATTCTTTTGTCCCTTAACATCCAACTTAAGTCGAGTTTGACGAATTTTCGGGGAAATATCCTTGTCAATCTAGGAATAAACTAATGGCGCATTGGGCTTCCTATAAAGCTGCATGAGGTGGTTGGGGACAGGATGCAGGAGGCGCACACCGCTACGCATTAGCTTGCAGGATAGACAGGTCAAGGTCAAGGTACGGAGCACCCAGTACAGAATAGTTAGATGGAATACCTATATTAGTTGATTCGAGTATTTGGGGATTATTCTGGCTCTATATTAGTCTACGTAGTACGATATCAGGAGACTACTTCCAACTATTACTACTCCAAAACCAAACAAGAACATCCCAACACAACTTCAAATGTGCTCATATCATTCGCAAAATCAAAGACCAGATGCTAGTGGGAAACCACACAGTATGGCAGGGTATCGTCAGTAAATGACACAAGGGGCCTCGCACAGGAAACACGCCAAAAGGTATCAAAGGAAATGACATGAACAAAACCAAGGCCCCAGTGCGATGTCAAATGCAATAAAAAAAAAATAATAAACGCGTAAATCCAATTTCACTTCCCCTTGGCTATGGGATGTTCGGGATGAGATTTCGTAGGGTCGAGGATGATCAGATAGAGGATGGGATGGAGGATGGATGAACATCCGTGTATCAATAGAGGATCAAGCAGAGGGCTGTTCGGAGGTGGCGTTGTCTTCCTCCTCTGGTGCCTTGGGCAGTGGCTTCCCCGTGTCGGAAGATGGCGATTTGGGCTCTTCCACCTTCTCTACCTCGTCTGTGTCCTCCGGAGTGGCCTCCTTTTCACCTTCTTTCTCGTCATCATCACCACCACCACCCTCGTTGCTTTGTTCTGCTGCCTGCGCAGCAGCGGCTTCTGCCTCTGCCTTCTCCATCTCGGCATTGCGGGCCTGCTGTCTATCCCAAACTTCCTTGCGGATGCGTTCGTCCTTCGCAGTACGGAGGCGCTCAGTCTCCTCGAAACCACCGCTCTTCTTCAATTTGCCTTCGTCGACAAATGCACCCAGTTCCTTCTGGAAAAGACCGATTCGCCGAGTCTCAAGCTCCTTCTTACGTGCTTTCTCGGCTCGCTCGATGGCCTCGAGTCGACCTTCGTGGTTGGGTTGCAAAGCTCTGACTTCGCCTAGGACACCGTCCTTGGCTTTCATGGGATCAACAGTTGGGTCGATTCCAAGAGTCCTGGATGGGGCGCGGACAGCGGTGCTACCGGTTGTATTTGTCAACACCTGCTCCTTCGTAGCTTGCTCCACCAGGGCGAAGGTTTGAGTTGCCTTCTCGAGATCGTCTTGCAGGTCGGCAGCGAGGTCTTCCTGCATGGTAAGCTGGTCTCGTTCTTCGCAAACCAGCTGTAGCTCCTTCTCCCAAATCTTGGTCCAGATGGGTTTCTCGCGACCCAGGAAGTCCTGCATTTTCTTAATTTCTTTCATGACCATGCTAATATCGCGGCTGACTCCCTCCAATTGTCTTGGGAGAGGACGAACACCGCGGGTCACGACATCCTTCCGAAGGTCCTCAACCAAATCTTGGAGATCATCGACGCGGGCGACCAGTCGCTCCGATTCACCTGCAAGTTCCTTCTTTCCAGTATTGACGCGAGCACGGCCAGCATCACCTTCATAAGAGGGAGTGGCAACATCGTCAGCAGCGGTCTTCACCTTGCTTGCCTTAGCACGGACTGCGCTCATAGAACCGGTGATATCGGCAGTAAAGTTGGAGTAGGTCTGACGCAGGACAGCCAAGTCACGACGCAAGCTCTGAAGCTCGGCAATTTGAGATCCACTACCGGCAATCGATGCCTTGGAACTCCCCCAACTGCAGCCGGACCAGAGGTGGCTGGAGGAGCAGCAGCCAAGCGAGCGATTTCTTTCGCAGCTTCAAGCTGGCGATCCGAAACCCGCTGGATGACATTTCCTTGGCCAGAAAGCGTTTCTTTCACGCCTTCAACTAGGAGGCGCACACTTCCAAGGCTGTCATCGAAATGCTTCTTGACCTCATCAAGGTTGTCAACGTTAAGCACCAACACACACCGATCTTTGACGTCGGCAAGATCTTCTAGTTCATGTCGGATGCCTGAGATTGGGTCTTGGATATAAATTTCTGGCAAATCAACGCCATTGTCGTGGGTATTCCACGCAAACTTTTCAATAAAAGCGAGCTGCAGGCGCCCAATGGTGAGCTCTGCAATACCATCTGGGAGCACATACTTCTTAATTTTGCTTTTATATTGCAGGAACAGCGTCAGCTCCTTTCCTGGTGAGGGTTGCTCAGTAGCAAATTGAATAGCCGATAGAGGTGTTGCGATCTCGGTGGACGGTCCAAAGGAGTCTGCCTTCGGGGTCTGGGGTGCTGGTTTTGCGGGCTCAAAAGCGTCTTCAAGTGTTGGCTTCTCCTGGGGTTGTGGAATGATCGGGGGAGGAACAATCGCAGATTCCACGGTATCGTCTTTCTCGTTATGAACATGCGCTTCTGTGGGCACCTCAGATGGTACGATATCGATTCCTTGTGGCTCTAATGGAGGCGCGGCCGATGGGGGAGTGCGTTCTTCTTCCACGACATCCGGAATATTTGCAGGTGGGGGAGCTTGCGCACCCTTGGCGGCTTCCTGTAAGCGGTTGTTGGATCGTTGTCTTGTATGAGTAAATGAGCCCCGCAGACGGACTGCATTCAAGGATTCGCGGACATCACGACCGCGATTGGGGATGGGGGAGTTCTGGGTAGGGAGGACAGGAACACCGTTGGTAGATGTGCCCAGATGTTTCTGAATTTGATAAGCGGAGAATCGACGCGAGGCACGTCGCTCAAGCTCTCCACTTCTTTGTAAAGCCCCCAATGCGTCATCCTCCTTTGGCGGAGGCGGAGGCGGAGGCGCACTGAACCCGGCGGGTGTAATATATGTTGGAGGCGCTGTGGTATTGGATGTGTTTGCTCGAGGGGTTGTGTCATTATCGAAGGGGGTAGGTTGAGACAGCATTTGTTGAGCCTCTCGTCGCGATGATTCTCTTTCAGCGTGGTTTGCCATGCGCGGTTCAGTTGTCGAAGGTGCCGAGGAGGTTCGAGCAATGGCGGGTTGATCCTCCAGCGATCCACCACTGCCGTATCGTCGATTCGATCTTCTTGGAGACTGGGATGTCGACGGCATGGTGGATGCTGCAGCATCATCATACAGCTGACCAATTGCCTGCCCGTTAGCGATGCTTCCCGCACTGGCTTGCCGTCCTGGTGCGGGCCGGCCATCTTCGCGCTGGTGCCGGGACCTTAAGCGAGCTTGCTTCTTCTTCAGCCCTTTTAACAAGTTGATAATTATATCTCGAATTCGGGGGAGGTATCTATCGAGGCTCTGGGAAGATGCATCTTGACTAAGAGTGTCTTCAAGTATGGTGCGGAGGAGGTCTGGTACGGGACCGAGGTCTGAGGTGTCGACTCCGATGGCACTGAAGGCCCGACAAGCCAAGTTAAATTCATAGCCCAATCGAACATATACATCTGACACGTCATTCTCCGATGCTTGCTTCCGAGACCATTGGGTCAAGGTTTCGAGGAGTTGTTTTGTCGCAACCAAGAGGTGCGTGACACTCTTTTCGATTTGGGATATTTGCTTATCAGGCTGTGCGGTGGGGGAAAACATTCATTAGCCATCGGAATGTAGACCATTGACAGGCAGCGAGAGACTTACCTGATTCTTGCTGGACTGGGATCGAGACGAGGCGGAGGAACTGCGGCCGGACTGTTGGGAAGCCATGGATGTGTCGGCACTGCCAGACCCCGAGGGTCGTTCGGGGGATGTCTGGTGGTCCAAATGTTCAGGATAGGGGAACTGGGTTCTTGAAACGCCTGGGGACTGCATAAGTACGATAGGCCAGATGACCGAGGTAGTGAGAACAGAAAGCGAGAAATAGGCCAGAAGCGAGCGAGTGTGCCAAGCATGTGTGAAGATGATGCCCAGCCTCCTGTCAATTTGGCGCCTTACCGCACCCGAACCGATGATCAGCAACAAATTATCCCACCAATACCAGAAATACCATAAATACTGTATAGCCTTGTAATGATGTACAAGGGACCGGGGCAACGCGTTACTCGAGACTCAGGGCCGCAGTAGTTGGTACATTAGGTATATGTATCCATATGTATGTACTTTGTATTGACCTCCAATTTGATGCCATATAGTCACATGCTTATATTATTGGTACTTTCAACATAATAATACTACATCGAACATACAACATACAACAACATACAATAGAACATAAAAGGGACAACTGGGCTCATCCCTCACCGCATCCACTGATAAGTACCCGATTGATAAGGCCCTTCCTTGCCTTTGTCCCTTTCGATTGTTCCACTTGAGCTCCACTCCGGCTCTATTTATACTTGTCTTTGTAGGACGGTTAGGTTAAGTTACTATTTCGGTTACTATTGTATTTTTGCACTACTTACTCAGATCTTTCGTATAGAATTCATTGCTCTCTTCTCTATAGGAGGATGAGTATCAGGCCCACCAAGTACAGGACGAACAACCCTGCTAGCCCAAAATACGGCAGCCCAACCAATGTAACGCCTAACCCCATTCCTGTCTCGAACAACCATGGAAGGAGACTTCAGCAATGCCATTACAGAACCAATACAATGCAAGGATTGAGATATGTGTGAACTAAAGTTATCAGGCCCTATTAAATCGGGGTATTGTCGCTTGGAGTTTGAGCCTCATTTCGATATAGTTAACTAGTTAGTTAGCTAATGTTTCATGTACGAAGTGTGGCAGGATTAAAGCTAGGTTAGAGTTGATACAGTCTGAAACCTACGGTGAAGATGATGCCATGATGGTGCAGGAAATAGCTGGCCCGACAAGGACAGCAGCGAAACTGGCGAATAAAACCCACAATGGGTGCCTATCACGGCTTACGCATTGGATTGATTTGCTAAATCCAAGAGCGCTGACTACCACTCGAATGTCGAATGCATCTAGTATCCATAGCCACTTGATTAGTTAGTTAGTTGTTTCTTGAACTACTTTAACATATATAGATCGGCGATCTGAATGGTGTGGCTCAACCGATGATCCACTGCACGAACTGCTTCATCCAGGTGGCTCCTGATGTTGCCCAAGGAAGCCTTTCAAGGTGGGAATATTGAAGTTACAACACATGACCCTAAATTGTATGGAGGTACCTAGGTACCTACATGTAGACACACCTGGAGCCCCGGGGCATTGGTTGTTTACATAAGATAATTTCACCACTCAGCCAAAAGATCATAACATCAATGGCAAGTCCAATTGTGTAGCGATATATATATATATATATCGGACCCCTCTGCAGGAGACCTCGCTGGTCACTATAATCTACTTCAAGGTTCTACCTACCTACCTATATAGCGGTAGCTAAAATAGGAAAGCCCCACCGGAGGAAGTTTCCATGGAACCAGCTATGTATAGTGAAGTGACCTCCCGAGGTCGGGACCTATGACCTCAGATATGACATCTGGAGGTAGTGTGTATATACATACCTAGGTATCCTAGAAGGTGGCAACCAAGAGCAGCGCACAAAGTAAATATCACCTATTATGATCTGAATAATGACACAAGTCCTTGGGACGTGAATGGCCGATAATGCAGTTGATCGTACAAGATGATGTATGGATACATGTGTGTACTCATGCGGGTTTACTTGTTTCTATTGGTAGTTCCCTTATGCATCGGAAATGAATACATATATATCTTAATGGGTTGATGGGTTCTGACCCTATATCGCACAAATGTTATCATTCTATATTATGGTTAATATGGTCTTAAACTCTATGAGGGGTCAATAGTATGGACGGAGCTACCTCAGCCTGACCCGTACTCTGTCGGTAACATTGGCAATTGGCCTATTTATTCCTAGGGTTGGAGGTCCAAGAGCATAGAATACTTATAAGAATAGTACATATTATTCCTTTGTGAGATTAACAATAATATTCCTATTGGGACATCTGCACTCACAACGCCTTAAAAAAAAAAAAAAAAAAACGAAACAAAAAAAGAAAGAAAAAAAAAAAGAAAAAGGGTGTAACACACAAATACAATACCATACGCGTGACTTCTCTCTCCAGTCACCTTCCCCCATCAACTTGCGACAAGCCCATTTCTCTTTCCTCTATTTTTGAATCCTTCTGTCCCCTTCCATTCTTCTTTATTTTCCTGCCATTGACATTCCGGTATCTCCGTTGTGTGGTGGTTGCTTATCCTTCCCCCCTCACTTTCCCCCCCAAGTCCTGTTTGTGCAGGCGGTGTGTTGTGGCATCGTGCCTCATCCTCGCGGCTTTCCGCCGTGCGAAGTTCCACGACGCAAGCTTGCCCTGACTGACATCAAAGTCAATCAATGGCTTCTGCTATCAACTCTGTGCCGGCCAACAACGCGTCTGGCAATGCCAGCGCGGGCGCCCCCAACCCCGGCCGATCCACTCTGAGATCCAGTAACAGCACCAAGGGGTCCGACAACCGACGACAGTCGGGCAGTCCCGTCGATGGCGGACAACGGTATGTTCGGCTCTTCCTTCTAAACAACATTTTATTGTGTATTTCCATGTTCTGCGGCCTTCGAAAACTCCCCTTTGTTCTTATCGTGCCCTTCCCTTGTCTTATTGGCGATTGAACTCGTGCACGCGCCTTTGAGCCGATGAGCTCTGTTGCAGGCTTGCATCGAGTTGTGCGCCAACAAGAGCCAATTGAAGTCATCGGATTCGATCGTGGAGATGTATTGTCATCCTCTGTTTTGCGACCAGTTACCGCTAACGCAAGCATGTTCTACTGCATAGGCGCACAAACTCCCACAAGGCCTGGACCCAAGGGACCAACCCCATCACCCAACGATCTTCATACACTTCATCGAACGGCAACATGACCCACCAGAAACAGTCTGGGTCCCCGAGACCCAACCAAAAGGAGTCAAACACCCCTGATAGCCATGCTCATGACCGTCTTGTTTTCTTATTCGCCAGCTTCATTGTAAGCCAAGTCGCACCACCATACTGTCGATTAATTCTAAACTGCTACCTAGGGACTACACACCACCATTACCACTAAGACCGGAGAGAAGTTTACTGGTATCTTCTCTTCCTCGACCATGGAGCCCAACGAACTTTCGTTCCTGCTCAAGATGGTCCAGCGAACCTCACGAGAGGGCCAGCCCCGGACAAACGGTGTCAGCGATGTCGCAACTCCGTACATAGGCTCTGCGCCCGAGCATGCCATGACGTTCGATATTAGGGATGTCGCCGACATTGCCGTGCCAAATGTTACCACGGCCGAAGTTTCAGCCAAGGAACCAAACGGTACTGCTTCCTTTGTTTAGTCAGATCCGTTTGTGTATGTACTAATCTAGACCACAGGTGCTTCTCAAGGTTTCAGAACTGACAGTGATATCTCCGGAAACCTAGCCATGCGCGAGCGTACCTTGCAGCGCTGGGAACCTGCCGAGACTGACATTGATATGTCACTTGAAACGAGCAACACTTCTGCGGGATGGGACCAGTTTGAGGCAAATGAGCGTCTTTTCGGTGCCAAGACCAACTATGATGAGAACATCTACACCACTCGCCTTGATCGTTCGGATCCCAACTATAAACAGAAGCAGGCGGAGGCAGCTCGGATCGCCCGTGAGATCGAGGGACAGGATGTGGACAACTCCCACATGCGGGAGGAGCGTGGCCTTGTAGCACCAGATACTGGCGACCAAGACGAAGAAGACAAGTACAGCGGTGTTCGCCGCGAAGACAAAGCCTTCCCTCCCCTGCTTTCCGGGCAGCCAAACAAGTACATGCCCCCTGGACGCCGCCAGGCAGCTCCCCAGCCTGCTGTGACTCCCAGTGTACCCACCGAACAACCTGTTGCTTCGCCGGTCCCCACTGCTCCTATCCCAATTCCCTCTCAAACTGTGGCGAAGGAAGCTGCACCCTCAGAACAGCAAGCTGAGCTGGTCGCATCGCTGCAACCCACGACAGATACCGAGGAAAAGAGTGCCTTGGGCAAGGGTGTGACACCTGCAGTATCTACTGCATCTGGTACACCGGCTGCAAAGCGAGCTGCACCTGAAAATGCGACCGCAAACGTGGAGGTAGAGGTGCTGGATCATTTCCGTCAGTTCGCAAATAGCGAGAAAATCAAGATGCAGGAGCGCCGTCGCAACCAAGCCTCATATGACCGAACCATGAAACTCAACGAGCTGATGAAGTTTTCCAAGAGCTTCAAACTCTCGACTCCGGTGCCGAAAGACCTTGTTCCTATCCTAGCTAAGGACCGGATAAAGCAGGAAGCAATCATGCAACGAGCGCTGCAGCAGGGAGACGACAAGACCACGAAGGTTACCACACCTCCCATGGAACAACAGCCACCTGCTCGTGGTGCTGGACCTACTGGAGCTGTGCCCCCATCCGCACCCGCTGATCGTCAGAACTACAATCGTACTCGTCAGGGCTATCCTCCCACCGGGCCTCTCGCGGGTGCTGGTGGAAGATACCCTCAGCAAGTCGTTCCACCGGGACGTCCTGGTGTTGGCATGCTCAGTCATCGACTAGCGGACAATTTGCAGCAACGAAAGGGCGCGGGAATGGGACCTGTTCCAACTCCACTTCCGATTCAAGATGCCCGTGGACCCCCAACTGGTCCTGCCAGCGAGCAGCAGAGAATTACCAGCCCTGTCAAATCGCAGGCCGGGTCTTCCGCAGGACCCAAGTTCAATGTTAAAGCTATGGAATTCAAGCCAAACCCCGCAGCAAGCACTTTCACTCCTGGTACCTCGGGAGCTGCTGCAAGCCCGCGACCTTTCTCTCGCAACCGCTCTGTGTCGCGCGCCACAACACCGACTGCATTCTTTGGCCCAAGGAAGCCACTCCCTATCTCTGAACGTCCCTCAATAAGCGACCAGTTCAATCCCATCAAGCGCATGAAGAAAGAAAACGCCGAGTCTGCCGAGAGGTTGATTGTGTTGAATGGAGGTATCCCGCCGCCCTACAAGACTTTGCCAACTTGGGACTTTGCGGAGGGCACCGAAGATAAGACGTACGATCAGATGTTTAAACAGCCTGTCGGCGTGCCGACGGTATCGCCCCAGGGTCGCTCCGTCTCCAACAACCCCAATATTCCCCAGCAGCATCAGATGCCCTTCCCCTTCCACCAGGGTAATCCAGCGATGCCGCCATCTTCTGGCCCTTCGAATGGACCCCATGGTCTTCACTCCCAGGGCCCCCATGGCCCCTCCCATGCGGATGATCATCACCGCATGCAGTTGTCCGCGTCAAACTCTCAGGTTTTCCCGTCCCCGCGAATGCAACATGGATACCCGTCCCCTATGGCTCCCCATGCCCAGCTTTCCTTCCCCCAACAAGTTCCGCAGTTTTACGGTGGGCCCCAACCCGGCCACATGAGACCTTTCCAGGGTGGTGGTCCTCAGTTTGTGAATGGCGCTCCTATGATGGCGCAGCAGGCCTCGAATGGACCCTACATGGGAGTTCCGCAAGGCATGACTCCGTATAACGGACAGATGCCCATGTACTCCCCCAACCCGGGTCATGCCTATCCCCAACATACACCTCAGCCGCACAGTGGGTACCCAAGCCCGAGCCGAGGTGCGCCGATGATGATGCACCAGAACTCGCAATCTGGACAGCCTCCCCAATCAATAATGTTTATGCCTGGCCAACCTGGATATCCTCAGCAGTCGGGACATAGTGAGTGTGGCTACAGTCCCCCATCAAGCATCTCCAGTTTTTAACCAACCCAGTGCCTCCCAACCGTGGCAACTACCCACAGCAGCCTCACTTTTCCTCAAGTCCTCATCAATCGCATCATTTCCCACCTAACCAGCATCGGACCCCCAGCAATGGCTTCAACCAAATGCCTCAAATGCCACCCCAGATGTCTGTTAATACCCCAGCAACAACCCCTGGAGCTTCCCACCCGGCCGAGGCAACGGATGAAGGAAAATGAACTACGTGAATCATGAAGCCGTGAGCGGTCCCCTCGAGTGATGCCACATCTTATCGCTTAGCTGTGACTTGTCTGTGCTCTGCATTATTGGCAACCGCCAACTCAAATACCCCGGTTACTCTTCCATGGCCGTGTCTTCATTTGTTTCCCCGTCATCGACGCGGTCTTCAAACATTTGAATTCTGCGGTGAACCTCATGTCGTCTCAGGACTTGCTCGGTGAGTGAACAGTCTTGTGGTGTTGGGAAAAATCCATTAACCTTATGATCAGACATGGCAGATTGATCTACCAGTTGTGCCTATCTATTCTCCGGATCTCGATCTGGTGGTGTACATGAAAACTAAATCTCTAGGCGATGGCCCCATTGAAATCGAGCACTTGATATCCAACCTAGCTCATCGTCGTATGCCTACCTAGTGCACAACATTTCCACATGCGTCACCATCGAGTTGGAGTCTTGAGGGTTTCTCTTTTACCTAAGATATTCTCTTCCTTCTGGTTTCTCTTATCTTGTTTCTATTTTTTTTTTCCCCGTTTATCTCTGCCCCTTCGTCCTTTGTTGTTTGGTTGGAGGTCGGTGCGCTCCCTTGGTGGGCTCACTGCCCTTTGTACCTTCCATGGAGGGAAGCGAGGCCTGCAATGGGTTGTGTCTGAGAATGGAGACGATTGTTTGGATGGTGATGTGAATGGAGGTGATCGGTTTTGGGGGAGGGAGTGGAGGAGTGGGTGAGTTGTGGTTGAAGATGCCTGAACTTGACAGTACAGATAGCTCCAGCGGACCCACGGCGACCTGGCAATGAAATGATTATATGAAAATTTCCTCAATCAATGTGTAAATCAAAGTTTGTCTATAGAGAAGTCGTTTTGCACACTCCAAGCTGTTTTCGTCTACTCCAGTCTAGCTATAACACCAGTGAGGGGGAAATACAAAGAAAGAAATATAAAAATACATTCAAAAAGATGTACTCAGGCTGCACAAGCGGCCAACTATTCTTGTATTCCATATATATAGAAGCACCCCAACATCACCACCTGTAATCATACTCAACATCTAAGTCGTAAAATGAATCCAAGCCAAATAGCGGCAATGATAGATGGTTAACCTGTGGCAGATGTCAGCAGCTGCATATCACCCCATTTCAATGAATAATGAGCCAGGTGCAAAGGGAAGTATCTCCTCAGGTTAATTTCAACAGTGTCATCATCCAAGCCATACACCAGACATCAACCCACCGCGGTGCTTCATCCCATTGCAAACTCTGACCCACGCTCCAGCCATAAACAAACCTCAGAACAAACCCCCAAAACACCACCAAGCATCACAAAAACCAACCACCTCCAGCCCACACCCCAATCAACACACCTCTCCGTCTCCCAACTCCCAACCACCCACAACAACATGCCCACACCACTCTTCACAGCAGATGAAAAAAGAGAAGAGAAAGAAGAAAGAGAAAGACCAGCCAGGAATGTCACTCCCAAAGCAGTCGGAGAGAAGACTATAGAGAAGTCCGTATTTTGCATAGCCAACAGAACGCCGCCAGCAAGAACACGTCTAACTCCAAGCCACCCAAAGAACACTATGACAATGCCATCCAACCGCCAAACCCCTCTCCTCTCCTAATCCCCAAACCCTCGTACCCTTTACGCCACAGCCATTGGTCGCCAACCCGTCCTCATGGAAGCGAAGCGGACATGGCAACCCCAGATAGCGGCGCCACCTCCCCGTTTCCCATACTTTCCCACGCCATAGACCCGACACCGTACACGCTATCACCACAACACCCCAGGACACGATCCCAAGGCGGTCCTCAAGCAATCAACACCGTAATAGACACGGGCATTACAGTAATCGAAAGAGAGCTCTCAGCGATGCGCGCACGTGCCAAGCCCAGTTGCGGTACCGGTTCGGGACGGACAGAGGCGTTGATATACACAATGTCTCCCATGATCTAGGACCAACGCCGCTTTGTCCGGCGTGGTCGCGAGCCATGGAAGTGCTGGCTAGGATCCCGCTGTTGCCAGCGTTCCGATGGAAGACATGTGTCCTGCTGGAAGAGTGGGGGGAATGGTGTCATGTGAAGTTGGTTGTTGAGAGTGTGATCGGAGGAGGGTGTCGTCGTGGTCTGGGCACAGCTCTATGATGGTGTGGCAGCACCATCATGGCTGGTCCAGTAGACGTGGAGTCTGTTGGAAAGAGATGGTTTGTTCGTGCGCGCCGGGTAGTAGTTCTTGAAGTTCGCTCCGGGGTCGGTTTGTGGTGTTTTGCGTTGGTTTTGAATTTGCGGGAGTACCATCGGGTTTGTTGGGTGAGTCTTCTTTTGTAGTGTTGTGGTCTTGGTCTGACCTTTTACCAGAGTTCGCATCATTGGAGAGGGAGGTGGTTTGTGCAGTTGGTTGGATTGCCACGCGTGGGAAACGCACTGGGAGGACTTACTGGTTGATCAATAGGACGGTGGACTGCCGGCTGGTGTGTGGGTGAGTGTTCGCTGAAAGTCGATAAGTGAAGTAGGGTAAGTATCGTAAGTTTAAGTATGATTTGGCGACAAAATTAAACGCGTGGGATCGTGGGATGGAGGTGAGGAAAAGGAAGATAAAGCGGAGCTTTATTTATAGGAGCACGTGGTGGCCTCAGGCAAGCAGTGCTTATCACGATAAGGCGGGGTGAAAGGAGTTTGGCATTTAATGTGTCTGGCTATTCCGACTTACAAGAACATTGTATCTGGTCTCTGGTTATTTCTAATTACTCTCTCGAGCTATCGATCGAATCCTGAAACCCGGCCAAACATCGACCCCTTGGCCATTGGCCGCCCCGATTTACGCACCCCGGACACCCCAAACAACTCTCCGAGCTGCCACATCGGCAACACCGCGGCCATGGATTTCCTGAAATCAGCCATCGGATCCGCCATCGCGAAGGGCGGAGGACTCCCATTCTCCCTTGGAGACAGAGTCGACATTGGTGATTCGGTCTGGGCACTGCACAACGGTACGAAACGGGTACGGTGGCTTTTTGGTTCCTTCTCCATGCGGCATGAGCTTCAACGGCTGACGATGTCGTGGCATATATATAGGATGACGGTTCCGCTTGCAGTGTCTTTGCATTTGATGTCAATGCGAACAAGTCGCGCCTCCCTCTTGCGAAAAATGCAGTGCGCAAGTCTAGAACGTTGCGGCATCCTGGTGTTATCAAGGTTTTGGATACGATTGAGGTATACTTGGCTCCTGGACCTTTGGTCTGAATATGAGATTATGTTGCATAGGCTTACGACTTGACAGACGGAGCACAATCTTTATATTGTCACGGAACGAGTCGCGCCACTCAGCTGGCCGGTGAAGCGGCGGAGCTTGAGTGAGGAGACGGCTAAGTGGGGGTTGTATACTGTGGCGGTATGATAATATTATTCAAAGTCTGATATCATGACGTTGCTGAACGGGATTTCTCTGGACAGACTACTCTCAAATTCATCAACGACGATGCTTCCTCAGTTCACGGCGCCGTGCGCGCATCCTCGGTGTTCATGGGTGAGAGCGGCGAATGGAAGCTGGGTGGATTCGACATTCTGAGCTCTATGAAGGAAGACGATGCGATTATATATGTGAGTCATCTTGGTTCCGGTTTCTCCAGTACACACTCCGAATGATGCTATATACTGACTCAATGCACAGACATACGGAAGCAGTGTGCCCGATGCCGGCAGATACACGCCTCCGGAAATTGTCAAAACAGGCTGGGATACTATCAAGCGCAATCCCTTGGCGGCAGTCGATGCCTACGGGTTGGGTATCTTGATATTTGAGGTTTTCAATGGGGGTTTCTCAGGCGGCGACCAAGCTGGCAAGACGACGAACATTCCTCCCAGCATGCAGCAAAGCTATAAACGTCTTTGCACCGCCAACCCGAAACTACGATTGAGCCCGGGGCATTTCGTGGAGCAGGGAAAGAAGCAAGGTGGATTCTTCGAGACACCACTCATTCGAATGACTGAAGACATCGATAGCTTGGGGCTTAAGAGTGACGCCGAGCGTGAAGAATTTATTAAGTGCGTATATTCTCAACATCTTAAAGATTTTGCGGCTAACATGTCACCACTTGCAGTGAGCTTGATAATCTTTCTGATGACTTCCCAGAGGAATTCTTCAAGATGAAGGTGCTCCCTGAGCTACTCAAGTCCGTCGAGTTTGGCGGCGGTGGGCCGAAAGTTCTTCAAGCTACTCTGAAGATTGGGGCAAAGCTATCGGAGGACGAATTCAATGCTAAGCTGACTCCTGTTATTGTCCGCTTATTTGGAAACCCTGATCGAGCATTGCGGGTCTGCCTCTTGGATAATCTTCCATCAATGATCGATAACCTTCCCCAGAGGGTGGTCAACGACAAGATCTTCCCTCAAATGGTAAGCTATATGGTTCTGGATAACGCACATTGTACTAACATGTCATAGACTTCTGGTTTCACCGATGTTGCCCCGGTGGTTCGAGAACAGACAGTGAAGGCTGTTCTGACTATCATTAACAAACTCAATGATAGGATTGTCAATGGAGAACTCTTGAAGTTCCTTGCTCGTACTGCTAACGATGAGCAACCCGGGATCCGGACAAACACAACAATTTGTCTTGGCCGGATTGCTAAGAACCTAAGTCAAAGTGTAGGTGATTTATCCTCCATGCTGGGTCTTGCCGCTGACATTACATACAGACCCGCTCCAAAGTACTCATTGCGGCATTCACGAGATCCATCAGAGACCCCTTTGTCCACGCTCGAAATGCAGGACTTTTGGCTCTGGCCGCGACTATCGATGTGTTTAACGAGGAAGATTGTGCTGTCAGGATCCTACCTGCCATTTGCCCTGGACTTTTGGACAAGGAAAAGTGAGTAATGTGCTCGGATTTTAGCTCTGGCCCGATCCTTACCGTTGAATAGATTGATTCGCGACCAAGCAAACAAAACATTTGATTTGTATGTCCAGCGGACACGAAAATTTGCTAGCACGATGCCAGACACCGTTATACCCCTGGCCGCACCCGCAGAAGCCAACAAACCCGATGCTCGCGTTGGAACCCCCAATGACAACTCCTGGGCCGGCTGGGCCATTTCATCGTTCACAAACAAAATCGCAACTGCCAACGGCGAGATCGAACCCACCGCCAACGCTACCAAGACCGTTGATCCCGATATTGCTCGCTCAGCGTCAGTTCCTCGTCCCGCCAAACCATCACCAACCCCAGCCGAACTACCAAAACAAGTCCTTCGTCCCGCAGCTCAACCCTTGAACCGGTCAATGTCAGATCGCCCAGCCCCGGTGGTCCACGACGAGCCTGAAGAAGAAGGCGATGACGTCTTCGATGCCTGGGGTGCTATGGACGACGATGAAAAAGATGAAGATCCATTCACTGCCGCTGTAACCTCTCCTAAACCTACATCTCCTGTCCCCTCATCGAGCAAAGCCCCCGCAGTGCCCTACGATGATGGCGGCGAACCCGATTTCGCCGGCTGGCTCGCCGCAAAATCTCAGACTAAGGCCAAAAATCCCCTGCCAAAGGGTCTGACCAAGGCCGCTTCTACCAGCACCGTTACCACACGGTCGACGCTAAACACCGCCAAGCCTCGGACTGTGGTTGCACCTAAGAAGATCGATACTAAACCCAAAGACGAGGAGGCTGATGATGATTGGGGAGATGCATGGGAGTAATTTGGAACTACACCTTGCTCAACTTTTTTGGGTTGTTCCTGTTCATATCTCCGTCTAATAAGTCTAACGAGTCAATATCTGACAACCTTGGCATCGAGGGTGTTTTGGAGTCTGTGCCACACTTGCCCTGGTGGTGTATTGATGATATTCCCTGTACTTGTCCCTAATAGATCTATCAATACTACTACCACATCATTTTTCTCCCCTTGCCCGACTCGAGAATACCTAATACTGGAGTAGATCAGACTCTTGACACATTTGACCACAACTTTATGCAATGTCCAAGTTTCGACCTGACAAAACTGCACGGGGCCTCTTATTCCGTTTCCCTTTAGCCCTAAGCCAGTGTACGATACTGACGCCTAGGCTTAAAGAATAATTAATCTTCTCTTCATTGCCCAGGCCAGGTGCATAACTAGAGTGAAAGTGGAGATGCCAGAACACTGATTGCTGTGGCAAGCAGTTTCTGGGCGAGTTAGTTGAAATGTGTCTGGTCTGTCTGGTTGAGATTTTATGGCAATCGTTCATCAATACTAGCATGCATTATGAATTGTAAATACAATCACACATAGTCATAATCGTCGTATACCGTGAAGGGCGAAAGGGTTATTTATTCCTAGTGCTCGGGCGGTGGGTCGAACGGCGACACCACGTGGTTTCACGTGACTTCACTAAAAGGGCGGGACCAATTATATGCGTCAAAAAGTCTCACACTTGTATACCCTCAAATCGCATCTGTAAAGAAAAAAAAATAGGTAGCTTCTCTTTGATTGAGACATGTCATCCTTAGTGCAGGGGCCATGCTAATCTTCTCTGTATATTTTCATTTGACCATATGCCCCGAAGGGCGAAAAGAGATCCTTAAAGTTCCATATAACCTCACTTTTCGGCAGAATTACACCGCCTAAGGTATACAAAGTATACAAACGAAACCTCGTAAAAGGAAACATAGTTGAGTACAGAGACCAGTTTTTTTCTTTTTTTTCTATTCTATATAAAGAGAGACTATCATTAGCTAGAGCTTTAAAAGACTGTCAGACCAAAGATTGGCTCGACGGGGCTCCTATACATCAGCCAAAAAATGATATTCATGTCATGTCATGCACTATATATATCGGAGCTTGATCTATCTGAGCGTAATGCTCAGATATAATGAATGGTCTTTTGGCCTAGTTTGTAACTCGCCAGTCCAGGGGCTGGTTGTAACAATTCATATACTAAAACCGTTCTTAGACAACAACTAGCAGTAGAATAAAACTAGTCAAAACAGTCATTCAAATCCAGAGATTCAGATATAAAATCCAATTTTCTTGTCAACTTTACCCAAACTTCAAGATATCCACCAGCGAAGGAAAGCCCCTTAATCAACCCCCCAATTCACCAATTCCTCAATATCTCCTCGGCAACCCTTTCCCCCGAACTAATAGCCCCATCCATATACCCAATCCATCTTAGCGAAGTCTCAGTTCCAGCAAAATGGATCCTCCCAACTGGAGCCCGTAAATAAGACCCATACAGCGTCAAAACCCCCGGCGGCATGAAGGCACTAGGGCCACCACCGGAGAACTCCTCAAGATCCCACCTCTGAACAAGAACGTCCGTAGCATTTTCCACACGCGAACCAAACAGATTCGCAAAGCTCTCCTTAACCTGACGCTTGACCTCGTCCTCGCTCGCAACATCCAGCTCGCGCATCGCGTCCGCCTCGATGAAGCCCATTATAGCCCCGAATGATCCATCAGCCGGTGAGTTGTCGTATGTCACTCGGATCGCACCGGTGTCACTAATACCTTCTCCGTTGAGGCCCTCGGCCCGCCACCAGGCGCTGGGGAAGATCGCAATGGCTTTACCGAGTGCACCCAATGGCATGCGCTGGTTTAATTCCTCTCGGTTGGTGGGGAGTAGGGGATCAAATGCGATGCGGCTTATTAGAGGCGGGGACATCGCAACGACGACATGTCGGGCTGAGATGGTGACATTATCCGATGAGACTAGATAGCGGGATTCTTCGAGCTGGACTTCGTGTACGGGTGTGTTGAGGTAGATGTTTTGTGAGCCGAGTCTCTCGGCCAGTAGCGTTGCGAGTAATTGTGTTCCACCACTCACTCGACTATCCTGTGCACCGCCGTCGATGCCAATGAGACGGTTGATTGTCCCAGGCCCAGTTTCATCTCCGGCAGCGGCTATGCACCATAATGTATATAGCAGAGACACTTCCCTCAACTCGGTTGATAGAATGGCTGGGAAAGCGACGTTGAGAAGGACGCGAGAGTCGGGTGTCGATAGTCGAGAGTAGACGTATGTTTCTAGAGTCATTGCATCAAGCGCTGCGGCATTCGGGGTATTCCATGGTGCTTCCAGGTCGACCATGCTAGCCAAAGTATTGATGTCGCTCATGAAGACTTCAAGTTCAAGGAGGGAGTCTGGAGCCACGGGAGGAATACCGCCTAGGACGTCTTGATAATGACGCGCCGTGTTATTTCGATAGAAAGTCGACTTTCCCACTGTATATGTCTTGAAGGTTGGTAGACCGAGTTCGGCTGCGAGAGCCAGCACGCGGTTTTGTGTTGGTCCAACATATTCGGCGCCGAGTTCTTGAATGTTCTTTCCTGTGAGGTTGGCATTTAGCACACGACCACCGACTCGGTCTCGTGCTTCTAGGATAACGAAGGATTTGTTGGCTGCTAAGAGGCTTTTGGCTGTGGAGAGTCCTGAGAGGCCACCGCCAATTATGGCGACATCGACCTCCGGGATTGGGGGTTGTGCAACCAGTGCATGGCAAAGGGGTATTGTTAGCAGGAACAGGTGTATTGCACTGAAGTATGATCTGGAGTAAATTAGCGGCATAGTTATCTTGGTATTTGACTGATGGATGGTGTGATGTATTAATTAGACGAGTTGAGGGATGTTTAAGGGACGGGTGTTATTTATCACTTGTTTCACTTTACTGCCGACTACTACCCAACGCCACGAAGTACAGAATACTACAGTTGAACCGATCTAGGCCTAGAAGCAAAATCTTATCTTGTGATTGGAGTAGTGCGAGCGACACAAGAGGACAGACCAGAGAACATACGTAGCCCTGTGGGTGTAGCTATACAACCAAAATAAGAACCCTCTCTGCATTACATTTTGGTTGCTGGCATGGATCCTTGTCCCATTATCATCTTTCGAAACCACCCGACGAACAATATCGCAATGACCGACAAGAGAAGCAATTGATATCTTACTCTATGTCTCCGTCTCCGAGTCTTCTTCGGAAGATTCGTCCTCTGACTCTTCCTCCGAGGATTCGTCCTCCGATGAAGACGAGGATGATCCGGACTCAATATCATCGGTAGGGATAGCTTCTTTCATAATCCTTTCGCGTTCCTCTTGCGAGAATGCCTCTGGTGCCAGCTGGTGCTTTATTTGCTCTTCAGATTCGTCCTCTGACTCTTCGTCCGAAGATTCTTCGGAGGAGGAGGAGTCATCCTCTTCTGATGATGAATCCTCCACTGGTTCTTTCTGCGTGAAAGACGAGGATCCATCGTTTTCTCCCTCTAGGCGTGTCACGTTTTCGCCTGTCACTTTATACGCGACTGGCAACAGATCTGAAGTTTCGATAGGCGAGCTTTCTTGTCTATTCGTTGCCATTTTAACCTGCGACGCTTCCCTTCCAGATGGCAACGAAGATACCGATGATGATGAAGACTCTCCGTTTTCCGCCGCTGCTGCGTGGTCATCTTGTTCCTCTCGCTGAACCCATTTTCCTCCGGATATTTTCCGAACTATTCCTCGCTGCAATTCCTGTAACCGCTGCCGTTTGAACATAGGTTGCTGCTCGTCAATATCATGATATGCTCGCTTTGAACCGACCTGCTGCTGCGGTACGTCCACAATTGGGGATGATAAGGGCATTCCGAGCGGTTCGGATGTCTCGTACGCTAAATCTTCGAAGCGCTCGTTTTTCATTGGGGCATTGCCATTTTGTGAGGCAAGATGAAGACGCGCTTCTCTTTTGCGTTGCATCATCTTCCTCATCTCTTCCGCTGGAATCTGCTCTTTCTTAGCATTATACACACTATATTGCCCATCGTGCAACTTGCCATTTTACATTTAATCTGCATGCGCGTGCAGTATTCACATGGCGGCGCCACTAGCGCAGGAAGAAGACAAGATGGGAATGGGCTTTCGTCTTGCCAGCGCGCAAAGCACTCGTAGCAGCTTCTGACAGCGTCATCGAGGGACCTAGCTACTGCGTCCATATCATTGGAGAGTTGCGTGTTTGACATATCCAGTGGAACGATTGCTTCAAGAGGGACTTCTAGCGCCCCCTCCCCATCATACAAGGTCATAGACGGCGGATGACTATAGGAGTTGATCGCTAGTTGATCTCCATCTTGGGATACTGGTGTTCTGTCTCGAAGTTGGTCAGCCACTCGGACATCCTGTATGCCCTCCATCGGCAGGTGGTTCGATGTCTCCACTGCATCCGGCTGGGTCTGCGGTCCCCATATCTGTTTGATGCTCTCTGCAAAGTCGAATGTTCCAGTAGCAAATATTTGCACAGCTTCTGCAACAGCTTGCACAGTCCGCTGGAATCTCTTGTCACTGGCCATATTGGGTTGATGCGTTGGTAGAGATACCCCCCGTGCTGGTCAATGTGATGTATTGATTCGGCTTCCGGTCGAACTTATTTTCCGGGACCCGAGATTTAGACTTCCTTTTTGTTTGACACTCAGAGTTTGATATTGATGTAAATAGGATGGATTTAAAAGGTCTGCTAACAAGCGAGCAAGCGAGTGGTGTGTTTTTTTTTCTCACATATCTTCAAATAGGTAGCATTTGGGATCTAAGAAGAAAGCAATATGCGGCAAAATGAGCAAACCTTCCCTGTCAAAGCCAACCCTGTCAAAGCCAAGATATGCTCGTTGGTCGACGTGTTACTGAAAATGCATTCACGGATGCAAAAGCGTCGGTTCCTCCCGTACCCACTTTTTTTTCCTTCTTGCGATTTCTTACTTGTATCTATAAGATCTTAGTGACATCTGACAAAATACCTCCAAGCTAGGCATCGTCTTGGTAAAAGATATCAAAATATCCAGATCTGGGTCTTGAACTCGAAAGAGATGAGGCCCACCAGTTCATTTTGTACAGGTGGGGCTAAAGGCGGTGTTCAAACTGAGGAACAGCCACTGTACAACATACATCCGTGCGACCCACATAGCCATCGACCTATCAGCGACAGCTACTAAACCTTATACCTTCCAAGGTTTATGGAGCTCTTTCCTTCCGGCATCTTCTTCTTCGTTCACTTATTTCATTTCTTTTTTTCCAAATGTTGTATGCTTTCTACCTTTCAAGGTTGGTATCATTCCAAGGTTTGCTCGGTATCGCCTTCTCAATTTGGTAATGTCAATATCAGGCATTCAACGTCTAAATAGGCTTTCTTGGAACCGTGGTACAGTCAGTACGCAAAAGTTTTAACACCCCAGGCCCCACACTGTATGCTTATGTAATATTCTGCCGGACTAAATATCTGTCCAAGATCCTCTAGGTAGCTATTATGGTTTACCTATTATGCTAAAAACTACCCTGCTGAATAGACAACACACTTGAAAACTCTGGAGCGGATTTTGAAGGGAAGCTCCAGATATTTTGGCGCCTTATAGCATGACTTGGGTGAGGGTTTGGTAGGCGGTAGGGCCAAGCTACGGGCGGTGGGATAGGTGGGTCTCAAGGGGTGTTAATACTTTTGCGTAGTCACTGTATAAAACGTGCTCATTACGGTATCTTTGATTGGTTATTTCAACTTCGGTATTTTAACGAGCTTACTAAACTTCTTGGCTCATTTCAAATTCCTCCCCTGAAAATACGGCGAAGTTATAGAAGCAGTGGTTGGAGAATATTTGTCCTATTTTATCCTCCTCGGCTATCTTACTATTTGTACTTGACAGATCCTCGCAGCCGTCAAGGAGGAATGCCTCTTCTCTCCCCCTTTTCGCAATGCTTCTCTTCTCTCGTCCAGCTGAAATCCAAATGGAGAAGCCACGGAGTTTCAAGCGAAAATGAAGGACCGAAAAAACCTCTGTCAAGTCGTTTATTGGACGTCTTTCTGCGTACTTGGGATCTAGGTTTTACAGCCTTCGGAGGGCCACCAGTACACTTCCAGATTCTACATAGTAGGTTCGTGGAGGGAAAGGGCAACAAGGAAAAATGGGTAGATGAACAGACTGTATGAACCTTACATACATATCCTCAAGTGCTATATGGCCTTCTAACGAATCTCATAGTACCAAGAACTTTTTGCTCTTTGTCAGGGCCTTCCTGGTCCCGGTAGCACGAAGATGATTTTCTGCCTAGCCCTATTACATGCAGGATTTATTCCTGCCATGCTTACATTTCTTCTTTGGAGGTGATCTATACCATTTTACAAAGCCCGCCATCTGTTGATCTTCAACTAACGGTTTCAGTCTTCCTGGTGCAATTGGCATGTATGCCCTCTCACTTGGGGTGCAAAATATGAGTGAAACTCTACCCAAGCCTGTCTACTCTTTACTTTCCGGTCTCAACGCCTCCACAGTGGGTATTGTTGCACTTGCGGCCGTACAGTTGGCCGAAAAAGCTATTCGCGATAAACTATCACGCGTCCTTGTGATCTTTGGCGCATGTGCTGGTCTCTGTTACAATGCACTCTGGTATTTTCCCGTGCTGATGGTTATTGGTGGCTTCCTGACAAGCGTCTGGGATGGATGGTTATATCAACAAATTCTGAGAGCAAAGATCTCGCGGAACGACAGACATAGTCGCCCAGAACAGAACGATATAACTTTGGAAGAGAATAGAGTGCAAAGCAGTGAGACGATACGACAACGACGGACGGATCCTAGAATCGAAGGACTCCTACAGAGTACAGTTGATACTAGACCAACGCAGTCCGCGGAAGCTGTTTCTCATCAGCACATTATTCGGATTCGGATCGGAGCTTTGATTATATGTGTCTTTTTTGGTATGCACCCTATCCAACAAAATTCCTAATGGTCAACACTAACATGGTTAGCCTCCTTCATCGGAATTCTTGTTGCTAGAGCCCAGCTCACCACACCCCCGCTGGTCCTCGACCTCTTTGCCAATATGTACCTTGCTGGCACTGTTATCTTTGGTGGAGGTCCTGTTGTCATTCCCCTTTTACGCACATATGTCGTCGAGCCCGGGTGGGTCTCTAGTAGAGATTTCTTGATCGGCCTTGCTATCATTCAAGCTTTTCCCGGTCCTAACTTCAACTTTGCTGTCTTCTTGGGGGCGCTAGCACTACAACACTCGCGCTTTCCGACAGTCCTGGGTGCGTTTCTTGGCGGTGTGGGGATCTTCCTTCCGGGCATCACGCTGGCCGTTGCGATCCAAAGCTTCTGGCGCGTATTGCGGAAGAAGAAATATGTGGTCGACTTTCTCAGAGGAGTGAATGCCACTGCCGTTGGCCTAGTATTTACAGCCGTATACCGGTTGTGGGAGATTGGATACCTGACTCATGAACGAAGCGATGGACAGAGTCTGGGGAAAGAACCATGGTGGGTGGTTGTTGCGACGGTGACATATGCAGGGAGTGCATGGTTCAATGTGCCCCCTCCTGTGGCGATTGTAATGGGTGCCATTCTAGGGTTATGTTGGTTTGGAGCTGTGGGGCGATGAACATGTATATATATATATATGATCAGGGATATAATCAAAAGTGATCGAATTGAGACGATCCTGAAACAAAACGGGGCAATACGCAGTCTGCACCTTCCTCTTTCTTCGTGGGTTCGTTCTTTCCGTTTTCTCTTCCACAAACTCACCTCAGAACTTTTTTTATTATCCAAATACCTTGCTCTTGCTGTCACCGACCTTCTTCTGTCGTGATACAGGTCCTGGCCTTCAAGTCACTTAACCTCAAGCTCTCAAGCTCAGTCCAAGAGTGGCACGAATCAAACAATCGCCATGGGTCGATGGGGATGGCGTGAGTATCGTGCCTTGAATTCACTCTACCTCTGGTCTAACCAACGTCTATCCTAGGTTTGTTTGAAAGTGACCAGGACCTTGACGTGGTTATCTCCATTTCCGACGACACTCTAGGCATCAACACAGGTCAATGGGAGTACAGTCTGAGTGCAATGGTTAATCAAAGCGACATGTTGGCACCGCCGGAGGCCGCTGCTGTCTATAGGACCGCCGAATATGCCGATGAACTAGCCAACGTCATCGTCCCGTACGTCCGCCAGAAACTCGACACCGGCAACCTCGGAGAACGGATGCTCGCTGCGAGTCGCAATAAGGAATCGGACCCGGATGACCTCTTCCAAGAGTCCAAGTACCGTACTATCATCATGGGTGCTCTCATGATGCGTGCCGGTGCTCGCATCAACGCAGCAGATCTGCGGCATCTGCGTGATCTAGTGCCCCAAATCAACTGTACCTCCCGCCGCACACTCTTGGAAGACCATGGCTTCAGAAATCCGGGAAGGGCTCAGTTTCTGGCTGCCTTGGATCACTACCGGCCCGGGGTTGCACGTAGCTTCCAGGAGCCTAGGTGAGGTTGACTGGAAGGCTAATGAATGAATACAATGCTACACTCCATGCTGACGGCCTGGATAGCTGCTTCAAGTGTGGAAAGATCGAGGAAGATATCGGTCGCAAGCCTCTGCAATGCAAGAAGTGCAAAGTTGCAACGTACTGCGGCAAGGTAACCGGGTTACAGGCCGGCTGTCCCAGTTGTGCTCATGGATATTGATTCTTCATAGGACTGTCAGCGTGACCAGTGGCGTGAACACCGAGTGAACTGCCTCCCCCCGGGACAACGCCGGATGCTGAACGTCTGATCGCACCTTTCGATGGATTCCAATAACAATGGGGTTGACAAGGATGAGGATCTTGATCCTCCTGGCTACCTTGTGCATGGGTGGTTATATCGTTATATTTAATACCTGAGACCCAGTGTTGCCTGACATATTTATCGACTTTCTTCCTTTTATGGGGATGGGTATCTGATATATTTGATATCTGCTATCCTAGGTATTGCCTCAACCAATGGAGTTTTCAATTCGAATTACGCACTGGCTCTACCGTATTCATTGGAAGATTGTTAGAAAACATGAGAGTTGAAAGCGAGAGTTGTATCAAGAATCCTCATTCGGAATCTAGCCATCAGAGTTAGTGTCCATATTTACCATAACCTAGAACGTGAGTGTCTGATGGACCTCAAAGTCCTCTAGCTCCTACTTATGTCTCTAGGTATGAATTCGTAGATATCTGCATAAGTATTATGCATATCCACTTATGTCAACTTATGCACATGTCGCATCTTAAATCCGCCGATCCCGTGGTTCCACGACACCACAGCATCAAAGCATCAAAACCATGTCTTCCAATGAGAAAAAACGCCTTCGAGATCGTCGCTCGCAGCAAACACTCCGAGAAAAGAAGCTGCGACATACATCCCAACTCGAAGAACAAGTGGCGCACTGCGAGCAACATCACAGCGACCAAGGCGTGCAACGCCTTCTCCAAGTAATAGAAGGGCTCCGAAAACAAAATGAAGCTCTTCTCAACCGCCAAAGGAGTTTGAAATCCCTCGTGGACTCCTGGGAGACAGAAGAGGAACCAGCCGCCACCGATGACTCCAGCCATGACCTATCATCTCTGTATAAGGAAATGAGCAACCGAGAAGCCCAGTTCTCCCTCCAAACGAACTTCAATGATTCAATAGCACCACATGGGATAGGCAGCCTTCTCAACGCCCCCATGTCGGCCGTATCAACGCCACGCCAAAAACGATCCCCCTCTTTGGAACCTCTTTCCGCCGAGACCACATTTCTGTGGAACCAAATCCCGCCACACACTGACGACTTCGGCACACGCACCATGATCTCCTGTCCGTGGTTCCTCTACCCGGAGCTGATAGTCCCATGTCCAGATGTCCCCAATTCACCTCTTGACTTCATATACGGCACGAAAACAAACGCGTTAGCAGACCAGATTCACACGGCGCTGCAACGCCGTCCAGTCCGCGATCCGGAGCGACTGGGTACCGGCTGGCTTACTTACCACTTCTCGCGATGGGTCATCGCGCCCAGCCCGGAGACTTATGGTCGACTCCCGGCATTTCTCAGGCCTGTGCAGGGCCAGATGGCCGTCCCGCATCCGCTCGTGTTGGATTTTATGCCGTGGCCAAGGTTTAGGTTGAATCTAATTCGGCGGTGGCACGTGTATGGCAAAGACCGGGATGGTTTGTTCGGGTTCATGGCTTGTTGTGTTAAACTTCGATGGCCCTGGAATGAAACCGTTCTTGAACGCAATGAGAAAAACGAGTTGTGTATGAAAAAGACGTTTTATGAGACGATCATGAGGGAAAGTGGGTGGGGGCTTACGCCGGAGTTTATTAGACGGTATCCTGATCTTGTGGAGGGTATGGATATTAATAAAATCGTGGTTGAACTTTTTTGAGGAATGACCATCGTCATGTACGGTAATTAAATTTCTATTAAGTTCTATTATATGGATTGTATATATATGCACCTTCTAGCGGGTCGTTAAAACATTATCCCAATCATGGAGAGAGACAAGGTGGATGTGTAGGGAGTAAGATGCCCCTGAAGGTAGTAGCAACTAAGGCCTATTTACCATCAAGATCCACAGGCCACTTCTCCCGAATCACCTTACCGTACTTGATGAAGACGATAGGAATCGGGATGAATGCCAAAGCCAAGAATCCAAGCAACGAGTTGCCCCATCCGACACCCAGATTACCAAACATCTTCGGCCCAGCAAGTGGGAGCAGAGCTCCAACCAGGGAGCGAGTGGCTGTCAAAGTGGCGTTGGCAGATGCCGCATATTTGGGATAGCAATCGATGATATATGTCTGGATGGGCATATACACGCCCATCATGCCAACACCGAAGGGGAACATGCCAATGATAGGCACGATCCAAAACACGTGCTTATCGGCTGTCCAGCCGTACCAAAAGAAGCTGATTGGAAGGATGCATGCGAAGATGATCATCGTTGGGAGGCGCATCTCGGGTTCGAACTTGCCGCCGTTCTTTGCTGTAGCTGCCGAAACCATCCGGTCGTTTGTGAAGGCGATCATGGCGAGACCAGCGATGAAACCGAAACCAATACCGAGATATGCAAGCCCTGAGAGGCCAACGGAGAAGCCATATGTCTTAGTGAAGACGCTCGGGATAGTGGTAAAGAAGAGGTAAAGCAGGCCGTAGATGAAAGCCTAGAGATAGAATGTTAGCGAACCGTATTTTGGAAAGAACATTTCGTGTATCACGAAGCTCAGACTCACCATATAAATACAGAGAAGGAATACAATGGGCGACTTCACAAACAGCAAAATAGGCCTCTTGAAACTCTGTACCAGAATCTGTGTCAAACCAGCATGCTCCGCATCGGTGTCATAAGCACTCCGCAAATCCGTTCTCCCCGTTTCCTTCGCGAGTTTCTCAGTCTTCCACCGAATTAGAACATCGGCATACGTCTCCTTGTTCAGAACCTCAACCCCGAACGACACCACACCACCCAAAATAAGCAGTAGCCAAAACACCCAGCGCCAGCCGGCTTCCATTCCAAGGAATCCACCCGCAATAGGCCCAATCACAGGTCCAATCAGTGGCCCCATAGCCCAGACAGATGTTGCCATGCCGCGCTGCTCCCGTGGGAATAGATCTGCGATTACACCCGCGCCGAGTGTTATACAACCCGAACCGCCGATTCCGGCGAATAGACGGCAGACGATGAGGGTCTCGATGCTGTTTGCGCGTGCGCAGCCGATTTGCCAGACCACGAAGAACCAGTTTGCACCGCTGAGGACGACGCGGCGGCCGTAGACTTCGCTCAGTGGGGCGAGTAGAAGGGGGCCAAACTAGATCCGTTACGTTAGATGGGTTGGATTGCATAGATGATTTGGGGGAGTGTGGGGTTGGCTCACTGCATATCCGAGGATATAGATGCTGACACTGAAAGATAATATTGTCTCATTCGTGACTCCGAATTCCATCGCGACGTATGAGATGGCGGGTGAGAACATGCTCGAGGCAAGCGGGGAGATCAGAGTCATAACACTGATCAGGGCGAGCAAGGACCATTTTTTGCTGGGAGAAAAGTTCTGGGGGTTATTGGGGTCATCTTGTCCATCCCAGCCTACTATTCCACGGCTGAGGTCGGTTTCTGGAAATATTTGTTTGGTTGATATTGATGTTTCGGCGGTTTGGTCTGTTGACTGTTTCTCGAGGTCCGGGGTTAGGTTTCTGACGCTGTCCCCTTCGTTGAGGGTTGCATGATTTGAGATGGACTCTTTCTGGAGAGTATCCATGATGGGTGACAATGTTTGTCGAAATATAAAGAGCAATGGACGTCCTTGGAGTTGTATAGAGGGAAAGGAAATGTATGGATGTGTCAAGGAGAAGCAAGGTTAAAGAGTCTAAATAGAGTTGGAAAGAAGGAAGAATCGATCAGATATAAAAGCAAAAATTTCAAGAAAAGAAATCCATCAGGTTATGATCAGCGAGGCGATATCCGATGGGGCATTGTATAAATTTCCGGAGGGTGCCCTTTTCTCCGATTCACTCTCCGATATTGGCATTCTTACTGGCTTATATTGAGTCATAAATGCCATTATGCTTATACAAGCAGTTCATAAATTGACAACATTCGGTCAAGCCGACGAAGTGTCTAATTTGGGACCTCCATTGCATGCCCAGGTGGACAACGTGATGGACACCACGGGAGTTTCCACCAAACGATGATTCAGTGCTCCGCTATTGATAATCAGCAGCCAATCACAACTCTTCTACTTGGCCAATCATTTGGAGCTGAATCATTGTTTGGTGCCAAGTGCCGTGGTTTCAGTGTGGGGCCACTTTCATATCGCAGGGTATCTTGAGTTTATTTTAATGCGCATAATTTGTTTTGAATAGACTTGACAGGTTTCATTTGATGTAAACTACAAGCAATTTATGGTATGCCTTGACAGTTTGTCTTCTCGGACCGTTCAACTGATCGAAACAACCTCTGGAAACCACCCTCCATATCAAGGTCATCGTCCCCTTTTCAAACTTCGTCACACACTTTTCATGTCATCTTCGCGGCCGAATAAACACTCCTTTGTAGGGCCAGTGCTCACTCAAGCGACAAACGCTAGCCATGTCTTTCTCGTGCTCTTGTATTAGTCTCAGACTTCCACCATCATAATCAACATCACACACTATCACTATCATCAGTCAATGGATGAAAAACCTCCTCAGCTGTCTGACCGATCGAGTCAAGGTGCTCCAAGACATCGAAATAAACGCTTTCAAAGTATTCCTTGGTGACATCCTGAGCAACGTTGTTCATACCCTCCAGCTGATCGTATCTCTCATTGACAAATGCTTCTCCCACATCATGCTCAATTGCGTGTAACAAAAGCAACAGAGGAACAAGTGGCGGAATTCCCATTCTCATATTCAAGGTGTGTGTGTAATACTCCATAAGACGATGAACAAAGTGCCGGGTACTAGGAAAATCGCTTCGCTCGCACCGAATGAGATTGAGCAGACCATTGGAGATATCAGCGGGGTCCTGCTCGGGACAGCGGCCAAGCTCCCGAACGATCGTGTCGGCTCCCCGCATGAACTCGTCAGCCAGCTCAGCGCGAGGAGTCTCTTTCACAATCATGCGCACGAAGATTGGATTCATGTTCCACGAGATCCACCTGCGGACCTCAATCGACACCTCTTGCCATCTTCTAGCATTGGGCGAGTCCTTGTAAGGGCGTGGAATGTCATGGTCGATAAGCCGATGGAGTTTGTACCCTTTAAGAATCTGGTAGATATCATTGCGCCAGGTCACATAATTGGAAGGATGTTCCAGAACACAGCGAAACTGGTACAGCATAAAGCTGGGAATTTGCGGAAGCTGGAATGCCTGGTCAATTTGGCCAGTCTGTCTCTCAGCCGGCAGAAGGGTCGACCAGTCGCGAGTGTGCTCCACAGACATTTTGATGTGTTGTTGTAAAGACCTCTTTTCGACTGGGTTCCCGTTGTTGCAAAGTGAGAGATACTCCGGCTGGAACTATACAAAAACCCACCACGTTAGCTTATGATCTTTTTTCAAATTTTCCACAATAAAAGCTGGATGACTTACTTTGTTGATTAGTCGAATAAAATATTTGACTACGCCTCGGGGACGTGTGTCGGTAGCGCAGGCGTCTCTTGTTGTCTTTTAGTCGACAGCCGAAGATCGGACAATATCAGGTTTCTTACCACAGTTGAGACAAGTTAGTAGCCTTTTGAATAATTCAGAACCTTTCAAGCTGCTAGCAACTGTACTTTGCCTGAAGTTTTAATGAACAAAAGAACTGAGGTGTACAGGCGAAAAGAGGAGAGAGGAGAAGGGAGGAGACGATAAAAGCCGATAAAGCTTCAACGAAGGCGGAGATAGTATCTACAGTATAACCTCACATACTTGGAAGTAAACACACGTCATATCTAGCTTAGCCGAATATATCCAAAGGCCTTACATATACTTAGCCCAAGAATAAGTCAATCGATACTAGCAGTCTGCGCACCTTGGCCAAAACAAAAGTGCTAATATGAAGTAGTTACTCATACCGGACATCTAGTATAACCTGAATTCATTAACTTAGGATGAAACAATCAATCGGTATCGCTAGACGCCATCCACTATAGTGATGAAACAATTCTGGCCTTGGGATATTATAAAGTTGTTTGCTCTTTTAACCATGTGCCTATCAACTGAACAAGATTACTGCGTGAAGGAAACCAGGTCAAATGTTGATACGGCCCCGGGGATGCTTGCAACTTTCCTACCAAACCTAGTTTAGCACCTAGTTTAGCACCTAGTTTAGTACCTAGTTTAGTACCTAGTTTAGTACCTCGTTTAGCACCTACCTACTAACAGGTTGGTGTGTTCAGTAAGCTAAGGTATACGCAGCCAGCATACAGGCAGAAAGGGCGCCATGGACATATTTATCACCTAGTATCCCCACGTTTTGTCGGGACAGGTGGTACGAGAAAATGTCTCTAATAAGCGTTGCTTACAAGAACAACGACACAGAGCTACAGGCCATCAGGGGATACATATGTATCCACTCACCGCATATCGTATGCATCGTTGGCGTGGATAGTATTCAGGGGTTATAGTGGCCAGGGTTCAAAACTCCCTTTTGAACCCTGGCCACTATAAGTCTTGGTATCAGGGGTAAATTTCAAGGATACGCAACTCTTGTATCCTCCTCAATTAAGTTCTAAGGCTATGTTGTATACAATTTATTGTAATTGGAATTAGATCATTTGATAAAAATAACATCTCATGTTCCGGTGAAATATATAGTTCCTCAGCCCCATCCATGTATATAAATAACTTCAAAGGTTCACCGACACCCTAGTATTTCCACCCTAGCTTTTCAGTGTGAAAACGAGGGTATTGATAGTCATAAAGGTCACTTTGGTATTTGTCCCCTAACATGAGTTCATTTCTTGATAAAACATGTATTCCAACATAAGAGTATGTCCTGTCCACAGACACACACACGGCTTATCCGTCTTATCCGCCTTATCGTTTCCGCCAATCTCCCAATGTCCAACTTTGTTCATTCCTCCACTTTCTTCCTCGTCTGTCCTTCTTCATTAGGGTCTCAGCATATATTTATCACTACAAGTCACTCATCCGGTCTATAGGTAGGAGATTACGTCTCTCAAACATGATATGCCAAGTCTTGTACGCTAACAGTCCCCCATTGATAGTAATCCTGCTGCCTTCCACCGCCCCTCAGGGCCTCGTTATCTTATCACAGCATGGGGATTCAGGTCTGACAGAAGATCTGTAGCCTTCCTAGGCCACTACATTCTTGCTGCCTTTTTGCTCTTCCCCGGCCGACCGTAACCGCCTTCTCGAAATGGACCAAGAGGAGGCTCCACCACCCCCATACTCGGCGGTTGACCCATTACTCGCACCAACGAACAGCAGGAGGAACGACTCTTCTCAGACTCCAATCCCTTCCGGGGTGAGTGTCCCTCTGCCGCAAGATGCCAGTAGTTCTCGTGTCCCGACGCCGCCGACAGTCGTCCCGACGCATTTCAGATCCGCCGCTGCGTACTTTGAGGAACGGCTTCCCTCGGTCTTAGACGAAAGCCGGGGTCTACTACAACATCATATGACAATCTACCCCCGGAGCCAAGCTAAGGATTTCCCACGACGGCCGCGGTGTTGGGCCTCGCGCTTAGATGAGACTACGCAGCAGGACTGGGATACCTTCTTAAAGTATCTATTTCCGCCGCAATTGGGGCTCGCTGCATCCTCGGAACATCTACCACGCCAATTACGGGCGCAAATCAGACGAGACCGCAAGGATCGCCCGCAGGAGACTGATGAGCAACGGAAGGCTCGAATTGCAGCCGTCGTCGCCGAATGGAACGAATGTTTTTTCGAGCTCCGCGCTACTCGGATTGTCTTTGTCTATGTGGGCGAACCTGATTCTGCGCCGTCGTCCGCTTTATGTCCCCGATGCTATCCAGCGGCAACGGGTTCAATAGAAGGCCAGCCAATTCGAAATCCAAATGCCCCGTCGCCTGTGCCTGGGCAACACGCTCCCTCGCCGACCCCATGGTCGGTGCCTCCTACGTTCCAGAATCCCCAAGTACATGTGCCCCCATCTCCATATGGAGTATATGGTGTTCCTCCATACCCTCCCCCTATATCCCCTAACCAGCCACCTCAGTACTACCCGCATCCCCCACAAGGCACATGGCAATGGAACAACTGGAACTATCCGCAGCAACAACCGCAGTACCCCAATAATGGCACACAGAAGAGTGGGTCCCTTGGGTGGATCTCACAGATCGCATCACAAGCGCAGAAATATGGAGAGCGTTTCAGCGAACAGGCGATACAATACGGAGACCAAATCAGTGCACAGGCACAGCATTATGGACGGCAGGTCGAGGAGCAGGCTCTTGCACATGGCCGCTGGATTGAAGAACAGGCAAGGCTTCATGGCCGGAAAGCACCGATGGCTGGACCTCAGTACGGTGGTGGCTACTACCCCCGGCCGGCCTGGGATAACTCACCTCGTCCCATAGCCAACATCCCGATGTCACCCATTCACAGGCTCAGCCCTGTGACAAGTCCTAATACGACGGGTCGGTCCGAGTCGATCAATGAAGGCGAGAGCAACAAACCTAAATCCCCAACGGAACAGCTTCTGATAGAGCCCCCCGCGACGGAACGCACCAGACGAGCATCAGTGAGCTCAGTCTCATCCGAATCTTCCTTCAGCTCGATTGACTCCATCTCGACAACGTCGGACCTAGACGTTACAGACCTTGCGACAGTGCGCACTCAGTTGGAACTTCTTGACGATCGTCATGATCGGGTATTATACGACGCCGCCGTCGATCTCCGCCGGCAACTCTCTGCTCTTCAAGAGTCCCGCCGAGAAGCCAAGTTCTCCGGTAAAAATAACTGGCGAGCCGGTTTCAACCAAAATCAACAAAACAGCCAACAATCTGGCGACGCCGACTGGGGTCGCTGGGACTCACCCGAGCAGCAGCAACGCAACTCAGTCGACAGACGCGCCATGAAAGAAGAAGTGCGCGCCACCAAGAAAGCGTTCCGGGACACGCTGCGTCGAGCACGAGACGATCAGCGCGAACGTCGACGCACTCGACGCCGCCAGGTCCGCCAGGCTCGCGCCAATGATGGCGATAAGGCGAAGCATATGCATGACCAGCCGCTAGACCAGCCGCTAGACCAGCAGCTTGGGTCGTTGCGGCTGCAAGATTCCCGACAATCTAACCCGCCTTTGCCTGCACGTCCGGTCAGCACACAAACACAGCCTAGTCCGGTTTCTACACCGAATGGCTCGAATGTTGGCTTTGGATTTGCTTCCAATCCCCCTTCCCCTTCTATCTCACGGCCGAGTACGCAGGACTCCATGCCCACTGGGGGCGCTTCCGCCTCTGTGAAGCAAGGGAAGCCGGCTGATACGTCGAGTCGGCTCAAGGACATGCTGTTGTCGCGTAAGGCGAGGAAGCAACAGTCGAAAGAGGATGATGCAGGAAGTAAATGATCTGGAAAAGCTGGATATTGTTGATCTTTTCTTTTTTCCTTTTCTAGTTCTAGCCCTGGAGTTCAGTATTTCCTTGGGAGGACGGGCAAACATGATTTTCCTTCTCCTTGATGTATAGTTCAATCTCGATCACAGCGAAGTCGACGAAGTTACGATCCCCATTAATACATATGTACACATTCACGAAAAACTTACAATTCGCATCCTCCTCCACACACACATTCCAAATACATTGAAATAACCCCCTTTTTTTTTCTTGCAAAAAAAGCCTACCCTCTTACTCTATTGGATTTGTAGAGGATTGAGAGCGAATTGGTGGCATAAGTGGGTGGTTGAACTAATAGAGATCTAATTCCTGCACACGGCTGTTGCCTGATTTCTCAGGCATGTGACCCTGCTTATGAGTTAGCTACTAAACCCTTTTGGGACTAGAAAGTCATTTGCCACTAAGCCTATTTAGGAACTAGGTTAGAGAGAGGCTGAGTTGTTGATGTCGATCACTTCGATCCGTCAGTATTGCTGGAGAGCATCATCCCAAACATGCATGTTTGCTACAGAATGAGCTTTTGTTCAGATGGTTTTAAAAGGGTGTATAAACCCCTGGATTTCTAGCTTTGATAGATCCTGATTCTTCTTCTGCTTTCTCCCTTAGTAGTAATCTATATAAAAAAGTATCACTTCGTTAACAACAGCCTCATGGGCTCTTTGATTCGCTATTATAAGGTCTCTCCACCAACTCAACGATGATTACCTATTTGGGAAACCTCTTCGTGCCAGTAACTGGTGATTATAACTTTTATATCTTACTATTGGTGAATCTGAATGGTCTAATCTACCATTGTGTTCTCTCAGATAAAGCTTTGCTAAGAGAGCTACCTAATTACCAAAAGGAGAACACACTTTTGTTTTTCTCAATTGATAAAATCAGGCACCTGCGTGTCTTTTAAGAGGGATTGGTGACCCAGGAAGTGATCGCTTAATTCTTTCCATCTAACACACCCATCTACTCACTTCGAATCACAACTCTTCGACTCTTCGAACACTTACACACATACAACAAACCCTCCATTCCTGCAGCCATTGTCGTTGCCATCCAATTCTGTGCCTTCAATAACACAATCCAATCACTCTGAATCACTTTCGATCACCATGTCTTCGACATACGACCCTTCGAACCCCTTCTACAAATTCTACAAGCCCTCCATTCCTGCAGCCATTGCCGTTGCCGTCCTGTTCCTTGCCGTCGGCCTGGTCCATTTATGGAGAATAATTCGGACGCGACAATGGTTTGGAATTGTGATCCTTGTTGCAGCAGCGTGTATGACTTGAGACCTCCGCGTTCCTCACCCACAACAAAGCGCGATCCACCACAAAACGAAATAGCCTTCTAAACTAATCTTCCCTACTATCTTACAGTCGAGGTCGTTGGCCTGGTCGCGCGAGTTGCCTCCAGCAAGCACCTCGAGAAGGAATTGCCATACGAAATCCAAACCGTCCTGATCCTCCTCGCCCCCATCCTATACGCCGCCGTGATCTACATGTTCCTCGGTCGTCTCATCCTCAAATCAGGATACCCGGAGTTATCCTTCATCCGCATCAAGTGGCTGACTCCTATTTTCGTCACGGATGACATCTTTTGCTTCTTCGTTCAAGCAGCCGGCGTCGTTATCCTGCTCCGTGCCGACTCCAAGTCCAAGTTCGACTTGGCCAAAGCGGTCATTCTCGCTGGTCTGGCACTGCAGGTGCTCTTCTTTGGCATCTTCGCCTTGGTTGCCGTTCTTTTTCACATCCGGTTCAGTTCCCGTCATGGAGGGAATGTCATTCGTCAGGGCGTGAACGTGAATGTGAATATCAGACTGTGGAATCTCTACATCTGCAGTTTGCTGATCACTGTCCGCAACATCTACCGGTTGGTGGAATATGCGACTGGTACGGGCGCCTATCTCTCGTTGCACGAATGGCCAGCTTATGTGTTGGATATCGGACTGATGTTTATCATCATGGTTCTCTCCATCTTCTGGTATTTCCCCAAGACGACGGCCCCTGGTGTCGGCATGCGTTCGGAATACCCTCTGGCTGAGCAAGGGCCCCTCGAGTGAGAGTTGACTCACGGACAATCCCGTCGCTTTGGATATCACTCACCTGCTGATATTCCCATGCTTGACGGCGCTGCTATTCCGTCGCTTTGGATATCACTCACCTGCTGATATTTCCATGCTTGACGGCGCTGCTATTGACATATTTGAGAATACCCTTCTGTTAATGGGAATTTGATCTGCTCTTTTTGTAATTTAACATTGCAAAGAACAGTCAGCCCTTTATGCGACCTGATGTATTTCTTAGGTCTATACGAAGTCGGTAAAAAAAATGCCATACTTTGTGCAAGAGACTTTTCACTTTCCTATGTATTCCCTAAGTAACCATCTCCAATAAATTCAGTTTCTGCTGTTCACGCGACATACCGTCACCGTCTTGGAAGATCCAAGGAAAATCAAGGAAATTCCTTTAAAAAGGTGCTCTCCACCCATGGAACCACCAGGGCAGTTTACTTTATCAACCCCGCGTTCCTACTTTCTTCTTCTTTTTATCCCCTACATCTACCTACAACCTACAATTTGTAGGTAATTATAAACATCACTCTACCCAATATCAAATATTCCAATGCCATCCGAAATCGATATCCAAGATGTCCCAGCTCACCCCTTTCATTTGGACCAAAACACCCTAATTCCCGACTTCAGCCTAACAGACAAGGTAATCCTAGTCTCGGGGGCCGGTCGAGGTCTAGGCCTTGCCTTAGCAGAGGCTCTGTTAGAAGCGGGGGCGAAAGTGTACGCTCTAGACTATCTGAAAGAGCCGGTACGTGTCACACCATTGTGATACAAATCCCCATCACCAAGAAAGGAATAACCCCCGATAACTCATAACCCCCATTCCTATGGGAAAAAAGGCACCGGAGTTCATCCAAGTCCAGCAGCATGTCAAGACATGGCGCACCGAGCTGCAGTACCGTTGTGTCGACGTGCGTGACACAGACGTGCTCAATACTGTCGTCGAGGATATCGCCAATCACGAGCGTCGTATCGATGGTCTAATCGCGGCCGCTGCGATTCAGCAGGAGACGCCCGCTTTGGAATACTCTGCTAAAGATGCTAATGCCTTGCTCGAGGTTAATGTCACCGGTGTGTTCATGACTGCCCAGGCTGTCGCGAGACAGATGATTCGTTTCGGGAATGGGGGTAGTATCGCCATCGTCGCTAGTATGAGCGGTACTATTGTTAACAGGGTATTTATTTTCTTTTATTATTTTCCTTGTCTGGCTTTCTTGCCTGGTTTTCTTATCGAGGTTTCATGTTGTCGTGTGCTCTTCCCTATAACAACATCATTCGTACCCTTGGACTCGCCTCGGCGCTTGATTCTCAACACTCCTATGATATCTTCATCCAAGCTAAGAGTTCTAATCAGGGTCTAATCTGTCCCGTCTACAACGCAAGCAAAGCAGCCGTCATCCAGCTAGCTCGCAACCTCGCTGCTGAATGGGGCCAGTACAATATTCGCGTCAATACCCTCTCCCCGGGCTACATCCTTACTTCGATGTTGGAGATCTTGTTCGTCGAGTTTCCTGAGCGTCGCGAGCAATTTGGTAAGGAGAATATGCTAGGCCGTCTATCCCGTCCGAGGGAATACCGTGGTGCGGCTGTCTTCTTGCTTTCTAATGCTAGTAGTTTCATGACTGGTAGTGACCTCCGTATAGACGGTGGTCATGCTGCGTGGTGAACAACGGGATTACTGCTGTTGTAATAAGGTATTGGTAGGTTGTTCAAGCAGTTTGTTTTAACTTCTCTTTGGGGAGGGATTTGTTGGTTACGTTTGTTACGTTGGTTACTCTTTTTGACGGTTTTTGCATTTTGACCTTTTGGTTTAATTCGAAGCTATGGTATATGGCTAGCTTAATGACAGTGAGTACTTCTATATATATATTGCGCCTGTAGCGCTTTGTTTTCTCAATGCCTCGACTCGTAGATGGTCCCATATAGATCGGGTTCCACGCTTAGACCCGGGGAAGTATAGTATAAAATAGGTAAAACAGGCATGAGGAGTTAGTTGGTCATACAACGGGGGCCTTGCGTCATGCCACGTAGATTACTTGATCTACTTCATAATTAAAAATAGTTTTCCATGGTCCCTAGTAAATATACCTAGATACTAGACATATCCAACTAGACTGAGTATCATTTACATACAACATAGTAATACTATAACGGTTTAAATAACCGGCAGACTCCGGGTAGATTGACGGCCCGATCCATGACTTAGGGAGAGATTATTTAGGCAGAAGCATTCAAATACTAATCGTGAGGTTATAACGCGTGGCAGCCCAACGGGGCAGTGCTACGAAAAGGTTATATAAGATTAACACATAGAACTAACTAGGGAATGCCTCGAGACAATCTAGATCGCCCTCTCGGGATTGTAAGGCGTAGGGTCGGCATTACCGGGTGGATCCCTGATTGTCAAGGCATGTGGAGTGATACGAAGTAGGTGATGTACGACTCGGATAAGGTTGACCTGATGTGAGAGGAAATTGTAGTGGAACACGATAGCTTTTCTACAGACACTGGGCTACTCCGTACTTATTGAGATTGAGAATTGTGGCAATTATGATATTGAGCTTACGACAGCTCTGTGGCGTATCCAACGCGGGGAACGAAAAAGGAAAGATCCTATGAGCAGAAAATTATCAAGATTCAGAACAAATTCCGTGAGATGTATATTATATGAAATGTATGGAACAAGAAATGCCGAGCCTGTATCTCTTTACAGTCAAATCGTGAAATCATACCTAAGTAAATAATGGTAGATAAAATGGGGGTAAATGTCCAGAAATGGGAACGCTATATAGCACACAGGGTTGGAGATTGAGACAAACCCCCACGAATCCAAAAAAGAATTGTAGAAAGGAACATGTATCCGAAGGAAATACCAAAATGGAGAATGATCCCGATCGAGATCAGTTCGAGATCGCATGGGGTTCAGTCGAAGGGATCGAAGAGTAATGTTGTCCATCACCCGACTTCTGCGCACGTCCATTCTCGAACGCCTGCGCCTGGTTACTAGAGCTGAGACGACGCTCCCCGACATGGCCAGCATCACCATCTCTGCAAGACGAGACAGCGCGATCAGTGGCAACGGGTGCAACGGGGCCCTTCTCGTGCCAGTTAACACCCTCCGACTTGAGCTGTTTACGGGCCTTACGACCACGACAGCAAGCCGCGCAGCAAGAACCGATCTGAAGAATGAAAGCGATCAAACTGAACGCCGAAGCGATCCACATAAACACCAGCATCTGGGTGCCGACATGGGCCTTGATATTGATGCCCGGGTCGGCGTTTGAGAAGACATTGGCGAAGATCACGAACATGACTGTCGCGACGGCCGACCCGACAACAGTCACCAGTGCGGTGAAAAATGTCAGAATCAACATGGGCAGGGCGCGCAGCCAGACAAAGGTGCGTCGACGGTGGGGTGGATTCCCCGCGGGCGGGTGGTCATCGCTGTAACCTGCTGCCCAAGCTTTGATATTCCGTGGGTGTCGCGAGGACACGGCGAGCGGGGCGACGAAGATCAGGATGAAGTTGAGGACTGCTGCGGTGAGGAGGATTCCGAACATCCAATGGGAGGCGGTGCGGGCTAGTTTCAATGGGCTTTCGATATCGGCTGGGAGAGCGACTGGGGGGGTGGGAGGTGTTAGTTAATATTCGCATTCCAGGGGTGGATGGTCCTTGCATGCGGGGGATATCTGTGTAACGTACCTGTAGCACCGGCCAATAGCTCGTTTAGAATGATCTCAACTGGGTTGAAGGCATAAAGAGTCTCCGGCTTGGAGCAGTAGGTGATTCCCTGTCCATAATATCCTTCGCAGAAGTTCCATAGGCCGACCTGGTAGAAATCGTGCAAGCCAATGGTTTGGGCGATGGAGTTGATTAGGACGGCATTTGGAATAGAGACGGGGATAATATTGGAAAGATCAAGATAGAGGAAGTAGGTATTTCGCAGGACTGGTCTATTAGAAGTGTTGCCAATGACTACCAGTACCAAAAAGATCCAAGCAATCAAATATAATAGCGACCGTAATATACGATGCCAGTGGACGGTGGATTTTTGTTGACGGTGGATTGGGCTAGTGGACTTGAAAAAGGGAAGCTTTCGCTTGCCATTGTCCATCCCATTCATGATCAAAACAATATGAAAAAGGGGGTGGGAAAGAGAAAGTCCAAGTTCCCACCGAAAAGGAAAAGAGAAGAGAAGAGAAGAGAGAGAGAGAGAGAGAGAGAGAGCAATTAGGGTTCCCAAGGCCGACAATGACGTTAGATCATAGAGGTCATGGAACTCCCCGATTACCTTTGGAGCTCCTTTTTTTTTAGCGTTGGAGTTGGCTGAGCTTACCCATCGATTTTAATATATTGGGGTCTATTGGGGTCCATAGAAATCCAGAATTTAAGAAATTTCAGCAGATCGTCGCGTTTCTTATGCGATCGTCAGTGGCTGAACACTAGTGGCGTGGCTCCTGGCCTACGTTGACGATCAGTTAGGCTGATAGGAGTAGGAGGACATACAACATAGTTAGAACAGATTAAAATGTAAGGAAAGGGGAATGTCATGACCAATGAGTCGATTAGATATCATAATATATCATAATATATCCTCATCTTTTGTATTAATAGTGTTAATAGTATTAATAGTATTAATAGTGTCTTGGCTATATGTTGTAAGACCATCAATGTAATAGGCAGCAATCGGCATTTGAGCCCAGAGGCCGGAGATCTCTACCCACTTTCCACCTCTTCCACTTCCCACTTCCCACTTCCCAACTATTGGCCCATCACTTTTATTCGATTGGTGGTGAACTAAGTGAACGTCATTGATATAATGATCTCCACATGCCATACGATTAGGTAAGTTGAAGTATTTCCCGGGGTCCCGACATCTCATCTTCGCCTCCTATTTTGGGTGAAACGATAGTTATCCCCCCCATATCACACAAGGATGAGGTGGTCTACTATTATTCTTGGCTTCCTTGCCGTTGCTGTAGCCCAGGATTCGACTACCGAATCCTCTACAGAGTCGGGGATGACCACCGATGGAACCACAGTTGTGTCAGTCACTACTCCCGTGCCCATTCCCTCAGGTACCTACCAAGAATTCAGTACAACAATCACACTGAGTGGTGGCGATGAGTCGACCATTATATCGACTACTCAGTACAATGGCACAAAGACCGCCTCCAACCAGACGGCGGTCACCACGACTTCCGACTCCTTGACTTTGCTGGTGGGTGGCGGAGGGACAACAGTGATTGGGAACAATAGTATGAACGCGACTGCGACCAGGACTGGCACAGCTACGAATACCCCTGTCGTCAATACTCGTCCTTGCAACAACTACCCCGAGTTCTGTACTAGAAAGTACTCCAACATTACCATGGTCGCAGCGCACAACAGCCCGTTCGTGCGCAAGAACAACATCGCCGCTAACCAGGTGCTGGATGTGACGACACAATTGAATGATGGAATTCGCACGCGTAAGTGCATTCGGAGTCACCGTATATCAACTACTTTAAAAATGAACACACTTATTAACTTACCTGTGAACTAGTACAATTCCAGACCCACTACGAGAATGGCACAATGCACCTATGCCACACAAACTGCCAATTGCTCGGCGTCGGCACCCTCGAAGAATACCTAACCGATGTCAACACTTGGATGCGGGAGAACCCCTACGACGTGGTTACCTTCATCATCGGCAACTTCGATTATGTCTCTCCCGAGAACTTCACCACCCCGATCTACAACTCCGGTCTGAAGGACCTAATTTACACCCCCAAAAAGGTGCCAATGGCGCTGAATGACTGGCCCACGCTCTCCGAGATGATTCTCAGGCAGAAGCGCGCAGTCTTCTTCATGGACTACCAGGCCAACCAGACCGCGTACCCATGGCTGATGGATCAGTTCTCCCAGGTGTGGGAGACGCCCTTCTCACCCACCGATCCCACCTTCCCATGCACCCAGCAACGCCCACCCGGTCTGTCTGTAGCAGACGCGAAGAACCGCATGTATATGGCCAACCATAATCTGAACCTGCAGTTGAATCTCGGTTCTCTGAGCCTGTTGATCCCCAATACCGCTCAGCTTGACGAAACCAATGCCGTCAACGGCAGTGGTAGTCTGGGCGAAATGGCTGAGAACTGTACCGGTAAGTTTGGAGATCGATTTTATGGCTTTTTTTTTATTTATTGCTTGGCTAACTCGTAACAGCAACCTGGGGCCGTCCTCCCAACATGCTTCTAGTCGATTACTATAACTATGGTGATTTCAACGGCTCGGTTTTCGAGGTCGCTGCTCAGATGAACAATGTCACTTATGACCGTAAATGCTGTGGCAAGACCTCTGGCGCCTTGCGCGAGGGGTCTGTCGCTGGTATGTCGACGCTGCTTCTGGTGGCAGTGGGAGTGCAGATGGTGATGTCTGCGTTTTAATTTCCACGATATCTATGATTATTTTGGGTGCATGACCAGATCGGTCGTCGGCGCTAGGTTTTTTTTTTTGGTTCTTTTTTTCTGGCCATAGATATTACATAGTACTGGATATGATTTTGATATAGTATGTACATATGCACAATGTTGTAGTTATTTGATCTATACATAACAGCAGAGTCAGTAGACATGTCGTTCACTAGAGCTCAACCTCGAACTCAAAAAATGAAAATAAAAAAAAACTTCCAAAGAACATCTCAACACCTTCTCAAACCAACAAACCCAAACATAACTACCAACCCCAGTATCCACATCCCATCACAACCTCCTCTCCTCCCTCCCATCTCCACGACATCACATGACCTCCCCACCGCACCGCAAACTAACTCCACCCTCAAACCAAAACCACCCCCCTCACCTCAATCAAAACCTCCAACCCGAAACTCCAGCTACGCAACCGCCAAAATGGTCGACATCGTCCCTCTAAGCAGCTACCCCTCGTACATCGACCTCCTCCCGTCAATCCAAACCTGCAACATAACAAACCTCCCCGAGAACTACTTCCTAAAATACTACCTGTACCACGCCCTGACCTGGCCGCAGCTAAGCTTCGTGGCCGTCGTGCGTCCGCGCACAGCATACAAGGCCAGCTCCACAGGCGCCGGAATCGCAGGCGATGTCTCAGGAGAGTATCCCAAGGTCGTTGGATATGTTCTCGCGAAGATGGAGGAGGAGCCCACGGATGGGAATCAGCATGGTCATATTACCAGTTTGAGTGTTATGCGCACGCATAGACGGCTGGGGATTGCTGATAGGCTTATGCGGATGAGTCGTGAGTGATTGTTCTTTTTTTTTTTTTTTTTTTCGGATTTGGATTTGGATTTGGATTTGGATTTGAGTTTGCTTTCGCATTTGCTTTCGCAGACAATTACCATTTACGATATCGATGCTAATTTCTATGATTCTACAGAACGCGCAATGGCTGAATCCCACCGCGCGCATTTCGTCTCCCTCCACGTGCGCATGTCGAACATTGCTGCGCTGCGTCTGTACCGCGATACGCTTGGCTTTGAGGTTGAGAAGGTTGAGAGTGGATACTACGCTGATGGCGAGGATGCGTATGCTATGCGGTTGAATCTTCAGAATATGTGGCTTGATTGGAAGGCTATTGAGAAGAAGGATGCGGACAATAATAAGGAGAAGAATGGGGATGAGGAAGGGAATGAGGATGAGGGTGAAGAGGTTGGCGAGCTTGGGAAGAAGGATGCTGAAAAGATGATTCGCGTTAAGGTTGGGAGGGGACTTGGAGTTGGTGATTTGGTTGAGAAGAACGAGTCCAAGGCTTAAGAGGGAGATATGGATGTGAATGTGAATATAGATGCAAATGGGGATGAGTGCTCTTTGTATGTATAGAGATCTCTTTATTAGCTAGTTATCTAGGCCTTTAAAAATAGAGATATTAGCTCTATTTCTCTTACTACGCTACGCGTATATTAAATAAATATCCTACGTTCAACTTTACGTACGCGACCGCCTCAACGGCTATACCGAACGAAGTACTATACGCGCTAACTTATATAAATTAATAGAGATTAAAGAGGAGTCTCTTTTAAAATAGATTCTTTCTATAGACTACGTAGAGCGGCCCCTCGGCCCTCTATGGTACGAGAAATAGTAGATATTAAAAAAAAGGTATTATAACTAACTATATAAAACGGTATCTTCTCCTTTCCTCCCGATTCTCGAAACGATATAACTATAAGCGTACGAAATATAAAGACCCTAAAATTATTAAGGGGTAGTTTAATCTTATTTAAAAAAACTATTGGTCATCTGTATAGGATAAAAAACTTCATTTTTTAGGACTTACAAACCATCCAAAAACATGGAGATGTCGTCGTTTGTATGGGGATCAAAAACCTCATTTTTGGGTTAACGGCATTAACTTCAGGCATTTGTCCGTCGTAGAATGATTTACATTGTAAGGGTTTTGGCAGCTGGCGCCTATATGGGCGTTTATCGAAATTGATATATCTCCAGGGGCCAGGACTAAGTGATATATTCTTCACTCCAAGCATTCCTCCTTTTATTTTATTTTACCAATTTCTAATATCTGGGCTCTGCAACACAACTTCACATCTCACATCTCTCTTTTTTTTCTTAAACTCAAGTCTCAAGTGTACGGGCGACTAAGTATGCTACTGGCACATAACTCTGTCAGTCTACCCTATAAAGATTCACCTACCCTTAAACCAGCGGCTAAGAGATCTACTAATTCTCTTTAAATTCAATTCAGATTCACTTCAGATTCAATTTAGTAGGGAATAACTACCTAGGTAATGACAGAGTTATGTGCTAGTGGCATACTTAGTCGCCCGTACAAGTGTTCATAACTCGGCTCTTCCTTCTTTCCCTCGCTCCTACCTTTGACCCAACCATCAGATCCCTATTTTTGTGGCCTATGGTACTAAGATGCCGTCCTATAAAGTCGTCAAGAAGAGGGCAACGACCAGACAAAGAATGATGAACGCGATCCTTGACTTACAAGATCAAGCACACAAGCCCTCCCTCTCCCAGCTAAAGACGTCAATTGCAAGTCTCACGTCAACAATTCAAGCAGACCAGCCCGAGCTACCGACAATTGCAATTTCTTCTTTGAATCTCGGCGATGTCCAAGTTATGCTCAAGTTGAATCATTCACTGAGCAACCTTGAGTTCCGTAACAAAGCTGTCCCCGATCTATGGTACGTATCCCTTGAGGAATATTCAAGCTAATGTAACACATGACTATGACTGACTTGACCCATCCCAGTGGTTAGACATGACAAGAAACGCATTTGGGAAAAGCGAGCCAAATGAAGCATTGACTCGCTTCTGACACCGGCGGAGAAACATTGGGCAACAGAGTTAGAGGTTTCATGCATCGTGTGGGTTGTCCGCAAAATCCACCATATGATCGAGGCAGCTCCAGAACATTTGACAACCTACTTGTGTTCGCCCATCACTATGTCACCTCGCAACCTGCCAGCATTTCTACGGACTTGAACATGAATGATTTGCACTTGAATGCTGAAGGTTTATAGCGGACCGCGGTATGGGCCGGTCACACATAAGGGTCTCAAGTACGACCTAGTTGGGCGCCCAGACTATAGCTTATGGTATGGCGACGAGGAAGACGTCGCAGTTAGTATTGTTGTAGTCGAAACCAAGGGTGGCGCAGGTCCATCAACCGGAGTCTCACAAACGCTTGGCTATATGGGTTACGTGCATAGACGTCGGAAGGACCTCCAGAAATTGGATTCAACCGTATACGGTGTCGTGTCTGACGGCCAGTGGTGGGTCTTTTTAAAAATAAACAATGATTCATAGGTGAGTAAATTTTACCATCATATCATACATGTTCTAACTTGAATAACTAGTGGACGGAGCATATAATTCCTGCTCGTCTTGGTAATTATCAGGAGGTGCTAGGTTTACTTGTGCATATGTTCCGTACTGCTGCGAGTCTGCGACCATGTCTCCTATTCAGTCAGAGAAGATATCAGTCCAGACCAATTCAACAGAGTCGTCTGGTCACTGGTGCTTTGTACATGGGGTTTGATAGAGGTGTTGCACTTTATCATTCATAGTTATCTCGGCAACTAGCTGCCGTTAGTTAGGGGAATCAACTTTCTTATCTTCCCAATCCTTCATACTGTGTAACAAGAGGAAGAGAGTAGCGATGAGGAAGAAGTCTGTCGAGATATCTCTATTTGTAAGCATATGAAAAGCTTCATTTTTGACAGTTGTAAGCGCCAGCAGAATCAGGCTACTTTGTATTGGAAGTGTCATGGTAGCCATGCCAAGGCTAGACATCAAGGCATCATAATATACCATGACATGGCCGAGTAAATTGGATTTGAGAATTATTCTCCATTGCCCCTTACTAGCATTGTCTTTCTACACTAACTACTGTTTGTCTGCATCTCAAATTCCCATATGCTATGCGATTACAGAGACCATAGATTGATTGATAGATACTCGGCATCAGGAGAAGCAAAGGGGATATTAGGGAAGGCGAAATCACGTTTATTCTGCAACAATGCCAAAACACATATAATGAGAGAATAGTATAATGAAACAATGAAATGATGGATTGAACAGACGCAAAAATCAAATTTCAAAACTCAGTATGGGCTCTGGACACAAATAGATAATAAGGACATGCACAGAAGTGACCAAAGCCATGCCTTGCCCGCTATCTAAAGACGGGGCCAGTGGCGTAGCTCAAGCCAAAAGTAAAGATCAAGGAAATAGACGGGGTATCGATATGGAATAAGAATAAAGCAAGGTAAGACCGAAATAAGCACACAAGCCCCAGAGAAAAATCACAAAAGCAAGGTGGAAAAGAAGTGGAAAGAACTAAAATCGTACTAACGTGGATGCATGAAGTAATGACAACGCAAGAAAGAAACATCGAAGAGAAAGAAGAGAAAAAAAACTCATGGGCCCGTTGTCTTTCACTCCTGGTACGCCCACTAGTCGGTCCCCATATTAATACGCCGTGTATGCAAAGGTCAACTCGAATGACCAAATAAAAGGCAGAAATGAGCCATCTAGCCCATCTCCATGCCGTACTCGTCCTCCTCCTTGAAGCTCATAGCAGCATGACCAGCGCTGTTCCAGTACTGGGGCTGGCCAGCGCCATTGGCACTGCTGGTACCGCTGTGGAATGAAGGACTCAAGCTGGGAGGGGTCAGGCCGGACATGTCGCCGCCCTGCACGGCATCGCCGGCGATATTAGTATGCTTGGGGACGCGCAGACCGCTACCAGGGCCACGGGTGTAGCTGAAGGAAGTTGGGTCATTCCTCTCCAAAGCATCGAGTATCTCGCTGCGCATGCGCTTCTCTTCTTCGGTTTGCTCAAAGGGCCAGGTTCCACCCAGGCTGCCGATCAGCTCGGCAAGTTCTGCTTCTTGTTGGTATTTGACGTGCAGTGCCCACATCAGATCGCGGGTCCAGCTGACGGCGCCGTTGAGAATGTCGCCCTTGTTAGGGCCCTTCTCCTTTTCTTCGATTGGGAGACCCATTGTGATGTTCCCCGCTGTCGCGCGGCGGCCGTTGCCTCCAGCGAGAAGAGATGTGGCGGCACTTCCGCCTGCACCAGCCATGGAAAGAGCGCTGCTGTTCACAAGTTGCTTCCGAACCTTGTCGTCTTCTAGTCGGTGCTGAGGAACCAGGTGGGAGAGATCCTGGATGCGTTCATTGATGTTGTCACGTCGGCGGCGTTCGACCAGATTGTGCGAGGCACGGCGACGTCGGCGCTTGGCTTCCTGGGATTCGAGATCTCCATTGCCGCCAGGCAGATGGGCGTCAACCTTAGCGGGCAGCGAGGCGTGTTTCCCGGACTTGAGGATCTCGGAGATGCCAGCGTGGTGTGATTGGTGAGGAGGAGATGAGATGGGAGACGACTCGACGTACGACTGTGCACTGCCGGGCGTTCCGTCCCACTGGTTGGACAGGGACTTCTGATGACGAGCCTGCAGTCCGGTCCGGATAGGCTGGGACGGGAAGCTGCCAGATTCAGGGGTACCCAATGTCAAGGAGCCCAATGCCGGAGTCTTTGGGGTCATGGGACTGCGGCCATCAGAAGAAGGACGGTCCATGCCTTGCAAGCTCTGGCGCTTGGTGCCGAGGTAGTTCTGGTCGAAAGAGCCGGCATTGTGAATGTGGGGATTTTGCTGGCTCATGCGGTACTGCTCATAGTTGAAGCTGTTCTGGACGAACGGGCTGGCCATGGGAGCATTATCCGGGGTGTTGGAGTACATATGCGACATCTGGCTTTGGTGACTCATCGCGATGCCACCAGCAGACTGGTCCTGGAGGTAGTTCACATTATCGCGCTGATGACCGTTCTGACCGCTGATCTCGAGATCCAACAACTCGTCTGTGTCGATGCCGGAGTTGCCGAAGTTGAAGCTGGATGACATGTTCTGTTGCGAACCATAGGAGTAAGGCATGAAGCCATTCTGCTGCTGCATGGTCAAGTCGGAGGGGTCGACCCCATCGGGGAATTGGTTACTCATCGAGTAACCGGAGTGTGACATGATGAAAGGATTATAATCGTCGGATTCGTGTTTGATGAAAAGACTCGCTTCAGCCATAGCCCGGTGAAACAATCTGGGCGGGGGGTGTGTGTGGTGGATGGGGCGCAGATCGGCGAGGGGCGAAAGGAGTCGTAGTGCCGATCCTACTGACTCTCCGCGACAGTTGTCAAAGGTAGACGGACCGAGGTGGGCCGAAACTGGAGAGGATGGATGAAAGAGGTGTGGATGTGAAAATGTCACGATCTGTGTGTATAGAAAAGATATTAGTTATGACTCGACCCCGCCCGTGGGCGATTTGAAGATGTCGTGGCCTCCGTGCGCAAGGCAAAACAGGCAACCCAATAAAATGCAAAACAGACTGAGAAAAGAATAGGAATGCAAATAATTACCCTTGAAACAATGAGGATTGGAGGAATGAAGTCCGGGGAGTTTGTGAGACGTGCCAATAAGCCGGGGAAATTTCCTCGGTCTTAAAGCCGGGATGAGTCGACAATCGAGAGGGGGACTAGGAGGACTGTGCAGATCACCACGAACGAGTCTTGGGACAATCGCAATCGCAGGGCACAAGGCGCAAAGTGACTGAAAATGTTCTGGAGAAACTGTGTAAGTGATGAAAGAGCGATAAAGAATTAAAGTCGTGTAAATGTGAGAAATGAAAGAAGATGGGAGGTTTAAGAAGATAGAAAAAAAAAAAAAAAAAAAAAAAAAAGACCAGAAACGAGCAGGAAAAAAACCAAGCCCGAATCAGGCACTCAATCCCAGTTTGAACCCGGTTGATCCCAGTTGATATGCTGGATATTTTGATCCCAGTTTGCCTTTTCGCAGATACAAAACACCGAAGTCTGGAGAAGAGAGTGGGGGAACAAGCGGTGGGAGGGCGGTGAGCTGTGGCGGGTGTTTTTTTCGTTTTGAGCAATTTTGGTGTTGTATACTCCGTATATACTCCGTATATATGTGGTAGATGAACACGTAGTTCATACTTCGACCTTCATACTCCACCTGAATTGATATATTTGCCAGATTGGTCTTGAATCCCATCTCTTGCGCCTTGACCCCTGGGTGTTTGCCCGGGATTTGATGCCCACGCTCGGATTGCAATCGGAATACGAGTTGACGCAAGACGCTTACTTCCCAATAACAAAAGAAAAGAACATGTTTGGGCTTGGTTTTGGGGCTGATGAAATATTTTGAGACTTACCAAATGAAGATATGTATATGAAGTTGGTATACTTAAGTATACCTCGGTATAGATCTGTGTTGAGGTTAACAAAGGATCAAGAGGATATATCCCAAGACATATCAATATAAGCATGCAGGTCAAGACATGTAAAATGTATCATGAGCAGAGCCCCATTCACACGTGGGGAGCTGGCAATAAGGCATATATCGCGGACGCAGGGACAAAGGGAGTATGCAATATAAAAAGGAGACTTGACACGTACCTTGATCTGTATATGTCGAACGAGCTCACGGGGTATAATGTCTTTGTAAATCAAAAGTTCGAGAACATAAGTATGACAACTCAGAGGGAAAAAGAACTTGCAGGTTTTGCAGACAGACACCGAGGGAATGGAGACTTTATGAACTCAAGCGGCGCTCTCCTGCATCTCTCATTTGATATATTACAACATCGGTCATGCAGCCCGTCGATCGGTGGAAATCGATGAGATTCACCTACGCCATCGAACATGGAATTTTAATTTTAATTTAATATTAGGTTGACTACTACCACCTGGATCAGAAAGGAAAAAGGGTGTGTGAGTATAAATCGGGGTGTGGGTGGATTTTGGGTGATGGAGGGGTGGCAACGGTAAACCCCCGAGCCTCTTTTTCTTTTTGCTTTTTCTTTTTGCACTATACATAGATAATAATGATAATAGAAAAGACAAATACTACTTGACTAAAAAAAAAAAAAAAAAAGATTATCATATTCACAACCTAAAACTAAAAACAAACTTGGACAAAGGGGGAAGGGTGATACAGCCGGATCAAGTAAAACGGCGGCCATCCCATGATGCACCTTGGGATATTTGTCACCTGTTACTACGATCATGACTCACGGGTGTCTTGAACATAGCAAGCAAGAATGTATCATATGAGGTTTTGGGGTTACAAGCATACCAAAATCTATCTTATAGGAACCCTAATCTATCATTCAGAGTGGAAGTCTGCAGAATATATTCAAGGATCCCTAAATGAGACCATGTGGACAGGGTTGATCTCCAGCAACTATGCAGAGTACTAGTACTGAAAACACCAGAGATGGTAGAGATCGACTAAATATTCAAAATGAGTACGAGTTGCAAATATCATCCGGAGAACATAACATGCATAATCCCATTCATTACCTTGGCAATACCAGAAGATTGGGCAAGATCCTAGTGTATATGTGTTGGAAGAAAAATAGAAAACAGTAAATAGAAAATAGAAAAGGGAAAAGGAAAAAAAAACTGTACATATCCCACAGACCCCATCCATAAGCACTATCAATCTGCAAGAGGATCAGTGCGGTCTGTTCTTCATGTGGGATGTCGTGCAGAGAAGTCCGGAGTGGTGATCATATCTGTGATCGTCAAGGGAGCTTGGACCTTCCATATTGCTCCACTGCAACTGAGTAGGGCTTGAATCTCTGTTATTTTTGTTCTACGTAAGGGGTGGACTCGTGGGGATTGATCTGGGTTACAGCGGCAAAGGGAAAATAATGACATACTTCAATATTTGGAACCCATTTAGAATGTTCAAGACAGTTGGTGACTTTAGATTTCGGACTTAACCGTTTGGTCTTTGTCCGAAGCCAAAAAGAAAAAAAAAAAAAAAAAAAAAGAAAAATAAGTAGAAATGGTAGAATGTGGTGAAGAGAGACAATTGGAGGGGTTGGAATGTGTCTTAAGAACCCTCTCCACCAATCGTGAATCAAAGCAATACACCTCACTTTGGTATGACTGTGCTGAGCCACATCGCCAAACTTTCCCCTCTTTCTGAGCCACTCCGGTTTAGGAGATGATAATATTCTGGGATCAACAGATGGGAATTGATCTCCGGGATTCGTTTTGAGGGGGAAATATGGATCTGACGTCCCGTCCCGTCAAAGTTCACCCATACACGCCTAGTAATCCATGGTCGACGTAAGGGAGAGAAGTTGTATTTCAAGGTCTACTTTGGTAGCATTCAATACAAAGAGGTTGAGACTATCCATGTCTTCCTCGAAGAACCTGTGCACAGGACCCTGATATGACGACATCGTACGTGGTTAAGGTCGTACTCCATTCCGGGGGTCACGGATAGGCCGAGTTCTGTGCATCAGACATTCTATAGAGTACCACTGCAAAGTAAAGTAGATGTAAAAAAGCAAGAAAAACAAGGAAACAGAAAAAAAAAAAAAAAAGGCAAAAGCAGAAGCCAAATTTGGAGAAACAATGAGGCTAGTGCCAATGTTACCCACAGTGCAGTTTGGAGTGCATATTAGCGCCCTTATGGTTATCGGATAATTCCTCTAGGTGGTACACGGGTAGCTACATAAATACAGTCCACAGGTAAAAGGTTATATAATGGGTATGCAACATCATCTGGAGTTCTTCCGATACGACTGCCGGCAACTATAACCGTTGTAGCCGTTATTCTGCAGGGCTGTCCAATACCAGAACTTGACCATCACCCTACTATTACAGTCACACTTATTACAGTTACGGCCGATCGCTACAGGGTGCGCACCAGCCATGAAGGGATCGACAGTGGGACGGTAACTAATGATTGGAAGTTGCAGATAGTTATGGAGGGGGGAACTATTAATGATCATGCGTCCGAATCGAGTATAGTAAAAGATGTATTATACTAAAGAATGGACTGTGATTGTATTGGAAATTAATATTCTATTGAATAAGTCATATGGCCCCTCCACCTAAAGTGTATTGATTTGATTTAATATGCAACAAGCTTGATTGGACCTACAGAAAAGTATAGTTCTGGATGTCTTCAAGGGATTTGAGGTCTAACAAATTCCAGCGGATATAGCGCAAAAGATAATATTTACGTATTTGAAATGTTATAATAATATCTACATATACTATGTTAAATATATTAAATATATTAAATAAAGACGTGAAGTGGCTTACAACTAGTTACATAGTTAACTAGGTGGTGATGTTACATATATTGCGCTATACCCCATTAGGCATTAGCCTCCTTTCCCCAACTTCATCACAGAGCTGGGAGACTGCCACTATACAACCATACCTCTCTACACGCCACCTAGGCAACATTCCACCCTCTTGGTAAGTAACATGTATTTATTTTATTTCTCCATCTTTCTATAGGGGGGTCATCCTGGTGAATAACCCCACAGGGCTCGGTCCGAAGCTTTGTACCCCAACAACTGGAAACCATCATCTGACAGCTTCAGCACTTAACGCCGATCGGGTTGGTCGCATCGGTAGCTTCACGCCATCTCGTCATTTTTGCTTGGTTCCCCTCGTCTTCCTACCCTCCTTTATCGATAGCGCAGCGCTTCCTTATCCAATCAGCATCCATCGAACCCCCTATACCGTGTTCGCTTCCTATCCCTCCTCGGATCGTGCCCGCAAGGTTCAACGCTTCCCACCTATCTTCCGCTTGGTTGGCTTATCTCGCCGCATTCTTGCACGGCATATTCTCGATTAATCCACCTGCTCCGCAGCATAAGACCTCCCAAGCTACCCCCGGTAATCATCGCCGACTCAGCAGAGATAGCTGTAGATCCCATTGGGCTGACGCATCTCACAGTGCAATAGGCAGCCCTTTTCTTGGTCGGGGAGATTATCCATAAAGTTTATCTACCAGCCTGCTATATTCAAAAACCTTTGATCTTTCGATCTTGACCGCGTATTTTCGAGCCGGAAAACTTTCCTCGAAAGTGGTCCCTCATTCGACCCGAGTCACGGCGTGTCCTAGCTCATCGGAAGCCGAATCCACGTTCGACACAGTCGTCATCTGCTCCTCTGTTGGCTTGACTAGGTCCCCACTTCTAGCCAATCCTCAAGGATCATCCACCACCCGGCGCAGATCATCTGCACTCCATCTCGCATAGTCCCTGCAGACCGTTCTCTTGGTCTTGACTTCCTGGACCACGGGCCTTCTCTGCAGACGCAGTAGTGCACGCTCCTCTTCTCCTCATTTTATTGGGGATCTAAAACTTGACTAAAACCGGTCTCAAACATGGCGAATAACTCGTTCCGAGACTCTGTTAACTCACTAGGGTGGTCGCGTAGAGATCCGGATCTTCCCGTCAATACTGGCGCGTCATCGAACACTCCGTTCTTATCTCGTCTACAGTCTTACAACCCGTTCAGCGAAGGTGGTTATGTTCAACTGCCTACTCACAATGAAGGTCCTGGGGCCCCATTGCCGGCAGCTACTCGACGGGAAGAAGAAGAGGGCTTCTTTGCTTGTGAGTCTTTTTTTTTTTTTCTTTTCTGTCTTGTGACCCTCAGATCCCCAGATCCTCCCGTACACCGTTGTGTGATTCAGGTGATGAAAGTGCAGTTCCTGCGCCGGGAGGATTCAATCCCACCATGCTTGATTATGTGGTAGCCGATAGAAGAAGAGAAACACACTAACACGGACTACGTATAGTGAGTCGGTGGGACCGTATGCTCATCTTTGGCGCATGTAATTTGGGCGCCGCCGTCTGTTTCATGATCTGTTTCTTCTTGTTCCCCGTCTTGTCGCTCAAGCCCCGCAAATTTGCGGTCTTGTAAGTTGCCTCCGCGATGGTCCGCATAATGTGGACTATGTTCCCCGGCTTTCTATGACCATCCCAGCCCTATTTCTTTTGTTTTTCTAGCTATCTCACGTCCTCGGATGCTCTCGGACAACCGAGCAAATCCCGAGCTGGGATAGACTAGGTCATCAGTCAATTTTGGTTAGGGCCATGTGCACCTTTGTACTTCACACTGCAAGCTGATTGGTGCTGATCTCGACCTATATCTGCGCCTCATGCCAAGAACTTTCGCTCCGGTCTTGGATATTTCTTGCTAACAGGTTTCTTTACTAGATGGTCCGTCGGCTCAGTCTTGTTTTTGCTATCATGGGCGGTTCTCATGGGACCGTGGACTTACGCTAAGCATTTGGTCTCGGGAACACGTTTGCCATTCACAGCGGCCTATTTCGGAGCGATCGCCCTGACGCTATACTTCGCCATCGGGGTATGTAAAATCGATTTCTTTATCTTTTATTTTTCGTTCTCGTTTTCGCATTTGAATTTTATGTTTGCTCTTTGCGCTTCATCCCATTGCACACCGACTATCCCTCCCCTCTGGATTTCCTTGTTTCGTGGCACACTCGCTCTCCTTCGCTCTACCCGAGTCCGTATGGTCGCACTGCACAACCGGGAAAAGGGGAATCTTGCAGCCTTCACATCCATCGCGCAGTACAACCTGAAACCACGGCTTGTCGTGTCTGCTGTTGGCTGCAGCAACTTTAGCTCCTTCGATTCCATCCCACCCTGTACTCAGCCGGCCTCTTTGCTTTGAATCTTGCGTCTGTGCTACGTCCCACCACGGCGCGGGACTTGGATGTCCTTTCCCTTACTTCCCCTTGTCCGACACATCCCGGTGTCACAGAGCGCGGAGTCCAGAGCCATCGAGATCAATCTATGTCTCACCGTCCCTGACTACTCGGTCATCCTGTTCTACCTGCATATCACAACTACACACCATCCACTTGCCACATTTGGCAACACACCCTCTTCCAGAGACTCTTGCTGACTGACTTCTCTTTTTTTTCTCGTGGATTCTAGCGTCAGAACCTCTTCCTCACTCTCATCTCCTCGATGTTCCAGCTCGCTGCCCTCGTCTGGTACCTCGTCAGTTATTTCCCCATGGGCAGTACTGGCTTGCAATACGTGGGTCGTTTCGGAGCATCGCGTGTTACATCTTGGATTAGTGGTTGATTGATTCACTTGCTCATGTCTGATACCTTACGCTTTGTCGGACTTTGCATAAATCGCACGGTGTGGTTGTGGTTACTTGGATATCGGGTGCAGTTGGCTCTCTTCGTTGTGTATATGTATCTAGCCAGAACTACAGTGTTTGGCGCTTTAGTTTCCTTTTTTCCCCCTCCAAAATACTTACCATGGCATACGGCCTGGGTTTCCTGGTAGTACAATGCTGAATATTGACATTGGACAAAAAGGGAACTTGTAGGCTACTAGTACAAGTACATCGGATAGCAGGCTGCGCTTGATGGATTTGCCTTTCCATTTTAGTTGCTCACCCCTTGCTGCTTTTCCATCACTGAGTGAAGTCGAGCATGTCCTGAGTATTAAGCATTACCTACATCCCCGGATAGGCAACCCTGAAGGTAGTAAACTCACCCAAGCGAGTGAATACAATAAGTCGCTCTAAGACAACGCCTTCGTCTTGGAGGCCAGGCTGAGATGCCATGGTTAGCAGGTATCACCCTCCAAGCACGGCGAATATGGAATCGCACAAAGGTTTTCGTAAATCAGAAAATGTCTGGAAAAGCAGAGTCCGAAAAGATAAGAAATGGCCCCCAAAAATCTGCAAGGCGTTCTCCGATGCGGCTGATGTAGGGATCAGCGGCCCCCGATGGATGATGGAGTTAACCCCGACGACGGGGGCCGATAGTATGCGGCTATGATTATGGGTTATAGAAATGTATACACAATCCGTAATAGAAGTATGAATAGTGGGAATCTGTTTGATATCAAAGCTAATTCAACAAACAAGAATGAGACATAATATCTGCCATAGAATGCTAAAAGCACACTAAAATGCAATCCAGTAAAATCATAGCCAAAACGAGCGGAACCAATACCTCGAATTCAATAATCCAGTCAATTCCATTTTCTCAATCATTCACGTCGAAAGAAAACACTCAATACTTTCCCCGGCTCATAACCAAGCCAACAACACCATCAACAACCTTAACACCTTCAACCTCCGTCTCGTAAATCCCCGTATCGCCTCCAGAGCCAATCTCAACCCACCGCTTCAGCAAATCATTACTCTCCTTCGGCTTAACATCCGGCGCCGCGGTGCCAACCGTGATATGCGGGATAGGGTTCGCGCACGGCCACTCAGACTCGACCGACTCGACACCCTCAGCAGGCAGGATACGCGCAACAAAGGCCATGATGCGGTTATCCCAGATAAGGCGCTCGATGCGCACGCGCGCAGAGCCTAGAGTCGGCGTGTACTGGATTGGGTCTTCGACGGGGTTTTTGGTCTGGGTGTCGATGTAGCGAGTGGATAGCTGGTCCCAGATCTCTGGATTGTCCTTCTTCGAGGCGCGGTGGATGAGGGTTACGTGGAAGGTTGGCTGGAGGCGGCGGGAGTTTATGAGTTGGTTGTAGAGACGGGCTGTTTCAGGGGATGTGGTTGGCGGAAAGAGGGAGCGGAGGAGTGAGGTGACCTCATTTGTTGGGAGGGAGATGTTGAAGTATTCAATCTTTTTAGCGAGGGCTTGTGGTAAGAAGGGAGAGTCCGTTAGTTCGGCGATGAGAGCGTTGTTGTCTTTGTTTTTGGGCTTTTTAACTCTCGTCCTTTGTGCGGACCCGTAGCTGTGACTGAGATCCTTTGTCACCTTGTAGTCATTTAGGGCCGTGTCGATGGCTTGGTCGAGATCTGCTGCCGTTGGCATGGTTGACACTAGGCGGGGGTAGGCGGCGTGGAGGGCTTTGACAACTGTCTCGAGGTTCTCACGAGACGAGGCGCACACGTCGAGGTTAATGACGTGATCGAAGTTCTCATCTGGCAAGCGTGTGGTGTCGACGCTTTCGAAGCGGTCGAGGAATCCCTCCATGATTCCGACAGTCTCTGACTGGACGTTGGTGCCAGCCCGGATGGATTGGTGGTTGTCGCCACGCTCTAGCACACGCTTTTGAGTGACTTCTCGGATGGCGGGGAGCATGTCTGCCTTGGGCTCGTGGACGTAATGCAGAGCGACGAACTTCGCATCCGGAATTACGGGGTAGATATCGTCCATGAGCTGCTTACGTTCGCGCCGTTGATGGTTGTTGCGATCGGCGATAACGGCACTGTGCTCTCCTAGAGCATGGCTGACGTCGAAGGCGAACCTCTTTGGCTTGTTCCTCTGTTTAGGAATGTTGTCGTTCTGAACATGTCCCCATCCGAAGAGTTTAACCAAAGCCAAGGCGACTGTCGTCTTACCACATCCCAGCGAGGCAATCGGTTCAAGGATAACATTTTTGTTGGTCTCCCGCGGATCGCTCTGCTTTTCAGCCTCTAGAGCGATAATCTCGGCTCCATTCAAGCCTCGTTCCTTGAGGAACTGCTCCCGCAAAGCGATAATACCGTGGTTTTTCATATACTCTTCTGCCATGTGAGGGTTCTTCATCAGAGCCCGCCGAGCAAACTGCAAGTATTCTTCGGTGATCTGCTCATGCTTCCTGATCTTGGGGTGTTTCCCTCCGATGACGGCTTTGGTGCATTCACGCCACTGGCGGTACATCAAGTACGGCTCGTCGAACTTGTACTTGAAGAACCAATTCCGGTAGGGCTCGGTGCCGTTGTCACTCAGCTGGCATCGGATGACGAAGCCCTCGGTCTCACGTCCATCCCACATTCCTGTCTCCGCGCATCCTTCCAGGAAACCCCGCACTCTGAAAATGTCATCGAAGACCTCGAACTTGGCCTTCTTGAAACCCCAGTCGTCAGCAAATTTGTGCACATCTTCACACGACATCGTCTTAAAGTCAGGCTGGTTATAGTTGAGACCGTGAAGGTAAATGCCTGAAGAAGCTTCGTCGTAGGCCAGGACATGCTCCTCAAAACTGTCATCACAGAGTTCTCCAACGGCTGTGACATTCATCTCGCGCAGCTTTCGGGCCAGGTCTTTAACATGTCGATTCACGGACGAGACATGGCGTTCCGCCCAGCGTTCTCCTGCCTGTGCGTGGGTAACTAATGTATCTTCGCGGGGTCCAGTCGAGTGTTTGCTGCAGACCAGCAATTTGTCGTCCTCCAAAGCCGAGATGAAAATAATGCATCCATTCTCTTTCACGCTCAGCTCATAGGGACCCTTTGTGTTTTTCTCGATCTTGTGCCATTCCGTGGCCTTTACCTCGCCTATGTTGAAGAACTTGTCGTATCCACGCGCCACGATTTCAGGAACGTTGTCTTTCCGTTTAGTGGTGAAAAGACCCCGTGCATATGTTGGTAGACCGGCATGCTTGTAGTCCCAGTCATGAAACTTCCAAGAGTCCACGGTCACATTATTGGCCAGGGCAAAGGTGCTTTTTTTGCAGGTGTACTTTGTCTCGCTCTTTTTGGCCTTGCAAGAGGTCTCCAGGGTATTCACAAGCTGTGAGATGACGTGTGGATCTTGAGTCGCCATGTTTGTGTGTTGGGGGATATCAAGGAGATCGGAGAGGAGGGGCAGACAAGAGTGGGGGGAAAGAGGAAAGAGAAAAGGCGCGATGATTTTCCTGGCCTCCTGTCTGAGGTATTAGAAGGGTATTTGTAGGAAATTGAAGGAAAACAAAAAAAGGAGCAAATGGGCAAAAGCACAAGCAGCCAAGAGGAGGAGTAAAGACGAAGAGTCAGACTGAATGTGTCACAGTGCGGGGAGCCGAAAGGGAAAGGCGGATATTTTTTTTTTCCCAGCGGAGAGTTGATTTGACTTACTTTAACAACCACAAGTTATCTTTGATTCATTTGATTCTAATACTATCACTTCAATAATTTGACTCATAATGGCCCAAAATCCTTACCTCTTGGCCTGCGACAACCCAACAGCCCTTCTGGAGCTACTGCGATCCAACCCCTCGATCGCATCCAGCCAAGATGAGTCCGGCTACTCATTGCTGCACGCCGCAGCCTCCTACAGTCATATCGATCTCCTACGCGCTCTAGTCAAAGAATTCAATGTCGATGTCAACCTCCTCGACGAAGATGGCGAGACATGTCTATTTGTGGTCGAAGATAGCGACATCGCGCGCTGTTTAGTCGAGGAACTGGGTGTGGACGTCAATAAGAAGAACGCCGAAGACTTTACAGCTGTGGAAAAGTTCGAGACCGAGAATGAGTTCCCCCAGGTCGCTTCCTACCTCCGCGAAGCTGTCGGTGGTGCTCCTGCTCCGACCCACGAGCAAGCCGCCGAAGTGTTGAACTCTCCCGGAGCCATCCCTGGCAGCGATATGAGAGTCAACATTGGTACAATGACGGAGGAAGAGGCCACTGCTGGTGGTGAACCGGATCCAGAATTCAAGAGGCGCATTGAGGAGCTTGCAACTCGTGAGGATTATTACAGCGAGGAGGTGCAGAATGAGGTGCGCGAGTTGGTTAAGGATGCCATGGCTGGCTCGAATATTGAAGCTATGGAGCGGGAGATTCGGAGGAGAACTGAGTAAACAGGAGCATTCCGACTGTTAAACTCATTCCACTGTTGAAGAAGCGAATCACTGGCAGAAATCCATCCCAGTCGAAGTCCCACGGCTCCTGCTGATTGAATCGTGCGGATGGGCACTCCGCCGTTATCTCGGGAATCTTTCATGACATGTCTCAGTTGAAAGTTTGAGTCCGCCTGTGAAGGCTGCTGTTAGACTTGTCAGAGTCCCTGTTGGGAGTTATTCGAGTGGTTCGAATTCCCGAAGAGAAGCTTCTATACAATCTTGTAACTGGGATTAAATCACAAAATATCACGATATCCCCATTGAAGCAAATTATAGTACAACATAATTAGCTATTTTCCACATATGTGGAGATCGTACTCTCATTGTTGATGCAACTGCGTAGATCACCGGTCTAGTCTCCGCCAAGCTCGACCCTATCCCGACGTAACAACATAACTTCCACGTACGACCCCCAACCACCATATCATGTCTCAACCACCGTCTCCATTTCCCCCACAATCGCAGTTCTACTCATCTCAAACCATGAACCCCGACACACCCCCTCCACCACCCCCAAACCCAACAGCCACGAAGCCAGTCGACACGGTACCCCGCAAAACACTGCACAAGCCTGGCAGCCAGAGCAGACAGGCACACATCAGGGCGCATATTCCAATAATCCTCAACAGCCATATATCCCCGATCCCCCAACAATCGAGGAAGGCTGGCTCCCAGACCTGGTGTCCGACAAATCGTGTGTCCCCTCAAACCCCGAAACACAATGATAGGAGCACCTCTAACCCACGCAACCCCAGAACAACCGACCTCCAAACAATTCTCAAAGACCCATCCCTGATCTCCGCCCTCTCAAGCCAACACCCCTCCTACACAGCCCACCAACAACACCTCGAGACGCTAATTCAAACAAACAAAGACCTCGCAACTCGCGTCCTAGAGATGGAGAACCACCTCGTTGAAGCCCGCGCCTCCACGGAAACAATGCTGATCACACACCAGTCACTGGAGGTCTCCTGGCGGAAGAAGCAAGCCGAGATGGACACCGCTCTCGCCCCGTGGTCGCCGAAAGCACTATACCAACGCTTCAGCGCAGCGATCACGGAACAAGAGGCTGTCTGCCATGCTGTTGAGGAGAGTTTCCTCGATGAAGATCATCACGGCCGGGCCACGGAGAAGGAGATTGCAGATTGGGTCCGGCGCGTACGAGGCGAGGCGTCCAAGTTGGCGGCTCGGAAGGAGGCTAAGGCCCGATGGGATGAGGGACGTGTTGGTGGTTGGCGTTGAGGTCCGAAAACAACCTCAATATAGAAATAGTCACGTCACGTCTGACTGCCATTTACGATTTCATGCTGCCTCCGATTCATGATCTGTTCACTATGCACTATACAATACAATATAAATCGACGCAATACCTTTCAGGGTCTTGCTTCGTCCGAATCGCACTCAACCCAATCCCGGAAACCCATTTCGCCCCTCAGGTCTAACAGCCGCACCCTCACTACCTTCCGGCTTAACACGTCCCTGATCCTGTCCCTGGTTCCTAAACCCCATCTGCCTCATCGCAGCAGCCCCCTCAACATCACCATCCAACCCCCTCTCACCCGCCCACCCATCGGTCCCCAACGAACTAGGAACCCCAACACCCCTCCCGAAAGCGCGTCTCCGACTACGCGCACCCCAAGCCCAGCCCGCACCACGTCGAATGGGGAGATGGTACATGTTAAACCCGATATAAGCGAAGAAAATGCCGAGCGCGGAGCCGAAGAGAATATCAAAACCATGGTGTCTATAATTGAACCAACGCGACGCAGCAATAAAGCACGCCGTGGCAGTCGGCACGAACGCAATTAGCATTAGGTATACGGGCGGGGCAGCACCGCGTTTCCGGACGGAAGCCTCGTCGTCAACGTGGTTTTGGTCTTCGACTGGGTAGCGTGGGAGATAGGGGAATGCAACGGAGAATTTGGAGCAGAGCCAGAGGGTTAGGTAGATTAGGCCGGCGAAGGAGACTGGGGGGGATTATTAGCTTTGGCTTTCATACTTTGTATACCGTGTCATGCACCAAACACGTCTGTGGTATGGTGTGTATGATGTCTTTGATATGTATGTGTATGATATAGACTTACAAGAAGCATGTCCACTGGGAAAACTGGAAAACCCATCAATGCGCAACGAATTACTCCTATCACGACAAATCTCCCACGAAACCAACGTCGCCGCACCGCGCAGCTCCTCCCCAAGCCCACCGACCGTGAACTCGGCGATGCGCGCGAGATCTGGATTACAACGGGCCAGGAGATCAGGCCGCGGTTTGCCGATTAGGACTTTCAGACCCTGTGTTGCGGCCCAGGCGCTTGCGATGGCCAGTGCGAGGCCCATCCAGCCGACGTTCCATTCCCAGAATTTGCGGCGGATGTACTGCGCTGCGGGGGATTTTGGCGTGGGGTTTGAGGGGGTTGTGGCTTTTGCTGGAACGAGGAGCCATGAGAGTAGAAAGATTATAATTGCCGGGGCGAAGAGGCAGACTAGGATGAGGGTTTTTGTTGTTACTGTTTCTTTGGTGAGGGGGTAGCTGATTGTTGGGTCGGTTAGGCTGAAGGGGTGGTGGTTTGGGGATTGTTTGTAGAAGCCGTAGCCGATTAGGGCGATGCCACTGGTTGGGATTGTTAGTTTAGGTTCTTGTTCTCTTTTTTGGATAGTTAGGGGTGGTTTGATGTACATGATGAATATCCAATCGATTATATAGGATAGGACTAGGAGCTTGGAGATAGCTGCCAGACGGGTTACGGTGTCCTTGATGGGAATTGGCATGGTGGGATGCAATTATAGTAAGGAATAGAGATGGGATAGAATCTAACAGATAAAAATGATCATGAGAATCATGAGGATTAAATGTGCAAGTGCAGGCAACAACGTTGGCATGGGAATGACTTGGGGAATGTGGCGGAGTAACGAGATGACTTGGACTCGATTTGGGGTTATGTACTTTTCATAGAGTAGTAACTACAACTATAGTATTCACGTCATTGATTCAACTCCACTTCTATAGAACTACCTAGTTAGGTATAGATATTATATCCAACACTCCTTAAAACCAAAAACTAAATGAATATCATTCCAGAAATAGGTCAAGAAGTGTAGTTAATTGTTCAGCTAACCCCATTTAAGCTCAGCGCTTAGCGGGAGTCTTCCCCGGACCCATTGTCATACAGGAGGTACAACATATACAAACTGCAGACTCGACCACGTTGCCAGCATGTTACGTTTTAATTCAAATTGCGTTAAGGTGAGCGCTTACTACAAAATAGTGTACTTCGATGGAGAATTTGTCTTATCTCTTCAAGACCTGGAAAAAGTAGTTCGTTTTGTATTAATTATAATCACTTATTATCTCTCTCTCTCTATTAACGCCCTCTTATTCTTAAATTCGGTTCCGTTTATAAGGCAAGCCCTGTTTCCGACAGGATGGATCCAACAGGATAGTATATAACTCTTAATAGTGAGCATCAAAGATATTGATCTGGATTTTCATAGCGATAAAACGTAAAACAAGCAAATTCAATAATTTCCTGTAGGCAGGTACAACAGTCTAGAGAAATAACAAAAGAAAGAAATGAAAAGAAATGAAATGAACTAGAATCCTGCAATCATCCGGCGGTTCATGATAGCATCGTTCAACCGGTTATGAACTTGTTGAACCCCCTCGAACCGCATATATCCACACGATTCGCTCTCTAGGTGGTTGAACAGACTAGCAAGGGAGTGAAACTCCTTTGGACAGCCGCCCTTGAGGCAGTGGTAGACCTTGTCCTTATGCACGGGCGAGTTAACATGCGATTGCAGCGCCTTTCTCGAATTGAACCCCCTTTTGCATAGGTAACACATCCAACAGTCACCATTCCAGGCACTGTCGGTAACGGAATAGGTCGAGTTCTGCTCATCATGCCACCCGATCTGCTTCTTGCATACAATGCCATTCGGATCAAGCTGTCGAATAATGCGGTGGATGCTGTCGCGGTTCAAAACTCGAGCTTGAGGACAGGACCCACTCTCAAGATGATGGGAGACACCGCTGGCCGTGACAAAGCCAGTCTGACAGAACGGACAGGCAATGTTGGTACCGCGGTGGGTTTTGGAGTTCCGGTGCTATGAGATAAAGGGGTGAGTCGAACGGGTTCATAGTTTCTCTCAAATCAGGTCAGCGCTCCTACCTGGCGCAAACAGTGTTTCTCTCAAATCAGGTCAGCGCTCCTACCTGGCGCAAACAGTTCTCGTTCTGAAATTTACGCTTGCATTCTTGGCAGTAATTCTTGTAATGTCCCGTGGCTCTCATGTGATTCTCCACAGCCTGCTCCGATTGGAATTTCATCGGACATGTCTCGCATGGAACGGTCGGGAGCCAATGACCCTTCGCGTTCATATGGTTGCTGACGGCGTGTTGACTAGAGAAGGTGCTAGTGCATGTTTCGCATTCGAAGGTCGGCGCCCAGTGTTGTGTGGCGTTCATATGCTGGTTGCAAGCGGACTGTGTGCGGAATCCTCGATTGCATGTTTCACACTCGATCCAGTGATCTCTGTAATCCATATGGTCATGGCAGTCATCCCAATCCCAGAATTGTTCGGTACAGGTGCTGCATTCGAACATGGTGGGAAGAGTGGAAGATATTCTTAGAGTGGGAATGACAATAAAATATGGGAAAGAGGGGAGAGGGGACGTATAAATTGACGAGGTCGATCTCTGGGGCGGAATGGATCTCTCACATCCCCGGCATTTTATCGGCGTCTTTATCTGATGAGTAACACATCCCCTGGCCCACCTGTCCACGGGTACCTACAACAATACCTAGGTAGGTACTTACATATGTAGGTATTTACTTGAAGTATATTATGGCATGTCCAGAATGTAATGATCATCGATGCAAGTGTCTATGACACCATTCGTCTTCGACTGCAGACCTACGCTTCTCCGATTCCCACTATAGCATCCATCTTCCTTAGACGCACTTTGTCTTGGCACCACCCCAGATTCTGCCTGTTAATTCTCCACCAATTAGAATCAGTAATTGATGAGCGGTATAACTAATTAAGAAGGCGGTAGCGGAAGAAAGTTAACACTTTTGCGGAGTGACTGCAGTTTCTGACAGAAATCTGTCATTACCATGTATGGTACAAATGGCAGATGTTGGCAATGTTGTAACTAAAATGATAAAAGCCCGCTATTTCAACAATATGTGCGGACATCGTTGACTAACCGTATTATGCACTTTGGTATGCTCAGTCCCAGTTGTCACATGATTTTCCGGGGTAAATTACCCCTTGCATGCCAAGACTTCAGGACACATGCTGTGTACCTACAACATAGGTAGTACTGACCCTATATATGTTGCACAAGGATTGCTTCTACGATTTTATATATACCATCCAATCTCATAAATATGTACAATCCATAAAGCTCTTCACACTTTATCCAGTCATAACTAAGGGAAATCATTGATAATGAAACATATCTATGCGCTGGATGCAATAACATACAGAAACATCAACCGGGCTTTCTCACTCGTCGCTGACAAGTTCACGAACATAAGGCTTGTTATTGGCATAGCACTGGATTTCCTGTTCCTTGGGAACAATTCCATGCAGAATATAATCTTTAGCAACTCGATCCGTGCAGTCCGACATATCACGTCTAGAGCTATGCCCATAAGCATGATTAACAATCAACCGGGCATTTTGGCCCATCTCGGCTAGAAGCCTTCGTCCATTGCGCAGCGGGGTCGCAGGATCATACGGCGAAGCTATAAGCAAAGCAGGAGTCTTGAGAGTATTGTTGAGATCGCCGCGATACACCTCCGAAGGACGGTCCCAATAGGTATTGTAGTATCGACAAGGCAGAACCGAAAAGAAGCGGGAGTTTCCAGCTATCCAGCTCTGGGCAGACATTGTCTCCCACAACTGATCCCACCATCCAAGTCCGTCGGGAAGGGGTGCATCGTACGCATCAGCACATATCACGAGGAGATCGAGTTCAGTGGAAGATGGGACATGCGGATAGAGTAGCTTTTCAGAGTGATCGCTCCATGAGAGATCTAGGGAGTTGGCTGCTAGAGTTGCATTCCCTGCCTCGAGCTCGTAGAGCATTTGTGCCGTACGCGGCCAGTCTGCCGGTCTATACATAGCCGGATAGAGAACCCTCTCGACGAGCGCTGAGTAAGTGATCAGAGAAGGCCCGGCTGATTCGGTGTACGCGGACGGTGGGCGAGCTTTCAGAGACTCAAGTAGTTGGGTCATACGGGCTTCCAACTGCGGAAGTGTGACGGGACCATCCTGGCTAGAAACGGGATTGGCCAATGCACACCACTCCGGACCGGAGTTGATACACTCCCCTAAGAACCCGTCGCGCCATGCATCTGTCGTGTTGTCGAGAGCAGTCCAGCCAAAGCCGCCTAAAACGCGATGATCCCTGACATATTCCGTACCGTCGAGAATCAAACGGCCCGCTCGGGTGGGAAACATGTTGACATATGTCTGGCCAATCCCCGTACCATAGCTAACCAAATATCCTGTGACTTCTTCTTCGTCGAGTGCTTTTCGGATCTCGTCCAGGTCCCTTGCCACCGACGCCGTGCTGATGAAGCGGCCAAAATCTCCCAGCCGTTGCTGGCAGGCAAAGAAGGTGGCGTTGTTCATGGCATCCATAGACTCCAGTTGGGCCTTTGGGGCCTCCTCGCGATATCGGAGTGCTAGCAGTGACCATCGGTCCCGGAACCCGTCTTGGGGGTAACATGCCGCGGCGGGCAGGGAGAAATTAACACCGCGGGGATCCCACCCTAGCACATCGAGTTGTCCATCACTAAAGCGGCTGGTGATCTCCTCTGCGGCCTCCCAAAGGAAATATGTTCCGCTTCCTCCAGGGCCTCCTGGATTTATGATGATAGTGCGCTCACTCCTGTAGCTCTTGGATGAAATACTATGATCATTCCTACGGGCGAGACCGGCGACCTGGAACTTGGTAACTGCAATTCTGACAATACGAGAGTCTGAAGAGTTGTGATAATCAAGCGGTAGGTCTAAGTATCCACACAGGTAAATTCCACCTGTGCTTCCCCAGCTCCAATGATTCGGATCGGCGTCGAAGAGGGCGGCCCATGATTGCTGCGGAGTCGGGTCATCCAGTGGCGGCGGACGACTGGTATCAGTGCATGGGATGAACTTGAATGGGTCGTCTGCTTGTGGGAATGATCCATAGGGCGAGTCTTGGACTTGAGGATCGTCTCGGAAGGCCCAGCGCGGCGCAGTAGGGAATTTACCGAACCCCACTAGGCCCACTATCCCTGCGGCTGCTGCCAACCAGACGATGGTTCCCCAGTGCCATGTTCGACGCTGGGGCATAGAGGTGAACTTTCCTTTCTCCATCATGAAGTTCCGACCGACCGAGGTGGGTGTGTCTGTCTAAGAAGGCAGCCGTGAGATTTGGAGGTTCAACTTAGCGGGATCACACCATCGTCATTAGCGCCATTTTGGTGTTTTACAGGGGTCGTTTCTAGGGTAACCAGGCGATGTGGATATCGGAGCAAATGTATATTACAGTCGTTGATTCTCACGGTTCAGACTACCATAGTAGTCTTGGTGAGTGATAACTACGTATTTTCAGTGAAGATATAGTTACGAAGCGTCAAATTGGCTATTTTGACACACAACGTTGTAAATATATTTTCAAAGCCACAAAAGCTGGAAACTAGATCCATCCCTTAACCTCACGCTTCCGGGCTTTCTGGTTCTTTCCAAGGATGAGTGTACTTCGGTCATCCACTGGTAGTGCGATGTGGAAATTGACCGCGTCGAGAATCTGCGCAATAATAAAAATATGCCAGATGGGAATGCAAAGTGCGAAGTTGAACGCACCAGCCGCCTGTGGATACATAAATCAGTACGGATTCAATATAAAAGATAACAATAACTAGGTGTGTTTGCAACATACCTTATGTAATTTGGCAGCCAACACCATGTTTCCCAGCGCCATCTGTGGGCCGCTTTACAGGGCAGGGATCGGATTTCGGTGCAACTTTGTTGCGGATATGAATACGATACCTAGATAGGTACCGACCAATGAGCGTTGGCTGGAATATCTAAGGGACCAAGAAGCCAATCAGCGGTCGTTAACCCAACCCGCGTCGCGCCGGGCCGTGCCGTGGAACCTAACCTAACCGGCCCCACTCTTTTTCCATCCATAGCAAAAAAAAGGACCCTCGCAAACCGAACAGAAAGGTTATCACACACCCATTCATGATGAAACTAATCTCTAGAGTATTTCTTTTCTTCCTTGAAGTTTCCCCTTCATACTCCAGTCACAGTATTGAGGAAAAATAAGAGACATTAGTCGTATTACTACCCATATAACACTGTGTATAAACGCGTACCCCGCTTTCAAAGCTTCCGAAAATGTGTCACAGAACTACCAAGTGATATAAAAATGCTTTGGGTGACAGGAATCACGATCCGCAGATCCCAGTCAGAAGTCCATATGAGTCGCATCCTCGAAAATGAGCCTGATTGAAGCCGAATCACTTATGGCTTTGAACAACTCGATCCTGGTACACAACGAAGCGTAGTCTCCAAGGAACTCCGGGTCACTGACCATATTCTTCAACATCTTGGCTTCTTCCAGAGTTTTAATCTTCTGGTCAAAGGCCTCCTGCAAGCGCCAGTCCATGTTCGGTGGTTTGGGGTGTCTTCTGCAGTCAAGCCCGCTTTTCATCAACTCCTTCCATGCTTTCAGGTCCTTCGGGCTATTGTCATCCACTAAATGGGTGATGGCAGGGAGGGCGTATATAAGATCCCCGTGTGCTCCTTCCGCCATCTTTTTGCTCACGGGTAAAAACTTCGAATTATATTTCGCCAATGCTGTTTTCAAAATGTCGTCATACGATAACTAATGTGTGAGAATATTAGCCATTGATCGATCCTGAGTCACTTAAGGAGCCTTCTTCGGAAAATCAAGTTATCATGCAGCTTTATGTATCAGATGATGGTCTTGTGCTACCAAGATCGCGCCTTCCTAAAGTAACCTTTCTCACTGCCGACTGATGCCTACCTAGGTAGGTATCAGGTACCTAGGTAATAAATGAAGCTGCAATAGGGATAGCGTAAATTGGAATGTAAGTAGATCCTACAACCTACCTAGCTACATTCCTTCCCGAGGTCCTCAAGAATATATGTTGTAGTTGATTATATACTAGCGAACTGTGGGGTACCGTTCAGTGATCTGGTAACGAAATACCTAGGTACCTACCCAGGTAGGTCCATAACTTACATGGAGCAAACTTAATTAAACTTAATTAAACTTAATTAACAAGTGAATATCTCGATCATCACGATGCCAAGGCTGCTTCCATGCAGCCACAGATCGATCTATGCTCTTTGCGACATTCATGGATGGGCTTCTGTACCCTTTGCATCTTAGTGGGGTGAGCCACAATGACAACCCACCAGACCAGCTTCACCGCCAGTTTCAACTAATTGAGCCAGATTTCCCACTGCTGGTAGACCACTGAAGAGTTGCGTAAGACGTAGTTATTCATTTCCACGTATTTTCTTATCGACTCATCCGACACTAAATTCTTGAACTAGATCGCACAAAGTCTCTAATGTATGTCTCTCCTAGGCCTTTCTCTAGAGCAGTACCAGTCTGCGTTGTTTGGGCCATCACGATGGTGAGATCCAACGAAGAGGATCACTGCAAGGGAGGCACTTGAGCACCGCTGGTTCAAGCAAGCTGGTCAAGAAACTTCTGGTGTTTGAGAGATAGGCCTGGAATATTTCCCCGTCAACCGGGTTATAGCATAATGCAAGTACTGTCAGACAAGTTTTGCATGATGCTTCGGCGGTCTAATGGAAATACCTATTGTATTGGGTCGACAGTTCAGATGAGATGGATCCTGGGAGGGTGGGTATGGTAGTACTCATGCAAATGTTTTGACTTAATTTTTCATGTAGTGTACTAAACTCGGACAGTTGAATTCAACAGTCACACAATATTCATGAGATATTCGAACCCACCCGTTCCCGACTCACAATCCCCGAATGGCAGCAGCAAGGTCATCCATGTCCTCTAAAAACACATCAAACTCAGCTTTTACCAGCTCCATATCTTCATCAATATCATCAGTCCACCGATGAACATAGACAGTCCTCAATCCACATTTCTGTGCGCCCCGCAAATCATAAGCATGCGCAGCAACCAAAACCACCTCCTCAGGCCGAAGCTTCACAAGCTCCAATCCCTTCTCATAAGCCTCCGGACGGGGCTTATAAGCACCCAGCAGCTGGCTAGAAAACAACATGTTGAACTCTAACCCGGAAGACCGAGTCAAGTCTAGTTGCAGCCGTGTCGTACCGTTCGCATGAACGAAGACTTCCAGACCGAGATCTTGACGAAGACTATTGATTGCATCGGAGACTTCGGGCCAAGCTTTCTGCGAGTGCCATGCTCCGATTATTTGATTCTTGGTCTTAGTATCGAAGTGCGGTTTGTGGTCGGGTGACTGGTCAAGGAGAGCATCCAGGGTGCGGGCAAGGGTGATGTCGATGTCTTCTGGGTGGAGGTTTTCCCTGACACGTTTGGTATTTTCTAGGAAGTATTGTCTACGCCATTCCAGCGCAAACTTTGAGGATTCATCCTTGGGAATTGCTGCGGGTAGCGCTTCAACTACGCTGCTGTGCCAGTCGAGGCATGTGCCCATGAAGTCGAAAAAGACTGCTTTTATTTTTGGTTGAGACATAAATGTGGCTGCTACTTGGTATAATGGCTGGCAGGTATTATGCAGGTAGATTTTTGAAATAGCTGATGAGGGTTGAATCAAGTTTTATGAAGAAACTTGGGGATTTCAGTAAGCTGACATGTAAATCTGATGCTCTTGGCGGGGAAGAGTTGGATTAGAAATCCAAATGCTTCAGCCCCATTCTCACAGGACTACATAGATTCCTATTTAATGTCCTCTTTACTTGAACGTTATAATAGAACTACTCATTTAGCCTACTAGAAAGACAAAATCTATAAGAACGCTTGCGAACTTGATTTCAAATACCAGCCACAAGATATATATTATCGATAGACAGGATCACCGCTAAATGCGCAATGTATTAATAGAAATTCTAGTCAACGAGACGTTGAAGGCCCGAGACTAACCAGATCCCGCGATTGTCTACGGAAAATGTAAGTCCGATTAACGACAAATTCTCCCGATTTGACCTTCCTATAATAGTAATCCACCATCGCTTCCGCCACTTCATACACGGCATTCTCATCGGGAAGTTCTCCGCCGATGCGAACCGATAAACAGTGAGAGTATCTGTGATGCCTGGGTAACTCGTCGATTGATACCTGTTGGTTCACCACGCGGTACATCATAAGGCGGACCAACTCTAGATCGTTAAGCCTGGCCTCACTGGGGTCAAAGTATACTGTCACCCACACAACATGTTTTCCCGATGGACCGTCGGCTACGGGAACGCCGTCTATGCGAGTTCTGAAAGCGGTTCGTGTAGACATAGTGGTCTTTACTGGGCCATTGATTGTGAGGATGAGCTCGGGTATTTGCCGTAGTGAGAGTTCGTTTGAAATTTTAGTGGGACGGGGAGTGAGACAGGAAGGTTAGATATTCTCTCTCCAAGTGGTGATAGCTGGGTATAGGAGGTGAGGATGCTTAAATGCCCAACACTGGGACAGCATACTATATCTATCTTATTATCGTAGGCTGCTGGAGCCGTGAATGGAAACAAAGATTCTTTGAGTGATAACCGCTTTGTCGAGTCTTCTGTACTAATTATAAGAAAGCACTCGCCAAAGTATTCAGGTCTTGCTTTCTTAAACCTCGAGATCAAAGCGAATGCTTGGCACCAATAAGCTGATCGAATTGTGGCCAACCGTCACGGCTTTGATGAGCTCTTGGCTGAGGGATATACATGTCAACAAAGGAATTCAGTACAGATCAATAAAAGAAACCCCCATCCAATCCCTAGAAAGCATCCGACCTCAAATGAAAAAGCCGAAAAAGTCTCACCCGATCAATTTCAATATTCCCTGCTGCACATTCCGCCTGATAAAAAAGCGCCAGTTCCAACGCATCCCTAAGAAAAGCATCAAGATACAAATCCCGAAACCGTGTAAATGCCCAATAATCCCCACGGGCCGGTAACGAAAGACAACCCATGACTCTGTGGTGCATAGGCTCGGGGGTAATCGAAACACTGACATGGGCAGTTTTCTTGGAGATTCTCGCGTGTATAGTCTCAGCCACGAGATCCATGAACCCTACGGCTGTTTTATCGCGGTTTTCTGGGGTTGCGACGAATACGTTTACCCATACTATCGGTCCTCTAATGTGGCATCTCTCGTCGGTGTAGATACCGTTGTGGGTGAACATACCTTCTTGTGTCATACTTAATGGCTTTTGGTTAGTTTCTGTATTAGGGCTTGGTGGAAGAAGGAATTCCTTTGTCATGGACAACTTCTAGTCAGAAAGCATCACCCTGGAGGTCGAAATGGGAGCTTATGAGATATTCTCGTCATATTATATCAGTTGGGATGTTGTCAAGGCTTTGTTGGGATTGAAGGTCTATGTTTCTTTGACACAATAGCTTTCTCGTTAATTGAACATGAGCCAAAAATGGCTTCAATCCTGTATTTCTCAGACAAAGACCCTTAGAGGCTTGTTCTGGTTTCTAGAAGCCGATTAATCAAACAAAGCGCCCTGGTGAGATAGCAAGTATCGTGCGATATATGTTGGTCATGAATATTATACCTTCATTCTCACATATTGACCTGTCATCTAACGTTATGTACAGCAAATTCTAATAAGTAGCTGCTCTGAGTGAAACACTCTCTATACAACAAAAGTCCAAGCCCTCACAGCTTAATCCACCTCCCCATCCAAGTCTGAACAATCTCTTTGGCTTCATCAACCAGGCCAAGATCAAGCAACAACTGCGTCGTCCCCCGCACAGCTGAATCTAACGCCGAGAAGATCCAAGCATGAGTATAACTAGTATGCTCCCCAATAAAGATAGTCTTAAACTCTGTCTGATAGTAAGCAGGCAAATACAAATCCTGCTGTCCAACAAGCGGACTAGCCCAGGCCCCAGCCTGATGCTGATCAACCTCCCAGCACTGGCGATTGTAGACACCCGTAAACTGCTCAGCAGCAATATCACCATGCACCTCGACCATTGCGCGATGGATCAGCGCAACGTGTTCATCCTCGCTCAACGCCGCCGTCGATCGAGCCGGCGTTCCCGAAACATACGATGCAAGAATCACACCTGGTCCAGTCGCGTTCATGTTGAAGGAGGGGTAGCAGACATTTCCGACGCCGGGGATATCGACTGACCCGCATCCGCCGAAGATGGGCTCTTCCAAGTGTTCCCAGAACCTTGTCTTGTATAGTAGTGACATCTTGCACGAGGGGTCGTAGTTCATAGTCGAGATAGCCCGGCTCAGGAGTGATGAGTACTGGGGTAGATCCCACAGTCTGACTTTGCTGAATGGTGTAGCGACGACGGCGTAGTCGTATTCCTTTGTTTCTGGCACGATCTGGAACGGATCGTCGCGCCATGCGACGGCGACCTTACCAGATGTCTCGTTGTATACCAGTCCTGAGACTGTGCGATTCAAGGTCGTCTTCTCTGCAACGTGTGGGTAGAATGCGCGGGGAAGGGACTCTAGACCCTTGTCGATGGTGCGCCATTTGGTGGCTGCGAAGTAGACATCGTCATAGAGATCGCCCCAGATTGGAGTTGACTCTGTGCCAGCAACGTAGTCGGCTGTGTTGGCGTCGTATCCCAGCGCGTGTTTCAAATACCCGGCCTCGGACCAGTGGAACATGCCGTCGTCGACGGCTTGCTTGTGGGCTTGATACATGTTGGTTGCGATTTTGCGGATCGTTTCTCGGTTGTTCATTGTAGTGTAGCTTTCGAATGCGGCTTCTGCTTCTTCCACAACTGTTTCATTGGATGAAGGCGACGTATAGACTAGCGAGGAGTTGGCCGCGACTTGGGCCGCACTGGGGATTCGCCCGTTGGGGAGACGGTTGCCGCCAGAGGCTGCGGGCACATTGGGGCTATTTTGTATAAAGGGGATAAAGTTGACTTGGAGATCTGGCTTGTCTTTGTTCATCTCGTTGAGGACGCCGGCGAGTTGAAATACCATGTGATGATCTTGGATTTCAAGCGTCTCATTGGTGTCGGCATAGGTGATGCTAACTGGGAATCGCATTGGTCCCATCTCTTGATATTGATACTGTTCGGGAGTGGTGTTGTTGAGGTATTTGGTACGAATACGACCACCGACTCGCCCGGATGATTCATAGATATGCCAGTCATGAATACCAACAGACTCGAGCAGCAGACTCGTCATCAAGCCGGACATTCCACCGCCGAGAATAGCAACAGAGGTATTCTTCGCTTTGGAAACAAATGCCTTGTTATTCTTCTTCGACTTCATGTAAGTCACTCCGTCAAACCACGGTCCCATAGCATCCGCCACATCGGCAATACTCTCTCGCTTCTTGATAGGCGAGGATACCATGATGGGCAAAGAGCGGCCCACAAGTCTCGATCCGGAGAAAGCATGCAGACAATGCGAATGGGGTGCGTCAGATGGTGTGGACCAAACGAATCGCTCCGGGTGAGCTTCGCGTTTCACGAACGTGCCCCCGATTTCATGGTGACTCTGCGTCGGGTCTTGGATCCCGCATTCCCCGTAGACAAGCTGCAGATGACCTTCGAACTGCTCGTCCAGGAACTCAACGTGAATGTTGTGCAAGGAGTCGGTGGTCACACCCCCGGGACTGTGGAACCGTATAACCTCGATGTCTCTCCCCGCGACCCCAGCTAGACTTAGCCCTGATAGACCCAACCCCAAGAGGGTATGTTGTAGATAAACCTTCATCCTTGGCCCGGACAGTAGTGATGTGGAAATAAAATGTGAGCGCTTGGCGGTAGTCTTTCTGTCTCCATGCTTGCCGGACACATTTTATATGTGCTTCTTTCTCTTGTATCCAGTATATTCGGAACTTCGGAATACTAGGCCTGGTATCTTGACTCACCACTATCTTCGAGATGGGAGGACTCACTGCAACTGTCTTATCTGGTGCTGACATTGTAGCTGGTGAAGATAGCTACTACGAACGGATACTATAGGCTCCTCTGTTGCTTGGCTAGCGTCTGTATCATCCATGGGTCCATGTCTCTCAGCTTGTTACGTAACATCGCAGTATGCTAAGGACCACAAGCCTTCGGTTAGCAGCTTCAATCTAGCAAGCCAAAAGCGCGGGGAATTGTCGAGTGCAGCTGTCACTGGCTGTCGGTTTCTCTTATCAAGGTGGTTACTTCCGACGCTATACCTTATCTCAGACCGGGGTGTTGGAGCTAGTCCGGGGTTGGTATATTCGTTAATCGAGAGGAAGGAGACTGTTTGTAATCAAGATACGGGTTTGATTTGTATCAGCATTCTTGATATTCTTATCATTTGGAACCGTAACGATCCAGGCAGGTACATCCGTGGACAGGTACGCAGGATAAGGAATCAAGCCAATACGGGTTGGCCGCTTCAGCGGCTCGGCAAGAGGATCTTGGCATAATAATCCTGGCACGCCCTTCCTTTGAATGCCTTCTAGAAAGGCCGACATACATATGGGACTAAGACTTTTGGATTGGAGACCTTGTTGATGGTTATCATCCGCTCTCTTATCTATTACCTATATTGTAGGGGTGGGCTGTCTTTCTCTGCCTGCTCCCGAAAATACCCGTTCGATCTGTTCCAGACGTTCCAGTTGACCCGCTACATGTGCTGTTCTTCGAGCAGAGCGTTGGGTTACATAATTTTATATTAAATTCCTTATAGGGGAGAAGACAGCGAAAATCAAAGATTTTAAATGAAATGGTGATTCCCATGACAGTATATATATGCCTGGATCATCGAATCGGGATATATTTGGTACGTGAGGCGCCGGATCCACCCAGCCACTGCGGGGCGTAGCGGGGGAAAGTCGGACCAGCTCACGTGTTGGTGCCTGAATATGTACATATTAATGCCTGAACTATCTAGGTAGTTTCTCCCCTTCTTACACATTCCAACTACTTTGATGAACAACACAGTGGCATAATTCAATTCATTAGAAATAAACTAGAATGGAAGCTTGGCCAGGAGACTCTCCAACCCGATACACGCAAGCTCGGCACAGTCATCGTAAAAGCAGTCGGCCAAAATATCTCGAACATCATCCAATCCAGTCTGGATACCAAGACAATCAAACTGGAATTTATAGTCTAGAAAGTAGGATCTGGGTAATCCGACCAAGGTGGGCTGTTGTAGAGCCTCCAATACCATCTCCGGACCAAGTTCGTCCATATCACCTAGTAAAGAATCAAGAAGATCGAGTTGGTCGCAGACTCCCCAACAATTCTCCATGGTAAAGCCATCGTGTTGTAGGGTGTGTATGAGACTCTTCAATGTGTCTGTGAAGTCTTTATGGGCCTTGTTGAAACACTGTTCAAGGTCCTGGGCATCTTCAGGTGAACTCATATCTGAGGAGAGAAGGGGGAAGTGTTGCTCCCAAGGTCCTTGTTATCAGTGGTATAGGGGCAAATTTTGTACCAGCAAGAACTGGGTGTAGGGCTCAATGGAACAGGAGCAAATTATTCTAGCAACCGTAGCTGTTTAATATAGGCGAATTAAGGCCGGTTAAACCCATCCAATCAACTTTGATAGCCACATTGGAAAGCCAGTGATTCAAGACATGAAAACCAGCAGAAATCGCAATACCCATTGTTAAGGTGATTTTATTGTCCTTTTGTCATTCAGTCAAACTCTTAGGAATAATTTCATTGTTCTTGTTGCTAGTTGCTAGAGGTGTCTAAGACCAGCAACAAAGGGCGAAAATCTCAACATATACAAGACAAGAGCATTGAAAGGAATTTTTGTATGAAACAATTGAGCACGATTGAGGGCTTTTACTCAACTTTGTCTTAGACATTTTGTATGTAAATAATGAAATAGTGGATTATATGGAGTACTGATCAAGGCGCCAGGCATTCAGGCATCAAATCATCTGTAAAGGATGTTTCGAACCCTGGCCACTATAAGCCTTCGTAATCGGTATACTACCTAGGTATGTTGGCAGCCTTAGTCTATCTACCCCTTCGCCAACTGACATTCCTGACGCGATGCTTTCCTGAAACTCTGCATACTGCTGCGATAATGCCTCCCTCCAGAACCTCTACTCTACCCTCTAAGAATTGCCAGTTTACCGTGCCCCCTGGCTGGACTTCGACTCCATCAAGCCCGGTCTATTATGAAGAGTGGGATGGCGCCGACTCAGAAGGCCAAACAATTGCTCGATCCTATGGTCTCCAACCAGGACAGCCGGTGATGGAGGATAATGAAGCGTGGACAACAATTTTCCTATCTGGCAATAAGTTCTATCTTTGGGAGCGGATGGGCGACGAGGTGTATGAAATTGCCTCCCAAGATATACGCGAGATCGCTTTTGTGATTTCCCAGTCCGAACTTAGAGAGTTGGCTAGAAAGCCTCTTCTTCGGATCTAGTTAGGAATATGCTACTCAAAGGATCAACACCCTAACTAATATAAATATGTCTTTCGTGACCGATATATTATTTCAAAGCGTGACGTGGGCCAATATAAGAATCATTAATCACAGCATATCGTTGTCTCCTCCAATTTCCGAGTCTCATCCTGCACATCATCTATTCCCACAGTGACAACCATCCAATCACACAAGAACTTTCCCAGCCCCGCACCGATACAGATGCAAATAATCACATAGACGTTGAAGTACATGGCCAACAACATAGTGATATAAGCCCCTGCAAAAGTGATTGCATGAATCACAGACCTCGTCAACTGCTGTAATGGTGTGGCTCGAAACGTCACGGCCGTCCGAGCAGATTCAAATTTCTTGGCAAACGTGCCGTGCGCGGCTTGGCGCTCAAATTGGCGGGTCAAGAAGTTGTCGTATTCCCGACCAATGCGCCGACAGAACTCGACCAGTACAACGAGTAGAATTGTACCAATACAGGTCGCGGCAAACATGCCATTGTTCTTGATCTGCCATCCGCTGGATAGGAAGCAGGCATCGAGGGTGTTAAAATTGAACATCATCTGGTCTTTGGTTAGCGAATCCACTTGAATCTCCGAATCTCTTGGCACTCACCGACACCTTACAGCTGCTCGAGCTGCTGCCGTGGTCCATGCCCTCCATCTTGACTGGTATCCTGGTCTTCTGGGTATAAGGGGATGAGGAATTTGAGGAAATGGCGTGTCTGATATCAGTGCTCCAGGCCGATGGTCTTATAACCTGGTGGCCTCTCCCCACCTGCGCTAAGGCGAAGTGGAGAAACCCAGCGATGGTGTGGGAGAAATGTGCTCAAATCGCCGCAAATGCGAAATGGCCACCTTCAGCTTGCAAATGAGGATTCGCGTACTGGCAATTGATAAAACCTCGTGGGCTTCTCTCACAGAATCTCAACCCATCTTTTACGCTTCGCCATGACCAAATAATCCGACCAAACACAGAATTTCCACCTCAACTCGAGCTGAATCGTCGCTCCACGTCATCGGAATTGTGCTGGTGCTCATACTTGGTCCTCAATATCAGCCCGGTGCATAGGGCAGTTCAAGACACAATGTCGTCCCCCAAATTGGGTGTTCGCCACATCCAGAACATGAGCGCGGCGACGGCATTCGAGCCTCATTGGGGATACTACGACCGCGCTCTCCCTTGCACCAGTGATGCAGGATCGTGCGAGTATCTCGACCTTGTATACGCATCTCATGACCTGGGAATGCTATACTCAGGCATTCTGTGGTGTGTCATCGGCGCAATTTTGCTTCTCTGGGTCGTCCTGAACCAGTTCAACGCGCCAACGATATCACCAACACTAGCAGCACCACAACTAGCTGGGCTATACAAGGTTCGCCGCTCTGTTGCTTCGTTTTCCCGGAGATATCTCCTGCCCGATGCGGCTCGGTTTATCTTTGGCCGCACAACACGCCTCCAAGTACTCACCCTCGCGGTGTTGGCTGGCTACCTCCTCATCTTCAGCTTCGTCGGCATTCTCTACAACACATGGGTCACACCCGTCTCAAAGATGCCCGGTGTATACAATACCCGCAACAGCATCGGCCCGTGGTCAGACCGCATCGGCACCCTGGCCTACGCCCTCACCCCGCTCTCCGTGCTGCTGAGCAGCCGGGAATCCTTCCTCTCCGTTATCACTGGCCTGCCATACCAGAGCTTCAATTTCCTCCATCGCTGGCTGGGCTACATCATCTTCGTGCAAAGCTCCCTGCACACAATCACCTGGTGTGTCATCGAGCTGAGAATGTACCAGCCCCAACCTACCGTCGGACTCGAATGGGTCACTCAGACATACATCGTCTGGGGAATCGTCGCCATGATCCTGCTGCTCCTACTCGTCGTGCTGAGCACACCGTGGGGAATCAGACTCACCGGCTACGAGACCTTCCGCAAGCTGCACTACATCCTCGCCATGGTCTACATCGGTGCCTGCTGGGCCCACTGGAAACAGCTCAAGTGCTTCATGTGGCCCTCGCTGATCTTCTGGTTCCTCGATCGCGGAGCTCGCCTCGTTCGCACAGCCCTACTACACTACCATCCCGACCACTCCGGTACTCTCGGTCTCGGCTTCAAGCCCGCCGATGCAACCATCACCCGCTTCCCGGATATAGAATACGGTGATGTCATCCGTCTCGATCTGCACAATAACCAGGACCCCTGGTCCATCGGCCAACATTACTACCTATCCTTCACGAAGTGTAGTATCTGGCAATCCCACCCCTTCACACCACTCAACCTCCCCACTGTGTCAAAGGGCACAGTCCAACACTCATATATCCTCCGCGCGAAAAGCGGCGAAACGAAAAAGGTCGCAGACCTCGCTGCCACCGGCGTCCCTACAACACCCATCATCCTGACCGGAGCTTATGGCGAATCCATCACCAGTCACTTGACACCAAGCACGAATATAATCTGCATCGCCGGCGGGACCGGCATCACCTACGTCCTCCCCGTTCTACTAGACCTTGCCCGCCAGCAACCCTCACCAGACCGCAAGGTCGAGCTCATCTGGGCAGTCCGCCACACGGCGAACACGGAGTGGGTCGCGGCAGAGCTGGATGCTTTGCAGAAGGCGCGGAACACATTGAATCTCGAGATCCGCATCTTCGCTACCCGAGACTCGGGAAGCAAGACGCCCTCGATTGAGAACTCGGATTCTGAAAACTGCAATTTGTCAGTGCCAAAGATTGAAGAGAAGGTCGTGCAGGTCTCGCCTTCTAAGTCTGTTTCTGCGTGCTGTGGATGTGATAAGCCTACGGCTGTTGAGCGGCTTGGGGGTGCTGGGGATGATGTTAATAGACATCCTGATCTTCCGCGGCTCGTTGATGATTTCTTGGCTGAAACGGTGCGCGGTCCTACCAGTGTCTTTGCTAGTGGACCTGGTGGTATGATTAGTGACCTACGGGATATTGTTGCTTCTTGTAACTCTGGTGGGAAGGTCTGGAAGGGGGAAGAGAGATTTGATGTTAGTCTTGTTTGTGATGATCGGTTGGAGTGGTGAATGGGTTTGACAGGGACTTGTATATATTGCCCCGATGGCTGCATTCACGAGTATATAACCATCAGAAGTTATGGATTCAATGTATATATTTATCATGGTGAATTATATGGACCATACATTTTAACAAAAGAAATATGCGGGTGTAACGGTATAACTACATCATACGTTCTGTTGACATCCCTCCAACGCCATCTGAGTCCACCATAAGTTTCTGTGCAGCCATTTGCCCCCCCTCTACTACAATATATAACCTACTCCTACGAGGAATGAAAACCCCTGACTTATTTGTTTTTATTAACAAGCGATTCATGATATCCTCCAGCTCGTATATCTAAGTGACTAGTTACATGTATAATGAAAGAGGGAGTGGGTAAACACCCCCCATGTATTCCGTGTGACTCGACAAGTGAACTATGATGCCCAAATGCGTAGCGACTTGTTGGAGAACACTCACGAGAAAGACTCGTTTGATTTGGGTGTGGAGCTGCATGGGCCTCAACGATGTTGATGTCTCATGCATAGGCACCCGGGTTGCTATGGGACTCATAGGGGCTACGGTGAGATGGTGGTCGAGAGGGAGAAGGCTGGAGGAAGAAGAGAGGAAGAAGAAGAGAAGACGGAAAAAGGAGGGGTCCTTTTATATGGTCACATCCCAGGTGCCTTCCTAAAATGGACAACTCTCCAACGCACCTTCTTTCATAGTCCCATGTCACATGTCTAGTCCCATGTCACATGTCATCTTCCCAAGTTGTATTCTTGTTCCTAAGGAAAGCCAGTCCCTTCCTTCTTCTGGTGGGTCATAAAGTAATATGAATGTATCCATTCCTCCCTGTACATTCTAATACCAAAAAGAAACATCTCTACTTCGCTTTACCATTGACACTAACATCCCTCCCAAGCCCGCCACCAGGCAAAAGCATGCCAGTCCGATCAATAAACGCCCGCGCTCGAATATACGGATCCAACTTCCAATAGTTCACACGGAACTCATCAATAACAGCATTCCGTCGCGACTTAAGCTCCTCCACTTTCGACGCCTCTTCCTTTCCATCAGACTGAGAACTGGCAGAGATCCACGCCGCTGTGGCACTGATCATCCGGATGCCGATCATCATACGGTCGTACATTAGCGAGTCGCGCGTTGCGGTATCTTTCATAACCGCGTTCTCATCTTTCACAGGCTCGTCGTATCTATAGCTCCAGCTGTCGTCGCCCGAGAACTCTTTGGGGATTTTGTTGCGTGAGATAAACTTGTCTAGGTCGGCGATTGACCGTGTAAAGTGCACTTTCGATGCGACGACCGGGTCCATCCAGCCGTGGATGAGCCTCCAGACTCCTGTTGGTGGAAGGTGAGTATTTTATGGAGTGAAAAGCGAGGATGGCATTGTGGAATGACTTACCGGAGAATATCCAGGGTGCGTTATGGATGAGTAGTTGTCCCAGAGACTCAGGGTAATTCGCTTCGAAGCATTTGAGGATGAATTTGACTGGTGGGTATTCCTGTTGCGAAGGTCAATATAAGACCAGTCACTTGGATCTAGCTGCAATATGGTCTCCTACCATGTTGGACAACCCGAATCCTGTTAAATCGAAAACAATTGTCTGTGGATATGTCAAAATAAGTCAACATCTGAACATTCTGGTCAAACATACCCCCGTTTCAACTGGAGGAGCCACGATGAGTCGCACCGACTCAATACAATGAACAATATACCGCTCGAGAGCTTCCTCACTCTGAGCACCTGGCTTGTGAATCTTCACTCTAACATAGATAACCGGCCGACCGTCCCTATCGAAGCCATGAAGGAAGCTCTTGCCTGTCTTGAGTTGATTGGTGAAGTCGGCACCTTCCTTCTTCTCCTTCGGGGTAGCCTTGGGATTACGGGATTGCTCGAGAGCGTACTCCTCTCCCTGGGGCAGAATCTCTTCATCAACCTCCATTTCCTTTCTCCATAAGATGTTCGACGCCATCATCGAGAACGCCTTGCCGACATCCCATTTCCTGGCGCGCAAGAACCGAAGCAATAAGCTATCCGGATTTTCTTGCTTGATCATTTTCAAGATCGCAAAGCACATTTCCTGTGGTGTCATCCTAGAGAGGATAGTCTCCATGGATTTGATTTCTGCATCTTGCACGCCCAACTCTCGGAGCTGTGAGAAAAGGGAAGAGAAGTGTGCCGGGGTGACCTTTCGATTGGCCATTTCTGAAACGATAGTGTCTTTGGCATTTTCATTCATGAGCGCATCTACCTTGTCGAGTGATTTCTGCTCTTTATTATCCGTGCCATTTTCAGCGGTCGTTTCTCCGTTGGTCTCGCCATTTAATTCTGCCGGTACGGTCCCATTCGAGGCCTCTCCATTGGAATCTTCCCCCTTCAATGCGCTGATAATAGCCTCTACCGTTGGCTCATTGATCTTGTCCAGAGCAGCAAATAGCTTGCTGGAGGAGCCCTTCGGAATCGGGACTTCATACACAGCCGAGAGGACCGTCGCAACGGAGGTCAAAATGATGATCCAGAATTCAATTACCTTTGCTTCTTGGTCAGGGGTAAGGTGTCCGAGGTGTCCGGACGTTGGTTCGGTGGTGGAAGACATGGCGTGAATGATGGATATAATGCAGCGTGGACTTGAGGAAATCAAGTCATATTTTAGTCGCAAACCCACTGGCAATGAAAATTTGCTCTTTAATTCATCCACTGCTGACGGATCCACATGAGTCGAATGGCTGCCTCGGCCACCCCCGGATTCACGGGCGAATTCAAAATTGATACCTCGGTTTTTGAAATCGGTCGATCGTTATTGAAATATGGGTGCTGGTACCTTTCGTTTTGTGGGGGATCTTGAAACCAGTAATACTACTACCTAGGTGTCTCCATTAACGCGAACGGACGTGAGGGGAAGCGGGGGATGACGATCCTCTATATTGCGGGGAAGATCGTCGGTGTGAGAGGGTTTGATTCTTCTCAATTTTGAGCTTCTAATACGCAGAGACGCAAGTTCTCAGCGGATGATGACTCTATTTTTACTGCTTTAGAAAATGGTTCTAATCCAAATTAGGTATTCAGGATGTTGAAAGTGTATAGACACTTTGGTTGTACCAAAGGCACTCTCATTCCTTGGCTACCCTCGGTTATTCTTAAGTTCTCTTTGAGAATATTCGTATGCATACTAACCCACAACACTCCTTCTGGGTTTCGCCAAGAGACCGAGGTCCAGCGTAATGTGACTATTGTAACAATCTGGAGGTTGGGAGATCCTTTCTGCTAGATGTTTCCGTGTTAGAGGTGTTTGTAATTAATTAGTTACTTTAATTATGCCAAGACTGTATTTGTGCATAGAAATAGGCTCTTAATGGGCTTTGATAGGCCCCCATTAATAGGTTGTGGGTTGGGTTGGGTTGGGTTGGGCTATGGGCCGGGACCCGGGCTATGTAGAGGTCTACTAGGTAGTAGGCAGAACACTAACAGAACACCCAATAAGAAGAGTCATCGAAGCATAAATAGACAGCGTCTCTAATGACATGTTGAGAGGACCAAATCCGAGTATTAAATGCCTATGTGCTAGCACTAGGCAAGGAAAGCGGCCCCGTAAAATTGCGTTGTGAAAAGGATACCATGGCTCACGAGACGTTTTCTGTAAGAATATCTCGATTTCTTTCTGAATCCAACTTCAGGAATATGATATATAATTGTTAGGAGAGGTCTACATTGTGGACGTTGAAGTGCAATATTGTTGAAGAAGTCAAGCTACAGAGAGACTAATAAATCTGACAAGAAGCTACAACCAAGTGGCCAAGCGGCCCAAGCCCTATAATATCACAACGCCCATTAGCGCCCCCAAAAGAAAAATTGGCACCACAAAGGAGCAGCAGAGGCCGAGGAAAGACTTGTCGGAGCTAAGTTCCTCCACAACCTCCGCTCGTGGGTACGATATTCCTTTCTCTGTGGTGAGCAATCTAGAGTCTCTAGAGTGATATGTCGGGGAACTGAAGAGATAAACAACGGGTACCCAATTGTTGACAATAGCCAAAAAGTACAAGTGCAGCAACGGTGGCCAAGCGATTGTGGTAAGCAGTTGGAGAATCGTCGGTCCATCCCCAGAGACAGCCACCCAGACAGCAAAGAGCATAGCTCCCACACTCGTAATAAAAAGACAGATGTTCAACAAAGCACCGCTTTGAAGAGTATCTCTGTATGCCTTTTGGAATGACGAGATGGATGTGGCGTTTTCACTCGAATTGGCGGTGCTTCCGGTAACAAAAGATCCCTTTGGCTTGCTTCCAAGTAAATGGAATCGTGCAATGGCGTATAAATGGGCTATTAAAGTAATATATTAGGATCAAGCTTGACATTCCATCAGAGATGTGGAAATCTTCAATCAAACTTACCGGCAGCCAGCCAGCTATTCTCTGCGTGTGCGAATGGCACAAATGGAACACCCGCGTGTGCACTTCGAGTCCAGTCATATACCCATGTAGATGCAACATGTGCAATGGCCAGAACAAGCTGGATCTTAACCTCGAACGCCGATCCAGCAGGAATAAACCCACCATCGAAGACAAGAAGAAAAGGCAGAGCAACAAAGCCAATTGAATAGGTCACAAGACCTGCCATGATAGACAGCCCTCCAAGAGCAATATCCCAACGCAGATGCTCTGGAACCGCCTTGTTGACAGAAGGGAATAACACAGAAATCTGTTGAGAGTGTCCAATGTGCCATCGATTCCGCTGTTTGAGATGACCAGCAAGTGAGGTAGGAACGAGACCGAATTGCAGAACCTCTTGTATCTGCATCGTGCGCTTTCCCAGCCCTCGTAGGATCAACGACAGCTGCCAATCCTCGGAGAAGGAATAAGTCGGATATCCACCCGCGTCGATAATCGCATCGCGACGAAAGACTGCGCCTGATCCCGCGTCCAGTGCATGGCCGAGAAGATCGAGTTCCATATTCTCACACGTATAGAAGTAAGCCCGCGACTGGGAGAGAGGATCGCCGCGGGGCAGATTATAGAAATACTGTCGCGTGGTGAGTAATGCTGCCTCTGGGTCTGCAAGTAGATGGGGCAGTGTTGCACGTAGAAATTCTGGCATCAGGATGGAGTCTGCGTCGACGACTGTGCAGAACTCTGGCGGGTCTTCGGTTTGTAGGGAGAACAGGGCGTAGTTGAGGTTGCCTGCTTTGGCAAAGGATTTCCCGGATTGTTTGCCGCGAGTGTGATAGGATAGGTGAGTGTACTTCGTGTTGAGCTTCATAATCGCGTCGTGCAGGTTTATCGATCCACCGTCATCCAGAATCCGGACTCGGAACCGCGAAGCTGGATAGTCTAGGCCACATGCTGCTCGGACTGTGTCCAATATGATGTCCACTGGCTCTCCGCAGCATGTTACCAACACGTCGACTCTGGGAAGATTCTTATTACTGCGTAATCTCTTGCGGGGTGACCGGTGTGGGGGCTTTGTTGTTGCGGCTAAGGACAAGCGTTGGCGGTTCAAGGATATGTCTGACAGAATCAGCGGCTGTTCAATGTTCTTTGTTGGAAGACAACTTACGACCAAATAGACCCTCAATGCCAAGCATTACCCACATCTTCCATGTTCGGTCCGGAGTTGTCAAGGTGAAAAACAACCGCACTACAAAGTAGATGCAGGTGGTCCATATTGCTGCTTGCGCTATGCGGCGGAGATATTCCCGGTACTTCTGCGCAAACAGGATACGATCATCAGGGGAAAGTTCCTCAACATCATAGACATTGTCAGGAAACATTGAAGCGAAATTTGCGCTGTTGAGTTGCATGATTTTGATTCTGTTGCATATTCCAAGGGTGATGTATATGGTTGTGAAGATGGTTGTGAAGAATACCACAAAACAAGTTGTCTTTGATTTTTCACGAAATCCAAGGCTTTAAAAATAAAACTTTCCATGCGAAGATTAAGGGGCATGAATGCATTCAGTGCTATCTACAAGCCCCATTTGCTTCTAGAACTTACTGTGTCTATTTATACAACCTCTCTGAGGACCATTGCTGCCCAGAACCAATCAGGGCGCGCCATCGTATGAACGTTGATAGCGCTAACTTTAACTGGCCGTGAATTGCAAGTGGGTCCACATCCTCGGCATCCGATTGGATCCCTATTCTATGAAATCTAAGATGGCATCTGAGAGCATCTATCTCTGTGATGATGAAGGTCTCCCTCTTGAATGTAGTCATTTATTATCCATGCAAGTCTTCAAAGATGTGGTTCTCATGGGAATTTGCAAGTTCGCCGTCGATACTTTCTCAAGCCTGAACCGATCGAACACCCTCCTTATAAAGGAGGGGGACAGAACAATGACCCAGCGCATTTCGAGCACTTGCACATCCATCTTAGAATCGAGGATACGTACTGCCTGGCAGCCACTGGCGAGAATAGCCTTGGTGAAAATGGTGATGAGGAGTGTATTTTGATAGAGGTGAATGAGTATGATGCTGTCAAATGAAACTGGGGATATAATAAGTGTTGTTGGACTAAGAGGGCATTATGTATCTGTTCTTCCTATGAAATGGCTCAATCTACAGAAACAATAGAGTGAAGAAAGAGACATACTGGAAAGATAATATAATCAATGACAAAAGCTGAGGACCCAGTAACTAAGTACCTATGCCTAGGCCACGCCCAACCCGTTTTTGGAGGTTGGGAGAGCATTTTTCTATATATCGTGTGGTTTCTAGGCGGTTCCAACCTAAATTTATTAATAACCCTCGCTAGCTACGCCGAGGTATAGTAGGAATAGGCGATCGGGTACGCTTCTTCTATATTATTAACTCGAGGTAGTCAAAGGGTTCGTCCGGCGTACTAATTATTCTATACCGAAAGCTTTATAATACACTATATCCTACGATCTGGTCAGGATTAAGGCGGCCAAATAAGACTAACTTAAGGCACCAAGGCCGCAATGCGTTGCATTAAATCCGAAAGTAACCCTGGCCCCTATGCCCCTGCATAAACACCGGCAGCCGGGATTACCTGCATGTTCAATCCGTGTTAACCCACTCAGCGAATGGGGGTACTGTCGGTTGGCAGACAGGTGTTGATATGAAATTTATGGGACAATATGCTTCCAAAAAGGGAAGGTGGTCCATCCATCTGATATCGCTTTCCTTCTTCACATTCCTGCCAATGAATTTGTTTAGAACCACTATTTCAAATTACTCGGCAATTTTGCTTTCCATGTAAACAGACTACCTAGGTAGTACTTCTTCGTTAACTGCTCCAGTTACCTTACTGCCTCAACAGGTTGGAGGAGTTCCAGCTGCAAATCTCGGAAATGAGACACCCTTGGGCCAATATCACAAACGTTTTCTCCATCCAGTACAGTATGGAGTGAATCAGGTACATGTGGGTCATACCCCGAAGCAAGACCCAGCCCAATTTCTTCAAACACGCCTAAGTCCTGACTGTGGCACCCGCTAGTCAAAGCTACTCCATGGTTATACGGACGACCGAGTCTTACAAACCACGAGTCTTACAAACCACTGTGGATAGTGGCTGTCTATGGTCGAGGCCTTGAATCGCTGAGTCGATTTAGAGTAACAAGAACTCTCTACGTCTATCCTATCGCCAGATGGATATAAGTATTGGAAGAATATCAACTGTCAGTCAAGCGATGCTATAGACATCTATTTAGCCGTGGAGTCATACTATCATATCTACAGTACATACTATCATTTCATAGTGTCGCACTCAATATTTCCAGTGTGGATGGAAATAAGCTTAAACTTTTGACCCGTCCGGACTTGCCTGGGACCCCTGTCGGAGACATTACATAAGCCGACCATCTGCCGAGTGGATCCCGAGATCGGATCCTAATTCAACCGCGTGGATCTCCTTCGGCGACTTTTTGTGATTTTTTATAGGACCGTTTCGCTGAAAATACTTATAAATGGACCCATGTATCAACACCAGGAAGTATTCCAAGGCGGAATATAAAGTCCGGTGGAGATGCCGTAAGTTTTTCGCCTCCAGATCAAATGGTTAATGCTTATCCAGAAATTTCGATGATAAATCAATCCTCAACTTCCCCACTGTAGATCAATACATAAATCAAGCCACCCCTGTCTTTACAAGATGGAATTAACCACACCTATAATAATATTTATACCTGAACACCATCAAAATGACTTGGCCCGACGTCTCCGCTAAGCCCGCCGAGGGCATCTCATACTACACCCCTGCCCAGAGCCCCCCGGCAGGCACAGCTCGCACTCCCCAAACGAGCGGAAAGCCCATTCCCAAGATGTTCAAGCCTCTCACCGTCAGGGGCGTGACTTTCCAAAACCGCCTAGGTGTACGCAATTCCCTTCCAATCCCTTGCATGGTCACAGCTAACAATAACCCTCCAGATGGCGCCCATGTGCCAATACAGTGCTGATGATGGCCACATGACCGCGTGGCACATAGCGCATTACGGCGCCATTGCCCAGCGCGGACCCGGACACATTATCATCGAAGCAACCGGTGTGGTCCCCGAGGGCCGTATCACCCCCGGCTGCGTAGGCCTCTGGAAGGACTCGCAGATCGCGCCACTTAAGCAGATCGTTGAATTTGCGCATAGCCAGGGCCAGAAAATCGGTATCCAGCTCGCACACGCAGGCCGTAAGGCGTCCACCGTAGCACCTTGGCTTGGTGGTGTTGTCGCGAACAACTCTGTCGGCGGTTGGACCGATAATGTCAAGGCTCCTAGCGCTATTCCCTTCGCCGAGGGCGATCCTACCCCTATTGCTATGACCCAGGATGACATCGCTGAGGTTAAGACTGCCTGGGTTGCGGCTGTTAAGCGTGCTATCACTGCTGGCTGTGATTTCATCGAGATCCACAACGCTCACGGATACCTCCTCTCTTCGTTCCTTAGCCCTACCTCCAACCAGCGCACCGATAACTACGGTGGCAGCTTCGAGAACCGCATTCGTCTGTCCTTGGAAATCGCCCAATTGACCCGTGACACTGTCGGTGACGATGTTCCCGTTTTCCTGCGTGTATCTGCTACCGACTGGCTTGAGGAGAGCCTCCCGGCTGAGAAAGGCTGGAAGGTTGAGGACACGGTTGAGTTCGCTCGTGCGCTTGCTACGCAGGGCGCTATCGATCTTATCGATATTAGTACCGGTGGTTTGCACACTGGTCAGAAGGTCGCCTCCGGTCCTGCTTTCCAGGTTCCTCATGCTGCTGCTGTCAAGAAGGCTGTTGGTGATAAGCTGCTTGTTGCTGCTGTTGGTATGATTAACAACGGAAACTTGGGAGACAAGATTCTGAACGAGAATGATCTCGATATTATTCTTGTTGGCCGTGCCTTCCAGCGTGATACCGGTCTCGCTTGGCAGTTTGCTAAGGACTTGGATGTTGAGATTGCTATGGCTGGGCAGATTCGTTGGGGTTTCACCAGCTTCCGCAATGCTTCTGAGTATATTCAGCCCAACTCTATGAAGGCTTCCATTTTTGATTAGATTTAGATATACCAACTGTTGACCGACTTGCGGTTGGCTTGCATTGCATTATATAGACATCTTTTTTAATCAATGAGAACAACGAGAATTGATATGCCGTTTATGCTTGAAACCTGTGATTGACAAGTAAGAGAATTATCAGTATGGACAATAAAATTCAGCTATCTCCTCGAGATTTTCCTTGTCATTTTCTCTTGCATCTCGCCTGTTGGTCGTCAGGAAAGGTAATCCAATATATCCTAGATAGTAAACGCAAGTTTCCAATAACTATCAGAAGAGTACGTACGTTGAATAGAATGGTTGAAACGGAAAACATGTTGATTAAAATCTAACTAATCTAAGAACGAGCGAGAGCTGTAATAGGTTTTTCTTTTAGATTGAAAACATGGTAAAAGTGTCCTGTCTCGCTTAGACCTGATGACCTTCGGAGCCCCAATTCTATGATCCCTTCAGCGTACATCGAAAACCAGTTATATGGTTCTCAACGGACGCTGAAGGGGCCATTGAACTACAGACCGAACAATCACCGGGATCGTCACCGAGGTGAGGTGAACATGATTCACCATCCAGAAAGCAGCCATGGCCTCAACCAAAAGAAAATCCCCCTACAACAAAACCACCTGAATCAAGCTTGTAAACGGCTCCAAATTCCCTTCCAATCACGCTGCATCTCGAGCGAGCGTCCACTATAGCATCCATAAGGCGTGTCGCGGGAACATCACGAGAACTGTCAATCAGAGAGTAGTTCTAGGCAATGTAACTCAGACAGCGAAAACCCTCATGGGAACCAAACCCATAAGAGGCGTTTAGGATCCCGGGCAATTAGAAGCTAATTGCGAGGATTCTCGGCGCACATCTTGGATGAGACATTTGACACCAAACCAATCATTTCCAGCAAAGGGACAGACAGGATGAACCCGCCTTACTTGGCTGGTCATTCATGATAACAACGGGACACTCAGTATCACCAATCAGAAGACCAGCGAAATCACAAACCGACGTCTGCCGGCGGATATTCTGGCGATCCCGGTAAAGACGCACCTTTTGGCAAACGTCCCATCCCAGTGAGCAGCACGACCGTTCAGCGGGATGGTATGGGCGAGAGAACTCCCTCCCTGTGTAGGTCCATAGAGTTGAGGGGGAACTCAAGGACCCGCTCCATTAGTTGGGAGTTTAAGCCCAGCACGCACAGTCGGGAGAACTCTGGAGGAAGGAAAAAGGAGGACGCTTTACAAGGTTCGTGGGGCGCGTTTGTGCATTACCTAATCATTACCCCACCAGTTTAGCCCCGACGCGTCCAACGTGACTTTTAGGGCTTTTCTCACTTCTGTCCTGTCATATTCAACGACATGTTGATATTTCACTATTCCGATGCTTTCAATCATAGATAACCTGGTACCCGTGGAAATGTGCAAGCTTCATGGGGAAAACAGCGAAAACAATGTTTAGCGAGGAATTGCAAGGTCTGAGTTTCACAGAACCTCCGGCAATAGACATGGATTCAGAACCATATTAGCATTATTCCACCTCTGAACAAAAAGCACTTGCTCTAATAAAAAGTTCACTTTGCTCACAGAAATCACTTTCTGGGGATTTGAACAGCTCACGGCAAAATCTCCTTTCCCATCCAATCCCAACACCTCCCTCTCCCTCCTTGAACCTCCGATGGCAGGCCCACAAGTACCTCCAAAAGCTTGTCAGCCGCATCGGCCGGCTCCAGCATTTCCCTCGTCCCCCAATACTCATTGGTGAAATCTGTGTGTACAGTACCAGGGTGTAGCGCCACAGCAATTGCCCTCTCCCCACTCTTCGCGCGCAAATGCAAATCAAAGGTCTTGGCCAATTGGAACACAGCTGCCTTGCTTGCACGGTAGGAATACCACCCGCCCGAGGCATTGTCAGATACTGAGCCGACTCGAGCGGCCATCACTGCATAGATGGCATGAGAGGGCAACCACAGCGGACCTTGAGTGTTGATCGCAGAGCTAGACTCCATTGTCGGGAATTCTGGTGAGGATTTCAATGGGACGAACTGGGAGAGATGCTTCATGAGTAGCAACGGGCCGAGGGAGTTGACCTTGAAGCTTTCCAGCGCATTGGCTGCGTCGATTTTACTGGGTGATTTTTCTGCATGCAGAATGCCGGGGATTGTCAATCCTAGCCTGAGCGGTGTGTTTGGATATTCCTGGCGGATTGTGTCTGCCATTGCTGATATCGTAGACTCATCTGGGGAGTCGGTTAGCCTTACAGGGCCGAGAGGCTTGTGTTTCCGGGAATAAAGTTGCTTTTTTTACCTGTTACATCAACCTGGATGATGCGAAGTCTCTGCTTTGCATCCTTGGGCATGCCCTTGCTTGACAGCAACCGTTCTTGGAGCTCATGGCAGTTCTTGCGGGCTGTTGCAATCACAGGGAGCTCGGTCCGGGTTAAGAGCTGCTGTGCGAAGGCGAACCCGAGTCCGCGCGAGGCAGGGGTTACTAAGGCAAACCCATGAGCTGCTAGTAACATGATGCATTTACTGGACTAGGATATGTTGTTTTTCAAGTAGTGAGAGACGGTAGAAGAAATTACAACGTAGAGTTGCTGATGTTCGGTCTTCATATGACGTCACACGGCATGTTTCATCGTCGATTTAAGCTTCGATCTGATCTCCTGGGCATCTCTACCGTAGGATTACTTCAATACAATTCGGATCAACATACATATCCACACTTAATGGTTGCGGTTGATTTTTCTTAGATTGACTATCTCCCAACACTCAAACATAACCAAGATACCTCAAGACTTTCCCTCCAGATCATTGAAGAAGTCCCTACCAAACTCCCCGCTGCTATCGTTGAAACGAAGCTTCTTGTTGATTTTCTCAATCTTCTTCATATCTTCTGGGCTCAGTTTAAAGTCGCCTCCCAGGTTGGCCCTGATCCTCAAGGGTGTTTTAGACTTCGGGAGCACCGAGTGGCCCTGCGAGACTCCCCAGGCTATCAAATCACACTGTAGTCAGCATCATACAAACTAAATTCAGGCAGGTCACACTTACCAAGAGTAACTTGGGCAGGCGTTTTGTTGTAAGTCTCGCCTATCTCTGTCAAAACAGGCTCCTCGAGCAACTTCGTGGGTTCGCCCTTCCCACTATAGAGAGCGTTCTGGTTTCCAAACGGCGAGTAGTGTATGATATGTATACCATTCTTTCGATGCCATTCAGTGAAATCACGCTGCTGCAGCCACGGATGACATTCAAGCTGGTGCGCAGCGGGAACGATGGAAGTATTCTTGATCAGGCGCTCCATCTCAGACTTGTCGAAGTTCGAGACGCCGATCGCCTTTGCCTTGCCGGTTTTCAGAAGCTGTTCCATTGCTTTGTACGTCTGCTCTGATGTCAGTGTGCTTGCCTTCGTGGATCAAGAGAGAGGTGTGCGACGTACGTCGACGATGTCGATATTCTCCAGGATCGGCTTCTCATCCTTCATCGGAAAGAGTTCCTCGCCTCGTTTCCAGGCCACGGGCCAGTGAATCAGGAACAGATCAACGTAGTCCGTTTCCAGATCGTCTAAGGATTGCTGCAGAGCCGGTGCTACATCGTCCGGGTGGTGTTTGTTGTTCCATAGCTTGGTTGTGATGAAGATATCTTTGCGTGCGATGCCGCTTTTCTTGACGCCTTTGCCAACAGCCTTCTCGGTTCCATAACTAGTATTCAGTCAGTGCTGTACATTGAGCTTGTTGCTCGTCTCGGTCAGGAAGCAGGGATACTTACACCCGTGCAGTATCGATATGACGGTATCCTGCCTTGATTGCCTCTGCTACGGCATCTTCCTGCTCACTCGCATCCTGCCAGGTGCCAAATCCAATGGCTGGGATCTCTGCTCCGGTGTTCAACTTGAAGTTTGTGGACATGTTTGGTTAGTTTTTCTTTAATTGGTTTCAATAATGATTCAAGAGTTCATGTTCTGCTATAATCTCCAGCTCGAATTCAGAGAAAAGTACAAAACACGATTATCAGACACGTCAAGGTGACGAATGCCAGATTTATGGCTGTATGTTGATGACGTGAAAATGACATCTTTGGGGTCTTGGACGAAGCCAACATACATACATGTGTAAGTGCCTATCAACACACATACATTATGTGCCTATCAACATACATACATGTGTATGAAACGATCTTCAGTTGGCGAGCTTGAGCCATCTAAAACTCGCACTAACACCTATTCTTTGTCTAGGATGTCAATGAGATGCCCGGGGTTTGGTTGTGCTAACACTCTGGCAGTAGGTTCTGGTCAGCTTTCATGTGATGCCCTCCCTGCCTTCTACTAGCTCCAGCATACACTCCCCACTCAACATCAACAATCTTCGCCGCTGATTGCTAACTAGATCAAAAATCATATATTTATTAACGGTCATCTTATGTTCGTGACGACGACGCTACCAGCTCTTACCATCGGACTTGCCACTTGCTTTTGATATATTCTCACCAGCAACCCCACCCTGTTAGGAATCTGTTCACCGAGAAACCTGTTTCGAGCGCCCAAACCCTGCATGCTGGGAGTTTCTGCCTTCTACGACCAGGCTATATGTTGACGTCATGGACATGGCATCTTCGTCCAACAACCTTATATAACTTCAGCCATTGAGGCTCAAGCTCTTCGGCTTCTTGCGGGCAGTTGCGATACTAATGTACGATGCCAAATTGGCAACAAGACGCACGCACCGCACTTGCGTGATGAAGATGGGAGGCACTGGGTGGAAAACCTTGTCAAGGAGACCAGGTCATCTCAACCGTCGCAGGGATATATATTGCTCCACTGATGTATCTCTAACCATCCCTTGTATGTCAGTGAGGACTAGCCATTCCACGTGCAAATACAGTTTCCTTGATCATACCCACTTCAACTCTCGGCCCAGCTATTTCGCCGATGTTTGGTGCCAAGACAAACAACGCCAAAGGTCATACGCGTCTACCGTAGCTTACCGCTTTAGTTTATATAGCGAGCTCCACTCGCAGATTTTTTTCTTTCCTTCTGCATCGCTCGGAATTCTCCAGCTCTCACTTCTTTCTTTTGTTTTTTTCTTTTCCCAGCTTGGACTGTGTCTTAATGATGGCACACTCCAGCTGTGCTCAAAGTCTGAGGCTAATCTCAGCGCTATGAGTAATGCTTGGTTTCTTTTTTCCCCAAAAGGTAAGGAAAATCTTTTTTCTTCTTCCAACCCCAAACCCCCGGGGATGATTATATTATAGACATGCAAAGGCATTCCTCAATCAGAAGATCCATGTTGAATCTGTCATACATTTAAGTTTCAGCCTTGTCTGACCCATCACAAAAACATCATTACTTTACAAGCCATACATTGAGTGATCTTTGACTAACAATCTCTCGCTCAGGTAAATTACACTTCGATTCAATCCCTTCCCTCCATTGCGGCTGTTGCCTAGCATGAAGAAATTTGAACGAACGGGCGGACATAACGTACCCATCTCCCTTCATCCAACAAAACCAGAGCGTACAAACTCTGTGGGTGTATGGGAAGTGGATTACTTGTTGAGAATTCGTCACCTGAACCACTGCCCTTTTCAAAAATTATTTCATGTCGCATCGACAAGTTGAGACCAGCATTTCTAACAGAAATTCTAGGTAATTCATAACTCATCTCTATCTCTCTGCCCTTCTTCAGCATGGTCAAACCTATCATGATGATTGTGTTATTCACACTGTTGGACTTGGACCTCGTGTCCGGGAATGAACATTATACAAAAATTCTGATTTAATGAGGTATGTTTCTCTTGTCGATCAGAGAAACCGTATTTAATGCTGACTGACTCGAAGCCTGACTTAGTTGCCATGTCTTGATTTCGCTTTTGACTCACGCTTTTTGCTTGAATCCCATCGCTAACTCGACATAAGTGAACAAATAGGACTACACACAGGTAGACCTTTTGGCTCGTTGACCGTGAGTTTACTCTGTTTCCATTTCCTATATCATTGCATGATGAACCCCAATATACTGTTCTATCTCTGAACTATCATGTCGATAAACTATTTTCACCTTGGAGAACTGATCTTTTCCTTGACTGCCATCATTTCACTCACCTCGTGATATGATCAAATGCTAATATGTATTACAGGAGCCATTGGTCATTTTATAATAGCTTAATATCGAATAATATTTTTCTTGGAACACTTTTCATTCGTACCTTCGAGCCCGTCCCTTGGATCTCTCATAGCCACCCCGTAACTCCTCTCCCGTACACCATTCCCAACGCCTTTGCCAACTCACCCATGCTCAATGGCATAACCTACTCGACGAACAAACCATGCTTCTTGTGCCATCCCTCAAGACTATCCTTACCATACTCCTCGTGCACACTCTTCATTCCCTCCGGCCACCGAGCCCACGCCGGCTTCGATCCATCCATGATACACACCATCTCGTCGGGCACCGGCAACTCCGTATCGATTGCGGAGGCAAACGGATGGATCAGTTCGGGCCAGTGGTGGTCCCAAACCCACAGCATGGTACTGCAATTCGAGCAGAAGTTCCGCTCAGAGGAGCAAACCTTTTCATCTGGTGTACCGCGGTCTTTGATGCCAGAGTATTTCCTGGTCATGACGTTAGTAAATGTAGATGACAATATAATATACGTATCCCAGTGTAGGAAATGACGTTTCTCGGCGGATCCTGTCTCCCATAGTAGAAGTGAGTGGATATGAGTGGATATAGATGGGTCGTACTTGATCAGATCTTTGCCCTTCATGATATCCAGGCTATCGGCGATGCCGCCTAGGTTCACTGCCCCGAGGTATCCGCCTACTTTACGGCAGATGCTGCAAGCGCATAGCTGGTAGGGAACTGGTGTTTGAGACTGTAGAGTAAATTCGACGCCGCCGCATTGGCAGCTTCCTTTGAGATTCCTATGTTGTATACAACCGGTTAGTCTGTCTGTGTCAAGGATGCAACGCGGTATTGGTGAAGCTCTACATACATAGGCATGATTTGGTGTGTTTGTTTGGTAACCTAGCAGCTAGTGGGGTTATAGTCAAAGCGATGTATCTGAGTTGATGGGAAAGGTCTGAGTCTATCCAGAGTTAAGAGGTGCTCCTCAATATATATATTTCCATCACCGCGGGGGTAAAATCCGAAAACAAAACCAACAAAACAAGCAAACTAGACTAGGCTCCTATGATTAGAGGACGATATACCCCCACCAACCTATTTCCTATCAATAAACCTGTATCTGAATGCTCGAGGCCTGTTCTTTAGACGCCAGGTTGATCTCATGCATCATCGACCGTACCCCCGCAGATGTGATTGGGTGAACTGTTGTTTGTCTTGTTTGGTCTGTTTGTCTATCGGACGTTTGGATTCGCGTTCGCCGACTGATGCTCATCTCGCTGAGCTACTCTCTCGTCTGTACCGAAGCAAAATCCTGTTGTGTTGATATCTAGAGCGGATATACGCTTAATCTTGCTGAAAATGAGTTTTGGAGCCCCCGGCGGTGGGTCGGTGAACTACAAGCCATCACCGTGAGTTGGATGATCCTAAGCGTGCATATTTGCCCCAGCGACATGTTGTCTAGCGAACGAACGAGATTGAATCCCTTATCTACCTAATTGCTGACCAAATTATGCTGCTTGCAGACCCGAGCGCGGTAGCTTTCCTCTTGACCACGAAGGTACGCCAGTCCGCAGTTACATGGCCCATATCCCGAAGAAATGCGGCAAGACCAACCAAGACTATGGAGCTAATTACAAATTGGGACATTGCAGGAGAATGCAAGCATGTTATCTCGGGTTATTTGAAGTGTATCAAGATGAACAAAGGCACCAACGATGAGGCGTGTCGCAAATTAGCCAAGGAATATCTTGCCTGCCGAATGGACAAGTAAGCCAGCCCGATACACACAAGCACCGGCCATTGCAATTGGGGAGAAATTAGACTCCTGATGAGTGTCAAAGCAAAATGCTGACCCAGACGACTTGTGCTTAGGAACCTCATGGCGCCGGATAACTTCGAGAACCTTGGGTTAGTGTTTAAAGACGGCGAAGGAAAACAGCAGACACCAGCTGCACCAGCTGCAAGCGCAACAGACCCAGGACAGAAAAACTGATATAGGACTCGGAGACGTTGGATGATACTGTATGATATGGAAGAGTGGCGCTAGTCCGTGATATTCGGGTAGTGCTGGCATCATTCAAGGCGTTGCACATAAGAAAATGTATTTGGTACCTATTCAACACATGGAATAAGTAAACATGATCTATAGAAATGAGTGAGCATCAAATCCACAAAATTATACCAATCTGAATAGTAGTAGTAGTGGTATGTTGGCTCTCAGGTGCCATATGCGGTTCCCCCGCATGTGAAACCGTTTCCGCCCAGCCACTCTTACAATCTCCAACTCCTCCACGGAGCCCCAAGCCACCAAATGTCGTCGATCGCCCGGCCCCCAGACCCGTGCCTCGTTGCCATCATCCTCATTGTGCGCTCTCGCACCGGCCCCCGTCTCGTTTTCCACTACCCCCCCGAACCCGCTCAGCGAGAGCCGCATCAAAACCACCACCAGGGGTGGCCGGCGTGTCTCGCGCACTCGCACACGATCCAAGAACACCGATTCGAGCTCGAGCTCCGAGAGCGGCTTGAGTTCCGACGAAGATGAGGATGAACGGGAAACACAGAGCCATGCTGGTGGGAGTTCCGTGCTGGCGGGTCGCCGCGTTAGCAACTTCGGCCTCGATGATCATCTCCCCGCCGCTGCATCGCCTGCTGGTGGTGAAACCCAGCGCCCAGCGTCGCTAGGCTCTGCGCGCGGTTCTTCTTCTCGAAAACGGGCTGCGGGCACTGAGCCGGATCCTGACGACGAGGCGGGGACGGCGTCTGATCGGCCTGATGATGGCCCTGGGAGCTCTAGGCCGCCTTGGGAGTCGCTTTTGGGTGTGCCTGGGAGTGTGTGGGAGAAACTGCTTAGTCCGTCCCGGTCGTGGCATAAGCGGCGCTTTGAGGTTGGCATCAATGATTTGGCGCTTATTGGTTGGCCGGTCTTTGTGCGCGAGGATGGCTCATGGCGCAAGCAACGACGCAAGAAGCAGAAGAAGCCTCGTGCTGAATGGGACGGTGGGGAGTTAGGTCACAATGATAGTGCAGAGGAGGGCAGGAAGGACGAGCAATTTGTTACTTCGCCTGATCTGGGTGCTAGTGTCGCTTCCATTGCGGAGTCGCTGACATCGCCGACAGACGGCAAGCGTGGGTCGACAAGCGGACGGCCTGGGAAATCAGATGAGTCGCTTGATCCGGAGGACAAGGACCATATGACAATGTTCAATGTTGTCTTTGTTGTCGATCCTCCTTTGCTGGAGTACTCCATGCGTGTGAAGGAGATCTATGAGAATATCATCAAGAAATTCGCCAAAGCTCTCAAATGGGAACAGGCTCGCACCGACTATGTGTGGAAGGAGTCTCAACACATTCTACAAGTGAGGAGAAGAGCACGAGAGACAAGTATGTTTCCTGCTAATAGCCACCCTGCTGAAGCTGACAATGATACTGGACAGAAACATCGACTCATAATCTTTACTCCGAGTTGATATCTCAGTCTTCTTTAGCTCGAGCTATATACACAGTCTATAGCAGCATATCGGCATCCAAAATCGCATCCGTATCACTCAGCCCGGATGTTTCCATCTCGCTCCAGATCCCACCTTTGACCTCTACACCATACCTTACTGGTCCTATGGATAAAGCATACCCCGGTCTGTGGCTCACAACAGCAGACAGTGCAACCCCTGTCGACGATCCAAGTGCAGATGAAAACAATGTGCCACATCAGGTCCTGGCAAAGCACTTCGCTCTACTTCTGTTAGATAGTGAAGCCGCCATTGTCAAGGATATCGAAGCGTCTGGGGGAACGCTTGCCCCCGCACTTGCGCATTATATCCGATGCTCCAAGCCAACTAAATCATTTGCACAGATATCAGTATCATCTGGAATCCCACTATCCCATATCCAGATGCTGTCAAGTCATCTTGTGTACTGGCGTCGTGCTCGCGCCATCCCTCCCATCCACCAACGAGACACATACATCGTCTCTCCAAACTGCGACTTGAGCAAGCTTGAAATAGCTACGGTTGCTTACCAGGCAGCATTCCCAACCTACCCTAGTTTGCCAAAAATGCTTTCCACGCTTAGTGGGACCCCTCGCCCTTATAGCAACTTCATCCCTAGCAAAGACCACAAGGAGATCTACTTTAATATCCTTGCCTGGTTACTGCGCGGCGGCTGGGTCACCCAGCTCCGCACCTTCGCGCGCATCAAAGTCTCACCTGAGGTCAAAATGGCCGTGGAGATGGCGCTGCGCAAGGAGGAAGTTGAGCGATACTTGTCCAAGGGCAACACAAACTCGATCTCGGTGGACGAGGACAATGATAATGACTCCGAGGATGAACAGGATGACGCGAACTCTTCCTCATCCTCTTCCCTCGACAGTCACGGCAGCGGGGATGAAACGCCCATGCCCAATCGACTCGACCCACACGCCCAACTACGCTCTTCTCACAAACTCCTCGATCAATCAACAGCTCTCCGGCTGTCCTCCTTCATCCTTTCCCCGCACCGCGCATCCCCACTCGAGTCCCGCTGGCTTGATGAAATTCTCTCCCGATTTCCCGATAACCCTAGATCCGTCCAGGGAGACGAAAACGCCAGTCCGGATATCACGCCCAACGATAGCCTGGCCCTGCACAAGAAGTACTGGCCTGTCTTCCTCAAGTACTTTAATGGCTACGATGCCCTGGAGAAGATCTGCGTGCGTGAGAATCTTAAGCGCAAGCTCGTTTGGCAGGTCCTTATGCGCCTGGGCTTGGTCACGGGTCCACTGGGCGCGATGGATCTCGATACGCGTGAACAGGTGTTGGTTAGTGTTCGACATTGGTAGGTGAGTTTTATGGCGTTGGTACGGGAATATGGAAGGTGGAGTTTTCTCTAGCAGGACAATGATATCCCTCTTTTATATAGACGTCGGTTTCTGTTCATATCAGGCAAATCCCGCTGGTATAGATCCCGGAGACCGGAAGCACTTTAGTTTCAGGATACTACATGTAGTAATACAGCCCGCGTATTCTGATTACATACCCACTCTGCTATTCCGATGGTTTCCGCGTGCCCTCAGCCCTAATCACTGCCGAAAGCACAACGTTTTGAATATGGACTTATTAGATGAAGGGGAATTGGTAAGGTTTGTATTCGAGTTACTTAGTTTAATTGGATTGGTTCGTTTAATTTTTTTTATATTAAGATATACATATACGAAAACAAAAAGAGTGACAGTATTAGTTTGTACCAGGGCAAGTTCACGTGTTCCAAGATTGGGACAATTATATCACATTCTTTTCGTCGCACAATGATCAGCATAGGTAATTTTCTTTTCTAGTAGGGTACTATGTAATATAATATGTAATCCCTCACTTGGCACCTTCTTCATTTGAATGTATTGATTTGTATTACGTTTACCCCGATTCTATCACCGGGCCGTATATCCGATCAACGGTCCAACGGGTTGAAGATTACAAGGGACTGGGGGAGATTTGGGTTGTAGTTGGGCGTATGTTGTATATATACTTAAGTTGACAATAGTATCTGACGGATGTATAATATGGATCCTATGATATTCTCTGATATTATTCTATGTATGTATATAAGAATATAGTTGTCATTTCGAATAAAATCTCGTCTCTCCCACGTCAGATATTTCTATTGTGCGCCAATGGCCGGAGGGGCTCCGGTGGACCCTGCGATGTTCAGATGTACTTTGTATGTATTCTTACTGCAAATTGATGAGCCAAATATTAGTATAGGTATTCCATTGTATTCTATGTGATATCTATAGTTAGGACTTGAATAGAAGCTATACATGTATCTATAAAGTAAAAGGTCTTTGAATAAAGGTCTAGAACAAGAACGCCATAGTGTTATCCAATTGGCTGGACATTTGTTGCTTGAGACCTCAGAACCCTGAAGTATCGCCACTTCGACACCTATTTTAATCATGGGTCGCCTGAGCTGTGATTGTCATTGGGCCAATGCCCGTTAAAGAAGCATGCGGCTCAATTAGATGACTTTGAACTGATTCTTTGTTGGTTTCATCGACTACAGATGTATGTGTAAAAGACACCTGACTGCCGAGAGTACTATTGACCTCGGCAAAGCAAATACACAGCCAGAAGTGGACATAGTCTGCCTAGTTATGCGTAATAAGTATATAAATACTCTGTACTCTGTACTCCGTACTATGGGATTGTATGTCTCAATCGGCTAGTACCGACTCAGCTCCGAGATGCCCGACTATATATATGGATTGACCTAGGGAACCCTAGACAAGGTACGGAGTAGTCACTTGAATTAAAAATGGTATATGATGATATCCAAAGAAATGAAACCCTTGAATAAATAAATTGAAAACAAATCAGACTAAAGAGAAGTTGTAATATATATATATACATATAATTTTTTTCTTTCAAAAAGTCCACAATAAAAAAAAAAAAAAAACACATACAAAAAACACAAAATGTGCCCATCGAATAATTAAATTACGTGTAAAGAAAAAACCCCGCTACCAGTTCTGCCCTGAACCAAATAATTTTGCTTCTCTCTCTTCTTTACATTTCTTCCCCTCCGCATCGGGTTGTTTTCTCCCTTCTTCCGCGACATCCTTTCTTCCTTACGGTACCTCTCCGTCTCAGAGAGAACCGAGATTCTTCCTCTTCCGATTCCCACGTGCCGATTCCGCGGTCCTCATTTTTTTTTCTTCCCCTCAAGGGATTGATCTTGTGCTTCGCATCCTTGTCGAATCTTGAGAGGACTTACACAGCCGTTCCTGTGAATCCGAATTGCACCCCCCCCCCACTCAGCGACTGAGAGCCCTTTCAACCCTCTTTAGCCTGGCGACGTTGACAAGGCAGTGCCTTCGTTGCGTCCTCGGTGGGAATTTTTTTCCCCCTCAACACATCTTCCTCATTTTCTGACAACCTGTGCGCTCACAAGTCACGGCTGTTGAGATCACCCCTCCACACCGAGAAATCGACGGCCCATTCATCCATGCGATTTGTGGTCTAGACGATCCTCTCAGCAGATACAACCTTTGATACAACTTTTTCGATTGCCCTTTTGCGACCCGATACCCCCGTGGTCCTTCGTCTCGCTTACGCCCGAAATCGACCTTTCGATATACAATTGAGAGCCTCTCTGAGAAGACGGGAAGCTACAGATTAGTGGGGTCACAAGAAGCTGGAATCTTTCCGTTTCTTAATTTTCACTTTGCGCAGGTGCCATCTCGCCCCCAGTAGGCGTAGACTGAGACCCAGCGTCACCCAAGGTCGTCCGGTAAAATAAACCGCACGTCAAATTTTTTTTCCCACACTTGATCAGAGCTACAATAAGCTCTCATTTCGACATGTCTACGTTTTCGTACGCACAAGCCGCCAAGGGCGTCTCCGGGACACCGACCCCGTCCAAGACACCATCAGAATCCGAGAAGACCGACTCCAAACCGGAGGAGCAGACCGTCGTCGAGACTACCACGGATGATGTCCCAGCCCCCACTGAGTCTGAGCCCGTCCAAAAATCCGAAGTAGTCGCAGAGGAGAAGGATGACGATTTCACCACTGTCACTAACAAGCACGCGGCTAAGACAAAGGCCACCAACTCTCGAACCTCAAGCCCGAGCGTGCGCACAGGCTCCAAGTCGCGCAAGACAAAAGAGGATGATTCAAATACCTCCAACGGCAACGCAGATGCCCCCGCTGAGAAGCAGGTTCCCAGTGAAGGACAGACTGAGAAGGCTGAAGGTGCCGCAGAGAAGACTGAAAAATCCGAGGATTCCGAGAAGACCGCATCGCCACCCAAGGAGCTGAAGGCTGCTCCCCTCCCATCAGTCAACATCTGGCAACAGAGAAGAGAGGCACAGGACGCCAGGGTCAAGGCTGTCCCCAAGTCCACTCCCTCTAGCAAGGCCGCCTCCACCGAGGCCGCCTCGACTGCTGATGAGACCAAGCAAGACTCCAAGGCCAGCTCTAAGAAGAAGGGCACCGATGGTGCACAGGAAGGTGCCAAGGATCGCAAGAAGACCGATGGTGGAAAAGGACGCGATGCCGGATCCGTCCCCCCAGTAGAAGACGCTACTGCCTGGCCTACCCCCCCAAGTTGCGATTGGCGAAGAAAAGAAGAAGTCCCACGAAAAGACCGATAAGAGCCCTGTCATCAGACCCCATGGAAAGGAAAAGTGGACGCCCGTTCCATACGTCCCCACTGCTGTTTTCAACACCCCGCTCCCATCTGCCGGTGGCCGTGGAGGTAGACGGGCCACTCGTGGTGGCCGGGACAGTGGCCGTGGAGCCCACGGAAATGGTGCCGCTGCCACCGACAAGGCTGCCTCTGGACAGGCCGCCCAAGGCGCAAAGCAGACCTCTGGAGATCGAGGACGCGAGGCTGGCACTGGACGTGCCGCTTCTCTTCCCGCCCAGTCGAGACGGTCCACAAGCACCGATCCCGGTGCTGCAGCTGATGCACGCAAGCCTTCCCAGGCACCTGAGCGCGGCCGTGGAGCTCGCAACGGAGAGGAGAACAAGCAGGTGAATGGCGGAGAGAACGCCCCTCGCCCCCAGCGTGAGGGCAAGCCCTTTGGAAGAAACCAGGATGCCCGCGCAGGTGACCGCAACCAGAAGGGTGGAAACCTGGCTGTTGACTCGCAGGCTGCAGCCCGCAGCAACGGTCGCTTCGAGGCCGGATCCAAGTCTGCCGACCCCACCGGTTTCAACGAGTTCAACCGTGAGCGTGGAGAGTTCCGCTCTGAGCGTGGAGGTCGTGGATCCAACCGCGGCCGTGGTGGTGCTTACTCCAATTTCGGCGGCCAGAACGCCCAGTTCAATGCCGCTATGTCCAACAACTCATTCGCCCCCAAGCAATTTGGCTTCAACGACCGTCAGCGGTCACAGCAGCATGGCCTCCCCAATGGCTCTCAACAAGGAAACCGTATGCCCCTCCGATCGCCCTCTTTGCCCACTCCCGCAAATATGTACGGTGTTGTTTATCCTTTCCCAGGTGATATCAACACGATGTATGGCTACCCAACTGTCAACTCTGCCCCGATGAGCGCTGTTCCCTACCAGCAGCAATATGTGGAGCCTTTCACGCTCATGAACATGCTGTCCATGCAATTGGAGTACTACTTCTCGGTTGACAACATGTGCAAGGATATGTTCCTTCGCAAGCAGATGGATTCCCAAGGCTTTGTGCCTCTGCACGTTCTTGCTAGCTTCAAGCGTGTCAAGTCCCTCACCGAGGACTTTGAACTCCTTCGTCACGTGGCTCGTCAGCTGCGTAGCGTTGAGTGCCAAACTGGTGAGGATGGTGTTGACCGCCTGCGCCCCAGAGACAAGTGGCAGCAATGGGTCCTCCCCGTGGACCAGCGTGAACCTTCCGCCCAGCATGACGGAGCCGCCCCTACTAGAAAGACTGATGAGAACACCCCGGTCCACAGTCACTCCGAGAACGTTATCAACGGATCCGCTCCCCAGTTCGTTCCCAACGGTGTCGCCCATGATGTGAAGACTTCACTTTCTTCTACCGCCCCGGAATTCATGCCCTCATTGCTACCCACCGCAGTGAACGAGATTGCCAATGTAGGACACCCCTGGAACTCCCCAGTCTCCCCCGATGACTCGACAGCGTCGTTCATTTCATCGTCTTCGTCTTTCCGCGTGGACCATTCCTTTATCTTTATTGACACTTCTTCCTCAGCGCGTGGACTAGATTCCCAGTCCGAACCCCCTTTCGCCTCTGATTTGGAACCGACGGTGACCCCGACGAGGTAAGCTGAACTGTTTACGTAAGGAATATTTCCTTTTGAGGCATTGACTGACTGTATAAACAGCTTTGACGCAAATTACCTTCAACACCCAATCGGCGGTGCCGATTGGTTCATCCAAAAGTCTTTTCCCGAAGTGCACCAACCGGCGCCCAAGTCAAAGGTGAAGGGCCGTTCATCCACAGAAACGTCCAATTATGCCCCCAAAAACTTTCAATATGTCTCGCAAAGAAACTTTCGATGGCCGAGGCCGACCGACGGCAAGAAGGTATAGCTTTGGAATGACCCAGCCCTACGAATCTTGGTCATTCAGCTTGACAAAAAATTTCAATTCGCATTTGTACAATGAATTTAGGCGTTTAGCCCTTGATGATCTTTTGACTCGACACGCTCACAACGGTTTCAACGAGCTTATGGAATTCTATCGGAACTGTCTACTCCACCGTCGACCCATCCCTGACCTCGTGATGTACGACATGGTCCATCTTTCACAAGATCAAGCATCGGACTACCGGACTCTCCTCTCCAATACGATCCATGAAACCATTGCCAGTGGAAAGATGAGCTCAAACAACCGATTGAGAATCAGCAAATATTTCAATACCCAACCCGGCAAGACGGCGGGAGAAAAGTTATCATGAGCCCTTTTGCATTTCTTTCTGAATTTTGCTTCTTCGCGACACGTCTCCTTTTCCTGCTTGTTCATCTTTCATGACCAGCATTATTATTCTTTTTTGTCCAAAATGGGGTTTTCTTTGCATGCATATTCGCCAATCTTTTCTTCTAGAGTTCCAAGTTACCCCTTCATTGCAATTACGCGGTCTGGTTTCTCGGTCAACTCGAAGCTACGGAGTTTACTCACCTCCTTTTTTCTGTTTAATTTCCATTGCTTTTCAGTCATGGGAGATTCTCAAAACGTTCTGGCGTCTGGGCATGATTTTACTGGCAGTCCCTCTTTCTTTCGCTGCCTGCCGCTACGGTGTGCCGGGCCCCAAAATTCGTTTTTTTTTCGACCCTTGACATAGATATTTCCACTACTTTTTTTTCTTGTTCCCTTCCTGAGGTTGTGGCTTTCCTTTATCGATCCAGTCAATCTGGGATCCAGGCCTTTCATTGGCTCTGGATCTTAACAAGTATCAGCATGGCAATGACCCAGAGAAAAGCACCTGTCTTAATAGTCTTGTCTGAGGTTATCTGAGTGTTTCGAGTATCGTTCATGGTGTCAACCGGAGAAAATGAATCCAGCATATCTACATTGTCGACTTCTTCTTCCCTGGCAGACCATCCATTCGGTCCACCCAGTGCTTCTTTGCACACATCTTTTGAAGTGGATCGATCCATTTCAGTGCTTTTTTCTTCTTGCTGGGGTTCCTGGACAGAAGATTTTGTTTTGTCTGCTGCGTTCTTTGCATAAACCGGGATGTTGAGGTCCTTGTGGAGTAATATAATTGATATGATTGATATGCATACTATGTACTCCATGGTATTGAGCTTGCTATGTAAGAGAATGTTAATTGTGATATGTGTTGGTTATAAACTTTGTACATTATGATAATCGTCTATGTTGTATGTTTGTGGTTATATCAAGCAAGTAGAGTCTGATGGAATGATGTCGATAGTTCATGCCTCAGGCATCAAGAGCTTACAACCTTCCAAACGGAGACAAATCAATCCCGATCCGGTGTTAACAGCTCCCCTTCCCCTCTCTAGCTCTGTTCCGCGCATCCGAAACATTGTTCTTCTTTTCCTTTAAACCTGTTTCCATTTAAATTAACCTCTTGATCAAGATGGAGGGCGCATCCCGCCAAACGTCAAGGCTACTCCGACCTCGTGGCCAGAAACTCCTTCCCCAACGTCTTACACGAACCTCCGCAGCCAGCACCACACCTTTCACCCAGATCCAACGACGAACCCTGTCAAATTCTCCTCGGTCGCTTGCCCCAGAGTCACTTCTCAATAGCTTCAGAACTGGTGGTTCATACAATGAGGGACCCACCAGCTATTTCTCCAACCGCCAAACGCTCCCCGCAAACACTGTTGTGCGATTCGTCCCACAACAGACAGCATGGATCGTCGAGCGCATGGGAAAGTTTGACCGTATCCTAGAACCTGGTTTTGCGATCCTTGTGCCATTCTTGGACCGAATTGCCTACGTGAAGAGCTTGAAGGAGGCCGCTATTGAGATCCCCAGCCAGAACGCCATTACAGCGGATAATGTTACCCTTGAGCTGGACGGTGTGTTATATACGCGGGTTTTTGATGCGTACAAAGCAAGGTGAGTGATTTTATGGCGGTTCTTGGTTGTTTGGAATTGGATCTGTCGGAACTAAGCAGTCGCTAATACGTCAATCCAATTGGTAGCTACGGAGTCGAGGATGCAGAATACGCTATTTCGCAACTCGCGCAGACGACTATGCGTTCCGAAATTGGTCAGTTGACCCTCGACCACGTGCTTAAGGAACGCGCCAATCTCAATACAAACATCACCAAGGCTATCAACGAGGCGGCACAGGAGTGGGGTGTCGTCTGTCTCCGTTATGAGATTAGGGATATCCATGCGCCGGAGGCCGTCGTTGCTGCCATGCACCGCCAGGTTACTGCTGAACGCTCCAAGCGAGCTGAAATCCTCGAGTCTGAAGGTCAGCGCCAGAGCGCGATCAACATTGCCGAGGGTCGCAAGCAGTCTGTTATTTTGGCTTCGGAGGCCCTGCGCTCTGAAAAGGTCAACCACGCTTCTGGTGAAGCTGAGGCTATCAAGCTCAAGGCCGATGCTACCGCGCTCGGCATTGACGCTGTTTCTCGGGCCATCGAGGAGGGCGGCGAGAACGCTCACAATGCTATTAGTCTCAGTGTTGCCGAGAAGTACGTCGCGGCTTGGTCGAATCTGGCACGTGAGGGCACGGCTGTTGTTGTTCCCGGTAATGTCGGGGATATGGGTGGTATGATTGCCAATGCCATGGCTGTCTACGGCAAGGTCAGCGAGACGCAGGCCCGGGGACTGGCAAAGAAGACTCTTGGAGTCGAAGACGCCTCTCGGTCATCGGAAACGCCCCAAAATAGCCAGGCGCCGACCTTCTTTGAGGAACATATTGAGCGGAACACACAGTCTAATGTCGCCTCGCAAACTGCGGACGAGGGATTTGAGACGGTCGCCGGCGAACACAAGAAATAAGCGTCTAGACTTCACCCGACCTAAACGAGAACGACGACTCCTCTCTTGATTTGCTTTTATTTCCTCCACCCTTGTTTCTTTTTGTTCTGGTTCCTCTACTCAGCTCGGGTGCATGGGCTGGCTGTTTCCCGCTCTGCTCTTCTACATTCTTCTTGAATTGGGCTCTTTACATTCACCCACCACCTCCCATATCCATCTCTTTACTTTTCCTTTACTGCCTATCGGCTTCCCATTGTTTTCCGGCATTTCTTTGGGAGTCTTCCAAAAAGCACGAGCTTGGCTGTGCATGTGGCATCGAATTCGCCGTATTGGTTCCTGTATGTGTACATAAAGCAATTGTTGATCAGGGAGCCTGTGAGGAAAGAGAATATTCTCAATGTACAAGTATCAGTATCTTACATCTTTACAGGAACTGTAGGGCGGTTGTGAACATCGGAAATAAATCGTGTCAGATCGGCTCATTGGTTTCATCACTTGATTCTTGCGTATCCAAGTCGGGTTTCAGCTTCGAACCACGCTCAATCCACCTCGCCTCTTCTTCAACAGACCACTAAATTTACTACATAAGGAATCCGAGGACCTGTGAAATCGACGCCTCAAACGGCCGCCTTTCCCGTAATTTCGGATGGTGCCCCTTTCCCGTCATATTCGACAACAGGCGTGCGGTCGTACCAGTCAGTCATCGCCAACTCCCACCTACTCTGCTTCTCCGCCCTGTCCGTTAAGCAGGGTATCCAATTCAATAATCCAATGGAACACAAAGCTTTAAACAAGTCCACTCTCGACTCTGTGCAAGTCCCTCCCACGGCGCAGGAATATCGTATATCTTGTCATCGCTCTGTCACCTTCTCCCAGACCGGTATATGCATCGTCAAGCGCAACTTCTGAACATTGCAAAAGCAATGCTCGAACAGATCAAATAAGGCCGGGTAAACCCTTTCCCAAGCCAAGCCCTCTTTTTCATCTGATTTATACCAGAAATCAAAAGAAATCTCCATGGAGACGATAAGAGATGAGCAGACGGGCGATAAAAGCCTAGAAATAATAAACGGAGCCGCAACTTACTGATGTACCGAGAGCCGCGATAGTAAGATCATAAGCGACACCTAATATAACGCTGACATATCTAGATTTCTGGCCTATAAGTTGGCTTAGTTAATAGAGACTCGATATAGTGCCAGCCTGTTTGTCAAAATCGACGGCGCGTAGAAAACTACATAGTCTAACGAAATTACAGTGGAGATAGAGGTTACTAAAGCAAGTGCATTGAGAACAGCTCCTAGTAAAAAGGCCGTATAAATCCGAGTTAATTCAAATCAAACACAGGATGGAGAACAGCGTACCTGAAAACGAACGGTGGAATATAATCAATCAGTAGAGCCCAAATCAGGAATAGGTTCGATATCAAACCGAATCACAATTGAACAATTTACATCCCAAGTCACAATCCGAGCAATATAATACGTACCTCTAGGAAAGATCTCCAGAACCAGATACACCGCGCACTTCCCAACACGCGTACCCAGAAGACCTTGATACTCGGGTGTATTATACTCCCAGCTTAACGGTGCTGTACAAACCGGAGGCCAGGTGAGACCATTTCGCGAGGAATAAAGAACCCTCTCCACGAACTTCTTAGTGTCAATATTGACGATATCACAAACATAGAAGTGCCGCAGACTCTGAGGCTCGGCGACCTCCTGCATATGAGCTCGGACAATCTGAGAAAACTGAGGCCCGTCACTTCTGAACATCCCCTCGGCGATGATCAATCCCTTTCCAACTAAAATGTCATATATGTTTTCGCAGCCAGCAAGCCCGAGCGCACCCCTGCATAACTCTGCGTTAGTACCTGGTTGTATACCGCATCATTGGTATATCCTAGTGCGAGGGCATTCTCCGCAACCTGGAATGGGATGTTATTACGGTAGGTACGAATGTACCAGCGTGCCATTACAAGGTCGTCTACTGTCAGCGTGCTGGGCTGGATTTTGCATGTAGAGTCTGTGGGGTCTTCGATCCATCGTTGTCGAATAGCCCCTTCGTCTTGGATCTTGCCGTATCGCCGTGCTGGGGTGGATGTAGCGGGGGCGACGTTTGGGGTCGTGGTTGGAACCCCTGCGGGACGATTGGGGGGAACCCAAGACTGCTCTGGAGGTGCCATACTGATGTGTCAGTATTGCATGTCGATGATTTCCAATGATCAGCTCGGGATATAGATTAGATGATGGACTGATTTCTGTTATATATGGTAAGTATATATCGGCATAAAGAATCTCGTTGGGTTGTGGTAATGTATGTCCATGGGAAGAAAGAAAAGAAGATCACGCAACAAAGACAACAATGACCTGGAAGAGAACAAGGACAAAGGTGTTGTGGGCAATGTATAAGGCTTGTCTGAGAGTTTCGACAGAGAATGAAGAGCTTTGTTTCAAAAGCTTTGTGCTTCTTTGTGAAAACCACATGTTCGAAAAAGACAAATCCCAACTTGAACAGTAATATAAAGCCAGAAACTTCCCGCCTTATCCAGTATTTCTCTGTATATACCACTTGCAATTTGCTATTTCTCACCTGCAACAATGTCTCTTCTTACTAAACCCAACCACCTGACCTACGAACAGCATTTTGAGCGAGAATGCGAGTCATTCCAGGATGCTCTAGTACGCGAGGCGCGCTCCCTCCATCTATTGGAAGATCGCCGCGCAGAAACCATTCTAGTCATCTGTGACCTGATCGTTTATCTAGAGATCATCGCACAGCTCGCTGAGACTATGGCCCGGAAGTCCCGTATGTGTACAACTGTCCTGATTAGCCCCCCGGGATATTTCCTTGGAGAGTTCCAAGACTTTTGCCGCACGAGGATTCTGCCTGGTTTGGTTAGGTCCTTGACCTGCCTTAAAGAGTCGACTACTATCTATCGCGATATCAACTGCACAGTTGCTGGTCAGTTGGAGGCGGCTCATGAGGATATGGCTTTTATCTTGGATAGTCGCGAGTAGTCTGTTGCATTGGCTAGACGGATAAGATGGGTTGTTCCGGTTCGTATTTAAATTTTATAGCCGTATATTAAGAAGATGCCTAAAAGGAAATATGTCATTATCAAAAAAATTGTTGTCAACAAGCTTGCATCTCGTGGCCTTCATCGTACACGGCATGTTGGTTCTGCTCCCATGCCCCTTGTAGACTTGTAGCCAGTTGCTCTGTAGTAGATACAGCAATATCTTGTACTGCTTATAAATATCTGGTCTGTTAAGTCAACTAAGTGGCGCTCGACACATCACATACTCATTTTCGAGGTGACACGAGAGAGCTATATTTGTACTCTCTATCACACTCCAATGCATCAACACTTGACCATCAATCACACATTATCTACAAATTACAAGGACACACATGTCCAAAGAAAACACCATAAAGCGTCAAGAAGCGTCATCACTTCCGAGAAGTGGCAGCATTCAACTATAAGCTTACTGCCGACCTAATCATGCCGCTCCCAGGCAGGTATGCTTCTCCCTTCTGGTGTATCTAAATTTCCAGTCAAAATTTTGGCAAGGGATTGTTGTATCATAAAGGCTTAATTTATGTGAATAACCAATACCCAGCACCCAATAGATATTTGCGTTTCCTTTCTAAACATGTGTTTCGATGTAACAAACTAGTTAACTAGTTGTAGTAAGGATGTCTAGTAGCGAATCTTCATTCGATACTTCCATAGACTGTAGTGTTTCTCCAAAGGAAACTATCAATTACCTATTCCACAGAAGTCCTTTTCCTAGAAGCCTTAGTCTGTATTGTTTGGCCTCGTTATTATAGAAGACGTTTCGCCTCTTGTTCACCAAGGGATGAGGCTTAGATATCGAGACCCCAACATGTAACTCTGTAACTGAATTAGGAAAATATCATGTACTAGTGCCTGATGAATGGTTTTACTCTTATGATTTTACTATAATCGTTTAATAAAGACAAGGTTGTCCAGGTATAGACTAAGTGGCTATGTATAGTTACTTTCTGGCATAGAACCATGTTTGCCCTACAACACTTTGTTTGATGAAACCATGAAACCAGTAAGCGGAAAAAAGAAAAGTCTGCATAAGATAAAACAGACTTAATGATAGTGATCCCCCTCAAAAAGAAAGCAATAAGTGCTAGCCCTTGTGTAGTTTGAAAGACACTATCAACGCGGGAGCTCGGACCAGGCAAATCTGGAGATCGCGACTTTTGGATTTCGCGCCCTTTTAATCTCCGGTCTCATCTCTCATCTTGACCTGAGCCTCATTTTTTGGTTTCTCTCTTAAATCTCGTGACCGAGGAACCCATTTGTTTCTGGCTCTTGGTCTTGCCATGTTCCACGTCAAACTCATATAAATACCGAAAGACCAGCTCCGACACGCTGCGCCGCTCCCCTCCTTGCCAACGCTCCGCGCACATCGGTGCTGATACGTGTCGCACCACCTTATCTTGAGACACGACCACTCAAACATTTGAGGGAAAAAAAAATACGAATAATCGTGAAATTGCTCCGGGACGGGCGCGATGCATATAATCAAGCCGGTTTGGCTCACGCATGGAGGTACGGAGCTTGATTGCCCTGGTTTTCTTTGCTTAACACCGTCGGGACGGAGACACAGTGCTTGATGAGAGCAGAACCAAATTCATCCCATCAAAGGGCCAAATTTGCTAATGTCATTTCTCTGATACAGGTGAACGCAAGGATTTTGAGGTTTACAGTTGCGATGTCTCGCCAGATGGGAAGCGACTAGTCACAGCTGCTGGAGGTGAGCTCGACCCTTTTGTGCCTTAGGCGGAGGTCACGAAGATCATGCGCCGTGAAAGGAAATTATCGCTGACCTCTGGCTTTTGATTCACTTTAGATGGATACGTGCGAATATGGTCAACAGATGCAATTTACGGCACCAGTACATCCGAGCTTGAGGGCAAGCCAAAACAACTGGCATCCATGAGCAACCACTCAGGCACAATCCATACCGTCCGTTTTTCACCCAACGGGAAATACCTGGCGTCTGGCGCAGATGACAAGATTGTTTGCGTGTACACCCTTGACGCTAACCCTCCAACACACTCGTCAACATTTGGTATGCTTTAGACACTGGATATGGAGAGATGGAGACAGACACTGACATTTTATGGGAAATCTCTTAGGCACCGATGAAGCACCCCCCGTCGAAAACTGGCGCACGATTCGGCGATTGATCGGCCACGACAATGATGTCCAGGATCTTGGATGGTCCTTCGACTCATCGATACTGGTTTCCGTTGGGCTGGACTCAAAGGTCGTGGTGTGGTCTGGTCACTCATTTGAAAAGTTGAAGACAATAGCGATCCACCAGAGTCACGTCAAGGGCATCACTTTTGATCCAGCAAACAAATATTTCGCAACTGCCAGCGATGACCGGACCGTTCGCATCTTCCGATTCACATCCCCCGCCCCTAATTCTTCCGCTCACGACCATATGAATAATTTCGTCCTTGAGCAAACAATCACAGCCCCATTCGCCAATTCTCCTTTGACAGCCTATTTCCGTCGTTGCTCTTGGTCGCCTGATGGGATGCACATCGCAGCTGCAAATGCTGTGAACGGTCCTGTAAGCTCTGTGGCCATTATAAACCGTGGATCATGGGATGGTGACATCAACCTGATTGGACATGAGGCACCTGTTGAGGTTTGTTCGTTCTCTCCACGACTTTACGCAACCGAGCCGCCCGGTAAGAAGCAAGCCGATGGGCAGCCTGTACCACAACACCACATTACCGTCATTGCTTGTGCCGGTGGAGACAAATCCCTTAGTATCTGGATTACGAGCAATGCACGACCGATTGTGGTTGCGCAGGAAATGGCGGCTAAAGCTATTTCGGACCTGGCATGGACTCCTGATGGAAAATGTCTCTTTGCTACTGCCCTGGATGGCACAATCGTGGCAGTCAGGTTTGAAGATGGCGAGCTGGGCTGGGCCACAGAAATGGAAGAGAATGAGAAATCACTCACCAAGTTCGGAACTAATCGAAAGGGCGCCGGTATCACAGAAACTACCGACAGCTTATTGCTAGAGGAAAAGAGCAAGGCTGGAGAGATCAAGCACGTTGAAGGGAGAATGGGTGCACTGATGGGTGATGGCGCTGAACCTACCACCAATGGAGACAAAGCTCCTCAGCCATCAAATGGGGCCACACCTGCTCGGGGTTCTTCGCCAGCTCCCGAGGCTACGAAGATGCAGACCAATGGAACCCCTTCGACACCTGCCGCCACAGAATCAGATAAGCCTGACCCTTACAAAGCCAAGCTGGAAAGACTCAAGCAACGTCCAACATACACCAAAGAGGGCAAAAAGCGTATTGCTCCATTACTAGTCTCTGGAGCTGGGGGCGGCGAGTCATCTCTCCCACAAGCACGTTTGATGGCATCTGTCAGTAATCAGGTCAAGGCTGACGCCCCGACCTCCATAGTTGACCTGTCAAAACCATTTGATGGTCTACCTAAGGGTGGCCTGACTGCTCTTCTTCTTGGAAACAAGCGCAAACTGGCCCAAATAGAAGGTGACGAAGATGGCAGTGTAGAAAAGCGTGTGACACTTGCCAGTCAAAACGGTGCAACTCCCATCATGGCCAACACTCCCGACGGCCTTCTACCAGCTCAAGTTCAATCTGCTACGACCGGTCAACAGCCTACCCCAGAGTTCATTCGCCCCGCAGTCACAAATCCTTGCATGTCGGTCAGTCAACTTCGTCTGGCAGTTCCCAAAATTCGCAGTCAGATTCTCCGCGCGCTAGATTCGAGCGGGAAGCCGACGGAACAACCTGTCCCTGGTACAGACTCGGGCTCTACCAAGAGTCGTGTGGACGTGGTTTTCGAAGCTCGGAACCCATCACCGGCAAGTCTGACCGGTCGTGCGGTGGACCGCGAGCCAGTACGGCTGACATTGTTCCGTGGAGACCAGCCATTGTGGCAGGATTTCTTACCGCGGACTGTCCTGCTTGTGACTGGCAATCAGAGCATGTGGGCAGCCGGCTGTGAGGATGGATCAATCTATCTTTGGACACCGGCAGGTCGTCGTCTGGTGAGTGCGCTCGTTCTGGAGGCACAGCCTGTCATCTTGGAGTGTAATGGACAGTGGATTTTGTGCATATCCTCTGTGGGCATGTGCTATGTCTGGAATGTAAAGCACTTGTCTTCTCCTCACCCACCAGTCTCCCTGCAGCCAGTCCTGGATGCTGCAATCCATACCATGGGCGCGAATCCCACCGCTGCTCCCGCAGTAACAGACGCACGCATTAATTCAGAAGGCCGAGTCATCGTTTCGTTGTCTAACGGCGAAGGATACTCCTACTCCCCATCCATGTTCACATGGCAACGCATCTCGGAAGCCTGGTGGGCCGTTGGCAGTCAGTACTGGAACACCACAGACGCGCCTGTGAGCAACTTGCAGGCCAAGGACGCTCAGTCAGACAACAAGGATGCCAAGGCAGCTGTCGCAGCTGGCATCATTCCTTGGTTGGAACGAAACACCACAAATGAGACACTCCTTCGTGGAAGAGCATACTTCCTCCAACGTCTCATCAAAGTTCTATTGTCACGCGAAGGGTATGAGACTTTCGAGTCCAGCGTATCAATTGCTCATCTTGAGAATCGCCTCGCTGCTGCTCTGTCCCTGGGTGCGAAGGAAGAGTTCCGGTTATACCTATCCATGTACGCCAAGCGTATTGGTGCCGAGGGTCTGAAGCTGAAGGTCGAGGAGCTCCTGAAGGGCCTCATTGGCGGTCTTTTCGAGGACGAAGACGATGCCAGCGAGGGAGTCCTGAAATTGCAGGCTAATGAGCGCGAAGGCCGTAACTGGCGCGAAGGATCCGATGATCTGTGTGGCTGGCCACGGGAAACATTGTTGAAGGAGGTGATTTTAGCACTTGGTATGTTTTTTGTTCTTCGTGTTTCTCTTTTCTTAACACTTCAATTACTAACACACTTTCGTCTAGGCAAACACCGTGACCTTCAACGCGTGACAGTGCCTTATGCTAAGCTGCTGGATATGGTTGACACTACATCGGAGCATGGCGATGCAATGGATCTTTAATGATGGTTTCTCTTTTGCTATCTATACCTTTTTCTTCTATTTTTGCTGGCGTTCAATAAGTTCGGGCTGGGTCGCCCAAAAGGGTTTGCATTATTTATCTCTGCTGAGGCAGGATTGGAGATGATATATTTCATTTTCATGGTGTATTTGTATCATAGGTTCTCTTCTGGACTTTCTTATTTAAGTCAGCCTGTTCCCATCTTGCTATGATCTAGTCTTGTTCTACCTATGTTGTATGTACTATAACCCTCGACACACAGTATTACGTACACGGCACCCACATTGATGTGGTGACGTCGTCAGGGCTTGACATTCACGTGGGCGGTAACAGCTCTGCAGGCAGAAAATTTGAAGATATCTGGCGCGTAGCTCAACAACATTGCTTTTTTTTTTGATAGCTAACAAGCATTCATTTACTCTCCTTTTACTCATTGACCTTGTCCACAATTTCTGTGGGCATCCGCAATCACGTCTTCCACTTCCTCAATCTTTTTCCTTCGTATCGTCGATCGATCCGCAGCTGGTTCTGCATTTGGCGCGCTCCATCCTTGTTCCCGCTTCCGCCTTTCGACTTCCCCCCACCTCCCACCTCTCTTCTGTCGCTTCTACTCAAGCAAGAAGAAAAAATCCAATAAAATGGCTCCCAAGAAGCAGGTAGTCCAGGAAAAGGTCCTTTTGGGACGTCCAGGAAACAACTTAAAGAGCGGTATCGTATGTGAGCTAGGCCCCCCACCCATTCTTTTTTTTCCTTTCCCTTTTTCCACACAGCACAGTCCACTTTTTCACTCCCGAAAAAATCTATTTAAACCCCCTTGCCCCCTTTCCTCCCACATTTTTTTTCTTCTTTTCTTCCCAACCATGATTGACTAACAATATGGCTTCAGGTTGGTCTTGCCAATGTCGGCAAGTCGACACTCTTCCAGTCCATCACCAAGTCCTCCCTCGGTAACCCGGCCAATTTCCCATATGCCACCATTGACCCCGAGGAGGCCCGTGTCATCGTTCCCGATGAGCGGTTCGACTGGCTCTGCGAGCACTACAAGCCCAAGTCGCAGGTTCCCGCCAACTTGACCGTGTACGATATTGCCGGTCTCACCCGCGGTGCCTCGACCGGAGCCGGTCTGGGTAACTCTTTCCTGTCGCACATCCGCGCTGTCGATGCCATCTTCCAGGTGGTTCGCTGCTTTGATGATGCCGAGATCATCCACGTTGAGGGTGACGTCGATCCCTGCCGTGATCTGACCATCATCAACGAGGAGCTCCGCATCAAGGATATCGAGTTTGTTGAGAAGGCTCTTGACCTTCTTGGCAAGCAGACTCGTCGCGGTGGACAGTCTCTGGAGATGAAGAAGCTGAAGGAAGAAGAGGCTACTACTGCCAAGATTCTTGAGTTCCTGAGGGATGGCAATGACATCCGTAAGGGTGACTGGAACCCCAAAGAGGTATGTTGAACATTTTTCTCGTCTTCCCCCACTCAACTTTGCCCTTCTATCCACACCACCTCCTTACCTGATGAATAAGAGCACTGCTCGAAATTAACCCAGCTCGTTGAGTGCCCTCATTAAAAGGATACTCACAATCCGAGGGCACCTTGAGAAAAAAAGTTATATGCTGAAATTTTGGAGTCCACTTCTACATGATTACATCACCCAAATTCTTTGGAACGTCTCATGCTAACCAAATTGGTTATAGGTCGAAGTCATCAACCCTCTGTTCCTTCTCACTGCCAAGCCTGTTGTGTACTTGGTCAACCTGAGCGAGAGAGATTACATCCGCCAGAAGAACAAGTACCTCCCCAAGGTCTTCGAGTGGATCAAGACCAACTCCCCCGGTGACCCCATTCTTCCCGTCTCGGCTCAGTTCGAGGAGCGTCTGACCCTGATGCATGATGATGCGGCCGCTGAGGCTGAGTGCAAGACCCTGGGCACCAAGTCCGGTCTGCCCAAGATCATCACTACCATGCGTCAGTCCCTGAACCTCGGTAGCTTCTTCACCACTGGTGAGGACGAGGTTCGCCAATGGACCATCCGCAAGGGTATTAAGGCTCCCGCTGCGGCCGGTGTCATTCACACCGACTTTGAGAAGACCTTTATCCAGACTATCGTGTACAACTATGCCTCTCTCCGTGAGCACGGTGATGAAAACAGCATCAAGGCTGCCGGTAAGATTATGACCAAGGGCAAAGATTACGTCGTCGAGGACGGCGATATCATGCTCATCAAGGCCGGTGCTGCTAAGCACTAGGTGCACATAGACAATAGTTCTTCAAATGATACACCAGTGTTGAGTCTTCAATATATTTTTATCAACTGTAAATTTGATTCTTGTACGACAATTTGACTTGCCTAATCCAAGTCAACATTCCTTTTGTATCCGCCTAGGTTCAATATGATTGTTTTTGCACGATATACCCTATTCGAGTTCTGTATATGGCTCAATTACCTTCATTTTTAGAGACCAGTCTGCTATAGCTCATATTCATAATATATCATCGTACATTCTATTCTATTCTGAGCTGTTTAGTATCAAGTAAAAAAATGCAAAGCAATCTATTGATCACGTGACACTATCCCCGCGCATCCCACTCCCGTATCAAGAGCTTGATTCTCATATTATCACAACCTCAACCAGCATCATGTTTAAGAAAGAGTGAGTCAAACCCTTCAATCCACTCACAGCAATCCTATGGTTGTGCCAGTAGCTTGTTCGAAACCTCCTGCCTGTTAAATGGGAGCACATATCTTCCTCCGTTTGAGGCACCGCAAAGACCGCAACAGCTGTTCAACAATACAGATCAAGACACAAATAGCTCCCATGGGATAGCTCTAGCCACCAATGCTCATCAAAGGCACCAGCTGACATCCATATTCTATCTAGTATCCCCCAAGCAACCGGTCTAAGGTCAAGTCCTCAGTGCAGCGCGGCCTGCGCCAAAAGCTGCTGGAGACATACCCAGGCCTCGAGCCATTCATTGAAGATGTCATGCCCAAGAAGGCCTCATTGGAAGCCGTGAAACTGTACAGTTCCCGATCCCCCATTTTTTCGCCTTCCAATTCTACCAACGTCATCTCCAACTTTCAACATAAATATGCTACGCGTTGTATCCCGCAGACCCAAAAGCTAACCAAACCCAACCACCTCAGACCCGATCGCGTGACCCTCTACACAATAGACTCAACTCCCCTCTTCTTCCAACCCATCGACGGACCCCCAGTCCCCCACCTCCGCCTCGTCCACGCCTATCCCTCCGCCATCCCAACAATCCAGATCGACCGCGGCGCCATCCGCTTCGTGCTCTCCGGCGCAACACTCATGGCTCCCGGTCTCACCTCTCCCGGTGGCCGTCTACCTGATGCCGAGCATGCGCTTGAGGCTGGGCAGATCGTTGGGGTCAAGGCTGAGGGCAAGGAGGAGGTTTGTATGATTGGTATGCTGAAGGTTGGCACCGAGGAAATTAAGAGTAAAGGGAAGGGAGTTGTTATTGATGAAGGCCATTATCTTGGTGATGGGCTTTGGAGAATGCATTTGGATTAAGGCATGGTTTTGTTTCAAAAGCATGGAATTCATTGGGCTGGGGTTGGGGTCTTTTGATTTGGGCTTGGAACTATACCTCTCTGCACGTATGGTGATGATTACATGTATGTGTTGGATGATTTGAAATGAAATATTCCCTCTGGATGAGGATCCTGATTGGTTCAATGGATGTATTGAACCTGTAAAAGTTGTTTTTGATTATAAGGCTTTGTAGTTTTATATGTTGAAGCAGAAGCAAGCTTAACGGAGCAGGTCAGGAAGTGGAAGGCCGGCAATGAAGAGGAAGTGGCCACGACTTCAAAAGGAAGAAACACTACAGTCAGACAGTCTGAACGCTTAAGTTATCCAAGGATTGGAAGCAAGAAAAAAAGAATAATTGTCGCTTATGCGGCCTTATTAAGGTGGTCTTTTTGGTAGTCTTTTAGGTATGTATGTATAGATAGGTGTATACTATAGTCATATTTACTCATATTACAAATTATACTGCATTGTATCCTTCAAAGATTGCTTGAAACCGCAGACCACTCGGGGATGTACTTTCGAAGCAGATCCAGTGCCGACATCCACGAAAGCAGCTCTGGACTATTACGAAGAGCCCGCAGAGTGTTGGTAATCTCAAACCGAGGCGCATTTTCTTGAACTTCCCAACGGGTTTGGATACCCCATATCTTCTCCTGGAATAGCGGAAGAAAGGGATGCAACGGGTTCGTCGCATCATCGACAAACATTTCCAGCCAGCGGGAAAACGAGATACCTTGCAGTGGGTAAGAACATTGTCCATTTATCAGACTGAAGGCTTCCTGAAGATCTATGGGTACCGGCTGGATCAAATTATAAGCATGGCCCACGTTCTCCTCGGAGGAGGCGATTCGCAGTGTCGCATCCACCACGAAATCCACCGAGGCGAACGCTTTGCGCTGCCCCGGTAGGATAGGGTAATGCCCCAGCTGGAGGCAGGACGACATGAGACAACTGATGAAGTCATTCGGGTTCCCTCTTCCCGTCTGACTGTGCCCTAGGACATATCCGAGACGGACGATGATCGCCGGCGAACCCCTGCGGATGGCATTCCAGACCACATTTTCCGCCACGAACTGGCTTTGAGAATATCCTGTGTCATATTGTAAAGCCGTGATGTGGTCTAGTGGTCTCTCATCCTCTGGGACGGTATTGGTTCCTTGGATAAATCCCGTCGGTCCATATGCAGCGATGCTCGAGGAGTAGATCAGCCGTTTTGGCCGAGAGTGATTTGCAAATCTTATTATTTCTAACGTTCCCAGGACATTGGTCGCTCGGTGACGGGAGTACGGCTGGACGTAACTGACTATTGCCCCCAAGTGGAAAACCACACTCGCCCAGCTTGCATAGTGGTTGTACTGTTCTTGCAGAAGGCCGAGGTGCGGGAGCAACAAGTCGCCGGGGATAGAAATAATTTTGTTCTCCTGGAAACCATGCAGTCTGTATTTCTCCAATATTTTCTTGATGCGTACGTCGGCTGCGGATGTGTTCTCGGCACGAACAAGACATGCGACTTGGGTGACCTGTGGCATAGACAGCAGTGACGCGAGGAGAAAGGCGCCGACGAATCCAGTTGCTCCGGTGAGGAACACTCGGCCTTCTGAAGCGTCGAGCCAGTCGACGACCGGGTCGAGACTAACCTGTAGGTCTTGGCCTGATAACGAATCCAGAGCCAGGATGCTTTGATCATCTGCTGCGTCTGGCAAAGCTGTTCCGTTCTTGAGCTTTTGAACTAGCCGTGTGAGTTGGCCTAGTGTGGAATTCTCATACAGAGCCGTGGACCGCAGCTCAGATCCTAGCAAAACTCGAATTCGGCCGATCAGATGTGCAATTTGCAGTGAGGTTCCGCCCAAATGGAAAAAGTCATCGGAAAAATCCAGGTGGTCCTTTGGATACCCCAGTATCTCGAGCCAGATATGTTCCAAACACGTTTCCACAGAGTCGATGCTTCCGTTCGAGTGCATTTGACTCTCACGCACGACCCTCATCTTTTCTATACACAGTTGCTCAAGCTTCCTTCGATCACACTTCCCTGTCTTTCCCAATGGAAGCTCCACAAGAAGCTCGACGCGAGGCACCGGAAGATGGGGAGCGCGGCTGACGAATGCTCGTGCTACGGTCTCAGGGTCGACATGAATGCATTGCGGTACAATATAGGCAACCAGTATTGGCCCCGTCTCGGCATCCTTGGGCTCAACCTTGACAACCGCTGCCGCGGAGGCAAGATTCGTGCTTAAGAAGATATTCTCGAGACCTTCTAGCTCGACGCGGTGGCCCCGGATCTTGATTTGTCTGTCGCGGCGGCCGACAAACTCGTACAAGCCAGACTCGTTCATTCGCATGATATCGCCCGTCCTATAGGCATGACGCGAGAATCCCACCGCGGTACCTTTCAATGTAAGATGTGGGGGGTTTATAAATGACTTGATGTTGGCTAGAGGATTCCTACAATATCCTCCGCAAACTCCTGCCCCTGCTATTACCAGTTCTCCTTCGCTGCCCGTTGGAACTGGACTGAGATTTTCGTCGACAATGAAAAGCTGAAAATTGCCAATTGGCTTCCCGAGTGGAATGTGACCATTGTGGATATCCGCTGCGGTGATCTTGTGCGAGATTACAAACACAGTGCATTCAGTTGGTCCATACATGTGGATTACTCGCTCCGGGGGCCCATGATCGAATATCTTCCGGATCACCGACACGTTGATTATCTCGCCACCGGTCATTAGAGTGTGGACTGTGGAAAATGCCCCCGGACAGGTTTTGACAATTGCGTTTAGCAATGCGGTAGTAACAAACACAACTTCGATTTGGTCGTCTCGGAGACTCCGCGAGAAGAGAACGGGGTCTATGACTATCTCATGTGGATAGACTACCACCGTCCCACCTCTCAACAAGCACACCCATGTTTCAAATAAGGTGATGTCGAAGACCGTATTGCCGATGTGTGCAAGTCGTTGGTCATCTTGAAATAGAGTGGTGGAATTAAATGCCAAGTTGATGATTCCGCCAGCCAGAATTTGGACGGCTTTGGGTTCCCCCGTTGTACCTGAGGTGTGAAGGATATGGGAACGGCTCGATGGCTCATTGGAGGAGACCTTGAATTCCTCGTCGGATAGTTCAGGGCTCAGGGTATGGTCTACAAGGATATTGTCGATCTCTAGATGTCGACTCCAATTGTCGATGTCCACTAGAGCTAGCTTCACATCCAGATTTTGGACAAGCTTCTGAAGAAACACGTCTGGATGTTTTGTGTCCAAAGGAACACAGGTTCCACCGGCATAAACAATGGCAATTTGCGCTAAAATATGGTTGACTCCGCGGGGGATGGCGATCGCAATTGGAGTTCCTGGTTTAGGGGCTTCCTGTCGGATCAGGTGCGCGAGCTGGAGGGCTTTGAAGTGCAATTCACCATAGGAGACAGCACACTTGCCATATTCTATGGCTGTCATTGGACCAAGAAGCCGGGCCTGCGCCTGAAAAAGTTGAGCAAGCCCAGCGTGCCTCACTAGGCTTGCATCAAGTTTCCTTACACCACGGGGAGACGGCGACATAGTGAAATGAGGGCAAAAAATCCGAATCACGGGTCAAGGGAAGCAGCCTGTGAAGCTATATAATGAAGCAATGTATTGTAATCCAACGATCCAGTCTAATTTCTTCTTCTCTACTTCACACTAGTGCGGTCATAGTTTCTTGGTAGCCTAGGGCTTGATCAACCTACATAGCCGTGCATTGTGATACGTTCCACACAGGCAATATTTAAGCAATCGTCGTCAGCCTCGATAAATCAGTACAAAACACTTAGTGGGTTACTTTCAGCTGGAAAAGCGATAGATAAACAAAGCATCATGTTCACATAAGAGTGGCAAATTTCATGCAGCATCATCATTCCAGTCCCATGTATGATTGAACATTACAGGATATCGTCACATATATTTCTCAAAGCACCTCTTTTGTCATCAAACAGCCACTTATAACCCTTCAAGGCTTTGGAGTTGTGACCCATATGGCATATAGTGTAAAGGTAGCCGAATATTGAACTCGCTTATAGGTGTAGATCAGGTATAGAGACTGCATGCATGGACTAATGCAATCTAATATTCCAAAATAGTCTATACAACTCGATCTCACTAGTGGCAGATGAGGTACTTGTATAGCAACCGGAAATCATAGTGTGTCTGATTTTATCTACGATGCGAGACACAAGGCAAATTAGGCTCTAGATCCTGACAGCCAGCATATATTGTTCTGGCATTCTATACTGGCCTGCATATCAGAAGCAGTCCTATTTGATATTTAGGTTGTTTGCACCACCTCTCTCAGCTCCATTTAAAACCCGATGTTATACCGACGTTATACTGCAGTCCTAGTCTCCACTTCGAGAACAAACAAGCTAGTTAAGCAGGACAAATCAAATACAGAGTGCATGAGTAACACAACATAAGTAAGACACAGCATGCATGATAGGCGTTTGAAGTATAGATGTTGCTATTATATGCAAATCATGTATGGTGATATCTCTAATTGTTCGTCGCAGCCTCTGCATGATGAGACCTCACTATAAATATATTCTCACAAAAATACTACAGAGGTTTGCGCTAGCGGAGATATGATATGTTACCCTGCGTAATTTATTATCCAGAGCCTAACAATCACAAACCCTAACATTGAAGTTTATAAGAACTCCCTGTGCTGCAGAGCGATTGAACAAATTCTGAACTTTCAAAAGTCTTCTCCGCATTCTTGGATAAAATATCCCATATCTATTTAGGTACCTAACAGACCCTGAAAATGCATGAGTGTCAAATCAATCTGTTGCAGTACCTGCGATCAAAGACCCAGGTCGATGTCGATAGCTTTGATGCTGACGGTATGGAACTATACTCAATTATATCCTTCCTTTTAGGTCAGTGCCATATGCTAATAAATTTGCGCCAGTGTCGACCGAAGTCCCAGGATGTGTAGATGGCACATCCAATCAGGTATATGCTGTATTATATAGCAAAAATGGCGATCAGAGGGATTGACTGATTGGAATTGTTTCTTTTAACAGGCGGAGATCTACTGCGAGATGATCAAGCCACGTCACGATGATCGGGTAAAAGAAGTCCTTGCTTTCAGTAAGAAAGTGAAGCCTGAATTTCCAGTTCTGACGCTGGAGGAGCTGGCATTTGAAGTCATGGTAAGCCAAAGCTTCTAGTAACTGCCCTGTACTGCCCTATATATCGATCTGACTTTTAACTGCACAGGCGATTCGGCTAGCCTTTCTTATTATTCCCAACATCACTGGCGCTGTGCATGTGATGGCAAATCCGTGCTACTCATATCACACAGAGAAGATTGTCGAGACTGGAGAACGTATGTTGCTTGCCCATGGCACAATCTAACGCTGCTGACAGAAATTTGGCCAGGGTTACATAAAATTTGTAATCTCCTAGATCCCGCTTTTGATACTAATCGGTTCGTCATGAAGGTGGCCGCCACATGGGAAGGCCTCCAGGCATGTCGACAATTGGCACTTTGCGGGATAAAGACCCTGGCCACGACGGTGTTCACAATGGAACAAGTCATCCTGGCTGGTGAGGCCGGTTGTGTTTCCATGTCACCTTTTGTTCATGAAGCGAAATCGCATTTTGATGAGAAGTGAGTCGGAATTCTTCAGATATCTAATTCCAACCGTTCTGCTCACCAGTGATAGATACTCAGATGAAATGCATCTTCTTCGTCTGTGTGTCCAGGCACAGCAGTTGTACAAGAAGCGGTCCATAAACACAAAAGTCAAAGCATGCGCCATGCTCTCGGTTGACGAGATCTTACAGTTAGCTGGTGTGGACGCCTTGACTATCTTGCCTGAGGACCTCGAGAAACTTCAAAAAGGGACTGGTTGTGTACGTTTGGTTGAATATCAATCTCTGTTTGGTGGTAATTCTATGTCTGACCATAGCGACTATCCTTCATACCTGGATGATGAGAGCACCTATCGTCTTGACTTTGCTCGTAGTGGTCAAGGTAAAGGCCAATACAAATTGATGCAGGTTCGTGTTTTTGATCAATATAGATGCTGCACATTCTAACAAGCTCGCTCAGGTCCTAGCCATCTTTTCGGACTTTCAATTCAAGGGTGAGGAGTTTATGAAAGCCCGCCAGCAAACTCGTCATTAGCTAATAAGGCTCCTGGAAAGCAATGGTGTTCACCTCAAGGGATTTTGGAATATCCCTACAACGAGGATGCATCACAGTGGATAGGGTAGTGACAGATGCCAAAGCTCTTGTGGTGAATTTGTATATAGCAACCAGAAAGGGTAACGTGGAGCATCACCGATATTGTATAGTTTGTAGTATGTTGCTAATTGATTGGGCTTTTCGAACTGTCTCTTTCAGTTCCACTAAAACTCGAGGTTATACTGCAGCATTCGACCCTGTGATTCTCAACCTCTAAAATCCCTGGTGGCATACGTCCTCGCCCGCATACATCAATAAATCGATATGTAGGACACATGTGGTGGAAATGGAACTCTGCATGCAGGAAATACAGAACCACACTAAGTGCTCAATGATTCGCGTGTCTGTACAAATTAGAGCAGGGAATTGCTTCCCTCGTGTTAGACAATAACTTGAATCTGTTTACTTCACTGCTGCCTTGGTATCACTATAGTGGCCAAGCCTGTCTTTCCCTTTTCCGGGCTTGATTTAGATGTGTTGACTGACTAGAAATCCCACCAGAATTTGACGATTGGTTTCTAATGCTTGGCTAGATATTAGCTTGAGCTACTATTGAATAATGAGCTGAGCAAGATAACTTCAAGACTGCTCTGTAGTACCGACCCGTCATGGATGATTATTGATGGCGCGGTTGTTTTGTTCCATACAATCTATGAGGAAGGACATGGAGAGCTGCAAATCTACACGGTTGAGTTTCACCCTGTGATCTCTAGCCGTGAATAGGATTTATCAACATAATTTAATCCCAAACCCCTGGCCAACTAGCTCTATGAACTCCAAAGGTGTAATTCACCACCGAGTATGTAGATCATCCACTAGTAGTATATATATTTGCACATAGACCCACCTGTACTAGTCCCGGAAGAAGAAATATCACAATAATATTCCGAATTCCTTCCTGCGAATCCTGTAGAAAGCACCCCCGGGGTTGGGATATCAAATGACGACAATAGACAGAGACCTGGGTAAAATTATGGAGTATTATTACAAACGAAGTGAACAAAGCCCAAAAAAAGCAAGCCCATGCATGCATCGTCCGATTACATACCTAGTCTACATCAATAGATGAAACCTCGAAAGGCCGACTAAGCACCTGCAAAAAAAAAAGAAGAAAAAAAGAAGAAATCCATCCATTCATTACCCTTCCTCCACAAATAACCCAGTTCTCAAAACGTAAAGCTCAACTCTTCACACCGTAAAGCTGAAGTCATACCGATCCTAGATACATACATACCCAAGATCGGCACAGCAGCTAATCTTCAAGTTGAAACTTACAGGAGAGCGAGGACACCAGCCAGAAGACCAGCAGCGGCACCGGGGGCAACGAGACCCATAGCAGCGCCGGTGGAGGGGGTGGCGGAGGCAGCGGCAGAGCCGGTAGCGGTGCCGGTGGAGGAAGCGCTGGTAGTCAGACCGGTCTGGGTGGAGGTCTGGGTGCCAGTGGAAGTTCCAGTGGAGGAGGTAGAAGAACCGGAAGCTGTACGGAGGGATATATCAGTGCTGCTTTTGCCATGGGTTGGGAGTCCAGAAGTAAGGGAGGTAGAGGTAAAGTTTCCGGGGAAGGGTTTGATGGACACGTCCGGGGTGGAAGTACCAGTAGTGGAAGCATCGGTCTCAGTAGAAGTAGAAGCAGTGGAAGTGGTACCAGTAGAGACAGCAGAGGTAGAGGCAGAAGAGGAGACAGAAGAGACAGTGGAAGATGTACCGGTAGTAGTAGCGCTGGAGCTCTTGGCTTCGCTCACATCGAACTGCTCGGACTGGGCGAGGATGCCGGTGTTCTTGGCGTCGGTGGAGAGCAGGTTGATCTGGAAACCGGAACTATAGGAGTGTTAGTGAACTGTACGTAGATCCAATTGATGCGTCACAAAGGTGATCTTGCCCGTTAGTGACACCCTTCAGGCCGGAGGCAGTGTAGGAGCCCTTGGAGGTGTCGATGCCAGAAGCAATCTTCTCCGAAACGGTGGGGTAGACGGCATTGTTGATAAGGACAATGTCAACGGTGGAGGCGTCGGTGCTGTAATGAGTTAGCATTGGCTGTTATTACTAGGGTAAGGTGTGGGATATAGTCAACATACTTGACGGAAGTCCACTTCACGGTGAAAGAGCCGGAGACATCGACGTCAGCACCCTTGGCAGGTTCGGTGATGTTGACGGCTTGACTGATTGTTAGAGAGACTCTTGTGTCACATGCTAGATTTACATACCAGCAACGGAGAGGGCCAGAGGCAAAAGAGACAGAATGGTGGAGAAACGCATCTTGACTGAATTAAAGCGAGTGTAGTGTGTTAAAAAACGAATGTATGTTGGAGCGTAAAAGAGAGAGTGTGTGTGAGATGCAAGAGAAAAGATGCAAGTTGGAAAAATATTTAGATACAAGGATCCATGTCATTAAGTACTGGTGAGCAAACACTCCGTCTGATATCGCACAACCTTGGATGCCTCGAACCGTCAACAATGTCTGACACCCACCTACCAATACGGAAATATACACCTGAAAATAGAACTGACATAGTGAAGGTACCCAGTTTTGGAAGCATTTTAATAATAATTTAATGATTTTATTACAAAACGTGGGCATCCAGGGCCCCCCGTGAGCATTCCGTGTGGGTGAAGAGTTCAAGCATCATGGTTCAGATGGCGAGCTAGTTTCAGGCGCAAAATGCCACTTCTATTTGTAATATATTACTCTGTACGGAGTACTCTATTATTCTATTATTCGATGAGACAACTCTATTGTGAACATAAAATGCCGAGAAACATACCTGTACTAGTATGCCGTATATTCCGTATATTCCGTAGAAGGTAATTCTTTTGTACATTCGGAGCTAGCCGTCCATGGACATGGGTACTAACCAACCATGGGTCTTGTCCGCCGATAGGGCCGATAAAGAAGACGCTAGACAAGCTTGGCAAGACACTAGTGGTATTTAGCTCAGTCTTGGCAGAGGCGCAAACACGAACAGCACGATGTGACAGGGAAAATCTTTTTTTAAAATTGGGGTTTTCTATTTTTCCAGCTTTGAAACAAAAGTTTGGACGTTCTCTGTATTTTTCATTTGCAAAATTTGCAAAATTTATGGTAATTTACCAGCCCATTTAACCGGAAATGCAACACGGACCCTTAAATACCTTGAATGCCCATGTATTTTTAGTCGGTTAGCTCGGGAAGAGGGTTCGCCACAAATTTGAGAGAACAGCACGGCCCAATATGTACATACAACATATACTAGTCTCACATCTGAATTAAAGGACCACTATGCTACGCTATGGACTGGCTCTGTACCCAATATGTTATTCTGATGTCCCAAAATGAACTCGAAGCTGTTCCAGTGTCTCAACGGACTCAGACATCAATTTCAGGATTGAGACATCTGTCAATAGGGCCTCGGACTACACGCTAAATACACCAGAAGTGGGAGTATTATTGGAAGCGATAAAATGAGTGTCTCACCCAAAACCTGCGGGCGTATTATTATCACTTTAAGCGAACAAAATGCTGTCATTTTTACACATTTGAATATGTGGCTGAATTACGGAGTGTCACATCCAAATTAGTACTTTTAGTATTTTGTTTTTGATGCCTTATGGTTTAGTGAATACGAGAAAAGATACAACGCAAAAAGGGTTATCACAATATTTGTTGTACAATACATAATTTCCACATCAGAGAACCCGCAGAGGATGTGCCTTGCGCCCAACCCCAACAAAAAGATATTAGTTATCGTAGATATTGACATTACTAGACACGAAAAAAAGTTAGCCATCAACCCCACAACCTGAAGCAGTATCCGGGCGAAGGGGGCCCAAGGAGTGGAACGTATACATACAAGTCCCTTTTGAGATTATCCCGGTGCACTGTAGCCGAATCAACCCAGACACTGGCACTCATCCCCTGAACACCAAAATTTCCATAGCCATCTTTGTTGATAATGACGGGTTTCATGTTGGGATGTAAAATATCGCTCCATTGCTCATGTGCATGCTGTCGACCAACATACATACGCTGCGCGCCTGGACCGGCGTTGCTGATAACACACGCAAGTCCGGATCGATGACGGGCATTTCCGTAGCGAACGAATCCTGTATCGCGGTTAGATTTGAACGGGTGGGTTGATGTTCCCCCCGTAATGGGGCTCAGCATCCAGTGGAGCAAGGGTTAAGCGAACCTATGCAGTTGGGTTGGTTGAAGTAGTCTTGCTGTTCACCGTAGGCGTAGAGTTTGCGGGCTTGGGTTAATACGGGAAGTTGGCCGTTGCAACTTGGTGTCATTGGGCTATCCACATTTGCTCGGATACCGTACAGGTCACCGTAGAATACGCATGGCTGACCGTCTTTGCGGAGGAGGACCAGGGCGTATGCTAGTAATTTGAAGGATGGTGATACCGGGGTCTGGGCGTTCGTTAGCTATCGTCAGTTCGTATAAATGGGAAACTAGTCGTCTCACCTCGAGCATTTGTCCTGGTTGCTGCGATGAGTTAGATTAAAGATGTAAATGTGTCAAGATCCAGCCTTAGTTGGTACTTACCGTATCATGATTGGCAACAAGGGTCTTGAGAGAAGTTAGCGGGGTATTATTCGTCGGGCGTCGGGTCTCGAGGAACTTACTACAGCGTGGTTGGGTCGACACTGTACCAGTGTATCATTGAAAATCCCGCGAAGGTCTGGTGCCTGTGCATGGGACAACTTGGAGAACCGCTCCAGGAGAGGTACGTCATATGCAATGAGATCGTACTCCACCTGCTCGAGGTAACCCAGAAGAGACGGTAAATGTCCAGTCCAGAACTCTCCTATCGCGAAGAAGTCCGGGTTGGCGGTTTTCCGGACGTATTGCACGAATGCGCGTTGGAACTCGGTTGAGAAATGCTTGGCGGCATCAAGCCGCATTCCATTGAGGCTCAGAGATTTGGTGATCCACGTTCCCCATTGAAGGAGATCTGCGCGGACTTCTGGGTGTGCAAGATCTAGATCGGAGAACATCAGGTAATCATAGTTTCCATACTCGGTGGAGACATCTTGCGCCCAATCCTTGTTAGATGCGACGATCTTGTAGATCGCGCTCTGCTTGCTCTTGTCGTCCCAATCGACACCGCTGAAATGTTGCCAGCGGTACTTCATTGAGCTGTACATATCATTGCGACCGGGGAAATCGAAGCCTGTCCAGCCATTGACTTCTGTCGGCTTAGATATATTCAGGTCTCGTCCTGTTCTTTCAGTCAGTGAATGGCCAAAAATCCATGAATGAATCGAATATCAACGCAAAGAATTATTTGGATAACTCACGTTTAGGATCTACCTTGACAGCCTGGAAGGGCTCTGGATAGTCGGCGCCAGCTTTATGATTAAGCACAGCATCCCAGATCACACCAATGCCCAAGTTTTGCGCTTGGCACATCAGGTCTTCAAGTTCGCGCTTGGTACCCCATTTCGTAGGGACTGCACCCTTCTGATCGAACTCCCCAAGATCATACAGGTCGTAGATGTCATAGCCATTGCCATTTGCATCCATTCCCTTGCATCCAGGAGGAATCCAGATCTGATCAACGCCAATGGCCTTGTACTCTGGCAAAGCATTCTGCAGACGACGCCAATGCTGCTGGTCGGCGGGAACATGCCATTCAAAGGTTTGTAGTATGAGCGAGTTATCTGGAGCAGTCCATGATGGTAGCTGTTCTAGATTCGCTGCTGCTTCTGTAACATGTATTCAAATTAGGTGTTGAAACCGTTTTCAGGGGGGGACTGACCTTCAATCTCTTTCCATTTCTGGCCTTTCTGTCGAGATCCACAACATAGGAACGGCATCGCGGGTTTGTTGCAATGCAAATGACAAGTCAAGCTATGTCAAGCTAACACGTCAAGCTATGGATTACAAAACTTGCGGGATATGCACATGCCCTTTTGCGGTTAGGGTTCGTATGTGGGGCGGACTATTTTTAATCGGCAAACGGTCTAAGGTACAGGTTTTTTAAGCCAGGTTTACGGGCGACTAAGTATGCCACCCGACACATAACTCTCTCATTGGTTTATATTGCCAGGCAATAATTTCGATCCGCTCTAAGTACCATGTTGAATATATAGTTAGTTATACAATTAGCGTGGTACTTTATATAGTATTTTTATAAATGAATACTGTTGGGCAACCTGTTACTATGTGGGGAGAAAGCAGAGGAAGAACTATTAATTGATTAAACTAGAAATGTAGGGGGTTATATACCCTGCTAAAACCATCTAAACTCTGCTCGATTATAGTAAACAAGCTAACAAATAGTAAATAACGAACAAATAGGGCTTAGTCTGTAGCAAACATATATATATATACATATATAGGATATTGTTTAACAAATACCATATTAATTTTTTAACACCGGGCTCTTTATACTCCTAAGTCTTAAGTCTTGACTCTTGATTTCTTACCTAGGTACTATCTTACTATCTTACTAACTGAATCTGAACTGAATCTGAACTGAATCTGAACTGAATCTGAACTGAATCTGAACTGAATCTGAACTGAATCTGAACTGAATCTGAACTGAATCTGAACTGAATCTGAACTGAATCTGAACTGAATCTGAACTGAATCTGAATTGAATCTGAACTGAATCTGAACTGAATCTGAACTGAATCTGAACTGAATCTGAATTGAATCTGTAAGTGTATAGTATACAAATAAAACAGTAATGAACCAGGCGGTGAGGTAATAACCAATGAGAGAGTTATGTGTCGGATGGCATATTTAGTCGCCCGTACAGGTTGAGCCAAGTTCGTAAGGTGGCAAGGTGGATCTCCAATTATCCAAATGTCTCAGTTGAAAATTTCATCAATCGAACACTGGGACTTTTCTAGAAACTGGAAACTCCACCCAAATTTGATTGGCTTCCGCCGCCATAATGCATGACATATAAATGTTAAGGAAATAAGGTAAAAGCTCATAATGATACAAAGGCCAACGTATGAACAGGAAAAAGGCCAAGGATATCGCCAAATAAAACTAGATGACCAAAAATAATATCGCACATGAAAGGATATCTCCGCGAACCAAGCCGAGCCATCAATACGGCTCACCCCAATAAAAAAAAATAGGAAGAAATAAAATATAGGAAAAACGGAAAAAAATGGGGAAAAAAGGACCGGAAGAAGAAAGGAAGAGCAAAGGAAGAGTGAAAGTCTTTCGGGCATTTCTCTCAAAGGAACGTCACGAACATGCCGCTCACCACTGTTAGCAGGAGGGTAGCTAGACCGGTGCCACTGGTAGGTCGGATGCCAGCCGACGTCCAACTGTGAGTCTTCAACATCGCGAGAGAAATGTTCGACTCAGGGTAACCACAAAGACCAATACCGTCCATGTAGTTTGTGGGGTAGAAAACCCGAGGCTCTCCCTTGTTCATAGGAACATGCAACATGCCCTGGTTGTCGACAGTATAGTTGGTACAGTCCAGAACATTCGTCACGGCCGTACCGGCGTTAAAGCTGACTGCCATGTCGATCTGGTAGGCTGAACTGGTGGAAGATTGAGTGGACAACACCATGACCACCTGTCGACCCTGGACACCTTTTGTGAAAGCCAGTTCACTACCACCCTGGAAGATCGTATGAGTCGAGTCATCGAAGTAGTCCGTGCCCAAGTAGGCTGCGTGTTTCCGGACGCGATTCAGTTTCGCGATCAGCTTGTAGAGCTCCGCGTTGGTGTCGTATTTGGTGAGCCAGATGGCTTCTCGATTGACAGGCACACTGTTTCCCGACAGGTGTTGCTCTTGGCCTTGATAGACCATCGGGATTCCATCAAACAGCATGGTAAACACCAGGACATTTTTGGCCATCTGAAAGGTCTCATAATTAGCAAAGGGATAATTCAACCCGAGAAGGGCACACATACCGCTATGTCCTTGGAATAACTACCAATTCGAGGCTTGTCATGATTTTCAGAGAAAGAGGCCATAGCATTGACATCTGGCATCGAGATTCTCATGTTTTCCACTGCTTTCGCCAATAGGGACGTGTTGCCATTGGTAAAAGCAGCTAGGATTTCGAAATAGATCGGATAATTTGGCAAACTGTCGATGTAGTTGGTCTGGTAGTCTTCCATGATGCTGACTGCTCCTTCAAGCACTTCTCCGGTCATGAAAGTGTCGACACCCTTGCGAAAGTTCGCCAGAAAGCCTGGGTTGACGTGCTTGGCGGCATCAATCCGGAGCCCGTCAATGGAGTAGGTCTTGATGACCTTGTTTGCCCATTTAATCATAAGCTGTTGCACATCATCGTGCTCTGTGTAAAGATCCGGCAGGGGCACTTTCTTATCACCTGTCTGGCAATTCTGGGCATCGGTCATGTTATTCCAGTCCGTGATTTTGCAGTAGGGATGGAAATAGTCAGCGTTATTGAAAGGTGTGAAGACGGAGTAGTCGATGTTTGTGGCAGGATTGCTGCCATTCGTGATGTAGGCCATGTTGTTGATCACCGTATCCATCATTAAGTACATGCCCCGGGAGTGGACAGCAGCACTGAGGTCGAGCAAGTCTTGGTGTGAGCCAAAATGAGAGTTGAGATTGTCGAAGTTCAATGGCCAGTAACCGTGGTAGGCTTCGCCATAGGAGACTCGACCATGGATATTCTCGATGATGGGGGAGATCATCACGGCATCAAACCCCATTCCTTGGATGTAGTCGAGATGGTCAATAGTGCCTCGCCATGTTCCTCCACAGTAAAAGCCCGCCGTGGCGTTGCATGGTGCTGTTGTCGATCCGTCTGTGCGAGCGAAACGATCTGTCATGGTCTGGTATATTGATCTGGGCTTCCAATCGGCTGTCCTGGCAGCAGATGCCGAGGAAATGAGGCTCGTGATCAAAAGGAGCCCTGCCAAATGGCGAATGGTCGATCGTGACATCATGGTAGCTCGTATTTGTATGACGGGTCGATCGGAAGAGGATAAAAAAGAGAGTGCTGATGTTTCAAATAAAGAGTGACTTGATTAACTCACGAATGCACAAATATGGCCGGAAAGAGAAATAAACGAGTGACATTTGGACTTAGGCCATGAACAGAGAACGAAAGGAGGCAAAGAAAGCAGAAATTGGACACCAGAGAAGAGAAGGTCGGGGGAATTTGCGAGTAGGCAAGGGCTAGTCAGGTGGCAAGCCTTCCAAGGTTCTGTCGTCGATCCATACATAGCGTTGGAATCCCCCCCTCCCCACAAACACACGCTATATTAATTCGGAGAGACATGTGTTTTATGTACCTACAATATAGTGGACCGACTTATCTAGCTACATATTTGTGAATATGATTTGCCTCGGGATAAGCATAGACCTGATTCCCGTGCGACTGACCTGGCTTACCCACATATATTTTTTTGGTAATCCCCAGGATTTAGAAGGTAAGAAAGCTAGAATTAAAGTAGCTTTCAAGCTTGAAGAACTACAGCAGTGGATTCACATTCTATCTACACCTCAGGCGGGGGGTTTCAGAAGCCAAGCTTAGTTTGATTATAGTGTACACATGAGGGGGGGAGAAGAAAGAGAAGACACACTAGTAATAACACTATTGGAACAAACTCCGTATCGAATCCATAGGAATCATTTTAGTGCTGTCAGGTACCAGGCACCATGTCCGCACTGGGCTTGCTAGGGGTCTTGGGGTTAATTGGTTGTTCTTGCAGCTTATCACGTGGAGGGGCTGCCCTACTCTCAGGAACAAGTTTATCCATCACAGGAGAAATCACAAAGTTTCGACCGTCCAATCATCTAAGACAAGGTACCATTCATCTAACACACTAGCGACGTTACTTTGCATGTCCACAAAATCAGGTCACAAAGCTATAGATAATATTTTTGGTACTCCGTACCGTATGCAGTACAGACCGTGAGTTTATATTATACACTTGCCCAGTTTTTGAATACGAGATAAGCACGGAGTATGTTCGGACGTGAGAGATATGTGAGATTTTCTCCGTCATTCCCGCCTGTTGACGGCTTTTGGACGACTCCCGTGTGAAGCGTTGATACCAGGATGGAATCACCGTAAATACACGGTATTACATGGATGTCAAGCCATGTGGAGATTAAAGCAGAAATTTCTTGTTTTTTGCTTATTTTATCTTGTATGTTGTATACTTCGACGGTTGGACTCGAAGAATAAGATAAAAATGGTGTGTAGTATTTCATAGAACTTACTTAGGTATCCATCATGACACTTCTTGGTCACCATTGGCTCTCATTGTGAACCTTAGAAGGATACCTCGGTATTATATTTATACATCCTCGCCCCATGGTTGAGTCCTCAGGGAACCGAAAAAAAGAAAAAAGAAAAAAGAAAAAGAAAAAGTAAGAAAAGGCTTGGGGAAAACAAGAATTGAAGAGATTGAAAAAAACAAGTGCCATACAAGTTCTCGTATACGACCCTCGGTCCTACAACGCCAAGTGGGGCCGGGTCTCACCTTGACAGCCAATCGGACGAGTCGGGCTACCAGGATCTCGGCCCCAAATCCACGCGGGTCCTGACCGAGACGTATATCGGCATTGTCATAGGCTGAGAGTTGCGGGTCTGGAAATTATCGGTAGAATAGAACTTTTTCTCTACAATACCTAGGTACCGATGGACTACCTAGGTAGGTAGTCGGCAGATGTGAAAGTTATCTACAATGCTGACGATGTATGCATGTCTCACTATCTGAACCTTCAGAGAGTTGGTTCTGTATGCCAGATACCATGAGTCTATATAATAATGCCATGCCCCCGTGACAATGATACTAACACTTGCGACGGTTGGAAAGATACCATCCAGGGTCTGCCAAGTGGCAAGTGGCTCTATGGGTTAAATCCACGAGTATATATAGAACAGAACGTTCATGCTAATCGGGTAGCTCCGTTGGCAGGCTCCAGTTATTAATCCTCTAAACGAAACGGGTTTCCTATTCGAAGGAGAATGCCGAGCCACTTCTCGTGGTGTATGCTGGTGTATTCTAGTGGTATTGGTCGCCACCAGTCGCATTTGATGCCAAGACTAGAAGAAGAGAGTAAAAAAATAAGACAATGATAAATTTATATCCAAAGAGGGAAATGAAGTAAGATTACCACATAAATTGAATCAGAAATAGCGAAAAAAAAAAAAACAAAAAATACCAAGGCTGAGGTCTTGGATCCTAAGAATCTCCAATACTCCAATACGACCTGGGGCTCTAAAATTGATATGGGGTTTGTCTCATCCGTTTTTATTTTTATCTTGAGCTTCAATGCGCCTAGCCTTTTAGCACTTAGCACTTTAGAACTGCGCACTGGTGTTATGTGATCATTTCTTTCTCACTTTCACATTTGATTCCTCCTTCGTTTACAATCCTCATCCCTCATCCTCATACCGCGTCCTTCGTTCACTCGCTCGTTTGCTTATTCCGCCTGTCGTTATCTTTCTTTTTTCTCGAGACATACTGTCACCTTCGACGCCTCCTGTTAGGAATTTGTGTCGTGACCTCCACAATATACCCACACTCTACTGCTCCATGGAAATTGAGAGCTGCACATCTCTATCTCTTTCATAGGGTGCTTATCATCTCATCCTAGCGGGGAGATCCGCACTGCCCGAGGCGCGCGACGATCACTTGACAGCTCCGCGCAGTCAGTACTAGCCATGAAGTGGTCACTTGCCAGCGGGCTGGTTTCACTTCTTGTGACGACTGTCACAGCTTGGCCCTACGATGAGGCCTACCTCGATCATAATCTCAATACAAATAAGACGGCCACCGACCCGGCAGATTACTGGGGAACATGGCCTGGCCATGAGGGGAAATACAACCCCTCCCCAGACAACTGGCGATTCCCGTTCTACTCTTTCTTCTTGGATCGTTTCGTGAACGGTGATCCTACCAATGACAACGCAAACGGTACCACCTTTGAGCATGATGTCGACCACCGCATTCGCCATGGTGGTGATGTGGCTGGCCTTGTTGATTCACTGGATTATATCCAAGGAATGGGGATCAAGGTTTGTTCTCATTTGTGATCTTCTAGTGGCAAGGAAATATATGCTCATAATATCCAGGGTATCTATATTGTGGGAACCTCCCTGCTGAACCAGCCGTGGACTTCGGACGGATATGGAGTTTTAGATACAACCCTTCTCGACGCGCACTTTGGTACCCTTCAGGTTTGGCGAGACGCCATCACCGAAATCCACAAGCGCGGGATGTATGTCTTGTTCGACAATACCATTGCGACGTAAGTTTTGTCCCCATACGCGGCCATGAGAAAGCAGAGTTAACCAAATATATACAGAATGGGTGACTTGATCGGATTCGAAGGGCATCTCAACACATCAACGCCATTCTCAGAGAAAGAATATCATACACAGTACAAAACTGAACGTCAGTACAAAGACTTCAGTATTGGAGTTGGTAACTACAACGCGACCTGTGACTACCCTCGATTCTGGTTCGAAGATGGATTCCCCGTGAATGAATCTGAGACCTCGGCCTTGGTGGGATGTTACGACAGCGATTTCGACCAGTATGGTGACATTGAGGCTTTCGGTGTGTGGCCTGATTGGAAGCGACAACTGGCTAAGTTCGCATCCGTTCAGGATCGTCTTCGCGAATGGAACCCGACTGTGCGTGCAAGATTGATCCGGCACTCCTGCATGGTCATCCAGTCTCTGGATATTGATGGATTCCGTTATGATAAGGGCACACAATCCACTGTGGATGCCCTGGGAGACATGTCCGCTGCCTACAGAGAATGCGCGCGCGGTCGGAAAGGAAAACTTCTTTATCACTGGCGAAATTACAGGTGGAAATGACTTCGGTTCTATTTACCTCGGAAGGGGTAGACAGCGTAACCAGTGGCCTGATAACTCAGCCGCCACAATGAAGTTGACAAATGAGTCTTCTGCCCAGTACTTCTTGCGGGAAGCGGGAAATGAAGCCATCGACAGTGCGGCCTTCCACTACACGACATATCGTTCCTTGACTCGATTCCTCGGCATGGACGGCCAACTTTCGGCTGGTTATGATGCACCCGATGACTGGGTCGAGAGTTGGGACTATATGTTGAGGTCAAATGATCTGATCAATGCTAACACCGGCAAGTTCGACCCTCGACACATGTTTGGTTCGATGAATCAAGATGTCTTCCGCTGGCCATCGATTGCCAATGGTACGCATCGAGGATTACTCGGTTCTTTTGTGACAACCTTGTTGCTTCCCGGAATCCCACTGCTTACTTGGGGCGAAGAGCAGAGCTTCTATATCCTGGACGCCACCGCGGAGAACTACATTTATGGGCGACAGCCTATGTCGCCTGCAACCGCATGGATGTCCCATGGTTGCTTCCACTTAGACTCATCCCAGTACTACGACTGGCCTGTTTCGGCTGCTAAACATGGCTGCAAGGACATCACAGTTTCTTACGACCACCGCGACCCTTCGCACCCTGTGCGAAATGTTCTTAAGCAGATGTACCGCTTGCGCGAGCAATATCCAGTTCTCAATGACGGTTATTCCCTTGGAAATCTATCAAAGAGAACCGAAAATGTTTACTACACTGGTTCCAACGGCACTGCCACCGAGACCGGAATGTGGTCCGTTTACCGGGATGTCAACACCCAGGTGCAAGATCTGGGCTCTAACGCCGACAACCAGCCCATCTGGCTTGTTTACCAGAACATGAATGACACGCACACATACAAGTTCGACTGCAAGTCTGATAATCCGAAGAAGACCCTGACCGCTCCATTTGCGTCTGGAATCACCGTCAAGAACCTTTTCCACCCGTACGACGAGATCAAACTGGTGGATGGAGCGCGTAAGCTCGGCTTCAATGGATCCAAGGAGACGAATGGCTGCGCGGAAAGCATGACGATGAAGGCATACGAGTTCCGCGCATACGTCCCCATCGCTCAGCACAAATCACCTCGGCCCATGATCACCAAATTCACCCCAGGCCATGATTACCCACTACGTTCTACCGTGGCCCCTAATCTTCCCGAGAGTGTGGCGATTGAGCTTTACTTCTCGGAAGAGATGAACTGTGACTCGGTGACCGATTCGATCACCTTCACTTCATCTACAGAGAGTGGGAAGGTTCCAGCGCTAAATTCCAACTCTATCAAATGCACAACCATTCCTACTATGCTCCAAACAAATTGGACTGCTGAGATCCCAAGTGTTTGGAAGTGGGCAGCAAACCTCACTGGCGTGTACAACGGAGTTCATAAATTGACTGTCGCCAACGTAACAAACACCGACAAAAGCGATTCTACCCATGCTATTGATCACTTCCTCTTCCGCATCGGCCAGATCGATAATCCTATGGTATTCAATACTGCCAACTATTCAAGCAGTCTACTCCACAAGAAAGAAAACGGCGATCTTTTCCTCCAGCATCATGCTGCTGGTGCGGACAAATACCGTTATTCCACCAATTGGGGAACGACATTCTCCGACTGGGTAGATTACAAAGGTGGAAATGATACCATTGCGAAGCTCCCCTGGTCGGGAACCAAGGATCAGGAGTGGGAGGGTGAGCATGTACGCGTTGAGTACTGGAGTCGTTTGACTGGAAGCAGCGACTACGTGCAGCAAGGTGATGCTGACTGGGATCACCCAGTCTCACGACGCTTCCCCCATGCCTTCTTCAACGGACCTTTCAACCAGTATGGCTTCGACGCGGGCCTTGACAACAGAATTAGGCTTGACAAGAGAACTGGAGTCTGGTCCTACCATTTCACGTCCGAATGGCCCGCAGTCGGGCAGCTCAACATGTGGGGAATTAATCCAGACGGAAAGCCTGATCAAACCTGGGTTCTGGGTGATCTTGACAATGACACAGTCTTGGACCGAAGCCCGCCGTCCGCTCTGAGCGCAACCTTGATCAACATCACCCTTGCGCCAGCTAAAGGCTACCTCTCCCACAAGCTCTACTTCGACGACGGAACTCTCCATTTCTGGCTTGATCCGGTTGGACCTCAGTCAACACAGATTACCATGTTCGTGTTATTCTGGATCATACCATTCCTCACTGCCATTGCTTGTGTGTACATCTTTATGAAGTCTTTCTACAAGGTGAAATTCAACCAGGTCGGCTTGAGTGAGAAACAAAACATTCCACTCGCAATTTGGAACAAGGTGAAGGGCGCTGGTCGAAGGGATCCAGCCTCTAATCCACTCATGCGCTTGGCCAACAAATCGGGCTTCATGCAGAGTACCTCTGCTCTAGGCGGAGCTCTTGCGTCGGAAAAGCGGCGCATGGTTCTAATTGCCACCATGGAGTACGATATTGAGGATTGGGCTATCAAAATCAAGATCGGTGGTCTCGGTGTTATGGCCCAACTGATGGGTAAGACCCTAGGTCACCAAGACTTGATCTGGGTCGTTCCTTGCGTTGGAGGTGTCGACTACCCTGTTGACCAGGTGGCAGAGCCTATGACAGTCACCATTCTCGGAAGTCCCTACCAGGTTCAAGTCCAGTACCACGTCTTGAATAATATCACCTACGTCCTACTCGATGCCCCAGTGTTCCGTCAACAGTCGAAGACCGAACCCTACCCTCCTCGCATGGATGATCTTGATAGTGCTGTGTACTATTCAGCATGGAACCAGTGTGTCGCAGAAGCCATTAAGCGATTCCCAATTGACACCTACCATATCAACGATTACCACGGTTCGCTCGCACCTCTTTACTTGCTACCAGGAACTATCCCCGTATGTCTTTCCCTACACAATGCCGAGTTCCAGGGTCTTTGGCCTATGCGAACCCTTAAGGAAAAAGAAGAGGTTTGCTCGGTTTTCAACCTTGATGAGGAGGTCGCTCGTCGTTACGTGCAATTCGGTGAAGTGTTCAATTTGCTCCACGCCGGTGCAAGTTATCTCCGTGTTCACCAGCAAGGTTTCGGTGCCGTCGGTGTCTCTAAAAAGTACGGCAAACGATCCTACGCTCGCTATCCTATTTTCTGGGGTTTGCATAAGGTCGGCAATCTGCCTAACCCTGATCCATCTGATGTCGGTGAGTGGACAAAGGAGCCTACCAAAGAGGCAGACATCACCGTGGATCCAACATACGAGGCTAGCCGTGGCGAGCTCAAGAGACAGGCTCAGGAATGGGCAGAACTCGACCAAAACCCTGATGCCGATCTGCTTGTCTTTGTCGGTCGCTGGTCTATGCAAAAGGGTGTTGATCTTATTGCGGACGCAATGCCTGCTGTCATCGAAGCTCGGCCCAACGTACAGTTGATCTGTATTGGTCCCGTTATCGATCTTTACGGTAAATTCGCTGCCCTTAAGCTTGACCACATGATGAAAGTCTATCCCGGACGAGTCTGCTCTAAGCCTGTATTCACTTCGCTTCCACCTTTCGTCTTCTCTGGTGCTGAGTTTGCCTTGATCCCATCTCGTGACGAGCCCTTCGGTCTGGTTGCCGTCGAGTTTGGTCGAAAGGGTGCATTGGGTATCGGAGCTCGTGTTGGTGGTCTTGGTCAAATGCCAGGTTGGTGGTACAATGTGGAATCAGTCTCGACATCTCATCTCCTTATGCAATTCAAGCTTGCAATTGAGGCTGCCCTCAATTCCAAAACATCCGTCCGTGCGATGATGCGTGCTAGATCCGCGAAACAGCGTTTCCCTGTTGCCCAGTGGGTTGAGGATCTTGAGATCCTCCAAACTACTGCCATCAACGTTCACAACAAAGTGAAAACGAACAATACCAGCATTAGACCCGGCACTTCTTCTGGAGTTGGCAGTCTCAGTTCAGCAATGAACTCTATGACTAACCTCGGCAATGGGCTGCCTTCACCAGGCATGAACTCTCCATTCGCGCATTCCAGGGAAAGCAGCTACTCCTTCAATCAAATGAATAACATGACCCCTCAAAAGAAGGTCAGCTACAGTCCAGATCCAAGCATGGACGAGACAGAGAAGCCGAAGTCGGGACTGAGTCGTTCTCTCTCCTTGGGTGTCCGCTCAGGCCCCGGTCATGCTGGACGCCGCAGAAGAGCAGAAGGAGGAGAGGGTATCCCAGAACACGATGAACATGGAGCCACTGATGTCGAAGGTGATGAGAGTAGCGACGACGAAGCTGCCCGCCATTTTGGCGACGACGAATACACTCTTACCCCAGCCCAAGTCGAGGCAGGACGACGAGCCCAGGCCGCTCAAAGGGACCGTGCTCAAAACTTGCCTTCTCCCATGGCTTCTCCAACAAGGGAAGTCAGTCAAGAGTCTTTGCATCCCAGGTTCATGGTTCCGTTGGAAAGCCCAGGAAGTCCGGGAACACCACCCAACGCAGACAGCCTTCTTCTTCCTCCTCAGCCATTTGCCCAGTCCAACCGTCTCAGCAGCGCATCCGTTCTCTCTTTGGACTCCGTTGTCGGCAACAAGACAGACTTCAAGCTACAGAAGGTTGATCCTTTCTTCACGGACAGCACTGGCGAGTACTTCAAGACGTTTGACAAGAAATTGGATGCCTTGAATGGATCCAACTCCGAGTCTCAACTCTGTATTGAAGAGTTCTTGATTAAGAGTGAGCAGCAGTGGTTCGACAGATTCCGCAATGCCAGACTGGGTCGCAGCAAATCTCCCACGCCATCGATCCGTCATTCATCAAGAAACACTGACACCCCCGACAATATGTTCTACAATGATGATCTCATTTCCAACGTGAACAGCAACGAAGATGTTCTGCAGGATGATGAGTTCCTTCTCGGAAAGGACTATGTCCCTCCTACTGGCCTCAAGAAATGGATGCAAATCAAAATTGGAGATTGGCCGGTCTACTCCATTTTCCTCGCTCTAGGCCAGATCATCGCTGCAAACTCCTACCAGATCACTCTGCTCACAGGTGAAGTTGGTCAGACTGCAGAGAAGTTGTATGGAATTGCTACAACATATGCCATTGCATCCATGTGCTGGTGGCTCGTGTACCGGTACTTCAAGTCTGTTGTCTGTCTTTCTACTCCGTGGTTCCTATACGGTCTTGCATTCCTCTTGATTGGATCTGCTCACTGGCAAAGTGATTCCTTCAGCCGGGGATGGATCCAGAATGTTGGCACCGGTTTCTACGCCGCAGCCTCCGCCAGTGGATCCATCTTCTTCGCTTCCAACTTTGGTGATGAAGGAGGTGCTCCGGTTGAAACCTGGATTTTCCGTGCCTGTGTTATCCAAGGTATTCAGCAAGTCTACGTTATTGCCCTCTGGTACTGGGGTTCCACCATGTCCAAGGCTTCTTCGGAGGGTCTCTTGAGCGCTGAGACTGGCCTTGCCAATAGCTGGAAAATGAGGTAAATACCCCTGCACACTTATCATCCCCTGACTTATTTACTGACTTTATTCCAGTGCGATCTGTTACCCCATCGCCGCCTTCCTGTGCATTGTCGGTGCTCTGTTGGCTACAGGTCTTCCCAACTACTACCGCCAGAAGCCAGGAAAGGTGCCATCCTTCTACAAGTCCCTTTTCCGCAGAAAGATCGTCGCCTGGAACTTCGTCGCAGTCATCCTGCAGAACTTCTTCCTCAGTGCACCATACGGTCGCAACTGGAGCTGTAAGTTTAAATCTCCCATCCCAAACCTCGCACACCGATCAATACTAATATCCCCCGCTTAGTCCTATGGACCTCCCGACACACTCACTCATGGCAGATCGTCCTCCTCTGCGTCATCTTCTTCGGCTTCGTCTGGTGTATATTCCTCTTCATTGTCAGCAAATTCTCCAAGAAGCACAGTTGGTTCCTTCCCGTCTTCGCCTGTGGCCTGGGCGCACCCCGCTTCATCCAGATCTGGTGGGCCATCTCCGGCATCGGGTACTACCTACCCTGGGCCGGAAGCTACACTTCCGGTGCGCTGGTCTCTCGCAGTTTGTGGCTGTGGCTGGGCGTTCTGGATTCCATCCAAGGTCTTGGATTCGGTATCATCCTTCTCCAGACTCTTACTCGAGTCCACATGTGTTTCGCTCTTATTGCATCTCAGGTGCTGGGTTCCATTGCAACTATCTGTGCCCGAGCCTTCGGTCCCAATAGAGTGGGCCCCGGTCCGATTTCTCCTGACATGACTCAGGGTGCCCATGCCTTGGCTAATGCCTGGTTCTGGGTGGCCTTGTTCTGTCAGTTGTTGATTTGGTATGTTGATCTTTGCTTGTTTCGTTCGTTGGGATTATTTCTAACATTTATTTATAGTGCTGGATTCTTGCTGTTCTTCCGTAAGGAACAACTCGCCAAACCTTAAGCTCCTTTCCTTTTTAGGAGCATCTCTGTTTTTTATCATAAAACGGCTACGGCCATCACGCCGAACATGAATGATCAAGTTAATCTCTTCTGCATATCCGAAGCATGTTGTCTCTGTGATCTATCTTCCCTTCTTTTTTCATGTATCCTAATGTTAATACTATTATTATACTGAGTACTCGCTCGGTTGAAATAACCAATTCCTCGTAGTAGTGATATAAAGCAGAATCGTACGCAGGGGTTTATCAACGATATTTGCTTTTTTTTTCATGTTTTGTGATGGATGATGGAGGAAAGGGATAAGCGGCTCGAGGTGGTCGTTGCCTGCTAACAGGGCTTTCCGAATGCTATTGGTTAGAGTGCCCCATGTGATATGGCCGTAGTATGTAGTCAGCGAGCTCAACTTGGCTTACTGTGTCCATGCAAGGGCCGGTTCAGTTTGAGACAAGACGACATTCACTAAAATCTGCCGTTGTTATTTTTTATTTGTTTTCTTTTTTCCCTTGGAAGAGCATATTTATCTTCTTCTACCTAGATATAGATATTATTACGCTGAATCACGCCTTGAACGCTGAATATGTTTCTATTTAAGCGCCCTCCATCCACGGATGTGCGCCTCGGCCCGCCATCCGTTCCTGGCGGAAGAGCCGTGGGGTGGCCCCACTATGCACCTCATCTCTCTGCGATTGGCGCGGGACTGTGCATCTGCAGCACCTGAGCAAGTCCGGGGATTCCAAACGAATTAGTTGCCTTCTCTTCCCAAATCATTATTTCTCTTTAAAGTCTTGCATTTCGTATCTTCACTTTTGAACGAGAACGAGGGTGCCATCCTTGTTGACTACGGATATATTGTGACCTCGGGAATTTGAAACAGACAATATTCTTTCTTTGTCAGGTAATGGCCTCATATGAGTCATATCTCCCCTTTGCAAGCATAATGTTGCATGCTTGGTTATTAGCTCGTCAGTAATTTGTGTACATACATCATCAGGCTGGTGAACAGGAATGGGGGGCAAAAGGGAGCCAGAGCAGGGTATAAAATGCAACGTCTTCGCCTGAGAATATGTGGTATCATACTTCTCTAGAACAACTTACTTCCTATCCAAACCATTCATCATGCGTTTCACTCTTGCCTTCCTGATTTATTCACAGCGCACGTGGTTGCCACAAACCCTACATCGCACCTGCTTTATTTCACAATTCGACTAATACCAATACCCCCGACCCAAAATGACACTCTCTACAACTTACCAGTCAGACAGAAAGACATCCATTCGCTCCCAACCCATCACATCCATAATGACAAACGGGGACTACGGGAAGCTCGCCATTGCTACAGCCGCCATTCTCGGTATCCTCACACTCGGGGCACTGGTATACCTGGTGGTGTGGTACATCCGACGGAAACTACGTGCCCGACAGCTTCGTCGACAGCAGATTCAGGGGAATGAACAATTCGATCAGTCCGCAGTGTCCCTAGCCGAGGACACAAGTAGGACTCTAGATGACTTCCTCATGAAGGATATCCCGCCCGAACGGAGCTCAATCATGTTCAGCAGAAGCGGAAGCGGATCTCCATCCATCACCATCATAATTGACGACGCGGACGAAGCTGACCGCTGCAAGCCTTCACCTCAGCCTCATCTCACAAAACAAGACACCGCACCTTCTTCATCTGCAGCTGCAGCTACCTCCACCTCGACGCAGACTGCGACTCAAGAGTCAGACTCTGATGACCTCCGGTCCGATCAGACTCAGGGGAACTCCCCGGGACAACGTTCGTCAAGCACAACCCCAAGGGCATCCACCTCGTCGTCGTCCGTCATTCCAGCATCGCGATCATCCCAGGTTTGGACTACGACTTCTGATAGTACGTCATCGGACCATGCTCAAAGGGGCAGCTCGGGACAACACTCGTTCACCACGACGCCGACAGCATCTATCTCGTCCTCTGTCATCCTGACGGCGGGATCCTCCCAGGCTTGCACTACGACCTCTGCCGGGACTGAGAGGTTTTCGCTCATTAGTCAATCCTCAAACCACTCGCGCCGCCCTCAGAGTCCCGCTGACCCATCGGCAGCTCGTAGCTCACAGCTATTTGCTCGTCGTTCGAGTGTTTCTGGTGCATCAAGTGGTCCGGCTAGTGCAGGTGTTTTGCAGTCTGCATCGCGCATTTTCAATCAGGCGGAGACTTCTCGCATGGCTTATTCACGACACATCGAGTCTGTTGGACCAAGGAGTCCCACCTCTCCCGTTTTCCCAGTGTTGGTAGATGCTTCATCCGAGGATGATATGCCCCAATGGATATCGGTTCCCCCTACTCCCTTTCCTTTCGGTCAGGTGTGACCATTGATGGCATACAGTGAGGTGTTGGTTTGATCTTGCTTTCATGGCATGGCAGTTAGTTTAAGCTCGATGAGGGAAGATCGGGAGTGGATTCAGGTTCTATGGATGACTAGTGGGCTATTCCTTGTCTTTGATTTCCTTGTTCACTGTTAATGTTTTTGGAAGTTAATACTCTCTTATCCATTATGTATAGTGCCAGGGTCTTTACAACGATTATTCTTCTTATTCATCCTATTGCTCAAATGGATACCAGTCCAGCCTAGAAGTTGGGAAATGCCAAGCTTAAACAGCAGCTAACACTGGAAGTACGGAAGAATAAGATGGTAAGTTGAATAACCTCAAAACGCAACCTAAAGATATCCAGTTGCTAATCATTTGACATGAACCAATTGGTTAAAGATATAGAAATAACACCCAAGAGACCGGGTTCATGGATTGATTGCGTAGGTTTCGTTTGCATTCCCTGGTGCGAACAGAGCCTTCATCTTTCGTGGGCTGATCCTAGTCGGTGATTTCTCCTTTCCTTCAGCGTGTCATGAGTTCCAGGACAACACTGAAGGGTCTTTCTGGTCTTTAGGTAGCAACGTCGTTGAAACCAGCGAGATCGGTAAACTGTTGATGTCTTTCCATAAAGGCAGCGTGGTGGGCATGACGGTCCGCCTTCGCATTCAACTCCTTAGGAATCCGCCAGAACTGCACACTGACCCCCTTCTCCTCCAATATTTCCACCTCCCCGAGAAGATACTCCCAAAGGTCCTGATTTCTGATTGGTTCTCCGGTGATTGATATCCAACCCCACTGTAGCCATTCCCTTATCAAGCCCGTGATACCCTCTACCAGGTAATCCGAGTCAGTTGCAATGACCAGACGACTGAAGCCCTCCGCAGCCCAGTCTTTATATCGCAGAGCTGCGATGACGGCGCGGATATGTGCGCGGTGGACTGTCATGGTGTACTGTTCACCCGAGGGTCCCTTGAACTCCAGAGGAAAGCGTGCCCAACCAGATGTGGAATCGTTGTACACGAAGGAACAACCCGCTCTGGCGTTTGTTTTGCCGTTATCCAGACACGTGGCGTCTGTATAGATGAGGCATTCATCTTCGACGGAGCGGTTGTCTTCATTGAGGCGGATGAATCGATGGACTCGGTCTGTTGCTGTGACTTTGGGGCAATGTGGGAACAAGGACTGCGGTGTATCATCTGGACTCGGAGGAGTGAACTCTGTTGGGATAACACGGCCACTACCGACTCTGAGTTCGGTGTACAGAATAGGAGGCAGGTGGCTGATAACGTAGTGCGCGGGGTTCACTTGGTGCAAAGCCATGGTGATTTGGTAGACGCATATATAGCAATAACCGGTGTTCTTTGTATCAGGCAGACAACATATATTCAAAGGTGAACTTCAAGTCTCGAGACGAGGATGCAAGAGAGGACAAAAATAGAGAGGAAGCCAGCAAGGCAGAGCGCTCTTTCGCTCCTTCCATATGTGTCCTGGATATCCTGGATACCTGAGGCCAAAATCAAAAGGAATCAATGATCGTGATATTTCATTGAATGCTCTCTGAGCTAAAAAAAAAGAAGAAAAAAAACACAAAGAACAAAGGGGAAGTCCCACCTCCACGCGCCTCGCTATTCCAGTCCTGGAGACGCTTCAGACATAAAACTAACAAAAGATTAAAAACACATACAGAAGCAAAGTTTTCGAGCACATGTCCGCCATGAGATATACAGGTAGAAAGTAGGAAATAAGAGCTGACACAAAAGGGAAAGGTGGAAAGAAATCCTTCAGATCTATCCGGATATATGATCTTCATGCATTCACATCGCGCACACTGCGTAGGCACCGTTCAAGCCGCTTTCCCCGCTCCTTTTCGCGTACAAGGGTATCCTTGACAAACGCTCGGATGGCGTCACGACCGACCCTTTCCCGCCATGAGGTCCAGCCAGCGAGTTCGCCGACCACGACATCCTTGTTCCACGAGACTTCTTTCGCCAGTCGAGTGGACTCGGATTCGCCATCGTGGATCTTTTGTTCGAGGTCGCGAACAGACTTTTGGCGAGACTCTTCGAAGCCGGGCAGGTTGATGTTGAATTTTCGGGGGAGGGAGGAGGAGAGGAGAGAGGAGCGAGAGCGAGATATATGGCGGTTTGTTGAAGAGAGGGAAGACATGAGGGCTAGTGGACGGGATAAAGATATGAGAATTGCGGCGGTAGTGTTGTCGACCGAGGAAAGGGCTGCCAGATACTGGAGAAGAGCGGAGGAGTCAGACCTAGAGGTCGATAGGTAGGCAGCGTAACGGGCAAATGCTTCGATGTGTGAGACCGGAAGTGCATTGGTGGGCGCTCGGAGTGTAGCAAGGACAGATGAGCATATCATCACCGCATCAGCGAGATCGGATGTTGAATTCTGCAATGCGTGCCCTCGGCGAATCAGGGACCGCGTGTTGACATGTACCCCGCGCACCATGTCCTGGGCGTGGGTAATAAACTGCTCTGTGTCGCGCATGCCCTCTAATGACACCGGCGCATATTCGTCGGCGATGGTCTCTGCGAGCACGGCAGCCTTACGGTACGATCGGTCGGCCACCATCTCAGGCTGAAGTTCTGGAACGAGGAAGAACTCCCATAACATTTCGTGAGTTGAAAAGGTTGGATGGGCGAGGAGGGTCTTCAGGAACCGATCTAGTCTTTCCTGGAGATCATGGAGCACAGACCGTGATGGTTTCGAGTGGATCTGGAACGGATTCCGGAAATCCGAGAGAGACGGCATGTAAGATCCCGGATGTTCCACTGCAAGCCATTTAGACAGATTCTCAAAGTCGGAGAAATTGCGCCGACATGTCGTAACGGTATATGTAGTCGATCCGGGCCGCGATGATGCCACAGATTCAGTCGGAGGGAATGGAGCACCGGATTTGAGAATGAAGCGCACGGTTGCGTCCTCGACGAAGTAAGACCGCACGACCGTTGTGACACGGCCCGAGGGATCTCCGCAAGCCGATGGAGGATGGGACAGCAAGATCAAATCGTCGATGCGGTTTCGCACCTCATCATCCTTGGCCAATTCCACCGCCGTCAAACCACGGGCTTCTTTAACATGAACGTCGACTCTTGGGTCCAAAAAGAGGATGCGAACTTGATCAACTCGCCCGTACTTGCTCGCCATCATCAATGGGGTAAATCTCTTGTCGTTGGTTGCGTTGGGATCGCAATCGCTGTCCAGTAATATGCGCCGGGTAATCTCAGGGTCACCAACAATATGTAACAATGTGTTTCCCTTCATATCAACATGATCATCAAGCTGGAGTGGTTTGTTGTCGCCTTGTGCCAGTTGCGCTGCAGTCAATCCGGCTTGAACCATTGTTTTGTACTCTGGATGATCATACGATCGACAGAGTGCAAAGAGCGGTGTTTGTCCATGTTTGTCTCGTTGTCGCCATGGGATAATGCTACCAAGTCTCCCCAGCAGCGAGGGTGTGCTGAAAAGATAATGAGCAACAGTACGACCGTGGACGTCGGACTTGGTCAAGTATGACGCAACCACGTTTGTATCTGTCTTTGCAAATAGGAAGTCTAAGAGGATCTTGACTATGTCGGAGTGTGCAAGTTGCACAGCAGCATTTAATAGCGTGGTCCCATCGGCGTTGGTGTCTTGGATGATTTCTTCCAAGGGGTAGTATTCTTCTAGAGTCAACAGATACTTCAAAGCCTCAGCCTGCCGGGCCTCAACTGCCATCATCGGTATGGAATGACCGGCAGGATCTTGTGTTTTTGTCAAGGTCTCAATCGAATTGTCACCTTCAATTCCACTGGCCATGGACCCAAGGGTTGCAGTCCTGGAGATGAATGAGACCGCTGATGATTCCGATAGGCTGCGAACGTCCATTGAAACCTTCTTGATTGGACGGTGAGGATGAGATTCTTGGATAATCGAAAGATCATCCCAAGTTTGGAATGGGAACACATGGGATAGCGGTGGCGCATCGACAACAGCTTCATCCTGGTATGATTCGCCATTTGTATGACTCGTGTACGAGCTTTCAAGAGGGAGATCATCCGGCTCATCAGCGTCATCTGTCTGGAACAGTACAGACTTTCGTTCCCGCTCCGGTGGGGTCACGTCGTCTATTGATTCGTGATCCTCGTTCGGTTCCAGTATAAATTTCATATCCGATATTCTGCCAGCCTTCGTTGCTTGCCACAAACGTCTGTTCCGAACGCTCGCACGCCGTAATCCGGCGGAATCGGTAACGAGATACATCAAAACAGCTTCGAATGTACTTAAAGCATATCCCATCTCGCCATTATCAACGTCGTCGATGTAAATAAAATGCTGCATGTACAACAACCGAGCTTGGAGATGCCGTATTTGAGAACGAATGACAACAACAAGTAACAACGATACCAAGACATCAGCGTTGATCGTAACAGATGAGGTTCCCTTCTCAGATGTCGAGCCGTCAATTTGATTATAACTTCCAGGGAAGGAGATAACCTTCACTGTTCCAAGGAGGGTATTCAGCATATCATGGGGACATCGAGCGTCGTTGATCTTCCGAAATTCTTCCACGGCTCGCCCAAGTCGGCGAGTCAGTTCTCGCTTCCCTTCACGTCCACCTTCAACGGAAATTCCAACTTGGGACACATCAATGCTCTCCATCTGGCGAATGCGGGAATCCAGCTCTGTGTCTTCTGGTTGGCGGAATGAACAGAGACGAGGGAAAAGCAGTGGCTCGTGAACTTGTTCGGCAACATAACGTTCGATTAGCCGCTCCACTAGAGGACCGGTGAGGTCAGTAGTCGCACCAAGCAACGATAATTGCTGCTTGTCAACGAGGCGGAAAAGATCAATGGCAGCAGTTACTGCGGTTTCCAAGCTTCGACGCATTAGATCTTCGTCGTCCTCAAAGTATTCTTCGGAATTAAATGGCAATCGCCCTCTGCTGCGTGACGACCAGCTGCGGATGGAAGAGCTTTCATCTGTCCAAGACTCGGTGCGGGACAATTTGTGGACGCGTTCACTGCCGGACGCAGATGGCGACCGTGAGGGTGGAGGCGGCAATGGTTTACCAAGTTCTTTTCCAAACTCTTTGAATAATCTTTCCAGGCCCGGGTGCATCTGTCTGGCAATCATCGGATAATTGGCTAGCAGCTCCCCAAAAGATTTGATCTCTTGTTTTGGTGGCGTCCCAATTGAATCTCCGTTTCCATATTTCTTGTCCGGCCTGGGTTGTCCAACGATCCCAGTGTCGGTTCCAGGGACTATTGCTGGTGAGATCTTCCCAGGGTCATATGTTCCGATCAATGGGCGAGAAATGTAGTAAATCAGCCATGGGCGCGATTCATTTGACGGGCTGTAATACAGCACGTCGGAAAGCAGTTGTGCCTGTGTGAGTGACTTGAATCCTAATAGAAATGACGGTGTCAGCGAAATATTCAGGCGAGCGCATTTCAACAAGTGCTCTCACCTTTGTTGCTGTATACTGAGTTGTCCTTGATGATCACCGTCCTCCCATTGAATGTCGTCACCTGCTTTGCTTTCCCTCGATTCTCTCGCACATTATTCTCCTCTTTGGAAGTTGCAGAGCCGGTGTAGATTGGGATGCGGAGCACATGGCTCCCTAGGAACTCATCCGACGCGACAAGATCGGAGTATAGCAGGTTGGACTCCCGGTCGCGTGAACCGATGAGAGACTCTGTCGTTGGAACTAGCAAGACCTGAGGCGCACACGCGATGCCAATTAGCCACTCCGGATGATCCGACGGAAGGTTCACAGCCTCCACCTACATGATTCTCGACCGGTATACACTGGCCCGGGACAGTGCTTCGGAAGAAGGCACGGAGGAAAGGGTTTAGAGGGTGCATCCAAACGGTTTTGGACGGCCCAGTCGAAGGACTCCAGTAACCATCAAGGCGTCCGTCTCAAAGCTCCGCAACAGGGGATATGTGCGCCGTAAGATTTCGCGGGGGAAGGGCAGCTCGCATCCAATAGGCAGCAGCGCGATATGAAGTCAGAGGGAGTCGTTGGATTTAGTAAACAGAGCTACAAATAAGCTTGAACAAAATCACAATGCTAGATCGCAGCAAACAAGAAGCCACAAAGATAAGAGTTGAAGCAGAAGCACATGTGTTGCGGGTGAATCGAGAACGTGATCGACAACTTGATTGGCGCTATACCGCATTAGGTAATTATTCCATTCAATACACTGCGACCTGGCCATCCTCTTGGATAGCTTCGGAGATTTCCTAATTTCCTTAAAATACTTTGTCAGGCCAGAAATGTTGGGCTCAGTCTAAATTTACAGTGGTCTTACTAGTAGAGT